ATTTAAAGTAAGTTTAATAACCACAGAGTCCATATAAAGAACCCTTAACCCATAAATGTTTCTTCATTTCCGCTGGGAATTTCTCTAAAATTGACAAGCGGAAATTGTGAAAAATACAAATATGGTAAATCCATTTAAAGTTAATAAACAAATCTTCTTGGAGAAACCAGAGACAACTCGGTAGCTTCGAATTACTATATAAATATTTTCGCGAGCATTTGTATGTTTGCTTGTTTTGGGTTGCAAAGGGAAATAAACCCGTGAGAATGGAGTCGGGCCTGAATATATACATATATCAGCTGTTAGCGCTTTCATCCCCAATGGTCAATTTTTTTGTAGCCAAAAAGGAAAGAAGTTAACAAAACTTTCACTAAACGTTAGCTTCTACTCTACCTTTTAAAGTGCTTCGCTTCAAATTGAACTTTTGTTACTTTTTTATGAGAAAAGTTGGCGGAATTTAAACTCTGCTTGGCTTGTCTATAATGAGCTTTGAGAAACAGTTTCGTAATAATATTTATAATTATTATATCATCAATATTTAAGATATTAAATTTCACAAGTTGAGGGAAAACACATAGTTATTTCCATCCGACTTGATTTACTTCAATTACAATACCTTTGTATTTAAACTAATACATTTATAATGTTGATGTTTCCCTGCAGGAACATATGTGAATATCCCTGGCCATATAGATAGACTCCGCCGCATGGGGTTGTTTTTCACCGGTTCTCGTTGGGATGGCATGGATTCATGTGCCAACCCCCGAGGAACTCCGGCACTCTACGGCGCCGCTCTGCAATCGCTCTACCTGGCCCCTGATTAATTTAGTCTGGGTCTCTGTCTCTCACTTTGTTTCATGTTTTCTTTTCTGCCAGAGGTACCCACAGGGTATACCATGACATGTGTTCTGGGGAGTGCGAGTGGGTGGGTGTCGGGGGTGGTGCCAGTGTTGCACTTCTAAGCGCCTCAAATTGAATGCAACGGGGACATCAGATGTCCAAGGTACATACATTCATGTCTGTGTGCATGAACGTAATTAGAAAAACATTGGAGCACAGGTATAGGTTTGTATCGCAACCAGGAAGTCCGAATATATATAAAAAGAGTAATGGGAAAAGCCAGCGGAAAGTCACGAGCGAAAAGTTAGCTAGGTGAAAACATTTATTTAAAATACTGTCCTGTTTGTGACATAAACTCTAGGTTTATTTTAAAATAAAGGTAATAAAAAGGGGTCCTAATGAAATATATTTAAGATATAAGACAAATTGTAAATTCTAACTCAAAATTAGTAGTAGTAGTACCTCTTTTTTTAAGTGGAACAAACAATGGAAAATACAACGTTTTTTCGACCTGCCTGTTTGTTACTCTCAACAGATTTCAACGTCATCATTGATAAAAAAGAAAACTAAGGCTAAGCACAGACTAGGAAACCCACCTAACGCAGTCAAAGGATGCTGGGGAAATTAAAGAAATCTGACGGATTTCCATTGTCGGCTTTTCCGCCCCTGTCTGTCTTGCAATTGACCGCTTTTGTGTTTGACAAAAGGAGAGAGACGACAGGCGGCCAGCACAACACAAAGGGGAAATGTGGCCCACAAAGGAAATTTCATTTAATGGATTTTAAATGCTCCGATTACTCGACCCTGAAGACATACCCTGTATATGCAGTCCTCAAGGAGCTTCTAATAAGACATTTGTTTACCAAATAAAGCATAATTATAATTAAGAATGCCTGCAGCCTAAGGTCCAGCATAATTCCAAATGGAAATGTATGAGTAATGGATGAGTGTATCGATCCACAGCTCTGATTAAATATGTTTCTAATTTATGGAATACTCACACGCAAGTTGGTGTTGCCATAAGTTTGTTATGACAAATAAAAGTGTTGTATTAAGTTTTATGAATTAATAAGAACGGATTTTAAGTTTTTTTTTTTTTTAAGTTAAGCTTGCGACATACTTTTCTTACTTTTAAGAATTATTAATAGGTGATTTTCGGTTCATTTTTAACTCAATTTTGTTTATAGTTTAGATACTTCAAACTCTATTATTAATTAACCAGCTCGTCTTAAATGAGCTACATATTCTGAGTAATATATTTGTATATCGATCCATTAAGTAGTCCGACTCCCAATTTTGTTTGCACATATTTACAAATGTCTGAGATGTTCACACGCAAATTACAAGAATGATAAATCAATTCTGACACATTGTAGATTTATGTTTAAGAAGGAGTTTCATATGTTGGATTTCAAAGGCAGTTCCTCTCACTCTCAGCCAAAATGCAGCGGAGTTCCTTGTTGATTCTAGTTTTCCTTGGAATTGATTATCCCATACCTGTCGTCGGCGTCGTCGCCGGCAGTTTGGAAAAAAGCACCCCGAATCGCATGCAATTTTGGAAACACCACCGAAAAAACAAGAGCGGGAAGCAAAACGTCTGGCGGTTTCAATGCTATTCTTTATTAAAAACATTCAAAACTGCACTAGGATCACTTACCAAAACACATATGGAATGGATGGATGATAGAATACAGCTAACTACGAGCTGTTAAAGTTCACTTAGCGATGATTGAGTTCACTTGCCACTTAAGTATCTCTACAGAAACCTCTGGTTGAGTCCGGAAATCACTACAGTTCGGGAATCGAAACCAGAAAGGGGCCGGAACACACTCGTTATGGCCATTTGGAGGACCTTTGTTCGTTCACTAGTGCTTGGAAAATTCAATTTTGACCATTTTCAAGTGACACTTGACGGCAATCCACGAGATACGATTGCATCCATCCGATAGAACGATACGGCGGCTACCGCGAGGAGTATCTACGGCGCGGTGCGGACCACACTTTCACCCACGAACAGCGACGGAAGCTAACTGACGGCCAACCGACTTTGCGCCACCGGCCAGAGCCAAAATAAAGCCACGAGCGCACGGCCGAGCACGAGGCGCCAGGACACACGGAAAGGACTACTCGTGAAAGAAGCGAGAGGCGCACGCCGTCGCTGGTGTGAGGAGTGCGCACAGAGAGCGCCGTTGCTGGTGGTGGTTTGCTGGCCTGCCGAGGGGGTGGCTCGAGTGCTGCGGTGGTTGGGCGGTTGGGTGGATGGGCTGGCCATGTCATGTTGTGACGCCGTCTGCCGCTGCGAGAATCGCAAGAGGCACAGCCGGTTGCCGGAGGGGGGTGGAAAGGTTGCCGTTGCCGGCCAGTTGAACTCTCAAATTCGAAGCAAATTAATCCCGGAATCTGCATGCCGAAAATCTGTGTTCGGCCCCGATTCACATTGGATTTTTGGACAAAATCACTAGAACAAATTAAGTACTTTTACGCCGCTGAACTAATAATAAATTGATATTGGTAGCGAAACTAAGGGAACCAAGCTTTAAATATTAACGATACGTTTTTTAAAGCACTTCAAAGGCAATATAATTAAATAAATCATAAATATAAAGCAACAATAAATCGAGCTAAATCATTAAAAGGTTATGGAAAACCATGATTTACTATGCTTGAAGGCTATAAATAATTAAAATACACCAATAACTAGGGTTTGTTTAAGAGGTCTACAAAAATAAATCCACTTAAAGTTATACAGGCCAAGGTAATCCCGTTAGTTATTTATTATTTGTCCCAAGAGCTATATTCATTTATTTAAATTGAAAAACATTACCAGTATAAATGCAAAGTAAAATCTTTAATGATCAAAATCGAAATCTTAATCAGTTTACTTGCAGTACCGATCGGCTTTCATTTTACTACGTCTATCCAAAAGGGTTTCGTGTAGAGAGCCTTGGGCCTTGGCATTCTCCAGTTCCTTGACGTCGTTTTGATTAATCCGCATCTTCTTGTCCTGAAACTTTTGGAACTTTTTTCTACAGAAAGACAAAGCATTAAATGAATTTACTGACAAAGATCTGCTTGTACTTACACATAGTTCCGTTCAACTTCGCCCAGGTCACCCTTTTCCTCCTTGGGCTCTGTATCGACAACCACATCCCGTGTAGCATTGCTCCGCACCTTGCAGACCTCATGCTGACCCACCTTCTTCCGCAGAGCCACACAAGCGTCATCTTCCGGATCAATGGACATAAAGTGACCGGTTTCCGACAGCAAGGCCATTCGTTTGTCCTTTAAAATTAATGTAATATAAATAATTCCAATAAAAAAAGAAAGAGAACCTACCTCAAAGACGGGCTCCCACTGTTCCATACTGCCCACGGCCTCGGATCGGCCTGTGACCATGCCATCCTTTTCGATTTTCAAATATTTTCCGTAGCCAGATTTAAAAGAGACCTTGCGGTCGTTAATGGGAAAAGCGGTGAAAATCTCCTCCGGATCGGGGCCGTCACCTTGGTTATGAGGGGCGCCAAGGGTAAACAAACTGTAATTAAGGTATTTGGGGGAAATAAATTAACGCTTTATGAAGTATTAAAAAGTAAACCTCACCCATTATCAAAGGCTTTCAGGTAACACCGATCGCTAAACTCAATGGACACAGTGCCGGTAATGTCCGCCGCTGTCTTTGCTGCCCACCAGCCGCCATGCTCCACGGCATCCTCGTCCACCTGCACCTTTGACTTCTTGGAAGATGATCCTGCCTCATCCTTTTCCTTCTTGCGTTTCTTGCTTTTCCTAAAATGAAAGGTTTTTAGGACGCTGCACCTTGCAATAGTCCCAGCAATTCGACTTTACTTGTGTTTTTCGCCTTTCAAAACCAGTTTCTTGATGCGTATATTGTCATAATCAGACATGGTCCCAGTTACCGCAGTTTATAAACAATTTTAAGCTTTAAATTAAGTTAAAACAAGAAAAATAAACAAGTTGTTTTTGTTTTGGTTATTCTTAACAATATAGAGATGGGCAACTGGAACGATTAAGATATCGATAACAGCTGACAAGACTAATCGATGTAACGATACACGATAAGAGTCCGTTATTTGTTAAAAGATATTTATTTTCTTAAATTACTGAAAGAATTTATAACAAATTGTTTCAACCCAATTTACTTGTTTTGTCACATTAATACTTTTATTCTTGAGGTTTTTAATTGTTGCTTACAACACGATAAATAATACAATCACGAAAGCTTATTGTGTTAAACTAAACAAAAACGTTGTACAATTGTTTCAGCTCAAATAAATTATCTTAAATAATGGCATAATAGTAATATTGGTTTAAGTTATTATTTGGTACAACTCTAAATATATATAATGCCTTTCTAGGGGCATTTTAAAGGTATATAGCAAACTTGGCTGTAAATATATATTTGGAAAAGCATTGGCATAATCGAAAAAGCTTACGATTTATGTTTTAAATAAATACAACAATCCGGAACGTACGTATGTATATAGGAATGACACACATGTATATATGGAAACCAAGACATCTTTACATATATCCTTCGACTGAGACATTTTGCCATTGTCCCTGAAATTAGAGAAGATGATTAAAATATAATTAATTATTACTAAAATATTTAAGAAATTAATTACATTTAAATTAAGACTTACCGCAATGCCCAGGTTCCAGCCAACGCCTGCTGGATTTTCCTTGGTGATCCCGCAGCGCCGGCAGATAATGCCGTTTAGGGATATAGCCCACACCTCGGCGCCCACGGACACGGATCGGAAGCCGCAGTGCTGCTCAGTGTGCGGCGGCACATTGGCGGCATTGGGCAGAAACTGCCAGTGGGAGCCCTCGGGGAAGGTCTTTGAGATCTCCTTTCGCACAGCCAGTCGCTGCTGGTTGTCCAGCGCCCAAATCCCAGCGCGTCCAACGCTTATCGCCTTGAAGGTAACGCCCGCCGGGGCCTCCACCTGTTGCCAGGCATCGCCGCAGGGATTCTGCCTGCTGATGCCGTACCGGAAGAACACCATGCCGTTTCGGGCCACAGTCCACACCTGACCTGTGGGTCCCATGCTTATACCCACGAGCGGCTGGTCGCTGGTTATGTGCTCCCAGGCATCGCCACGCGGATTCATGGAGCATACGCCGTGTCGGATGAGCACGTCACCGTTCGAGGCAATGGCCCAGGCCGTAACCGCTGTATTCTCACCCTGCCCGCTGTCCACATCGTCGTCCAAAACCTGTGAGTAAGGTATTACGGAAATAAAGTGGTTTGGGCAAGGAATAAAGGATCAACCCTACCTGAAGGGCTGCATCCAGTATTTTAGACTGGCTCAGCTCCTGCCAGGGACCGCTGCTGCTGAGGCGGCATCTCTTCATCCATCTCCGACGACGCACGCAGTCCGTGAGCTTCTTGTGGGCATGGTAGTTGGCGGGAAAGTCGATGGCATACTGCCAGCCCTCCTTGTCCGCGCCCCCGGGAATGTTGTAGTCGATTGCCCAATCGGAGATCCATTCGCAGTGCGTCGAAAGCAGCTTTGTGTGCTCCTTGCTGCGCTTCTGCCGCCCACTGGCATCGCTCCACATGTGCCGATCCGTGGGCAGGCTCTTGGCGGTGAACCCGCTGATCGGATTCCAGCGCTGATTCTCGTACACATAGTAGGTGTGCGTATCAATCATGGGGTTAATCTTGCCCGAACCCTCTAGTCCCTTCAGGAACATCCCGCCCCAGCCACCGTTGTAGACCCAAGCGGTGTTGTCACAGGAAATGCCCCAAACTACGTCAACGCCGCTGTTGAAGACCCGCTTAATGTGGCCACCCATCTGGCGCCAGTGCATGCGTTCCATGGAGACGATCGGCGAGGGACAGCGGTAGAGTACGCTGAAGAGCTTGATGCGACCGCTCACATACAGACGCGTTACACTCTCCGGATCGATGCGGTACTTGTAGTCGGTGTACACGGCATTATTCACAATCATCAGGTAGTGATCCTGCAGAGCTCTGAAACGGAAATACGATTTTAAAAAATGTATAAAATATTTTATTTAGGATCTGGCTACATACCTTATTTTCAGGGAGAATGTAGCCCCCGGTGCAAAGGCCATTTTATCATTGCGAATCTCATCCAGCCACTCGGACTCCTTCATCGAATTGAGCACAGTGGTGCGTTCGTTGAAGCGCGGATTCAGATGCAAGGCAATCACACGATGCTTCTCCACGCGATGCGGCAGCACCTTGACGGTGGAGTGTGACTGCAGATCGAAACGAATCTGATCGGCATCGTCATAGACACAGCCGGATATCTCCAGTTCGGTGCCGCACGGCATTCTTATTAGGAAGGGTATTAGGAAAGGATACAAAGTGTTAATCCATGGTTAGGTGTTCTAAATGTCAACTCTTTTAAATCAAATATTCAAAAAAAATTCCTTGTCGACTTAGAAATTAGAATCGAACATAATATGAGAGATTTCTAAAAAAAGCAGGAAGAATAGTCCCAAAACAAGTAAAACCAACAAAATCCTACTCAAGGTAAGTCCACACTTACCCATTGTAGAGCGTGTTGTAGTAGGGTGTCTCGCACGTGGAGACGTCCATTTTCTCAACATATCCCTCGCCCGGCTCGATCGTCTGCTGTGCGGCTTTCATGTTGGCCGCATCGAAGACAAACACATCGCCCAGCTCGCTGGTTAGCCAGATGGCCTTGCTAGCCGGCTTGCCAACCAGCGTGTTGATCTGGCTGCACACCGAGGACAGATGGGATAGCCAATCTTCCATCTCCGAGTCGCTGGAGAATTGCAGCTTGACGGGCGAGCAGTTTACCGGCAGATGAGGAGCGTGTATAGCGATCCTGGGTGCTCCTGCTTCACTGCAGCACTGAACGCAGGTGATGTCCGACAGGGGAAATTGTATTTTCGTGGCGGCTCCATCGGGACTGAGAACCGTAAAAGTGCCAGAGTCCCCGGATCTGGAAGAATCACTGCCACTGCCGCTGCTTACCCATTCCAATTCTATGATGCAATCCTCGAATTCTCCGCCAGGTCTCTGGTAGCGTGCATCCGCTGACTTTACCCACGAGGAGAGCTCCACTGCCTTCTCGAACTTGGCCACAGTTTGGAGCTTGGCAAGCCTTTCCTGCCGGCGCTGCAGTTTGCTAAGAATATCCTTCCGCCAATTGGCATTCACATCCACTTTGCTGTCGCTGGTCAGCTGCTCGTTGAACCAATTAGGCATGTTGCTAGCATCCACGGTGACGGCACCCGGAGCCACGCAGCTCCATAGGATGCCGCATTCCGTCCAAAACTGGGAGCCCGTGTGGTCGTCATCTTCGCCTAGGAAAACATCCGATCCGTGGTGCGTAGAGTCCGATTCGAATACCGTGGAATCGCTCTCCGGATGAGCTTCCATTCCCACAACGGAACCCACACTGCGTACGGGCGACCAGGCGCGTGGATTCCTTAGCTGGGTCTCAAACTTCCCACTGATCTCGACCACATCCGCGGCCGGAGCACTGGAAGCATGCGAGGTCTCCCTGAGAGCAGCAGTTCGCTGCTTGTGGCGATCATTCAGGTTAAGACTCCCTATGGTCGGGGGTGAGTCCGCGCCAAGACGATAGCGTTCGTGCTTGAGAAAGCTGGCAGTTGCTGCTCCAGGGCTGGCGCATGAACCTGTCGAGCCGTGCAGCACGGTCTCAATCACGGCGCACGTCTCCACCACTCCCTTCTCCTTCTCCTTGGAGTAGAGATTGGAGAAACTCTGGTGCTTGGAGCCGGGAGTGGAGCTGCTGCCGCCGCTCTTACGGGACACAATCGATAGAGAGCTGGAAGTGCGACTGATCTGCATGGGACACTGAATCAGGCGCCACTTTTTACCGGTGGGATCTGCTGTGGTCACACCAGACCGATGGTACAAGCACCGGTCGGCGGCTCCAACGGCAAAGACCTACAAGGGAATAGTTAGTCTCAGCTTAAAGCAGACTATTAAGGCAACCGGAGGCTCACCTGATCGTTGGCTGCCACGGAAACCGTGGAGATGTTGCCCACCATTTCCACCCAGCCCTTGCCTATGGCCGAATCCTCACTTATGCCGGCCGCTTCGCCCTTAATGCCTCTCCTGAACCAGGCATGATGGTCGTTGGTCACACACCACACGGCATCGGTGCCAACGGAGACGTGAACTATTCGCAGGCTGCAGGATGCCACTGGGGTCTTGACATCCAGCCAAGACTCTCCCGAAAGATTATCCCGGGTGACTCCGGTACGCACGATCACCCGACCGTTGTAGAGAACCGCCCAGACCAAGCCCGTGGGGCCAACGCTAATCTGTGACAACTCACTGCCGGTGGGCGTGGGAACAGCGGTCCAGCGGAGGCCCTCGGGTGCCGATTTGGATACACCCGTGCGAAACATAGCTCGGCCGTGGGCGGTAATGGCCCAGACGCACAAGGTGCCGGCCGGGGCATTGGGTACGTTGGTGCCACCGATTGCCACGTCAATGAAGGGCTCCTGCGTGGGATCCTTGTGCAGCGGAGCCACAGCGCACCAGCTATTCAGGGCGGCATAGCGCCGGAATCGTATCCACTTGCGGCGCCGCACATATGAGTTCCACGACTTCTTGGCCGAATAGGAAGCGGGAAAGTCCAGGGCGTACATCCAGCCATCCTCGGGCAACTGCTGGCCGTCCAGCTCCAGATCCAGATGCCAGTCGCCGTCCCACTGCCAGGCCATCGAAGGCAACCGGATCTTGTCCACACTGCGCTCCACGCTGCCATCTACCGAGGAGTACTTGTACCGATCCGTGGGCAGCAGTGTCTTCGAGAATCCCTCGATGGGTAGCCAGCGCTCATTCTCGTACGACTCCTCCCTGATCCGGATGGGCACGTCCAGGCCATGGACGTGCACGTACACCTGACGGTCGCCGCCAATGGCCCACAGAAAATTGGGCACAGCGCAGATCTTCTTGAACTCCAGTCCCAGGTACGGCAGTTCGCGCCACGCACCCGAGCTGGTGGACAGCGTGTAGACGCGTCCCTCGCTGCTGGCGGCGAACAAGTATGAGCTGGGCATGGTTGGATCTTCTACGTCTTGCGATTCTCCTCTTTGTCTCACATCATGTTTACAATTGCGAAAATTGATTTTTCTGCAAGACGGCCGTCAGTATGACCATGGTTGAATCCTACATCAGATGTTCTCCCTTTCACGGCAGCTGGTCACATTTTTATTAGGGGCTCTTTGCAATAGCGCTGCCATACTTTGCGGGGAAATTTGCAGTTTTAATTTATTTTCCGCTATTAAAAGATTGAAACAATTTTTAGGGGGAAAGTTTAGGAACTTTTTCGAAGCAGTTTTATTTAAATATTAAGCCAAGTACTAGCATACGTTAAAACCGCTTAAACAATGTCAAATGAAATTAAAATTTGTTGAGATTTTTTAGGGGAAAAGCCTACTGTGCATCTGGCAACACTGACACTGATGTTTTTGCACCTCTAATTGACGCCAAGAAATTATACATTGATTTTGAATAATATGGTAAAAATCTAAACGTTTACTCCCTTAAACCGCCCAGTGAACCCCCCCGAATCGAGGGCAAAGAGTCACCGATTGATTCCGTGCCGGTAGAGAGTTAGAGCAGCCCCAAATACGGGCTTTCGGCGTGGCGATGTTCGACGCAAAAAGGCGAGCACGCGCAGGGCAGGCTGTCGCTGTCTGGTCGGTCGTTTGTCGTCCGTCGTATCAGCAGCTGACTCTGGTGGCAGTGGCAACCGGAGGGCCGACACCACGGACGACGACTCCCCGCACCGACAACAGCATCGGCCCATCCCTGGCCATCCGTGGGCTGCAGTCCGGAGCCGAGTCCCAACCAGCAGCAGCAGCCGGTATTTCGTGGAGTTGTAAAACAACTCGGAGCGCACACACATACATATGGTCAGGGTGCAAAACGCCCGTGCAGCCCCATAAACATATATACATATATATATGTATCAGAGTCGTATTATCGTATATACGCTATATATATGTATATATGTATCCGCCGATGTCCTGTGCATCCCGTGAATCTTCTTCACTGCATTTCGCGAGCTCGGGGTGTTCGTCGGCATACCAAAAAAGCCTAAAAAAAAACCTCCCTAAACGACGTTTGAAACAAGTGATTTAACCCTATTAACCGGAACCTTTCTCATCCCAAAACACACAGTCAACCACACACTGAAGCCTGTAGCGAACGCTGGTCCTATTGGAAACACAGTGGTAAGTGCACAAGTGCCCCTTCGTTACATCGAAATGTATAATCATGTGAAACGGAAACTTCTTATGCACGCAGCGCATCCTCACATTCGGCGGTCGGAACGGGACGAACTCTCCGGGACTCACATCACAATAAGTCATGCCACGGGGAAAACGCCGAGCAGCAGATATTGGCGACAACATGGATGGTCAATCGAAGAGAGCCCGTACCAGCTACGCCAGCATACCGACACAACAGAGCAGCAGGTGAGTAGTAGTTAGCAGTGGGCAAAATGCTGAGTAGGGTAAATAATGCTTTGGGCCAGAGTCACCTGTTCCGGAAAGCAGCATCAACTGACCCAATAGAGAGTCAATACGATTGTTTATTTGCTGATCTCAGAGTCCCTATACACTTGCCCTTTATTACAGACTTGAATTAAATTTTGAAAATTGATAGATTAAATATCCATCTATACTCAATGACCTAACAAAATGCCCATTCATGGAAATACTTCAAAGAAACTAGCCTCATCATTGAGATAAGAAAATATAATTCAATCATACGATAAAAAATAACCACTATAACTATTAAGGCTGTGTTAAATGTTCCCAAACAAATTGTAGGAGTATTTTCATAAAAGATTAATGTTCTTATCTCTTCAAAATTATTGACTCGGGAGAAAATCAGTGTAAATTTGAAATTGATTACGCACCTGCCAGGGGTTTAGAATGTCTGAACATATCTATATTCAAAGAATTCTTTTTAAATTCATATAATATGTATAGTTCAGGTTCAGTTCAGTTTATATATATAGACAATAATGACTTTAACTAAGGTTTCTTGGTTAAAGTCTCAAAAATTCTTAATTTAAATCATAATCACCATTAAATTGATTTCTGATTATTATAAAGTCCACAAATAAATAGAAAATATAACAGTACTTAGAGTTACTGAAGAATATTTATGTGAAAGTACAATAATACCCGCTATTAGGCCGAAGAAACTCGTTTAACATGCCGGCATAGGTACTATGGATAATATACTTACATTCGTCAGAGAAGAGGGGTGGCTGATCAGAGAATATATCAAGCTCCTCCGGTCATGTCTCGATATTGTTTATGCCAGGAACATGTACTTTGCTGATAAGATTAAAAACTATTATTTAATATTAACCAAAAAAGTCAAAGGGTATTACTTTTTCAGCAGGCATCCAGTATTTATTTTTAATAAAACTCATTAATATTAATTTCAAACAATAGCATTTTTAGTTTATCATGCGTTGTTTTTCCCCCACATACATATTTTTCATTATTTCAACTGGCAAACCTTCGAATGGATTAAGAGATAATGAATTTTAAATAGAAAAGGTGCAGGAGATTTCGTTAAAATGTACAGCAATATAGATAAAGATGCTTCTCGATAAAAATTGTCGAAACTAGAGGAGCGAGCTATACGATTTTGGCCAACTTTGGTCGTTCGCTTAGAGATTAGAGTTTGCCTTGGTAAATAATAGTTGTGGTTGGTTAATCATCATGATATATATATATATTAACATTTAATAATCATATATGGTGCGCTATTATTTTATACACTTTAACAATATGGAAGACATTTGCATTTCTCATATATGTATATCTTTATGCTGCTTTCGATAATTTCGTAAATCTGCCGGGACAACTCCTCGATTTTGACTCTTAAAGTTTTAAAATAGGACTACAGAGGATTGCAATAGATCCAACAAACGTGGGGGATATGTGTAGACAACGATATGATCTCAAATAGTTCAACGAAAACGAACGCTTCACTTGGTTGTTGTTGTTGAATCCTGCTCACTCCATTGAGCCGTACTGGACCTTCTTGACCTTAAAGTACCTGTAAAGAATGCAGATTCTGTAGCTTACGTTCGTGATATTGTCGTGAAGCGTAATCTCACCTCCAGCCGCCGTAACCCGAGATGGTCAGCAGGACGGCAATGGCCAGGGCTGTACCCACGGCCAAGGGCGCGGTCTCATCCCGATAGGAGCCGGTGGCGCTGCAGTGGAAGGACGGGCCCCACTTGCCGCTGTCCTTGAACATGAAGCTCTGCATGTGCATGTCCCTTAGATACAACTTGGCTATGTGCCCCGACTGGTCGCCGGAGTCGTGCGGGGCGTACATGATCACAGTTTGCTCCTTGTCGCACAGATACGACTTGCCCACCGGCGTGGGGAAGTACATGGGCGTCTGGGCGGGTGAGGTGAGCTTGACGTCGAGGTTGGGGCGATCGGGGTGCTCGAATAGCCAGTTGGACGAGGAGTAGGACAGCTCGAACAGATTGATGTACCAGCCCTCGCCGCCGGACGACTGTGTGTGGGCGAAAGTTAATGCATAAGTCAAATAACCATCGACCTTTAACCTTAAAGAGTTAAGGGGTACTCCCCATATTGATTTTTTCCCCAAATTATATTTACTTTTTGTACACCTGCCCAATCACTGCCATTTACCCCACCTACGCACCTTTTTAAATGTCATGGACAGGCGAAAGCCCTTAAAGTCCATGGTTAGAATCTCCATATTGGACTCGACGCACTCGCCACTCAGCTGGGGGTCGTCAGGCATGTACAGATCGGCCTCCACATCCTCGTTCAGCTTGTTGCGATACCTGATGCTGATTAATCCATCTACCTGCATCAGGATGCAGGTGATGCCGTTGGTGGCATTGAAGCGGTACAGCGAGGTGGTGGCATCGTGGTTCATCGACGAGGCCTACAAAATGAAATTTTTGGGAATATTTAGGATATTCCAAGAGGAGGAGGAGTTGGCTGGGGGTATTACCGATGGCGACTTGGTTGTGTACTTGCTGACCCGCGGTGCCTTCGTTGACAAAGCGCCCAGCTGCAATCCGTGGGCGGCGGTTACTGAAAAATCAAAAGTTATACCAAGGCTTCACAGGTTGCATGGCCGTCGTCCAGTTCACTCATTTTTCAGTCAGTGTGTCACAGCAACCGTCCTCGACAGTATCGATTTTCAGTGCTCCCACCACTTACGTACGAATACGAGTATCCGAGAATCCCACGTCCCTCGCTTCTACTTCTACTCACCCAGCACAGCCAGCAGAGCTGAGTAGAACAGAGTGGCACTGAGGCCTCTGCCTAATCCTTGGACTCTGATCAGGGGCTGCCTGAAGTCGGTTAGTTTCATCTTCTCTAGCGAATTCTTAACACTTAATTTGAATGACAATATTTTACGCTGCTGAAGTCTTCTCCGCTCGAAGCAACTACGACGTGTTTCCTGTTTCGGGTCCTGCGCACAACTGCGGCCCAAATAAAATCGCACTGTTCCTGTTATGTTGCCTCAAGTCCTCCCCACACCCACTCCCACTCCCACTCCACCTTATTCCCTCCCAATCCACTGTCAAGCCGCCTTCCCCTTATCCTGCTGTGGGACTTCACTCTCACTTTTGCCCTGCGCAGGCGCTGGTGGAGGAGAAGTGTGTCCCGTGTGTGTGTGCTAATGAAAATGTGTGTACACTGCAGAAAAAGCTGTCTAGTATATATATAGAAATTAAGGAAATGTTTAAATTCTAAATGGTTTGTTGAACCAAGAACCGATATATACTTTTCCAATAGTTTTAGAATAAAATTTCCTATACGTTAGGTTTTCAAAATATTTGAATTTAAAACATTTGTTACGGCATCTTAGAGAACTCTTTTTTAATTTTTAAATTTAAAGTGGAAGAACAGTACTTTATAATAACAATACGATCGTTTTTGATCAAATAAATTGTGCTGAAGTCACAGCACCCTAAAAGTACCCAAAAAGCCCTAATTTTTGCTCTTAAAATGTACCTGACGTATAAGAAATGTTTTAAGGTGGGATTCCAACTAAGCACATCATTTATTTTTAATTTTAATTATTAATTTTGTTCGCCTGTGTTATCTGAACATTTTTGATTAGAAAGAACCTTATTACAATTATCATAAACTCAATAATCTTGGGAAATGGCACTATTCTCTCCCAGATGCATTAGGTTCGATAGCCTTTGTCTTTCCCAATTCGATTTGTCATATCTGTCGCTGGGCTAGCATTATTTTCTACGCTTCCCCAAGTGAGGGCCTCCGCTCTTGGCATTGGCCTCGTCTCTGCTCTGCTCTGCTCTGGCATGCTCGGGGTCTGCCATGTTTACTATCGCTATTTTTAGGGGGGCCAATACTCAAAAACAAAACCCCAGAGAAGAGGCAAGTCGCGGCAAGTCGAATAAAATAAACAAAAAGAGACCAGAGCACACGGCATTAGCAGCGACAGATTCGATTAAAAGTCTGCTGGTGTATACTATACGTGTTCAGTAATATTTCCCTATAAATTAGATGGCAGAGTGTGTGATATATGAGCTTGATTAAAACGTTTATTGAACACTGAATAAAATCTTTTTGCTTACGCTTTTCCCTTTTCCCAGACGCCATATCAGAGCGGAGGATGGCTTCAGCCAAAAACGTTGCTTGACATGGTTCCAGGAATACACCACTCCAGATGAACCAGAGACATTGGGTGAGTTGGAATATATGGGAAACTATGATATTTCAAAGCTAAAAACATAATATAATATATTCTTTTCTAGGTCCCGATGGAATGGAAAAATTTTGCGAGGACATCGGCGTGGAGCCCGAGAACATTGTGATGCTGGTGCTAGCCTATAAAATGGGTGCCACCCAAATGGGCTTCTTCAGCCAGCAGGAGTGGCTCAAAGGCCTCACAGAGATCGACTGCGACTCGGCAGCGAAAATGGTTGTGAAACTGGACTATCTGCGCAGCATACTCAACGATCCCAACTCCTTCAAGAGTATCTACAGATACGCCTATGATTTTGCCAAGGTGAGTCTTTGCTTTCACATACACAGCAAGTTGAGATCGTAATTGTTTATCGTTAATCTGCAGGATTCGGACCAACGAAGTATGGATATTGTCACGGCCAAGGCCATGCTCCAGCTGCTTCTTGGCAAGCACTGGCCGCTGTATCCGCAGTTTGCACAGTTTCTAGAGCAATCAAAGTACAAGGTGATCAACAAGGATCAGTGGTGTAATATCCTGGAGTTCTCGCGCACCATCTGCATTGATTTGTCAAATTATGATATTGATGGAGCATGTGAGTATTGATATTTTTACCTATTCAACATCCCTACTATTCAATTGCTAATCTCTATTTTACCACCTCTTCTTTTCAGGGCCCGTCATGCTGGATGAGTTTGTCGAATGGCTGCGCCTGCAGCGTAGCCTGGCCAACTCCAGTTCTGTACCGTCCAGCTGAGAGATGCTGTATCGAGTCGCCTATTTCTAGTTCAACTTTTGGGAGCTCAGTGCGGAGGCGTTCGCGGAGGAAATGGGATGCGATGCGGAAGAGGTTGAGATGAGAGATCGACGGAACTATAAGACACATCCACACTCACTCACCCACAAGCCCACATTACACTCCATACCCACACAGGCACACACACACTCATACACAATCACACACACACACAGTGAAACACAAGCATTTGGAGAGACTGCGTACACTGGCAAAAGCAACCACTATGAAACTAAACTATTGATAATATATTTAATGTAATAATTTATGTATTAACGACAACTAAAAACTAAAACCACAATTTTCTACTTGTAAGGCATCCAATTGAAACGAAAACAAAAAAGAACAAACAAAAAAAAAAAGAACACAAGAACAGACAGCAACAAGAGCCAAAATGAGGGCAGAGCTTGTAAAAAGTAAACCCAGAAAATGGATGAAACGCGATGGCAATAACCAAGAGAGACCCCCAATAGACCTAATATCTAGAGCATGTAAACGAAACGAACCGAACCCTTCAAGATATCAGCAGCATAGTCAAAATCTCAACGGAAATCAACACCAATATTGGGGAAGTCGTAGTCGTTATTAAATCAATGTAGAAAAACAACAACATTTTGGGGACTATTTAATAAAATTATTAAGTAAAAAGCTAGCATAACTTGTGGAATTATTATTTAAATGTTTTGGGTTCTTTGTATTGTTGGAAATCATGGTTTTTGGCACATAATTTAAGATGTCTTCGCTGTGGGTTAGCCAGTATCCAAACCAAATGTTGCTAGGAACATGTTGCGCAACATCCAGCCGAGCAAGTGCATATACAGAAAATTGCTACTTTATTGTTTAATTAAAAACTTGCATGTTTATTAGTTAAGTATAATTAAATTTAAGGAGCGCAATACTATTATCTGTTTTAAACTAAGAGAAAAGCGGGGGTTTTATCTTCTTTGTGCTCTGTATTAAGCAAATAAGACTTGATTTTGCTCTACAAGTCCATATGAATTTCGTCAACATTGTAAGCATTGAAATAACTGTCAAACTCAAATACTCATTCCCATAGATAAAGCATAACCAGTCGAACCTAGACTATCCGTAATATTTTCATTAATTCAAACAAATAACCGCAAAATTTCGCCAAGTAGCGCGCTTTCCAACACCGAACGATAGCACATTATACCGGCCAAACGGTCACACCGATTCAGCTGACGCTTCTTGCAGATCATTTTTTTTGGCATTTAAAAAATCGAACGGTTTCGGCGCGTTGTCCGCTTTGCGCCTGTTTTCTGTGTTTCGTGCATTTTGAGTGGCGTCAAAGATCATTAGTGGACTCGGTCGTTAATTGTGAGGATCTATTAATTACTGCCGTTTAAGTGTTCTTTTGGGGCGATCGCGGTTAACCAGGCTGCGAGAAAGCAATTTTTTCCCAACTTCAGGCAAAACGCCAGTGCAAAAGGGAGCCCCAGGAAGCAGAGCAAAATGGCCGCAAAGCCCGATGATAAGAGCTCGGATATTCCGGATCGCCTGTTTGACTCCAACCAGCGAAAGACCTACAAGCGCCTGCGGTTCTTCGGCAAGGTAAGGCCCGGGAATGCCAGTTGTGGCTGGCTGTTCCCCCGAGTCCTCGGCGCAGCGCATCAATACTTTCACGCACACACATGCACACATCCCGGTTCTTTCGATCAGTTTCCTTTTGTGCCCTTCGTCGCTGCTTCCTTGTTGTTGTTGTTCTTGTTCTTGGTAGAGTCTGAGAGAGCGCAAGAGTGTAATGTGTGTGCGAGAGCGTGCGAGTGTGTGGAGTTGTTCAACGACAGTTTTATTTTTTGTCTTTTGGCGCGACTTATTGAATTTACATCTGCAAGTTTAGCTAATTAAATTAAATAAATTTCTTTATTAGTTTCCAAAGACAATTTCAATAGATATATCTTGAAGCTTCCATTTAAAATTTTCACAAATTGCAATAAGCCCTCTATAAAAATATAAAAATCCAATTTTTCTTAGGGCGGCTTTGCAAAATGCTACGAAATCATCGATGTGGCTACCGACGAAACATTCGCCGGCAAGATCGTCTCGAAGAAGCTAATGATCAAGCACAATCAGAAGGAGAAGACCATCCAGGAGATCACCATTCACCGCAGCCTCAACCATCCGAACGTTGTCATGTTCCACAGCTACTTTGAGGATACGCAGAATATCTACATTGTGCTGGAGCTGTGCAAGAAGCGAGTGAGTGGCAGCTGTTCCTTTGTATTTAATCCATCCGTTCTGACCCCCCGACCCTTGCCCACTTGCAGTCCATGATGGAGCTACACAAGCGCCGGAAAAGCATCACGGAGTTCGAGTGCCGCTACTACATCTATCAGATTATCCAGGGCGTCAAGTATCTGCACGACAATCGCATCATTCATCGCGATCTGAAGCTGGGCAACCTCTTCCTCGATGATTTGCTGCACGTCAAGATCGGTGACTTTGGTCTGGCCACGCGCATCGAGTACGAGGGCGAGCGGAAGAAGACACTGTGCGGCACGCCCAACTACATTGCCCCAGAGATACTCACCAAGAAGGGCCACTCCTTCGAGGTGGACATCTGGTCAATTGGCTGCGTCATGTACACGCTGCTGGTCGGCCAGCCGCCGTTCGAAACAAAGACGCTGAAGGATACCTACTCGAAGATCAAGAAGTGCGAGTACCGCGTTCCCAGCTACCTGAGGAAGCCGGCGGCAGACATGGTGATTGCTATGCTTCAGCCGAATCCGGAGAGCAGGCCTGCCATTGGCCATTTACTCAACTTTGAGTTCCTCAAGGGCTCCAAGGTACCGATGTTCTTGCCCAGCTCGTGCCTGACGATGGCGCCCCGAATCGGTAGCAACGATACCATTGAGGATGCGGTGCACCGCAAGCCGCTGATGGAGATGAACGGAATGAGGCCGGATGACACACGCATGGAGTCGACCTTCCTCAAGGCCCATCTCCACGACGCCATCACCGCCTCGGCGCAGGTGTGTCGCCATAGCGAGGACTATCGCAGCGACATCGAGAGCCTGTACCAGCAGCTCACCAATCTCATCAACGGCAAGGTAAGCATTCCCTCGAAGGTGATGGGTGCAGCAATTAGCATGAGCTTCGATCCTTTTGCAGCCGCGCATCCTGCAAGGCAATCTGGGCGATGAGAACACTGATCCGGCGGCACAGCCGCTCTTCTGGATCTCAAAATGGGTGGATTATAGCGACAAATATGGCTTCGGCTACCAGCTGTGCGACGAGGGCATCGGCGTGATGTTCAACGACACCACAAAGCTGATCCTCTTGCCCAACCAGATCAACGTGCACTTCATCGACAAGGATGGCCAGGAGAGTTATATGACCACCACCGACTATTGCAAGACGCTCGACAAGAAGATGAAGCTGCTGTCGTACTTCAAGCGCTACATGATCGAGCACTTGGTCAAGGCCGGCGCCAACAATGTGAACATCGAGAGTGATCAGATCTCGCGTATGCCGCATCTGCACTCCTGGTTCCGCACCACATGCGCCGTGGTCATGCATCTGACCAATGGATCCGTGCAGGTAAATTGTTTAGTGATACTAATAACAGTAGATTATAGTCTCTTCTCCCTTTAACCCTATTTAGCTCAACTTCTCGGATCACATGAAGCTCATCCTCTGCCCACGCATGAGTGCCATTACCTATATGGATCACGAGAAGAACTTCCGCACCTACCGATTCTCGACCATAGTGGAGAACGGAGTGTCCAAGGACTTGTACCAGAAGATCCGCTACGCCCAGGAGAAACTTAGGAAAATGCTGGAGAAGATGTTCATCTAGAAGGACCCATCATCAAGCTAAACTTTCCCACGAACTAAACACGAAACACTCCCCAAAAGCGCACACACGTTTTAAAAATTTTATAATTTCTGTTCAAAGTTATTTGATTGTTCTATGTTTTCTGTTTAGAGTTTATTTGTTTTCCCCTCAGTTCAGTACGTGGTTGTAGTTCATCTATATACATAATATACATAAATGTTTAATGGTCCTCACACCCGATCACTTAATAAATCTACAAATAAACGCATTCATACAACTATGTTAAGCAATGGTGATCCAAGCACCGAACCATTAACATTACGATCAAAATTTATCCAGTTGACTGATCATTCAATAAAGCCATTTTTATGCTGGAGAAATCTATACACCTAAAATAAAAATATTGAGTTATAGATATGTTTATGCTTGTACTCCATTGAAGCAAGATTGCATAATAAATAAATAAACTTGGGCTTTTTTTTTATAACAAAATTCATCGATTGCTGGGAACGCTTCGGAATGTTGAATTTTTAGTGAATAAGATTCAGTTGATATTTAAATATTGCGCGAAAAATTCAAAATATTTACTTTTTGGAAAACTGGTCACACTTGCTTGGTGGAGCTGTCCAGTTTTACACTAACGCTTTTACCATATCGATAAACTGTCACACCAAAACGACCCGAGGTCAATTTGGCCACACTAATTCGCATATTGATTTTATTTTCTTGAAAATTAAAGATTCCCAATACGTACTCACTCGCTGCAAAGCCGAAGAAACCCTTATATTAGATGCAATTAGTGCCGAGGCGGACATAAATCCTCGACATGGGTGACAACGAACAGAAGGCGCTCCAGCTGATGGCCGAGGCGGAGAAGAAGCTGACCCAGCAGAAGGGCTTTCTGGGATCGCTGTTCGGGTGCGTAAATGGTCCATTTCGCAAGGGGAGTGCGAAACTGGGAGTTGGGGTAATACGTAGCTATGCTCATCGGCTTTTCCTTAATTGCCCGGAGATACTGGGCAGCAGTCCAGTTGGAGCAGACTTCTTCAATATTTCCTGCAACACACACCCACGAATAATACGTATACGTAGATGTGTACACGGCCTGCGCCCCCCCACGCCAAAATAATCTTATAAAGCAGCGCAAAAGTCCAGTTTACACTTATTATCAGCTTATGCGATTGCAGGAGGGGTTTCAGGCAACTGAAAGGCTAAAACCAATGTTATCTAGGTATTTACATTCGATGGCATTAACATTTGCTTACGTATTGATGAATCATTCATTGGCTTAACTATTAAAAATAAAGGAAGGTGTAGGTTAATATATGCAGACATACATATCGACTTTCACTTTCTCAGATCCTTCTGGAAATGAAATATTAGTTGTGATGATATGTCTATAATTTTTGTTTATACTCTTTAGATTTCGTAGAATATTCGGAATCTATTAAATTTTCAGTAATTAAGTGAAGTATAAATTTCCTTTTAAAAATATCACAAAAATTACAACAAAATTTAAACTCAAATTAAATTAAAAACTTCAATTTCAGTGGCTCCAACAAGGTGGAGGATGCCATCGAGTGCTATCAGCGGGCTGGCAATATGTTCAAGATGTCCAAAAACTGGACAAAGGCCGGCGAATGCTTCTGCGAGGCGGCCACACTCCATGCCCGTGCTGGAAGTCGCCATGATGCCGGCACCTGCTACGTTGATGCCTCCAATTGCTACAAGAAGGTGGACGTGGAGAGTGCCTTCAATTGTTTGATGAAGTCCATTGATATCTACACGGATATGGGACGCTTTACGATGGCAGCGAAGCATCACCAGAGCATTGCCGAGATGTACGAGAGTGATCCCAATACCTTGGTTCGTATTTAAATTGATTCTAAGTGATTTTTGTAGACTTATTAGTTTACATTCCCTTAGGCCAAGTCAATACAGCATTACGAACAGGCGGCTGATTACTTCAAGGGCGAGGAATCGGTCAGCTCGGCCAACAAGTGCATGCTGAAGGTGGCCCAGTATGCCGCCCAGCTGGAGGATTACGAGAAAGCAATATCCATATACGAGCAGGTGGCCGCCTCGTCGCTGGAGAGCTCGTTGCTCAAGTACAGTGCCAAGGAGTACTTCTTCAGGGCCGCTCTCTGTCACCTGAGTGTGGACCTTCTGAATGCCCAGCATGCCATCGAGAAGTACGCTCAGCAGTATCCAGCATTCCAGGACTCCAGGGAGTTCAAGCTCATCAAGGTGGGTCCTCTCTCTTCCTTTTGTCATAAGATGTTCCCTTAATTATCTTGCTCGATTGCCAGGTGTTGTGCGAGCATCTCGAGGAACAGAATATCGAGGGATTCACAGAGGCCGTCAAGGACTACGATAGCATCTCCCGGTTGGATCAGTGGTACACCACCATCTTGCTGAGAATCAAGAAGGCTGCCGACGAGGACCCCGACCTGCGATAAGCTAATCAATTACTTACACACTTTCCGATAAAGAGACGCATACACACATTTATTAAATGCTTTATTCGGTTCGGATATTAATATCTACCTATATATATACACAACTAAATGAAGATTAATTAAAAACATGTTGCATTGCTAAGACCTGAGAGCACCCATAGGACGACAGCCTGCTTAATCGTGAGAAATTGAATTATAATCCGTGTTCCTCCCAAATTCCTCTATGCGACTCGCAGCCGTGCAACGAATAAGAGGTTCGATTGGAGTTTAGTTTCTTAGGAATTGGATGTTTAACACTGTTATGTTTCTGTTTTTTTACTGTGTTACTCTTTCCCTCTTGTTATTTGTGTAAGTAGCCAAAAATATTGAATTAGCTGCTGTTTTTTAATTTGGACGCGTAAACTATCCCCTAGAAATATTGACTTAACCTTCATTCTCCAAGTGTGTACTGTGTTGGATCATTTCGAGATTTATTAATAACGATTCGTCCCCCTCGTAGTGACTATAATTCCCCTATATACTGCACAGAGAAAAGTAAAAACACAACCTACGAATAATTAACTTAATATACATATGTCCATGTAAGCATTAACGATTAACCCCTATAAATATCCAACAAAAGGAAAACGAAAAGGAATTCTTATAAATACTTGAGGGTCACATTTATAGAAAATTCCATCTCGCAACAAAATTTTAACAAATGTTTAGTAGATCAACTTCCTAAGAACATGTATGTGAAAACAGTTATAATCCAATAAATAAAATTACGACAGAGCTGGGGCCGAAACAAAGTCGGTGAAATATCAAGTTATTGAATTAATATATCTACAGGAAACACAAGCCACAAACACCCACACACACACACTTAATTAAATCAAGAGCAATGGTATAAGTAATGCCACTACTACGAATGCATTACCAAAGATATTTCAAATTTATATAATATAATAAAGTTAAATGCTTGGATTAATCCTGTCACCATCCTGTCTGTTCGTATCAAGCTTTTTTGTCAATATACGCACAACCGATCCAGCCACATCCACATTTGTGTTTCTATTCAACTCTTGTAGTGTAAATACACCTGAAAATTAAGGTAATTGTTAATTTTTGGCCATAGATTACTTATTTGGTAGATACAAAAATATTAAGTGTCATTAGAAGCATTATGTTTTTCTGTCCGGGTTGTCTCTACAGTTTTCAAATCCGTTGAATTGGAATCTTCTCAAAGTAAACAATTAAGTTTTTATTTTTTGATCTTGAAGTATTCATTAGGTTGGTAGTATAATTTTAAAAGTTTTCAGGCAAAGATTGGGGTATGTTAAGTAAATAATATAAATCTAAAAGGATTTCCTGGAATTATTTAGATATCATCTACTTATACCATTATAAACTTTTTGTTTAATTTACCGGACTGTCCCAGAAATCTGTACAAATCTGTTATATAAGGGACAAACTTTTAGACCCTTGACAAAGTCAGTTTCAGGATTTATTTCCTATTACTTTTCAGATCTTTCAATAGATGTTAAGTTTGCTCTAGGGTTTATTTTGTTAAACTGATCTAGGTAGCATTTATATCCATCCAGATAAGTTGCTTGTGTTTTCCCCTAGATGTCAACCAGTTTTCACCTCAATCCACTCAACGGATATCAGCTGCCATATAGAAACACTTCAACCCGATCGCCCAGATTGAGGGAAACTTGTGCGAACGTCATTGCCAAGAGCACAACAAAGAGCTGCCAATATCATCAGAGTTCTCTTGCCTCGCTCTCCGAGCACACATTACTGGGGATCGGGGATTGATTTGAAGTCGGACTCTCGGCGGTGATGACGATGACGCGATGACCATATCAGCGCTGTGGAGGGTCGCTGGAGCGATCTCTCATTCATCCAGCCAATGTCCGCGCGTTAGGTTCGTTCCAGCCGCGAATGGGATTGTAATTCCCATCGAGTTCTTCGCCAACCACCTCCTCCATTGGGCTTAATCCAGAAATTCAAATAAGTAATAGTGCGAATCGGCTTTGTTATATAAGCACAAATACGAAACGCAAACTTTTGAATATATATCCGCTGTACTGCCCTGCTACCGACAGTGTGTTTGTGTATCTGTGGAAGTCCCAGTGCATTCCGGTTTTTGGAATATCGTACATATAAACTTCGCTACGTCAGAGCTACTTGGCTTCTCACTGCTGAAATTCCGACATCGAAAAACCCCAAAAGACATCAATAAAATAAATAAATAACTCTCAGTAATTGGATGCACACCCACATGTTTACGCAGTTAGTGTGATTTCATTCGTAATATAATATCAACTCTCCCAAGCCTGGAAAGTCTGATAACCGAGGCTTCAACCAATTAAACAAACGCTCACTAGCCGCAAAATGATGCAAATACCAGGTAAAAATCAATTAAACAATAATTAGGGTTGAGGTTTTACTCTGGAAATATATACATTATATATTTTATATTTATGTTATCATATATATATTTGAAAAGTACTCGTGATCAGAGCAGTCATATAAATATGTATGTACACAATACTCATACCTACAGAGAAGGTCGCCAACGGATCATCGCTATCAGTTGGGAAATGCTCATTGTTTACGCATCTAAGAGAACAGAAATGAAAATTCATTGGCTTTTATATTTATATTTTTTGGTTTAATTTTACATAACCCGAAAAGCCGAAAATAATCAGGTAAAAAACCAATGCATCAATAATAAAAGTCTACTGCTATGTATATACGATTGTTTTAAGGGGATGTACATACATGTAAACGGTCAAAATTTAGGTACTTTTCGTGATTTTTTTGTAGGAAATAGTCAAGCAATCATCGTGAAACTTAAGAGATATATAATATATAATAAATAAATAACTAAATCCAAAAAAGTTAAAGACTTCACATTATAGGACTGGGCTCCGAATGAATTATAAAAACACGAATACCTCTAATTTATTGCAGCTTGCATTCTGATCCTCCTGATCCCGTTGATCTTCAGCACAATTGAGCCTTGCTCGTCGCAGGGTAGCGTCCCCCCGCTGTCGGTGGGAAATCCCCTGATAGCCTTAACTGATCCAACAGCCTTCGAAAGGCAAACCAGTCGTGTCCAGTCATTGCGGAGTAACTTCGACAGCGATGTGTTGCTAAACATCTCGCAGGGAGCCCAGGAATTCGCCCTCGATCTCCTGCAGCGCATTTCCGCCGAGGTTCACAAGAATCAAAGGGACTTTATGGTGTCACCCTTCTCGGTTTGGTCCCTCCTGGTGCTCCTGTACGAGGGATCATCGGGCGAAACATACAACCAACTGCGCAAAGCGCTGCGGATCAATGTCGAGGATGAGAAGCTGCGTGGAGTCTACCGGGTGTGGAGTTCGTTATTGAAGTAAGTAGAACAACTATTTGTTAACTTCAAAATAAAATCAAATACAAGAAGAAGTAAAAGATGCGAAAAATAATAATAATATTTAAATATCTCAATCAAACTAATAAAATGCCTTCTTTTTTCCCCCTTTAAAGCACTAAAACATCCACTATTGAGGTGGCCTCTCTTCAGGCCGTTTACACCGACAAAGATTATCCGATAAAGGACACCTATCGGAATGCCATCCAGAATTACAACGTTGAGCCGATGGAAGTGGATTTCTACGACCAGGACACATATCATTTGATCAACGAGGCCACCAACCGCACCACACGAGGCCTAATTCCGTACACCATCCTGCCGCAGGATATCTATGGAGCCAAAATGTTCCTACTCTCCTCCCTCTTCTTCAAAGGCCAGTGGAAGGTAAGATCTTGAGTTTTGTATTATGAGATATCCTTTGATGTGTCGATATCAACTACAGTTCCCATTCAACCGGACTCTAACCAGAGTAGAATCCTTCTTCAACGAAGACGGCGAGGTGGTATCCCGCATTCCAATGATGGTGCAGGAGGCTAACTTTGCCTATGCCTCCAATATCGAGGGGCTCGATGGTTACGTTCTCGAGCTGCCATATGGCAGCCAGGACAGGCTTTCCATGATCGTAATCCTGCCCAAGCGGGGCTTTAAACTGAACGACGTGGCCAACAACCTCAAGAACATTGGCCTGGGCCCCATTATAAAGCGCCTGACTGCCTTCAAGGCAAATAGCTTCTCCGAGGATAACGAGGTTGAAGTAATGATGCCAAAATTCGTGACTACTACAGACTTTACGCTCAAGGATGTTCTCAGTGAGGTAATCAAACCTTTTCTTATGAAAGCCCTCGAGGAAATCTCAATGTTTTTAAATATTTTCAGATGGGAATCCGTGATCTTTTCAACGAGAACACAGCCAACCTGAGTCGCATGGCAACGGGTTTGTTCGCCCAGCTCTGCATTCACTCCACCAAGATCATCGTTGACGAGGAGGGCACTACGGCAGGCGCCGTTACGGAAGCATCGCTGGTGAACAAGGCCACGCCGCCCAAGTTCCAACTAAACAAGCCCTTCCAGTACATGATCGTGGAGAAGGAGACCAACCTGTTGCTCTTCGCCGGTCAAGTGCGGAACCCCAAAGCCACTTAGCGATCTAGGCGAGACTTTATACGAACACCACACGAAATAACACAACGTTATGTTAAGTCATCTAAAATCTAAAATTTATTTCTTTGTTCGACCTGCGGCCTTTTTGCCGCCGACGGGCTGCTGTTTGTCCTTGCTGGCCTTGCTGGAGATGAGGGGATGGGTTTCTGGAAAAAGAGAATTATCAAATGGTTTCCTAACTGAGAGAGACTCTCCCTGCTTGTCCATACCGTCGGTGGGTGCATCGGGCAGGCTGACATCGTGGAGCTGCATGCGTCTCCGCTTGGCCGCCATTATATCGTCTTCATAGTCATGTGGGTCCGAGCTGAGCATCACAGAACTGGCCTCCATTCCTCCATCCTGACCGGCCCAGCCATCCTCGGGGTCTTCCACCTCCGGCGCCATTGGCAGGAACTGCAGGGCATTCTCATCCTCACCCTCCTCATCGGAGGAGCAAAAGGCAGCCACCGGCTCTACCTTCTGCACGTCCACCTCGATCTCCTCATCTTGCTGCGCGTCTGCATTGAGGTCTACTGATTTGTCCTCGTCCGCTATATCGAACTCAGACTCACGCTCCTCATACTCCACGTTCTCGTCCAGCTCCTTAAAGTCCGGCGCAAAGGCAGACCAGTTTTCCACCTGGTTCTGAGCCCAAATCGATACCAGTCCCGAGCTGATACTGGCAATAATGGGGCGTACTGGATGCCACACAACGTCCAGCAGGAGTTCTCCCTTTGTGCCGTGCAGAATCTTAACTAGATTGCCAATTGACTTTTCCCAAATATAAAGGGCGTGCTGGCGAGCGCTGCCTGCACAAATGTATTCGCCGTCGCCGGAAAAGCAGCACTTCTTCCACGTTGTCCTGCAAAAACAGATGAATGTTAAAGGATGCTAAACGGACATGGGAATGTCTTACTTGTTGACCAAATCCTGCAGCTTTTGAATTGGCTCTGGTTCTCCGTCCTTGCCCAGAGCGATGATCTCCTTGGAGTCGTACACGCGTATAACTCGATCCGATGTGTTAATGAGAAAGGCGCTAATAGGATATGGAATTGGTTAGGGTACGAAGAGATTGGAAATATCCCTTATATACTCACTCTCCCCGCCGCGCGAACTCAATACTCTTGACAGCCGTGGCACTCGAGGTGCCCACGATGATGCGAAAACTGGCAACCACCTCGAATGTATCCACGTCCAAAACAAGTATCTTCCCCTTCGCGTTGCCTGTGTAAATATGCTTTCCCCTGCGATCAAAAGAGGCCACAATATTCAGGTCGCCCTACAAAGAGTCAGAGGGTTACATATACAATTAAACCCTAGAAATTAGAACACCCACATCCGAGTCTAAGGGTAGGCACCGGTGGGCTCCGCCGATTTCCACCAGCACGGCGGCATATCGCATGGGACAGACCAACAGTCGGTTGTCGTTGCGCGGATCAAACTGAACTTTCAGGACGGGTGAGGGAAATCTATACTTGTGCTCTAGTTCACCGGTTAGCACGTCCCAAATGCACACATTGTTGTCCGTGGAGGCGGAGAGTAACTGAAAATAGTTAAAGATATTAATAAAAATTTATGTAAATAACTCAAAAGCCGACCCACCTTGTGGCCATTTCTGGTCCAACTGAGACTACACACGGGGTGCACATGGGCGGATATAATCTTGGCAATGCCCCGCGTCAAGAAATCCCAAATAACAATGCGCCCATCGTTGCAGCCCACGGCCAGCAGGGTTCCGTATTTGTTGAAGGCACATGTCACTGCCAGCGATATGCAGTCCAGGGAACCGTCAAACTCCTCGGGGTAGTTTTGTCCAAAAGATTCTACAAAAGGGTTTGTAATTAGCGTTAAACTTTGGATTTCCGCGCGGTTCCTCACCCAGCAGCTCCAAATTCATTTTTGTTTACAGTCTAAAATGGCAGCTGGCATTCTCGATATCGATATCGATATCCCGATAAAAATTTGAATTGCAGAAAAGAAAAGAATTTTCTATTGTGGTAAATTGAAAATTTATTATTGTGGTAAATTTAATATTATTGGCTTTAATATATCAAAAATCAATTAAATGTATTAATTTTTTTTTAATCTTTAACTAAATTTTAATAAAAATTCAATCGGCTCTAAGTGGGTGTAAATAATAATAATAATTAAATAGTAATAAAAATGAATAGCTTATCCACGAATCGAATCGTTATTATCATAATTTATTTGACGTATTTTCAATTTTTGAAACCTTTTCGATTGCATGATATTATCGATAGGCAAATCAATAATAGATAAGCTTCGACACATCGATAGTGTAATCGGAACTTCCCCACCTCTATTTTCTGAGCTCGGTGCACGTTGTATGTGAAAAATTTATGCAGATGTATTCGCCAATTGTAACAAAGCCCGGATTGTGAAAGTGCAGGCAGACTCGAATCGGGATAATTATGCCACTAGAAAAGCAAAGAAAAAACGTTACGCAGCGAGCCTTTTCGGGGACATTTTGGCCGTGGCACGCGATTGTGTCAACGTCACCTTTGGAGCACTCGCTCTCTCTCGCTCTCGCTCCCTCTCGCTGCTAATTTTTTGCGTACTCTCTCTGTCGCTCTCCCCCGAAAGCTTAGTGGTGGAGTGAAATAATGAAATAACAGAGTTCCAACTTTCGTTCACTTCAAGCGCTGTGTGTGTGCGGGCCTTTCATGCCAAATTAATTTTGAACTGTTTCAATTCCGTTTTCGAGGCTTTCCCAGCTTTTTAACATTTCCTTGGCCATTCTGCAGAGGGGCAAAGTAGTATGCAATCGCAAACGCAATTACGGTGCTCTGCCTGTGCTTTCCACTCCTCCCTTAGCTTTTCCCTCTATTTACCCGTGGATGTGTGTGTGTGTGTGCTCATGTGTATATTTTCGTGTTGAATCGTTGCAGTGTATTCATCGCCAGCCACGTTAAAGGGAAGAACGTGAATGTGAATACAACAACCAGCCAGAATTGAAACGGAAGAAAAGAAGCCAGAGGACTTGGATTCAGGATTCCCAGGATTCAGGAGCCCGAATTCTTAATCCCCAATCCCACTCACCACACACACACCAGCACCAGCACTCCAACACTCGCGCGCACTCACGCACGCTCTCCAGGCGAGGAAGAAGAGTAAATAAACTCAAGCAACGAGCAAAATGTCTGGCGAGGAAACGTCTGCCGATCGCAATGTCGAGATCTGGAAAATAAAGAAGCTCATCAAGAGCCTGGAGATGGCCCGCGGGTGAGTTTTCCCTTATTTGTTATTCCTGTCCTCCAGTATTTTCCCCCACCGCTCTGTGTACGTGTGTGGGGTATACACAACACACTCTGGCTCTCATTCCCCACCGACTGGCGGGGGTGGATGTGGGCGTGGGCAGGGGCGGCGGATGGGGGCAGTGAGTACAACCACCTTTCCTTGTTGTTGGGCATCCACTCTCCTTTCGATTGCATTGTCTTAATCTCCGCCAGATTCCACTCTCTGGCTCGCTCCTCCCCGCTCTTTGGCTCGATTTTTTTTATTTGCTTGAGCAACACGTTTTTGTCGGGTTATTATCAGTTCAAACTAGACTGAGTGAGTGAGTGAGCGCCTGAGTGAGAGCCAGAGAGCACCTTGGTGTGAGTAATGCGCCTCGTGGCCGTCGCTGCTCCACCGTTGTATTCCAACGTGTATGTACATACGTGTGCGTCTGTTTGTGTGCGCCGAAATGGGCCAAGCTTTGTGGCCAACGTCTCCCCCCCTTCCCTACACGGCTGCCGCAACCTGGTCCTTACCGCTTCGCTCCGCTTCGGAGTGGGTAACAAGGTCAGCGAATCAGCGAGTGACCCCGCAGGAGCTGCGCCGCCATGCCACTACCATACATCACACTTTGGGGCCAAAACACTCACACACACGTACCGTGTGTGTACGGTTGCCAACTGGAGTTGTTTGTTGTCTTTTTCATTTGCCAAATTCTATTCGCTTATTGTACAGTTTGTCATTGCTTTAATCTCGGATTTCCCCATTTGTGGCATTATTTTAAATAATATTTATTCAAATTCGATATCGAATTCACAGTAGCGGTCAAGGGAATATAACTGAAAGAGGGTTTTTTTTTTTATTATTTAGTGAAATTAAGTAATATAAGTTATACGTGTAAATAATAAATACAAATACCTTTGGCTTGCTTGTAAGTAATTAAAAGACATTTTTCAATATTTCTTGTAGAGTTATAAATTGATCTCAAAAATAATATTTTAAACTTAAAGCTAATTATTAAATGTTCACGCCAAGTGTGTATTTATTGTCGTACATAAGTTTCCGGCTTTTCATTCTTCTTATAAACTGAAGTTTAGTCTTGCCCTGTTGCTATAGCTGAAATTCTATATATTTATCTCACATTCTGCCTCCTCTTTTTACATATTTCAGCAATGGCACCAGCATGATTTCTTTGATTATTCCGCCAAAAGATCAAATCTCTCGCGTCAGCAAAATGTTGGCCGATGAGTTTGGAACGGCCTCGAACATCAAATCGCGAGTAAATCGCCTGTCCGTCCTCGGTGCCATTACGTCGGTCCAGCACAGACTCAAATTATACACCAAAGGTGAGTAGAAAGAGGGAAAGATTCCCCAAAAACCCTGAAATAATACAAAATTCCTTCATTTATTTTAGTGCCTCCCAACGGTTTGGTTATCTACTGCGGCACCATTGTCACAGAGGAGGGCAAGGAGAAGAAGGTGAACATAGACTTTGAGCCATTCAAGCCCATCAACACGTCGCTGTACCTGTGCGACAATAAGTTCCACACGGAGGCCCTCACTGCCCTGCTCGCCGACGACAACAAATTCGGATTCATTGTGATGGACGGTAATGGAGCGCTATTCGGTACCCTTCAGGGCAACACACGCGAGGTGCTGCACAAGTTCACCGTCGATCTGCCGAAGAAGCACGGACGTGGTGGTCAGTCTGCCCTTCGTTTTGCCCGTCTGCGTATGGAGAAGCGTCACAACTACGTGCGCAAGGTTGCCGAGGTCGCCACCCAGCTGTTCATTACGAACGATAAGCCCAACATTGCCGGACTCATCCTGGCCGGTAGTGCGGACTTCAAGACGGAGCTCAGCCAGTCGGATATGTTTGATCCTGTAAGTAGTCTTTGCCCTGCTGCTTGGAGATTCTCTATAATTCAAGGCTTTGCTCTGCCCTCCAGCGTTTGCAATCAAAAGTCATCAAGTTGGTGGACGTGTCTTATGGCGGCGAGAACGGATTCAACCAGGCCATCGAATTGGCGGCCGAATCGTTGCAGAATGTGAAGTTCATACAGGAAAAGAAGCTTATCGGTCGTTACTTTGATGAAATTTCTCAGGTGCGCTGAAATTTGAAGAAGCTGAAGCCGACAATGATATAATTATTATTTATTTTTTAACAGGACACGGGCAAGTACTGTTTTGGAGTTGAGGACACCTTGCGGGCGCTGGAACTTGGCTCTGTGGAGACTCTCATTTGCTGGGAAAACCTGGACATTCAACGATACGTTCTCAAGAATCATGCCAACTCGACGTCAACGACAGTATTACATTTGACGCCCGAGCAGGAAAAGGACAAGTCGCACTTCACTGACAAAGAGGTGAGTTCTTATAGCTCCTCCGTCTTATTATTCCAACTAAAGGATTTGTTTTCTTGAATAGAGCGGGGTGGAGATGGAGCTGATTGAGTCTCAGCCGCTGCTGGAATGGCTGGCAAACAACTACAAAATGTTCGGCGCCACACTGGAAATTATCACGGACAAGTCGCAGGAGGGAAGTCAGTTTGTGCGAGGTTTCGGTGGAATAGGCGGTAAGTGTTTAGCCCAGTCTCTGAATTCTCTTACTGCTGGCCCGGCTAGTAGAGGCTCGATATTGTTCTATATAAAAATGCTGCAACTATTTCCATTCCTCTTCCCTCATGCTGCTTTAACACGGTCGCCCGCTATGATGTATTGTAAATGTAAATTAATATCTGTGTAGGCATTTTACGCTATAAAGTAGATTTCCAATCCCTGCAGGCCGACGAGCCGCTGGAGGACGTCGATCTCGATGACTACTAAGCCAGCGATCTCACGATTATACGATGCGTTCAAAAATACAAAAAAAAAATAATAAACAAACCAGATAACTTTTTGGGAAGAGAAACCTCGTAAAGCAAAACGTTCAAATTGATTAGGAACCAATTTACTTGCCACATAGTTTTACCTATGTTCAGCGTAGCCGTTCAATACAATATTTATCACCAATAAATAGGGTCCCTCATCAGCCGGGTGGTGGGTGCATTTCCTCTTCGGATCGGATAGATATGTACCTATACGTTTTACCAAATTTTACGCGATTACTTTTAAGCAATAACTTAAATTTGAATTCCGTATTCCGTAACTGTAATTCGTAATTCAAGTGTCATGCTCACCTTGTTCGATTTCAACTCATTTAGGAGGCATACGATCCACGGTGAACGTGCGTGCCCCTGTTAGCTGGAACAAGTTTTGATCGTATCTGCATTTCCCCTATTCAAATTAAAAGCCGAGTGTTAAATAAGAAAGTATACAACAACAAATCTAATCCATAAAATTGTAATAAAAATTAAAACAGAAATAAAACACAACACATAACAACAAGCTGGGGCAACTTACTTGTTTATAAATAAGGGTTTATTTTATTTTAAAACATCAAGGAGGTTAGAAGTTTTTTTTGTTCCATTTATTCAGTTGTTTTTCATTTTCTTTCTCATTATTATTAAATTATTGCTTTTGCGTTACCCAACTTCTTCCCATCCAGTTGACACTTTTTAATAATTTTTCTTTATGCTTTCCCAGGTATCTTGCGCTACAAGGTGGACTTCCAGAGTATGCAGCTAGACGAACTGGACAATGACTGCTTCGACCTAGATGATTACTAGAAAATGTGTGTGTTTTCGGTTGAAATGAACGTAGTCGGTCGACCGCAAAGTGAAAACTTCAACTACAACTACAGCATAAACCAGGAAAATCAAATAGAATATTTTAATAGTACGAGAAAAACACACACACAAACCTTCTTCCATTTTAACGTTGTTGGCGAAAAGTAAAAATTTAAATTAATGCATAATGCAAAAATACAAAAACGATATGATAATGTTAAATCGAGGAAAACATATTAAAATGATACCGTTTTACGTGAACAAGACACCGAGCCTTTGCTTTTTTATTTAGCATACAAAATATCCTGCTCAGAAGCTGTAAAAATAACGATTTAAGGATTGGTTTTCCTTCCTAGTTAAGCTGGAAAAGTGCTGGGTTTTCTTGGGGCTTATCTTCATGTTAATTCTCTCGGCAATATAATGCTGGCAGCAAAGATTAGATTTTATTGTGGCAACCTTCACCAGCATAAAAATGAAAGTGCGGTGGTTCAAAGTAAAGGGAAATTGTGCTTGTACTTGTATGTACTTTTTTGGGAACGCCGGTTGCTACTTTCTATTTGCTGGCGCACTTGAAAACCAGAGTGTATTGCCAGATCCAAAAGTGATACGTTGCGGCAACGTACGTTTACGCTGGCAAGCATTTGCATTTGTTCTATTGACGATTTGCATTCAAGAATTCAACAAATACAAATAGATACTATCTGAGGAAACCTGAAACTTGTTTCTGAGTGAGTACTATGTGTAAAGTCTTTGTTGAATCATCAGTTGATATACAGTCGAGCCTCTCAAACCCAGTAACCAAGTAAGTATTAAAAGCAGTTCGAGTAACCGAGGCTAATTAAATATGCAATAAAAATCTGCATTGGTTTGCTGTGGCCAAGTTTTCTGTGTGTCAAGCACGCTATTAATTCTCATAAACTTGTTAAATCGATTATGATTTGGATTGTTTAAGCTTGAGTGATATATGATTGCGACTATGTCTTTAACTTTTCCGCTGGCATACATTTTCAGAAACATCTATATTGTATATCATTTATTATATTGTATATATATTTTATTATACAATATATTGCATATAAATTGTTATACTTTAATTAACCGGGCCACTTTTAAAATATTTGTTGTAGCGGTTAAAGTTAGTTTATTAAATTAAATACCATAAAATAATACAACATTTAAACAATTTTGTGTTCTGTATTATTGAAAAATATTTAGAGGTATAGGAGTTATAGGTGTATATCCTAACTGTTCACAAAATCACCCGATATTAAAAAACTATAACGCATTTGTTGAAGGATAAGTGTCCCGAGGTACTCAGGTGGCGTTTTTATTTTTAAAAATGTAGACCGATTTTATACCCTTGCAGGGTATTATAATTTCAGTCAGATGTTTGCAACGCAGTGAAGAAGTCGTTTCCGACCCTATAAACCATATATATTCATGATCAGCATCAACAGGGGAATCTTTCTAGATATGTCAGGAAGAAATAGATTTTTTGGCCATTTTTGCAAAATGTTATAAGGTGTTAATGATGTAACCATTAAAATTTTTGATTTTGACAAAAAATTGAATTTTCAAAATTTTTAAATGAAGTATGCAGATTTATTAACTGTAGAAAATCTTGCACAGAACAGTTTTCTGATTTAAAATTATGCTCTTTTGGCCGAGTTATGATATTTTTAATTTAAAAAAAATCAAGAAGTTTTTTAATATAAAAAATCAGATTTTATAATACAAAATAATATTTTTCTAAGTGAAGGAATCATTTCCGACCCCATAAACCATATATATTCTTGATCAGCATTAACATGCGAATCTTTCTAGACATGTCCGGAAGAAATCGATTTTTTGGCCATTTTTGCGAAATTTGATAAGGGGTTACATCATTAAAGTTAGCAAAAAATTACCAAAAATTTTGATTTCTTAAAATTTTAAATTTGGTATGCAGTTTTTATAAATTAATAAAAACTAACACAAAACTGCGTTCCGAATCGAAATTAATGCATTTTTGGCATAGTTATGATATATTTTAATTGTTACCTGCAAGGGTATACAAACTTTGGCTGGCCAAAGTTAGCTTTCTTTCTTGTTTTTAATCAAATTTGAAAGTAAGAACCCCAATTTTGGACTAAAAACATTTGTAAATTTGTTAAAAAAATTACAATAAAATTTTGAATTAAAAAAACATCGACCAGAGTTGTTAAATATACTTGGCCGCTTTTCCTTGTATTGTAAATTTCATGAAAATCAGGTCCACTCTAAAGAGCACAAGTGTTAATCTTTATGCGAGTATACACACCCTTCATATGTATAGTATAAATGATTTCCGAGTGTGTGCGATGGTTTACAACTTAATGGGGTTTTGATCAGGAGAACGTTAGGCACAATCAGCTGCAGTTAAGCGACGACCATTTCCAACTGAACCGTCAGCGACAGAGGTTCGTCTGGCTCCGAAATAATCGGTTTCGTTTTTCGTGACAGCTGAAAGTAAGGAGTAGATATGGCAGCGGCTGTCGATGAAGTGCGCGATGGCCTCATGGAGGATTGGAATATCCTGGAGAACGTGTTCAAGCTGCTCCAAAGGGAAGACACCTTCTGTGCCGATCCGCAGCAATGGGACAAGCAAAAAATTGTGCCCTTTTTGCAGCCCGAAAAGTTGAAGGTAAGACACCACACGCCAGATCGTCTACCGATCTGAAGATAAGGAACTATAACCGGAGAGGTCAATTTGCCACTTGATCCCTGGCTTCAATTGAAACTAATTTGAATAGGGTCTAGTTTTGAGACTATTCACTAACACACAATTTGTGTGGCAAATTTATTAATTGATAGTCGTAAAAGTTGATAAGGCACATAGACATTATCTGACACAGTCAAGTAGGTTGCTTTAGGTAATATACTCCTAGGGTATCAGAACCTTTCCTACCATTTTTGTTATTTAATATTAGTTTACTTTGTGAATTCGTGATCATTATTCTTCGATCAATATAATAATATGCCACTATACAGTAGGTGATAATTGAATCATTCCGTGGTTTTTTGGACACAATAGATCATAAGATAAATATTGTGAAATACCGTTTCCAGAAAGAGTTATTTATATTCAAGTCTTTCTTCTTGTTTCATTTGATTTAAGATCTCTTCTTTAAATACATCGACTGCTGATACATTGACTCTTTGTTATCATTCCCAGGAACTGATTAATCTGAAGGTCCGAGAGACAGAAAAATGCACGCTTGCCGAGATCGAGGCGCTGTGTCAGCAGGTGATACATTACTCCGTGAAAACATCGCACGGACGCTTCCACAATCAGCTCTTCGGGCAACTCGATCCCTTTGGATTGGCGGGAGCAGTGATCACCGAGGCCATGAACGGAAGCTCGTAAGATCAGACACAATGCTGCAGCACTTTTCCGTATATAGCATGTATTTTAGACAGACGGACAGGCAGGCGGCTGATTGCATCTTTTAATTATGATGAACGAGTTCACAGCACCGATAAGTGTGTTAATGCTGTGTAAATTCCAAAGTGCCATGTTTAACCCTCTATAATCAGATGCTATTCAAATTCATATATTAATTAAAAAGGTTTTTTCCTAAAAAATAAGTTATTAGCCAAATCTCTAATAATATTAAATTAACTTAGATAATTACGCTCTCCTAATAATATCCTTCATCTTTTATTCCTCTACAGCTACACATATGAAATCGCACCTGTATTCAGCCTAATTGAGACGGAAATTATCTCAACCGTATCCAAACTGGCCGGCTACAAGGAAGGCGATGGCATCTTCGCTCCCGGCGGCTCCACCTCCAACATGTACGGCATTGTCCTGGCCCGCTACAAGATCGCGCCCGAGGTGAAAACCTCCGGAATGTTCGGAATGCAGCCCTTGGTCCTCTTCACCTCGGATCAATCCCACTACAGTTTCATGAAGGCCGCCAACTGGCTGGGATTGGGCAGTGACAACTGTGTGTCGGTGAAAACCAACCAGCTGGGACAGATGCAAATGGACGATCTGGAGGCAAAGATCCTAGAGGCGAAAGCACGTGGTGGTCGGCCCTTCTTTGTGAACTGCACTGCGGGAACCACGGTACTAGGTGCATTCGATGACATCAATGGGGCTGCCGATGTGGCGGAACGTCATGGTCTTTGGCTCCATGTAGACGCGTGCCTGGGCGGAGCTTCACTGCTGTCCCATAAACACCGATCCCTAATCGCTGGCCTGGAACGCGCCAACTCCTTCGCTTGGAATCCGCATAAGACCCTTGGGGCTCCGATGCAGTGTTCGCTCTTTTTAACTCGAGAAACGGGCCGTTTGCTGGAGAGATGCAACAGCACCGAGGCGCACTATCTGTTTCAGCAGGACAAGTTCTACGACGTCTCTTACGACACCGGAAATAAGAGTGTCCAGTGCGGCAGGAAGATCGATGCCTTCAAGTTTTGGCTGATGCTGAAGGCACGCGGATACGGAAAGTACGGACTCCTCGTGGACCATGCCATCGGAATGTCCAGATTATTGGAGGATAAGATACGCAAGCGCAGCGATCGCTACAGATTAGTGCTTCAGAAGCACGAGTATTCCAATGTCTGCTTTTGGTTTATTCCAAAAGCAATGCGGGTGTCCTCCAAGGAGGAGACCCCCGAGTGGTGGGAGCGCTTGTACACGGTAAGTTTAAAAAAAATTACATTTTTAAGGCTCTCTTAACAATCTGCTTGTCTACCTACTAGGTGGCTCCAAAGATCAAGGAGCAGATGACCCACAATGGAACTTTGATGATTGGTTACTCGCCCCTCAAAGCTCACAATCTCGGCAACTTTTTCCGCATGGTTTTGACGTGCTTCCCCATCCTTAAAAGTGAAGAGCTGGATTTCATCCTGGATGAGATTGAACGCTTGGGAGACAAAATTGACCTTTAATTGGCAAGCAATTTATTGATTGAAATGATATTCATACTAAAGATAAAGATATTTTTACAATAATAAACTGGATTTTCTTTACACTAATAAATTCGTTTTATTTAAGATTAAAATTCTTTACGTTCAGTTTTAAATTTTAAATACTTTCTTCTGACAGTTATTTTCTACTGCCTGGTCCCACTGATAAGCCGAAATTATCGAAACAGTTAACTATCGATAGCGATTGCTTGCGGTATGTTTTAGATTCCCAAAGCACGGTCCCACCAAAAGACAACTGCAACCAAAACAATACAATTTGTTGTGAAATTTAGTGTAAAAGCAATAGAATAAAACGGCTTAACCATGGGACGCGCCGAGGTCGGTACGCCCAAGTACCTCGCCAACAAGATGAAGTCGAAGGGCCTGCAGAAGCTGCGCTGGTACTGCCAGATGTGCGAAAAGCAGTGTCGCGACGAAAACGGCTTCAAGTGCCACACGATGAGCGAGTCCCACCAGCGGCAACTGCTCCTCTTTGCTGACTCTCCGGGGAAGTTCCTCCACAGCTTTAGCAAGGAGTTCTCCGATGGCTACATGGAGCTGCTGCGCCGACGGTTCGGCACCAAGCGGACCAACGCCAACAAGATCTACCAGGAGTACATTGCCCACAAGGAGCACATTCACATGAACGCCACGCGGTGGCTAACGCTGTCCGACTACGTCAAGTGGCTGGGACGGACGGGCCAGGTGGTGGCCGACGAGACGGAGAAGGGGTGGTTCGTCACCTACATCGATCGCAGTCCGGAGGCGATGGAGCGCCAGGCCAAGGCCGATGGCAAGGAGAAGATGGAAAAAGACGACGAGGAGCGCATGGCTGATTTCATCGAGAGGCAAATCAAAAAGGCCAAAGCCAAGGAGGGCGAGGATGAGGACGAAAAGGAGAAGTTCACGGAATTCAAACGCGAGGAGAACGAACCTTTGAAGCTGGACATCCGGCTGGAGAAGAAGTTCCAGCCGGACACTGTGCTGGGCAAATCCGCTCTCACCGCCAAACGAACCGCCTCTGAGGTGGATGAAAAGGTCTTCAAGAAACCCAAATCGATAGCGGGAGACAGTCAAACGCGTTCGGCGCTGGACGACATCATTAAGCAGGAGGAGGCGAAAAAGGAGCGGGCCAACCGCAAGGACTACTGGCTGCACAAGAATATCGTAGTGAAGTTCATCTCCAAGTCCATGGGCGACAAGTTCTTTAAGCAGAAAGCCGTTGTCCAGGAGGTGATTGACAAATATCAGGCCAAAGTCAAGTTCTTGGACACCGGGGAGAAGGTGAAAGTAGATCAGGTTAGTCTAAAGAAGAGAAAAGTTTTAAAGGCAAAGTTAAATCAAGATTCCCTTCATTTTTAGGCACACTTGGAGACAGTAATTCCAGCGCTAGACAAACCTGTAATGGTTGTCAATGGCGCCTATCGCGGATCCGAGGCTCTGCTTAGGAAACTGAATGAGCGGAAGTTCTCAGTAAGTGTTGAGATATTGCACGGTCCTCTGAAAGGACGAATTGTGGACAATGTTCAGTACGAAGATATATCTAAGTTGGCAGGCGTTTAGTGTTAAAAAAAAGAGGTTTAATTCACATATACTAAGTGCCGCAGGGGTCTTTCCTCTGATCACAGCCACTTTCTTAGCTTTAAGGTTAATAAACTGTTCTATGAATATGTAAATAATGTTGTAAGCACATGTAGGCTGCAGGAAATGAACGTTTTTAAAGAGTATTCGCTCTTTTGAGCGTGCTCTCCTAACCTAAACTAATTAAAAAACCATTTAACCTTTCCACCCAAAGTCAGGAAGCAAACTAAACTTAAAGCTGGCCGTTCGTTGATTCAACTTGGCCCGCATTTTTGCATTTAGGCTGATTAAACACGACACTTTTAATGATCAACTGAAACACTGTCATTTACTCAGTATGGATAGACCCAAGTGGGTAAGCAAACAATGGATTTGGGGTTAAGCTTGGCAACAATGAGGCCACAGCCCGCGATTAACTAGTGAAAAATTCTGGCAAAAGATTAAACCAGATCCCACATCTGTTTAGAGGAGAGCAGCGTATTAACGATATGCGGATACTGTCGTCTCTGGTGATCCTTAGCCTCGCACACTGGGGAACTGCTGGAAACACTACCGAGGAGGCAGACCACGGCAGATCAACGGCAAGTTGGTGGGAGGCACTGCCTCGGCTGTTGACTGACGTTGTAACCATGAAGGTAAACGTTCTCACGGCTGCTCCGCTCGAACTGGCCGCCAATACACTCGATGCTTTGTGTAAGGATAGTCTTTCCCTGGAAATTCCTCATATATCAAAGATATTCCCAGGCTCCTCGACCTTGTTTCTTGGCAGCGTTCCAGAGCAGATCTCGCCGGACATCAGGAAAATGCACTTCCAGTATATGACACCCTGTCAGAATTATAGTGTACCTCTGCTCGAGGCCTCCAAGCTCTGGCGGCATTCGAGGTTCAGCAAAGGCCGCAAGGTGGTGATCCTGGCCACTGGTTGGACCAACACGGTCAATGAGTCCTCCGCCATTGCCATGATCTCCAAGGCCTTTATGTGTCGGGGTGATGTGAACTTTGTGGTGGGTTCGGAGGAGGAGGCTTTGAGGAAACTAATCCTAACTTTGATGTCCATCTCCAGATAGTGGATGCTGCGGATTATGTGGACACCCTCTACTCCTGGTCGGCCCTCAACACGGATGTAATAGGCGAGCATATCGGCGTGGGTCTAACCCACTTGGTGGAACTTACCCCGTTGCGCAACATTCATTTGATAGGTGAGTTTCCCTCAAGACCCTTATCCTGTGGCTCAAGATTCTCTATGAGATTAACAGGCCATTCCCTGGGAGCTCATATAATGGGCACCGCCGGCCGGACATTCAAGCGGCTGACTGGAAAGCTTATACCCAGAATAACAGGCCTGGATCCCGCCAAGCCCTGCTTCAGGAGGGAGAATATACTGCCCGGACTGACGCGTGGTGATGCCAAGCTGGTGGACATAATTCACACGAATATTGGCATTCTGGCCAAGCGAGGACCGCTGGGGGATGTGGATTTCTATCCGGGCGGAGCACATCCCATACAGCCGGGCTGCCTGACTATTGGCTGCTCGCACACCCGAGCGGTGGAGTACTTTGCGGAGAGTGCGTATCCCCAGCAGGAGAAGAACTTCATGGGCACCAAATGTGCTTCCTGGGAGAAGTTGCGGCGGCGGGATTGCTCGGCCGGAATCGTTTCCCCAATGGGCTATAGAATAAATCCGCAGGCTAGGGGCATTTACTATGTAGACGTCAATGGCTGGCCACCTTTTGGACGAAATTCCCAGCAGAATATTGATCCCAGATCCAGGACTTGCTATTTGTGTGAGACGTGAAATTATAATCGGGCTTTGACTTAACTTCTCTTCCTTCCTTCATACTTATAATATATTTTATTTTAGATTACTTTGTACTGCACTTAATATTCAATTTCTGTTAGATCCAAATCATCATCAAAGGCCTCCGATATAGCCTTTTGGCTCTGCATGGCCCTCTCTTGGGTCTCGGCAATGCGCCACAGCTCGTCGTCGTCGTCTCCCATCAGCATGGAGCGGTCTGCACAGCCCTTGATGTCCGGCCGGACGCGAGCCTTAGGCGGTGCGGGTCCGTTTGTGGTCCGCTTCTGTCGGTTTCCCATCAAAATCTGGCTCTCCTCAAAGTAATGATTCGGATGGTTAATGGTCGGCTCAACGCTGGCGCTGTGGGTGAGCTGGAAGTACTTGCCGCAGCCGATCTGATAGTGACCGCGGGATACAAAGAACATAACCTCGTCAATGGCACTGGCGGACAGGCCATAGGACGCCATCTTCGTTTTCAGGGAACTCGGATCCATGGATTTGTAGGGACAGCCGTGGCAATCCCCAGGCGCTGCCATTTCCTTGATGATCTTGGCGCAGGAGTAGGGCGTGTAGTTCACCATGGAACCCTTCTTTCCATAGTTGTGGTAGATGTTGTACTCGTAGCTGCGCGCAAACTTGTCCGCGTCCATTTTCTTGGTGAACTCCTCGCGCCAGAAACGCAAGGAATCCTCCAGCGTTACCCCGATCCCCTTGAGGAACAGGCCGTACTGCATCCGACCACCGTGTTTGACGTGGTGCTGGGCGCGTATGTGCTCGTGACACATCCGCATACACAGCGGCATGGAGGTCTTGGAGAGCTGGTCGAGGGATTCAATGGGAATCGCTGCATCACGGCACACAGTGTAGTCCTTGCCGGTGTACGAGTTGTGCAGGGCCTTTAGCATGCGCGAAATGCGCTCGTCGCCCTCGACCTCCTCTACCAGACCCTTGGCTGCCTGCAGGCCCTGCTCGATCTCCTCCTGCTGTCGGGTACCCACTATGGATACCAGATCAAGGGTGTTTACGTAGGCAAAGCCTGCCTTCAGGTAACAGCGTCGTCCGCGCACCAAATCCAGAACATCAGTGAAGGGCACCTTGTAGAAGTCCAGCAACTCGATCTTGGAGACACTCTGGCCAGCCGTGCTCTCGTACAGACCATCCTTGACCTCATCCTTCTGCGCCTCGGTCAGCGGATGAATCTCGAAGCCGTTCGACTCCAGGAACTGCTTCACCTCAGAGCTGCTGAGCGCCGCAAATTTGTACCGAAACAGCTCCATTTCCCGGGCCACGAACCAGCGTGTCAGGTCCTCGGAGCGACAGTAGGCCAACCGGAGGATGAAGTGGGACAGGTAATCCCGCCGCCGCGTCTGAATGTCGGACTCGTGCTTGCTGCCACCGGCGGAGCACAGTCTCAGATAGCTGCGCAATCCCTCGCGAGTCAGCTCCGCGTTCACGTACTCCTTCCACTCGTCGGAGAGCAGACGAAGATTCTTGGTGAAGGCACGATCCAGAACACGCAGTAGCCGCAGGCGCTCCAGGGCCAGCTCCTCGAACTCCTCAATGTGCACGTCGTCGGTCGGCGGATAGTGGTACAGCATCACATTGTGCGGATACTTGCTTTCCAGGCTGACAACCTCGACCTTGACATCGTGCCGGGGACGTTTCTTCAGGTGAAATTCCATTGTGCCGCCGTAAAATGATACTTATTTTATTATTGTTTTGCTGTTTTCGCGCGTAAATGTGAAGCTATCGATAGGATTGATTGGTGCTATCGATAGAAGACAGAACATTTATGTTTTTCCACCTCTATTTGGTGATTTTGATTATTATGTAGCTATCGATCTATCGATGGTTAAAAAAAACGTTATTTTACTTTTAACATTTAAAACGAATACTTTTACCAAGCTAGAAAAGTAGAAAATCTTTTTTCCTTATTATCCTTAAATAAAAGTTTATTAATATTAATATTTTCTAATGTAAACTTTTTAAATCTGTATTATGGTTTACTAAAGGGTTATATACATTTTATCAGGTACTTGCAAAACTGACTAGAACACTTTAAAGCGAATTACAGTAAACCAAGCTAATCCTAGGCTGTGACCTCTCTGGAACTAATGCCCAGGACTTGCAGAGATCTTCTCAAGCGTTTCCAAAATAGTTTCCGCTCCTCAGAAGTGGGACTAGAGTCACCCTTGCCAGCTGGCCATTTGATGTATGTCTTTACATCCATTAGATATTGCAGAGTTTTTGGACGCTTGCTCCTGGGAATATCTTCTAGAAAGACCAGGATCAAGTGCTCCTTGCTGACTTCAAAGATACTGTAAGGGAACAAGTTAGTGGAGCCTTTTCTCTTTGGATTGAGGATTACTTACCGATGCTGAGCCAAATACATTTCGAACTGACACCAGTGGCTCAGCAGGAACTTTGAGGAGATTATAAGCATCAGGGAGTAAGATCGGTCCATGCAAGAGATGATGTTATCCAGGATTGTCACTCCGATCTGTAGCATAGCATAGTATAGTGGAATATATGTAGATGTCCTTTTTGGTATCACTTACCTGAAAATCACGTTCGTGCAGACAAATGGATATATCCCCAGCTTCCTCCACATTGGGTAAAAGTTCATTAAGCACCCAGGGACGATCGTTCTGGCAATAGCTAATGAAAATGTCATAAACTGCACTGGGATCTCTTTGGGAAATATGGCTAAAACTCTCCCCAGACTCCTTGGAGGCGCTAGACAGCAATGCCGCCGACTTGAGCGAGGAGTAATAGTAGTGAATATGCCAGCGCTTAAGATAAATGATGAATCCCACGATGCACACTGCCACCACACTGCCCACCACGGCGATCACCGTGGTCGTTATGTGGTGCAGCTCCTCCGTGAGATCGCTCAAGGCGCGTAACTGGCAGTTCAGCTGGTCCACCTGGAGCTGATCCGTGTTGTTGAAGCACCAATACTCGCTGGCCTCGTAGTCTAGCAGCTGGAATTTCAGCGAAAAATCCGAACCCAGCTCATCCATCTGAAATGGCTGAGGCTTCTGGCACTTAGATATCATATATTCCCCTGAGGAGAAGCGTAGTCTGATAATATGATTAGCTCGATTGTAGTCCTTGATGTTGGTGTAGCTCTTCATCAGCCAGGGAATATAGCGACTCTGCCAGAGCCTGCGGTCAATATTAAGTGACTCCGCCGCCGCCATCAGATCCTGCTCCACCGTTGACTTTTGGCTAAAGTTCAGCAAGCTGTAGGAGCAGTCTGCATCCTTGTTGTTCGATGCCGCCACCTCCACTACGGCCCTCAAGTGGCAGTCACAGATGAAGTTGTTGTCCCCCAGGCTAAGATAATCCAGGCGCTCGAAGTCCTTTAGCATTTCATTTGAGAGCATATTGATGGTATTGCTTCGTAGGTTTAGAACTCTCAACGCCGAGTTGTTGTGAAAGGCACTGCGGTACCAGTTGCCCACATGATTCGAGCTAAGATCCAGGATCTCCAGCGACTCCAGGGGCTCGAACATGGCCGGTGTCAGGGCGTTGATGTTATTACCCGCCAGCCCCAGAACCTGCAGCTTCTTCAGCGGCTTGGACCACTCCAAATCCTTCAGGTTTGAGCGCTCAAAGTACAAGTACTTCAGCGTGTCGGCGATGCCATCAAAGGCATCGTCTATAATGTTGTACGACAGATAGGGATTCCCCGATAGGTCCAGACCCTCGACAGCCGTATTCTTGAAGATCGCACTGCTCACCATGGGAATAGCGGTGTAACACAGACTGAGGAACCTCACCTTCTCGCCTAAATGGGCAAAGGCCACCGCACTGTTCCGGGTCATCTTGGAGTGGGACAGATCCAGGTAAATCAGTTCCGGCAGCAGCTTAAACACATTCTGCTGGATTTTCAGCCCGTAGACCAGACTCATCGCCATCTCCAGCGTGGGGAGCTGCAGTTGGTAGCTATAGGTAAGGACATTGGTGAAGGACAGATCCAGATATTGCACTTTCGGGATGTAGAGAAAGGTGTCGTGCTTGAGGGTCATGAACTTGTTGTCCGACATAAACAGCCGCCGCAAGTTGCTCATGTTCTGGAAGGTCTCCTTGCTCACATACTCAATGCTGCAGTTGCTGATGTCCAGCTCCAGGAGCCGCGGTAGATTTGGGAAGCTTGCCCAGGCAATGGATTGGGCTATGGAAAGGAGCATTAATATTATTAAAAAGTTATGTATAAATAATTTATAAGTAGATCATTAAGTAATGATAGGCAGTACTTAAATGTACTAGAAACTTAAATAAACTAGAAACTTCAGGAAGCAGAAATTGTTATTCCCTTGCAGGTTTCCATAGAATCATGGAATCTAATCAAAAATCGATCATAACTAAGCCAAAAATGCCTTAATTTCTATTCGGAAAGCTTTTCTGTGCTAGTTTGTTCTAGGTAAACAAATCTGCACTATAAACTTTAAATTTTAAAAAATCAAAATTTTTGACCATTTTTGAAATTTTTAATGATGTAACCCCTTATCAAATTTTGAAAAAAAAATTAACATTTTTTTTTTCTTTCAGACATAGCTAGAAAAAATCTCCTGTTAATGCTGATGAAGAATATATATGATTTATAGGCTCGGAAATGGCTCCTTCACTGCGTTGCAAGCTCCTCACTAAAATTATAACCTTTCAGGATATAAATATGGATAAATGAGGATAAAATAGGGTGTTTCTTGTTCTAGTTTGAAATGTAAGTGTTTTAAGTGTTTGTGTTTCAGCTGTGTTCTTACATGACTCCCCCTGCAGATCATACCGATCTTTCAGAAACTGAATGTAGTCCTCATAGTTAATGCTGGATGTGACTGTGTTGGCCGTGTTCGTGTTGGTGTTGTTTTGAAAGTATAGATAGCACTCCCGATCGTACAGATCGGTGGCATTGTGTACGAGGAACAGCTCGCATTTGTGTAGTGTAGCGTTGCTTGCTTCCAAGCGTGTTTCGTTTAAGAACCGCTCAAAGGCTGAAATTGTGAATGCACTACAGTCATCAGAATATGTGTACAATATACGGTGGAAATGGGTTAAGAATCTGGGAATACCTTCGGCATCTGGAATTAGGTCAGCGAAATTATTGCCCCGCAACGATAAAAACTTCAGGGAATCCCGCATAGAGTGCAGGGTGTTAAAGGGTGCCGCATTCAAGGTGTTGAAAGCCGCCGAAAAGACTTCTATCCGCCATCTCATGAATTTCCTCGCCGCCTTGACTTCCAGGAGTAAGTCGGTGTCCTCCTTTAGGTTACCATGCGACAAATCCAAAAACAGTTTGGTGCCTTTAGAAAGGGGAATTAAGGCATAAGATTGTGTAAGCTTTAATAATTAATCTATTATTATTATTATTTTGAAAATACGTAAATTGATATCTAATAGCAAAAACAAGCAAGGGGAAAGAAGCTTATTTTTATGGGGGATAAAGAACCAAAGATGGCTTGCCGAACCCGAATACATTTTTTTAAAGAATAAACAATTTTAAGTTATGTATAAAACATTTAAAAATTTTAATTACAAGCTTTTGGCTTTAAGAGGTCATTTGTTTTGAAACATAAAAATATCTATCTTAATAGTTTCTATTTGCAATCCCAGGAGTATCGAAGTAACACTCGCTAAATCAAGCTTTTACCGATAACAAGGTACAATAATACTTAACGCTTCTAGTGGCTTAGGCTAACACCAAAAAGCTTTTATCAGCAGTTGACTTGAATTGCCGGAAGCGTGAAAATATATCACTTTAATTGCTTCAAACAACTTAAACACGCTCAATTAATCGCGGACATTCGATTGATATTTTAATGGTTTTATGAAAGTCGAGTGCTTACCGAACTTCTTGGTGCTCTCCCTAAGGGTTCCATTTGGATATATCCACGAGATCACCTCGTCCTTAATCACATCCAGGAGACAGCTATTTCCGTCATCCGATTCGTACTTCAGCATGAAGGATTTAAGATCAGTTTCCTCTTTACTAATATCATCAGCTTCCTCGCTGGCAGATGTCGAGGAGTCGCCCTTGGGACTGGGTATTAACCCGCCTAGAGTTGAGACCTCTAAGGAGGTTGCATTTCCCAGCAGCAGGATTATGGCGAGAGTGACGTCCAATACGAATTTGGGTGACATTTTCATTACTTTTTTACGCAGTGGCTATAACTTTAGACCATCCACTTGTTAGATTTCACAATCTGATAGATAGATAGATAATCGCAACGTATTAATCTCGTTCTAGAAAATTACTCCAGGCCTGGCCATAACTTTCAGTATTTTTGGACTGATATCCCCATGACTTTTAGTTTCTCTGGTTATTCCGATATTTTTGGCACATATTTCGCGGCACTGGAATCCACTTTACCGACGAGACCCACGAAGTATTCGCTTTACGCTCCCGAAAAAGACTGGCTATTGGTCAGCGGCGAATAATTGGTAGCAGCCGCGGGACATGTGTATATATATTAGCGATAGGGCTTATCAATTTTGGCAATAATATCTTCCTATCAATAGGCTCGTATCGCCATTTCGGTGGCACAATGCTTCCCGCCTCACGCCCACGCAGGGCTCCTTATCGGATAATTATCATCGGCTCGTCGCGAAATGGTGATTAGTCTCAGATACACCGATGGGATTCGATGGGTGGTTTTGGATCAACCGCTAACGATATGGTTTTCTTATCTGGTTCTGGTCATTCTTGGCCGGCAAATAAATTAAACTAAAACTGCTCTCCAGGCACTTGCGTTGATTTATAGAAGTGACGAGCATTCCTGATAAGAAGCACCTTTGGGAAATCTTAGATTATCAGTTGATCGGCGATAGTGAAAGCTCTCCAACTATAATTCAGTTCTGGGCAAATGCACAATTAACTAGGAATAGTTTATGGTCAGTGAAAATATTAATTGATAAATTGTTGGTACGAATAGGAAGTTGCCGGCGTAACCCAAACAATTATAATTATTTACTCATGTTTGTTTTATTTTTATTTTTGTCGATAACTTCCCATTGAGGAATCGTGATCATTGTATGTAATCTTCAAGTGATAACACAGTTTTGTTATATATATTTGTTTATAAAAATATTATAGAAGAGAAAAAAAAATAAAAGAAAAATCCTAGACCAAAACTATAATTAGGGGTTTTAAAAAGGATTATAGAGAACTTTTTTTTTAACTCTGAAATTTAATCTGAAAATAAGATAAACATTTTAAAATATTTTTAAAGATTTATATTATCAAACTCAACAATGAAATATGGCCCAAAAGTATAACCATGCTCAAAGGCAGCTGGGACTCCTCACTTCAGTTATTTACCTGTCCATGAATTTCCCTCGGCGGCAGGGGAAAAATGCAAAAAAGAGAGTGTGTGGACTCTGTTTCCCTTTGGAATTCGAGTGGAATGGGGCTGGCCGAGCTGCGAGCTCAATTAGAAACTGGTTTTGAGTGCCGAGATCGCAGCCAGTGAGATCTGCCGATCTTGGCTGTTAGTTAACTCTCAGAGCTGAACTGAAACGGACCGCAGCGGAGGTGAAAGAACATACAATTTTTACCTGACAACTGACCCGATATTCGTGGCCTGCACTATGCGCAAGTCGCCGGGCAGCCTCGCCTCGGAGCCTTTCTCCAGCTCCAACTCCTCACTGAGCAACTCCTACAGCGATGGCAGCGATTTGGCCAACTGGGAGGAGTACGTGGCCGCCGATGGGAGTCTATTCTACGTGGAGTATCTAAAGCACGAGAAGGCTGCTGCTGCTGCTGGGGCGGCAGAGCGACGGGTGGAGTTCATGCGCCGATCGCTGCGCCTGGGAAAGAAGTCGTCGCGTCGTCAGCAGCAGCACAGCAACAGCCAGAGCCACAGTCAAAATCAGAGCCAGAACCAGAACCAGTCTCACAACCACAGCCAGCTGGATTCCCAGGCGGAGACCCAAGAGTTCCGATTCTCACAGTTCAAGACCGCCGCCCCCGATCCCAAGAAACTGGAGTTGGTAATCACCGCCGCGGATCGCTTTCGTTTCGGCCGCCGTTCCACCGCCGTGGAGTCGATCCTGGGCTTCCGTGTGCTGCCTTTCCCCGACCAGCCGGAGTGCCTAATGGTCGAGGGTTTTGTGCACGACCTCAGTGCCCTGCAGCACGGAATAAAGCGCGGAGATTGGTTCAGGTCCCTCAACGGCATCGAGTTGTATGCCAGCAATGTGGACGAACTACTTCAGCAGTATGTGGAGCCCACGCAGGTGTGTCTGGGATTCCAGTCCTGCAGTTCGGGAAACGCAGCTTCCCCGGCGGATCCTTCTTTCAACGCCCAGAATATGCCGGAGGAGCAGCAGGTGTGCAAGGTGGAGAACTTTGCCGCCTTCGCCGAGAAGTTTGAGCAAATGCTTTTGCCGGAGGCGGAGACTTCTCCGGATATTCCCCTGCCCTTCGCCATGCTGCTGCTGCCGCCGGAGTGCTATCAGCATGAGCAGCAACAGGATTCTCTCTACTATTACCCGGAGACACCGGACAACTTCCTGTTTAAGGCCCGAGGCAGCTTCCTCACGCTGCACGCCGTGCTCAGCGAGCTGCACACTCACCCGCTGAGCTCCCGCCTCTTGGTGGAGCAGGTGCCCTACCATGTGAACTACCGCCGGCTGAACGGTTTCCTGGTGCTCTTCGCCTACGACGGAGCCCTGTGCAGTGCGGCGGAGTGCAGTCTGCGATCGGATGAGCTCATTGGCTACATTCGCTTTTCCCTGCCGGGCTTGGTCCTGGAGAGCTTTAATACGGAGGGCGGTTCTGCCTCGAGCTCCAGCCTTAAGCTCTTCCTGCGCCACTTTTGCGGGATTCAGAGGACGCGTCTCCTGGCCAGATGCCGAGAAGGCCACATCCGCTTCGAGGAGCTGCTAGGACAATCACGTAGCCTGCCGCTGCCCAAGGAGGCCCAGCTGAGGATCTTCGATGCCCTGAGCGAAATGGAGGCCATGGACTATCGCAACTGGAACGACGAACCGCTGACCACGCACCGTGAGTTCTTCATCTATGGCAGTGCATTGTACTACGATGGCTTCCTGGTGGCCAGCCTGCTGCCTCCCGAGGTGAGGGTTAGTGTGGAGGGTTTCCTGCGCTGTCGGGGAATTTTCGACCTGCTGGGAGCGCCGGGGATCAGAGTCCGTGAGCTGTACATCTGGGAGGAGATAGTCCTGCCCAGTGCCACAGGCCGCTACTTCCTCACCATCTGCACGCGGAATCACCTGAGCCTGGCCGTTATCCTCAAGATCTTCGATGCTCCCGATATGGCTCCGGATGCTGTGGTCGGGCCCTCACTTTTTTACATCGAAGAAATCCAGGAGACGCTGGATCACCTGGTGCAATGCGGCATCGAATCGCTGGCCATGTTCTGGTCCATTTCGAACAAGAGACCAGAGGTTCTGGAGGCCACGGCAGGGGAGACCAGGGATCAGGAGAAGGAGCCCAACAACAGGCGTCTGGAGTCTTTTCTCAAACAGAAGCTAACCGTGCTCAGTCCTTCGTCAGTGGAGGAGGAGGCTCAGCTATGCTCCTCACTCGGCGGATCATCCATACACAGCCTGACGCCCAGCGAAGATGACTCCTCGCGGCGTCGCCTGACCCCCATCCACGGGGCTGGCGAGGATTCCGACAGTGGCTCCGACTGGGAGAACTTTGCTGTTCAGCATCCCTTGCACTACGGACTGAATCTGGGCCCCGAGAACCAGAATCAAAGCCAGATGACGGAGTCCATGTGGAAGGAGATCAACAATGTGGTGCCGGTGAAGATTTCCGCCGGCTGGAAGAATTCCGTCCTGCACTATGTCTACATTGATATAGCCAATGGCTCTCTGTTTGCTCCCTTCAATGACTGTTCAGAGACTGGGTCGATTCTATCCGAGATCCGCCAGGCCTGCCACATAATCCACGCAGTGTTGGCCAAGTCAAAGCACTACCGAAGGCAACTTACGGAATCCTCGCGAGCTCCAGCGAATGCCAATGGGCATGCCAGCAGCAGCCAGGCAGTGTCGCTGGTCAAGGAGCATGGCATGACCCTGGAGGTGCAGGCGCAGCAGAAAGCGGAGGCTCTATCCCCAAGGAGCAGTCGGTTCGTGGTTGTAGGTCGCCTTTTCCAGTCGCCCGCCAAGGAGGTCTACGTCTGCCATCGTTCCGATGTGCCCCAGAATATCGTGGAAATGGCTTTTCGGCTTTCCTTTTTCTCCATGGGATAGGAGTGCCGTGAGGAAATGTATTTAAAATATTTTAAGGAAACTTATAAATTCCTAAAAGTAGAATTTAAATTCGAAAAAGAATTTAAAACTTATAAAGAAGAAAAAATAAGTGAAAACTATACTATAAAATCGAAATATTAGTAGAAACTAAGTATGTAAATATTTTGTTTAATCGAAGAAAATAAATAAATATTCAACACAAGAACACAAACAGTGTGCGAATATGTGCCTCCATTCATTCATATTTCATATTTCATACTAGAGAAGCCATCAAAAAGTGGACACTATTTTTAGAGTTTAGTGGGAGGGGCTCCCATTCTAAAAGTAGTTCCACACGCACTAAAAAAAATACAGAAGACTGGCCGCCGCCGAGCAATAAATCCGATAAAACCATCTGTCATCGTTTCAACAAGCGGCTCAAGGTGGTGGTGTTCCCCAAATACTCTGTCTATCAGCCGCGATCCGCAGTTCTGTTTGGTTGTTCCAATAAAAAACACACCTGCGAACAGAAGAGCTAGCTTCCTTTTGAAATAATAATAAATAAAGATACCTCGAGTTTTAATGGATCGGTGGATCTTGGGTCTTTTGGTTCTCCTTACCGCGGCTCTTGCTCAAATGGCGGAGCCCCAGAAGGAATTATCTAACGTAACCAGCAGTCCTCTGGAAGAGGAAGCCAGTCCAAAGCTACCCAGCGAGGTTCAGAAGGCTGTATGCACTGTGACTGCTGGCGAGGTAAAGGCTTCCGCAGAGGCCGTCACCACAAAGACTTTAAAGGGAGTGTGCGGATCAGGTGAGTGAGATCTTTAACCAAGGACTCATTAACCTATACAATTTCCTTTTTACAGACGAAATGAACCTGGCCTTTCGTAATCTGGAAAGCAAGCTGTACGAGGAGCTTAGGGTCATGAAATTGATCTTGGTACATTTGGCCAAGTCAAGTGGTTTGAAAGTAAATACAGCTCTTCCAACCCCCGTGCCCGAGTCACCGCGACAGACGAATCCCTCCCCGCTGCCCTTCTTCAGGCCAATAGAGCCAGCTCCCGGTAGGTTACCAGCCGACGAGGAGAACGAAGTGACGCCTGATCTGGATACTAGAAAGGTGCCTATGCTTAAGGACTTGGAGACACCGGGCCACTCCGATCAGGGTGCTCGAGATGACGAGGTCGATAAGTTCAACAACACCATGTTGGCCGACCACGACGTGAAGCTGTTCACCTACTATTGGAAGCTGGAGAACGTTACGGAGCGTATCAATGCCCCCAAGTTGGACACCGTCACAAGTCCCATATTTAGCATTAAGGGTAAGTGGTAATGAAGCCTTATTTACCTCCATAAATCCTTACTCGATCTCCAATCTCAGGGAAATCCCTGCAACTCAAGTGCACCTTCCACCACATGAATCGCGAACTGTTGAATCTGCAACTGGGTCACGGCGTATTTTCTCCGGAAGCCAACGATATAATGCTTGAAATGGGCGGAATCTTCCAGAAGTTCAAGTGGTCAGAGGATGTGCTGCTCAAGCATAAGATTTCCATACTGGATCAGAGCCACAGCCACCGAAGGTCGCAGGATCTCAGTTCCCAGGAGCTCACGAAACTGGACACGGGCTTCTCCATACCGAACAGCGTGCTCCTGGACAGCAGCACGTACATCAAGCAGGACGCTCTCCTCATACAGATTCTTTTATATTTGTGAATATGACCGAACAACATTTGCAATTAAAAATGAGAGACCAAAACCAAGTGCTAATTCGTTAGTTAATCCTTTACAGCTTGCTGCGTGCTCCCTTGGCCTTGATGTCCAGAAAAGGCAGTGCGATGGGGTACAGCTCCTTGCACGACTTGAAGCTCACAATGTCGCTGATGGGCTTGTGCCTGTCCATGTTCGTAATCTCCACAGGCTCCGTCTCGCTGGTGGCATTCGCATCCGTTTGCTGGGACACAATGTGCACGGATAGAACGCGTCGCTCATTACCATCCTTTGCGATGAATTTCTAAAAACAAAATGAGTTGTGTGTCAGCAGGAATCCACTTAGTGGGTTTACACCTTCGCCTACCTTGAAGTAATCCACAAAATCCTCCTTTGTTATTTGCCGGAGGATGGCCACCTCAGCCTCTTCACGCTCAAAGTGATACGTCTGCATGGCTATTTCGCCATAAAACTGGCTAAACTGCTGGAATATGGTCTTGGGCTTTTCCAGCTTCTTCACAGCCAGAGCCTCCTTGTGCCTTTCGAACTCATCCAGGGGCATATCCTCAATTACTTGCTAAAGGATTTTGAAAATAAATTGAAAAAATATATTTAATACTTAATTAAAATTATTATTTACAAATTAATTAATTACCAGATACGTTTGCAAAAAGTTCTCTATGCGATCCTCAACGAACGAGGGATGCTTGGCCGACTGGACAATGATGCGGATCCCATTGGCCCCATTCACCTTGCGCACACCACTGAAGACAATGTAGCCGAGTTGCTCCTTGGTGCGCAGGCAGTCGTAGCAGGGCTCGGAGAGCACCTGAGACACCAGATTTACCATTATGTTTGTGTGATCCGTTTGTGCGCCGCACTGCAGATAGAGTTGTGTGCAGGAGCTCTTGTGGAACTCGTTCTCCTTCTCGAATAGGTAGCTGTCGCCTATGAATAATAAGTAAATTAAGAATTGCAATAACCTTATCGAAGTTATAATACATAAAACAGAGTTATTTTTTTATTAAAAGTAAATAAACTTACCCGCCAGCAGTTTATACTCCCGCTTCTTCAGCATTTGACGTGCCAGAATGGGAAGTTTGGATGCATTGGTGGCCTCCAGGCGATTGTTCACTCGCCCCGCAATATCCGTTGCCTGCTGCTTGGTCACATTGCCGAAAATAAAGCACTCCGTGTGCAGGCGCTGGAAAAACTCCTTGGCAAAGTTCAACACCCGATCGTAGGTAACAACTGCAGAGGTGAATCGTTAACACAAAGGAATTCCAGAAACAGTAATCATTTTTAGTGGTTTCTTACGTTCCATGGCGTCCAAGAGCTCCACATTCGCCCAGGCATTCTCAGTTAACAACAAAGCTAAATAGTAGATGGAATGCTGATATGGTTGCTCAGCCTTAAAGTTTTTCAGTGAACGTACATACTCCTCCTTCAGAATGTCGAATCTCTTCTCGTCGATGGAGAAGTCAAAGAGATGATCCAGCAGCTTCTCCAGCAGGACCACCTGCTTGTCACTGAACCCGCGTATGGTGAACTGCAAGGGAGGCGGCTTTAGGAGTAATCTCTATACATTTGCAGACACTTACGTCGATGCCACACGACTTGCCAACCACGCTGAGCTTCAGGCTGGCCAGTTCCGCGTCGTACAAGTACTCGTTCAGCTGGTCCTTAAGCAGCATTACCATCATGTGGTTCAGATTGCAGTTGAGGGGATCCAGATAGGCGATCGGATTGGACATGTCAAAGGTCATGCAGGCCTTGGGCTTGTTGAACTGATTGTCCTGTTTGTGCCACACCCGCAAAATGGGCGTGTCCAGGATAATCGTGGGGTGCTTGGGTGCATCGCCGGGGACCTCGGCAATGTCAAAGTTCGTGGGTATAAAGCTATTCGGCAGTGCCAGCTTAAGGTTCTCGTTAAGCTCACAGTTTTCCCAACTCTGTTAAGGAGACATTAAACCATTTTAAAGCTGGAAAAATATATGGTAAAGAATTGGCTCTCACCTGCACCGTTTCCTTGCTCACACGCTCCACGCCATACTTGGTCTTATAGTAGGGCTCCGCTTGGTCGCACTCCTGCTCGAAGCTCTGGCTCACCATCAGAATGCGGCTTTTCGAAGGCACCAGCTCGTCCAGCAAACCTTTGATCAGATCCGGCCGCCATTCGTTGCTTAGATAGGGAGCAATGAGAACCTCCTCCAGGGGGAATATTTGCATGGAGGAAACCGCATGCGTGACCAAGCTTTCCGGCTGTTCCTTCTCCTTAAACCTGAATCTCATTTCGTTCAGCTTTACGCACTCGTCAAAGATCCACTTCTTGGGACCCTCCTGACGCAGAAGATTCAGATACTGGAATATGATCTTCACAATGTCGTCCACATGCTCCATTCCCTCCTGCGTCAAGTCCACCACAATTTCGAAGAAGCCAAAGCCATTCTGTGTGCTCTGATGGCCGGCCATCAGGCTGCAAAGGATAATGGTTAGATTTAATGGTTAGATTCATACGGAATATAGGGATAGGGATATTACTCATTGCACCAGCCCAGTCGCCGCAGCTCTGACAGGATACTGCCCTTGCCCTCGTGGCCAATGAGATGCGTCAAATAGTTGTCCGGCTGCAGAGCAAAAGGTGGATCAATCTCTCGAACCTCTCGACAGTTACTCTGAACTTACGCCCGACTTGTAGAACGCCGTTAGGTCATCGGTTGTAAAGCTCATCGTCAGCGAACGAATGTCCTTAATGGGCACAATTTTCACCTTCTGGCCGTACCGATCCTCGGCGTAAGGATGCCTCGGCCAATCGGGAACCTGGACGTTTTTGTTCTCGATTTCGGAGAACTTCTCCAGAACCATGCTCTCGAGTTCTTCCAACGACTCCTTTCCGATGACCGCCAGGCACATGATGTTCGCCGAGTACCATTTCTTGTGGAACTTTAGCAACTCGTCGCGCACATCGATGTCCTTTGACTTGGGTATTTCGGAGAGCGTGGTCTTGTTGCCGCTGCCAAACTTGCTGTAGGGATGGTCCGGTTTGGCCAAATGCCGGCTCACCTGCTTGATGCGCCACAAGTCGCTGGGCAGGTTCTTCTCGTGCTCCGAGTTCACCTTCGCAAATAAAGACAGCTTGGAGTTTAGAGCTAAACATTCACTGATCCTTGCTTACCGCATTAATTTCACGTTCGGTGGCACTTGGCGTGAACAGTGGCGCTATAAAGAACTGGGCAAACCGATCCAAGGCTCCGTCCAGCTTATCCGGCGCCACATGAAAGTGGTACTTGGTCATCAGGGGATAGGTGGCGGCATTGCTGCTCCCACCGCTCTGCGACAGGTATGTGGTATAGCCGTTCTCGTGCGGATACTTCTCAGTGCCCAGGAAGAGCATGTGCTCACAGAAATGCGCCAGGCCAGGCAGACTTGTGGGATCAGACATGTGGCTGCAATTGGGAAAGAGATTATGTGGGGGCCGAGCCAAGGAAACATCTTCAACTCACCCCACTTGCACGGAAAGTGCTGCCGCCGAGACATCTGTGTTGGGATCGCTGATCAGCAGAACCTTTAGGCCATTTTCCAGCTTTAACCCACGGTAATCCCTCGTGTCCTGTTGCGACTTTTCGATGTTGTTTAGCCTGCGGAAAAAACAGACGCCGTCAACGTTAGCTCATCTCCGTGAGATCACCTCTGACTCATGTAAGCTTAGCCTCTTAGACGTTACCTCAGAATTGGCTCCTGCGTGTGGGGGCTCCGTGTTGCGGGCTTTTGCAAACAGCCCTCGGCGACGGTCATTTTGGGCTTGCTCAGCGTACCGATCGATCGACTTGCTACTAAAATGCTGGACCTCACCTCACCACTTGAGCTGTGAGAAATAAGGGCGAAGAGTTAGGCGTATCCGGTCAAAAATGCGTTTTCTTTTTCTGCCAACCGTCGGCTGAGAGTCGCTGTTAGGGCAAAAATCGATTTTCTGCACGAAAAATACATTGAGTTTCAGGGTTCCTGGCAAGCGAAGGAACTCCGGTTCCTGAAATTGGGCGGATGATTTTGTGAGTGTAGCGGTTGTGTCCCGCGGTTAAATTTAATTGGTTTCAGCCAAAAATCTATGGAGTTATATCTATAAATCGTTTCGCAACAACTACAAAGCAAAAATCATCTGTTTTGCGGTAGTATGGCTGCACTTTGCTAGAAGAAAAGTACTAAAACATGCTACATTTAAAAAAATACTACATTGAAAAATAAAAATCGATGTATCGCCCGTTCTCCTACCATCGATTGAATCGATTATTAAATCGATATCGATAACGCGTAGAACAATTGCGGGCTGTAACTGCATTTTATTATTTTATTTTATTGATAGTGCGCTGCGTAAGACAAACATTTGTTAATCCGCCGCTCACCGCAGCAGCCAGAAAGCAGCAATGAAAACTCTCCTAAAACCGTGAAACAGCCAGTGCGAACCAGAAACTGTGTCGCCATCGCCTGTGTGTGTGGGTGCAAAAATAAATGCAAATTGTTGTAAAAATGCCGTGCTTTGGTGTGCGTGTTGATAAGTGCAATACGCAAAAGTAAGAACATTGAGGCATAAATTTCGTATAATTCGCAGCAGCGGAAGCTCCCCGAGGTACGTGCGAAAGATATGTACATATACATATATCTGCTTCAATTCGACCAGCAATCAAATTAAGTTCTAATCAAATTGTTTACCAACTAAAAGCACAAAGGTGTGTGTGTGTGTGGGTGGATGTGTGTGCCGAAAGTGCAAGTGCTGGGCTGCTGGGCCTGCATAGGGTTAAATACTACGGGCTTCAATCATCCGTTTTTTATTATTTTTTTCCTGCAATGTGGGCAAAGTTTGCCGGGGAGAGGGACAGCAAGAAGTGGGGGAACTCCAAGATCCCCACTTAGAATGTCTGTGTGTGTGTGTGTGTTTGGTAACGGTGCTTGTGACCGTTTTCGCAATGGCAAGAGAAAATCAATAAAAGCTGGCAAAAATTGAAAAAAGTAGACATACGACAAAAGGCGAATAAGAAGACTCAAGATTCTCCCCAGACTCGAAAGATTCCCATGTCGCATCTCTGCTAATTATGCTAATATGCTGGCGTGCTCTACAAATGCCCCGCCGAAACCGGAATTACTTGGCAAGTTCGCACTTGTTTGGCATGAGAGATGGCTCACTTAGATCCTTGGATCTAAAAATAAATATAATATGGTTTAAATTCACGAAGATGTGCTCTGACAGACCTTTAAAAACAGTTGGTTAATTTTACCCATTTTGTAGCATATTTTGGGGCACAATATTTATGGATTTTTAAACCATATCCTTTCTCTGGCAATCCTTAAAATTTTTGTCTTTTTTTTAAATTTAAATATTACAATAAAAAATATATATAAATATAAAAAACGGATGATCAGTTGTATTAAAACCAATAGAAAATTGTAACAATCTTATGATTTGCTAATATCTTATCTAAAATATATTTTTATTTCCCCCACTATCATCTTTTAAATATCCAAAACTTAACTTCCACAATAATTGCTATATTGATAATATGTGATAATTAAATGCTCCCTAAACAAAGAACATCGAAAGATTTTTAAGAGGTCAATGTCCTTTGACGTGCGTAGCTGAAATACCACAACCCCCATGATTTAAATAATCCTGCCGAATATATCATGATCATCCAAGCGGCGGCCAACCGCTCGCAGAGTGCCTTTCTCAATTGTTTTGTTATTGTTTTGGATTTAAAGAAGTTCCCAAAATAGACTGCAAGCTTGCCGAGCAGATCGGACAATGGATTCGCATGCACGCAGGAATAAGCTCTGATTGCTTGTTGTGGGCCTTTGGATTGATGGCAGATATTTTTAGTGCAGTCCCCCAATTAAGTTCAATTAGAGAGAGAGACAGCCAAGCGAACTTATCACTCGACTTCCTGCGTAGCAAGTGGAACACACACAGAGAGGGGTCAATGAATGGCGGCGACAAGTGCGAGTGGGCCCAATAGATTTCTTAGGATAACGATACCTCCTTACTTTCCATTATCTTATGGCTCTGGAACTTGAGTTTCTTGATAAAAGCTCTTGAGTTATATTCTGATAAAGTTAATTTGAAGAAACTGAAATGTACATCCAACAGAAATCTACAGACTGTATTTTGATTCTTCTGTGTTTACCCTAGAGTCTAGACTATTAAGTCAACAACCCATAACAACAACACACAGTTTATACATTTTATAAATAAGTTTTTGTTATGTATCTAATCATTTAGGAAACTTGTTAATATTATAATAAAGCTAGCGATTAGACGCAGCTTAAATGTGTTTAATTTTTAATTACAAAAATTGTTTCTACTTTTCAGAATTCAAGCAAAAGCTAAGCCCGAAAATGGATAACGAGCAGCCGCATCAGGAGTTGGTCAAGTGCGTCCTAGTGGGTGACACGGCGGTGGGCAAGACACGACTGATCTGTGCACGGGCCTGCAACAAGCATGTTTCGCTGTCGCAGCTACTCTCCACACACGTGCCGACCGTGTGGGCAATCGATCAGTATCGCATATACAAAGATGTAAGTTGCCGCACCATTCCTGGCCAAGTCATCCCATAAACCCCTACCTTTCTCTCATCTTGAAAGGTACTTGAGCGGTCTTGGGAGGTGGTGGATGGGGTAAATGTCTCACTTCGTTTATGGGACACATTCGGGGACCACGACAAGGACCGTCGCTTTGCCTACGGCAGGTTTGTAATCCTCTTAGGTGAATATAAGTTGTAGGTGAAGCTAATGTTTAACCTATGGTAACAGATCCGATGTGGTGCTGCTGTGCTTTTCCATTGCCAGTCCGATTTCCCTGCGCAACTGCAAGATGATGTGGTATCCGGAAATTCGCCGCTTTTGTCCGGATGTGCCCGTCATCCTAGTTGGCTGCAAGAACGACCTGCGCTATATGTATCGCGATGAGAATTATCTGTCGTATTTCGGCGAGAAGGGAACCTTTGTTCGGTGCGTACAGAGCTTACAGGTTTCAGCCGGTTTTCGATGTTATATATTTGGGTAAAAAACTATTTTTAGCGTTGAGAAAATCAGCTTGTAAGCGATTTCTGTGATTCAATTTAAATTGTTAAAATGAGTAAACAGTTTTATATAGTTGGTTAGTTTAAAAACTTTAACAAGTATTAATAAACTATATTTACTTAAATCTCAGATATTTTTTCCAAATATATATCATAACTTACCCATTTTATCAATTTCACAGAGCCGCCCTGAAGAGCGACCTGGTTATGCCCGACGAGGCGCGGGCCGTGGCCAAGGAGCTGGGCGTGGCCTACTACGAAACGAGCGTCTTTACCTATTTCGGTGTAAACGAAGTATTCGAGAATGCTATACGATCGGCTTTGATTGCTCGGCGACAGCAGCGCTTCTGGATGACGAACCTGAAGAAGGTGCAGAAGCCGCTGCTGCAGGCACCGTTCCGGCCACCGAAGCCGCCACCACCAGAGGTCACCGTTATGGTGGGCCACTACCGGCAGGACATCTACAATATGTTCCTTTCGCAAGCCTACACCGATCTCGTGCTGGTCGCTGGCGCCGGCACCAAATTCGCCGTACATAGATTCATGCTGGCTGCCGCCTCCAGCATCTTCCAGCGCCTTTTAAGCACGGAGCTAAGCGACATGGGCGGTCGGAGCAGCAGCGAATCGAGCATGGTCAGTTCCACGTTCGGAGAGGCCACCATAGCGGACTTCAACGACGACACCGAGTCCCTCATCCGCTACGAATCACGCACACAACGGTAGGTGACAGCCTAGCTCCTGATCTTGCCCAGCTTAATACCGACTTTCTTAGCATGTGGGAGCACTTGAAGCGTCGCTCCAGCTATCAGGCCCTCCCCCTGATGGAGTCCAAGCGGTCCAACGATTTGTACAGGGAGCTGCATCATCCGGTGCTGCAAAGCATCCGGCTGGTGCACGTGGAGAATCAGCGCGGTGTGAACGGACTGCAGACCATTGTCACCCTGAGCAAGCTCATCTCGCCGCAGGCATTGCACCAGTGCCTGAGATTTATATACACCGGCACCATTGACAAGGATTGCAACAATCTGCAGGTGAGTCTCGGAGACAGAAGCCTCTCCAATTTATAGTATTTAAATCTCAGTTATTACAGGAAATCAGAGAGGCTGCCGATCTCTTAGAGCTGCCGCAACTGACTCAGCTATTGGCCAGGCCCCAAACCGTCTTGGATAGCTGCTCCAGTGATGAGCCCAATCCGCACATTTGTCTTGTACGCTGCAAAGCTATTTTACAAATAATTTACAGATTTATTAAAGGATTCCATTGCAGCGCATCAAGGAAAGCATGGAGCGACATTGCATTGGCGACGGTTGCTTTAGCGATGTAACCTTTGAGTTGGACGATGGCCTAATGAAGGTAGGGTCCTTCGGAAAGCTGTGTAAAACTAAGTACAAATGAAATTGAGAGCTTCAAATCAATTACAGGCACACAGGGCGGTGCTGGTGGGTCGTTGTGATGTCATGCGAGCCATGTTGCTGGGCGATTTTCGAGAGGCGCATTCCAATGTGGTAATTAATTGATTCGGTGCATTATAATAACACAATATTTAAAGAAATTTGTGTTGAATTTTGTATTGGAACCCCTTAAAATTCACAAAATGAATAACCTTTAATCCCATTTCAGATCGTATTCCCTGGCGTTACAATCTACACATTCCACAAGCTGCTGTGTTACCTGTACACTGACCAGATTCCGCCAATATCGGCCGTCAAGTGCCTGAATCTGCTGGAGCTGGCCAATCGCCTCTGCCTGCCGCGTCTCCTCAACCTGGTGGAGTGTCGCGTTATCGAAGATCTCACATTAATTTCCCAGAACGAAACCAATGAAACGGTGGATCACTGTCTAAAGCTGCTGGAGCCAGTAAAGGTAAGGGAAACTATCTTCCCTGGTGATAGTTGAGATCTAACTAATATATATATATCATGTTTGCAGCTGCACAACGCACATCAGTTAGCCGAGTGGTGCATGTCGTACCTGTGCGTCAATTACAACCTTATTTGTAAGTTCTCACTCAAGGGCCTTAAGGCTCTGCATCAGGATAATCAGGAGTATTTGCGCGAACATCGCTGGCCGCCGGTGTGGTATCTAAAGGATTATGACTACTATCAGCGATGTCTGAACGAGCTGAACAAGGAGCTGAAGCTGAAGAGCTCGCGACGAGAGTCGCCGAGTGATGACGAGGGATGCCTGTGCTTCACAGGAGGTAAGTCTAAAGTTTCTCTTGTAGTCTTAGCTGCTCCACATCCCACCAGCACACCACACACACACACACACTTGACATCCCAGGCCCAAAACAGCTCAGGTTTTAGTTTCTTCTCTACAAGAATGTATATATGCAGGACCTGGAATAAATCGCAACTGATCGAGCGGTTTGTACTCGTAGCTAGGTGTCTGTCTCGTTATGGTTGTTTTCCTTTCCTCCTTTTGTTTTCCCTTTCCTCATTTACAACTCTACAACTCCACCATCATCATAATATTAATGTCCGAAATTGGGTCAAAGTATTCTCTTGCTGGCTGTTAGGCAAATCGAAGCGCAGCCATGGAGACGGAGGGAATGGAACCGTGGAGAACAGCAACGCGGATAATCAAATCTTCAACAGTGCCGGCAACTCGATCAATCACATCGATTTGGAGGCGGATATGGACCTGAATCTCTGACACCCAGCCCTCGGGCAAGGAAGGTGCGTTTACTATACTGGAAACTATCAATATGTATGCCTGAAAATGTTATTATTTTTCTCAGATCACTGCGCTTCATTGTGATCCTGCCGGTCCTGATCTGTTTCATTTGCACGATTTTAAGTATCCTGATACTTTTCCAAATTCACACATAACAAACCTCAAGGATTCACCGTGGGAATCGCGAGGGGCTTCTGACATTACGCATTATCCAGTGGAGCGCAAATTTGCCTTAGTGATTACTGAATACACAAGTCCAACATAGAACAACGGAGTACGTTCTGCAGTGCTTCGGATTTCTTATATTTATACGCCTGAAATATATGCATAATGCAAGAGCATAGGACGAGCATTCTGCACATGCACCTCGGCGCTCGTCGCTGTATTGCCTTACGAGATATACCGGTGTGCACACCCATCTTCGGATCGGGGGCAGGTGTGCACATCCCTATGTCTGTACCTTTACCTAAAACATGTATGTAATGTATATTTTTGAATTCCTACTTACTTGGAAACATTTGTCTAGCCATAGCTATAAGCGAGTACTTTAACAATAAGGACGCATTTTGTACAGAATGATAGAATAAAGCAATTACGAACAAAACAAAGTAAATGTAATCATTTAAAAGTGTATAACTATAATTTATAAAAAAAAACACAAACACATTCAATTTGCATAAATAGAAAACAATTTGAGCACACATCTCAAAGCTCTTGGGCTGTTCTCAAGGTCCTGACGCTCGACTGCGACACAGTTCCATCCTCGACCTCGAGATCCTGCAGCATGGCAATCACCTCCTCGTCCGTGATCACTACCTCGGGCCTGTCATTGTTATTGATAAACGCTATGGGACTGGGAGAAGCTGGCTTGGCCGTTTCGCCGCACAATTCACGCAGTTCCCTTTCGAGCTGGTCTTCATCTTGACTCACGCCTTCCACGGCAGAGCTGTTGGACATGACGTCCTGTACTTCCCTATGCTGATCCAATGATTCGCGCACATCGGCCAGAACCTCGTCGACATTGTCGTACTTCAGGCCAGAGTCCGAGAGCACTTTTTTCAAAGTATTCGAGCCGATCTTATAGGCGTCTAGCACAACGCCACTGTTCTGGGCCTCGTCCACGCTGGACAGCAGGGATTCAATGTTGTGCAGGGCGAGACTGCGGCGCTCTAAAAGAAGGAAGTTTCATGAAATATCCAAACTGGGGCAGCTTCTTGTACTTGCCATGATTCTTTTCCAGAAGATGCCTCTTTCGGAGATAAGTCTTGGCCATTTGTCGCTTGTTTTCCTTCAAATACTGGCGCGCCTTATCGTCGTTGAGCTTGATATCCTCCTCCAAGCTCTCCAACTGCTTTAGTAACTGGGCTTGGGTATTCTGCAGGTTGTGGACAGCATGATCCTCTTGGCTGATGTTGAGATCCTCGCCTTGTTTTTCTACATGAACAATTTGCAATTAATATAAATTCTCTTTGAAACTTTTCTGACAAAACTTACTGGGTATTTTCACCAAGTGAATTTGACGTAATCCTTTTTCAGTTTTAAATTCCAGACCAACGATTTGACGAACATTTAAGGAGATCAGGCACACACAGTAGTCTTTGTCGGATTGGATCCGAATCTGTTGCGACTTGCAAAGAGATTTGAAGGCATCGAAATGCAGGAGTTTTCCACTATTCTCAGGGAGGACTTTTTCGGTTATAAGGTCGCAAGTGCTCTGTAGGAGTCGGGAGTATAAAACATAAACTAGTTATAAACATAATCATATTACCTTCAAGACATCCAGATGGATCCATTCGACAGTGGCTGCCGCCTCCAGGTCCTCAGCTACCACACTGTGCTTAATCTTCGACCAGCTCCAGGATAGGGGGCGTTTCACAAGGCTGTTCACCAGCCAGCCGCTCCAGGAATTCGCCGGATCGTGCTCGAACTCTGCGCGAGATCGGATCAGTTTCCGTTGCTGCATTTCCAATATAACCGTGTCCAGGCAGGCGGGCAGTTGCTCTCCCCGCATGAACTGCAGCTGCAGATCCCGGAGGCAGAAGACCGGTCTGCCGCAGAACTTCAGGTAGTCGGCGATGAGTTCCTTCCAGAACTTCATCTTGGCGTCATAGTCATCAGTGCTAAGCTGGCGGGATCGAAACATGGCGAACTGCACTTGCATGACGGCGTTGTCCTTCCAGCATGGTGGTAGCCTGAATTCGCCATTTCCCGGGACGCCGTTTGCGAGGCTCATCCTAAAAAGTTGGGTCTTTTCCCGAATCCTACAAATTGCGCGTCTTTGGTTGCTTCTTTTGTTGTTTTTCCATCAGCTGGGGGCAGTGTTGAAAAGGTCTAAAATATTTCCACAGCTTGTAAACAAAATTCGAATTTGTCTGTTATTTTTATATAAAAAAAGAAAGATCTACAAAAATAAATTTAATTTATATATATTTTTTTCTTTAAATTTCTAAAAGTTTCTAAAAGACAACTATAGCACCTTGTTTATAAATAAATATTCAACAAGTGGTTGTTTATGCAAATGTTAATTTTTAAAACAAAATACATTTTTTATTAATTTAAAATATTTTAGGAAATTGATTGCCACTTCTTAAGCCTTACGAACTCCATGAATAATTAATGAATTAAAACATTTCCTCTTTTCCTGTGACCTCTTTTCCAGCACTGCCGATAACTTGGATATCGATTCGATTTCTCCCATCCCGAATCAGCTGTCCCAAATTCAGGCTACTTCGATTAACAACTTCTGGCGAAAATTTTGTTTTGAAGTTTTTGTTGAGTGTGCGTGTAATTGGATTCGTTTCGCCTCGTCTTGCCATTGGGAATTGCCAACATTCCGTAGGACTCCGGGCATGCATGGAGCAAGGAGCTAACTTGGCCGCGCAAGGATTCCCGCAGCATCGATGAGAGCAGAGCACCAGCAGCATCAGCCCCAGACGCACACCTCGGCCCCCTGAGTCACGTTCTTGGCCTTCGTTTCGCCACGGATCACCAACCGCCAGCCGGAGTTCCGCTCTCTCCGTGCTAAGATCTCTGCGTCAAAGCCTACCCGCTGCCACTCTGCTCCGCTTTCCCCGGCAGATTCTTGATTGCCGCAGAGCTCAACGTGCGTGTGACTCTTTGGATTCTCCATTGTTCTGCGGTGGAGTGACTGCATCTTGCAAATCATCATGATGGGGGATGATGATCGGATCAGCCTGCGCAATCAGTTGGCGAGGGGTAAGTCGAGATTTCTGGTGCGTCTGTAATACAGACAATCTCTCGAAGAGTTCCATAGGTTCCAGGCATTTGTTCCAATTTGTCTGTTTATTGTGCAGATAGTTAAAGTCATCCATTACTTGCAGTTTTTGTTTGTTTATTAATTATTTAATGGTGATTTAAAGATAATGAAAGGTCGGAGAGGTCTTCAAAGATATTTTAAAATAGATTTATTTTGAGGCTTGAATATTAAATTCATCAAAGATATAGTATTATATGGTACTAAATATTCTCTTTAAGTTTCAAATTATCATCGTAAGAGTATAATTTTTAACTAAACTTTAGGTACGTTTGATTAATTTTGTTTATTTATTCTATTTGTGGCTCGAAAGAAATGTTTCTTTGTATGAATTAAATATTTCAAAAACTTAAAAAAAGAAAACCTAAAAAGGCCAAATTTAAGCTCTCTTAACTTTGTTTAATTTTATTCTAAAGTCAAATTCGACAGAATTTAATTCAGAAAGAGTATTCTTTCGTAAACCCCATTTAATAAAAGAATAAAATTGGCACTATGAATGTCAATGAACGGAATTCGCTTGAACCAACCCGAAAATTGCCTATTCAGCAAATATGCGATTATAATTGCCTCATACTTCAATATGATTGTGATCTACATACTCGAAATCATGAATGATACCCTACTTAAGCCGAATCGACTTATTTTATGCTGTGTGTGATAAGATTTCAATGAATAATAAACACAAACAGCTCACCAATAATCAGTAATTCTCTCGATCTCAGCTCTCTGATTTTTGGAGAGGTTTTTGGAATTTGCACAGGCCATTTCTAATCGTTATCTGAACCGCCTCCACTTCAGACTTAGCACGCCCTCTGTGCCTGGAGAGAGATACAGTGCGAGTGGGGAGAGCGTGGAGGCGACGATGGTCACAGTCCGGACTATGCAGAAGCTAGGAATTTTTCCAAGAGCACCCAGAGCAATATGCAAAAGCGGACGGACGTAAGAGCCGCCAAACCACAGACGTCGTAGGGTTCACAGTGGGTCGACGCTGCTGTGACAGTGTTTTTTAATTGTGTTTTCGTAATGATTAAGTTCGGTTCGACGCTGGCCGCTCATTAATACGACTCTATATGTGTGCCTGGCCTGTCTGGATGTATGTTAAGAGCTTATACATATGCGAAAGCCGCGACGCAGCCGCCGCCGCCGCTGTCGCTGTCGATGCCGCTGCGACAGTAAAATTTCATTCAAACGCGTTTCACGTCTGTTTTCGAACGGTCAACAAACGGATGGGATCGGATCGCGCGATCGCCAGTCGCCATCGCAGCTCACAATAGCGATTTAGAAACCTATGAACTAAGCAAACAGACCGCCAATGGTCCAGCAGCTCCACCAGCTTTACTGCTCCCCCGCCTGTGATAAGTGCCCGTCTCCAAACTCTCGCAGTTAGTTCCCTTTTCGTGAAAAAAAAGAGAAACACATAAAGGCCAGAAAATGAAAGTCCCCACGCGCAGCAACTCGAAATATTCATTCAATTTGAAAATATTCAAATTGCATAACGATAAGAAAACGACAACTAGCACCAGCGCCAGCACCAGTCCACCAACCTCACCTGTGATCTCAGCGAAACGGAACTCATGGCGCGCTTCGTGGCGTTCGGCTTTGGGCAGCGGTTCCAAGTCCAGCAAAACCATCCAACAGACCCCTTCCTACGTTGAGCCCGATCCGAATGACGAGCTCGAGCGAAGCAGTTGCCACAGTTCCTGCTCCTCCTTGTTTCCCGCCATACAGATTCCGCAAGGCGATGAGCTCATGTGTAAGTCTTGTCTTACAGGAAAATCTGAGGTTTTTGCGAGGATTTTTGAAATGTTTTAATAGGTTTATTATTTAAAAAAAAAATACATAATGTTGAGCTTTGCAAATATTTGCAAAGTTTTGAAATTTCTGTTTCGTATATAACTAATAGGTACAGGTTAAAAAGGCTTTAAACTGTTAAAATAAATAATCAAGAATGTACGTAACTTTTATTTAAGGTTTTTTAGAGTCAAAAACACAAAGTTGAGTCGAAAAATCTTGAAAATAAACTAGGGTCTTTAAAGTGTAGGGTTTAACAGATTTTTTAAAATAAAAATTAGGGTTTAGTCATAGCTTGTTAAGGACATTCACGAAAGGGAAGTTTGTTACATACATGGGGCTATATTTAAGGATAGCAATATTTTTTCTAATGAAACAGATTATAAGATTATAAACAACGAAAATAATAGGTTTTCCTAAATCTGAACGCTGGCTAACTTCACAAATTTAGGCAAGCAAAAAAGAAACATTTTCGTTCTTAAAAGAATTAAAAAAGTAAATAAGAATACCAAGATTGGAATCACCGGCGTTTTACTGGCTTCGAGCATAAAATCCGTCAAAGATTAAGTGTGAAATGTGTGTACAAAAATAGAGCGCAAACGAAGTGAGGATGTTTGATTAGATATACCCACATTGAGGCGTACCAGGGGACCTCGGGAAATGTTAATCGACATGTGAAGATCGAGTTGCTCTTAGCGGGAACATACAAGTGTAGTTAGTAATGGCGGTGAAGTGGTGCTCACAGAATGGTCAATTCCCTGGTCAAATCGGGCAATTCCAAAAGGCGATAAGCGACGCGCCTCGGAGGGAAGATAAGGAAGGTGTGTTCACCCCACTCACCTGCGCACATGCGTTGGATCCCCGATACTATTTGATTTGGTTCCCCATTTCGCCAGTGTTCAGCTGTTTACGGCTAATATGTTATCCGGCAGCCAGTCAGAGTCAGTTAAAGGCATCGACGTGTCGCGCTTGGTTGTTGTGGCGGCAGCGGCGTCCCCGTAAAATGTTTCCGGTTTAGGCAATCTACATACACAGTCAACCGAGTGCTCGTAATGAGCTCCAGGCAATAGGCACATTCATAGCAACATTCGAAAGCTCCGGAGCTGTGAACTACACCTAAAAAATAAATACGCATCGCGGCGAGTGATTACATCGTGTGTTTTGTGCAGCACCAGCGGATTCTATACTCGAACGGAATAAACCAGCTCGTAGTTTCCAGCTCTTCACCTCTGCACCTCCCAGAGTTACATCATGCCGGAGGCGTTGCATTTTACATCGATCTTTGATCTCATAATCAAGAGCGGTGCGTTCACAGTTCACACTCAGTTTAAGGGAAACTTTTAGAAAGAAACAAATAGTTTTATGGGTGTAAAGGTGATCTTACGATAAGTATCAACTGAAACAAGAAAGGAGACTATCGTCGTGAAGCCGAAAATTGTATACCCTTGCAGTTTGCTCTAGGATCATGCCATCGAATCAAAAATCAATCATAACTAAGCAAAATACAACCCTTTCAGTGGAAATTCAAGTCTTATCTAACACATTTAACCAAGCAACGGCTATAATAACCACAAATTACAACCATAATTCAAAAAGTGCAATTGCTACAGCTTGTTGTTTGCCTTGTAAGCAGCAAAAGGTTTGCAAATAGTAGACATTTAATGCAAGAAGTTTGTTATTCACACTCCCTAGTTTCTCTTAGCCAACATCCACTGTATATGATAAACCGATAATGTGAAGTACACGCGATACAACAAACCTTTGGCATACTATATATACCTGTATTTGTGACACAGTTTGGCGCACCGATTGGCCGATTCGATCTTGACACCGTGAACATGAACATGAACCGCTTTCAAACATTTATTTAGCAGCGTTCGATTTCTTTACTTTGCTCTTGTAATGTTTGAAAACTTGTCTGTGTGTGAGGAAAGTTGCCCCGGATGAGGTGGTTTAGTGTCGCAGTTGGAGCAGGCATGGCCCAGCTTAAAAAATACAAAAAAAAAAAACCTATCAAAATCTGACAGTTTTATTAGTTTCATTAACAAAATTGATCTGTTTACTTCGGTCTAGTTTTGGGTAAGATGTTTGCCCCAAAACAATGCATTCGTTATATCTCTGATTGCCTCCCCATCAAAGGTGTGCACAGGTGTGTCATTGTCAGGTTGAGACATAGCCAATTTTGAGCTATAATGCTGCTCTATTTGCAAGCAATTTTCTGTACCTAATTGTATGTTTATTTAATGGAAAATCTTGTGCTCTTTCAGCGATGCCATGGTTTGGCATGGACATTGGCGGAACCCTCACGAAGCTGGTGTACTTCGAGCCCAAGGATATAACGCCCGATGAGCAGGATCGCGAGGCGGGCATTCTGCGGAATATACGGCGTTACTTGACCAAAAACTCGGCATATGGCAAAACCGGACACCGAGACACACACCTACAGGTGAGATAGTGATCATGATGACCCGAAAGCAGCTATAGAAATGTGGAATGTGGCTGTGCGATTTTGTAACAAAGCACGCTCTGACGCGGGGCCATTAGCATCTCGGGCATTATCATCGAAAATATTATCAATCCCAGCAGGCGCAAGTCGCGATATTTGTGCCTCATCCTCTAGTCAGTCAACAAGTCAGGTCGGAGAGGGTCGTCTGCTGATTCCACAATGTTCAAGTGACCTTCGAGAGCACGGAGAGAAATTGAGATAGGCTGTGCTCGATTCCATTCATAAATAGACATGATTTTGGCCAGCGACTGTCCACTCTGTAAACTTGACTAAAGCCAAACAAAATGGAATTTCGTGAATTTTACCACCGTGCACATAACGCTTATCTCCTGTGTTTACTTTTCAAGCCAAGTGATTCACCTGAAAATTATTCGTGAAATGTTTAAATAGTGTATCACGGATGCTCAGAAATAGGTCATTCGGTTTTATTTTTAGTAAAAAACAAAAAACCATAATGAAAGATGTTTACTAGTGGAGTAAGTTTACAAAGCAGGCTTTTTATCCGTTGTTTCCTCTTTATAAAAGGTAAACCTAGCTATTTGTTCATATAATTCCCTTGAATACTTTTATTTGAATTGTCTAATTAAACACCCAGGGGTTGATGCCCCGCGCAGAGTTAGGTATTATTTAATTTCGCACTTTTCTGGCTAACTAAGTACGTCGGTTTACACAGAACGGGGGCTTCTACCTAGACTTTGGATACTGGAAATAATATAATGTATAATATATAAGCTTTTACCTTAGGAACACTTTAAGTGACGTGAACATTGGATTTTGTATTTGCGTTTTAGGTTTCTTTTTTGTTGTTTTTTATGTTACTTTTGCGAGTAAATTTCCATATGGCAATAGGAAAGATATAATCGAGGAAAAACTAAAAGTTACACTTGGAAATGAACTTGGAATATTATAAGCTTAGACAAGAAAGAAAGCTATAATCTAACTTTTACCTTGTAATATACAATATAAAATTTTATTTTTAAGAATAAAAAGAATATATACTCAATTCTCCATTAATTTCTTCCCTTTCCAAAGATGGACAACGTTGAGATCCGCAAGCGACGAGGCTCGCTGCATTTCATTCGCTTCCAGACCACCGACATGGGCAACTTCCTGTCGCTGGCCAAGCAGAAGGGCATGGCCGAGCTGGTGACCACAGTATGTGCAACCGGTGGCGGGGCCTTCAAGTTCGAGCAGGATTTCCGCGATCAAGTCAACATGAAACTGGCCAAATTCGATGAACTAGATACGCTAATCAAGGGCATACTCTTTGCTGACCTGCACAATTGCACCGAGTGCTACTACTACGAAAATGCACGCGATATTCTGTAAGTGCCAGTCGGGCTAGGAGAGTCTATGAGAGTCTTGTGTAACCATTAGTTTTCGTTTCCAGGAAAAGCGAGAAGCGTCAGTTCAATTTCTCGCAACCTTTTCCCTTCATTTTGGTGAATGTGGGATCCGGAGTCTCCATCCTGGCTGTCTACGGACCCGACAACTACAAGCGCATTTCGGGCACAAGGTAAGTGGGGGTCTCTTGCTCCTTGTTCCCCTTTTTAATTGCCTTTAAATTGGACTGTTAGCTTGGGCGGCGGTACATTCCTTGGACTGTGTTGTCTACTTACCGGCTGCACAACCTTCGAAGAGGCTATCCAGCTGGCCACCAGGGGCGACAATAGAAAGGTGGACAAGTTGGTTAAGGATATTTATGGCGGCGACTACAACCGCTTCGGTCTGCCAGGGGATTTGGTGGCATCAAGGTAAGAAAGCTAGCTTTAAAATTCAAAAATAACAATTAATTTATTACGTATACGTCTCATTTCCAGCTTTGGCCAGATGCACATCAATGACAAACGTGGCTCAGTGTCACGTGAAGATCTTGCCAATGCCACTCTGGTCACCATAACAAACAATATAGGCTCCATAGCCAGGATGTGCGCGCTGAATGAGAAGATCGATAGGGTAAGCTTCACCTGATTTACATCAATCTGTTTTACATTAATAATTTCGCTATCCCCCTAGGTCGTCTTTGTGGGCAACTTCCTGCGCGTTAATCCCATTTCCATGAAGCTGCTGGCCTACGCCATGGAGTTCTGGTCAAACGGCACAATGAAGGGTCTGTTCCTAGAGCACGAAGGATACTTTGGAGCTCTGGGCTGCCTGTTGCAGTTTAATGGGGAGCTGGCTGCCGCCCTACAAGACCCAGCGGCGGATGATTGCGAGGAAGGTGTGCGTCCCGATGACACGACGACACCATCGCCGGCGGATGTGCCGCCAGAGAAGTCTTCGCTGGACAGCAAACACTCCACTAGATAGTCGCTGTAACCGTCACATGTCCCCGCATGTACAGTAGACCTAAGATCTATGATCTAATGATCCTTTGCAGTTCATCTCTCCGGTATTTATCGTACTCCTCTTTCTCGGCTTTAACTGTTAACCATGAGAACGCACAAGTTGTAAATGCATGAAGTAATCACTGAATGGATAAAGAGAGTGCCTGGTGTGTCCTACGTTCGGTAGTGTTTAGTTTCTTTTCTACAGTGATAGTTGGTTAGCTAGCGGCAAAAGTATTACAAATACTTGATTTCAAAAACCGCACAAGAACAGCTCTAACGAAACGCGCATAATATATTCATGCATATTACGTCTAAGTTTCTGTTTAAGTGGATGTGTTTTAAAGTTTCATTTTCTTAGCGCATAAGTTTGTGGTCATATGTTATGATATAGGATCCAATTTGTCGGCAGGTCAATAAAAAACTTGTTTAAAACAAAGCTTACGATTCTTTTCAATGTTATTTCGGCTTCTGCCCGAGTCCTTTCTCAATCAAATGTCTAAAATCAAAAGAAAAATTAACAAAAATAAAGATGAGTATCAAAAGCTCGGCCAATCTTAATCTAGATTATATTCCGTATTGTTCCAACTTTTAATTTAGAATTAACCTTAGGTTTTAGAACGTAAAAACTCAACACCGACGTCGCATTCCTTCCGACGCTTGGGGCATCGAGCTCCCAATGTGGCTGTAATCCCTTCGAATGCCACAGCTGGCCTTGAAGTCGAACACTCGCAGATTGTGGTCGGTGGCCACGAACATGTATTGGCTATCACAGGATAAACTATAGACGGGCGAGAAGCCATTGTGCTGGCGTGTCCGCCCCGGGAAGTACAACTGTACATATTTTGGCATTCTTATATCGTAGAGATTGACCCGGGCGTGGCGACAGCTGCCCACCAGCACCGCGTACAGTCCATCGTACTCCAGGCAGTAGAAGGACGAGTCGAAGGGATCCTCCCAGATGGCAACGTCGCGATCTATGCGACGGTCGAACATGCGAAAGGAGGTGTCGAAGTTGGCTGTAAACAGCACCTGGTCGTCCTTCATTTTCAGATCGTATATGGACTTGGATGCCGAGTTAAGGATCAGCTCCTCGCCACTGTAGAGTAGAGGAAATTAGACCCTGCTCCAGAGATGCTAGACTAAATGTTACCTTTCCACGTGTATGGCCCTGAGGGCCTGACCGTCGTTGTCTGTATAGAGGCCACCGTATAGCCACTGGCCATCCGGGCTCAGTTGCAGGGACTTGAAGGCGTGTGGCAACTTCGTCACCATATCGAAGTGCGTCAATCCAAACTCCTGGGACCGCTGCCACAGCTTGGAGCAGTGGTCGGTGCTCGTTGCATACAGATCCTGGACAAAGTCCACGCAAAAGAGATACTCGTTGGCCGGATGCATGCGCTGCTCCGTGATGCCCTCCGGGTCGTAGTGGAAGCACGATCCGCACACCCGTCCCGCAAAAATGGTGTTCTTCTTCTTGACAAAGTGTGAGATGTCGCTGTTGGTGGACGTGCTGATCTCCTCCTCGAACCGGCGCTGGAGGATGTCGCAGCTGGACCGGCGGTACTTGCGCAGATAGGCGGCATGGGTGATATACAGGGCGTCGTGCTCAAGGCACAGCTTGGTGGGGAACATCTGGGCATGGTGGAAGTAGGGGCGCTCCAAGTAGGTGCCGCTAACCCAGTTCTTGGACACCTGGATTCGCTCGTAGTTTGTGAGGCGCTTGCGGTTCCTGTGGGCAGGAATTCATAAGGACATCTTGTACAGGGTTGACATATACAACTGACCAACCTCTTTTCAATGCTGGGCCTGTCCCGGTTGCCGCAGAGCAGCAGATCCAATGTGAGCGGGTAGAATATATATTTGTCTATTATATCCTCCAGATATCGGCTGGCGAGGCACAGGCACAGCAGGTCTCCTTCCGAGCAGTATCTAAAGACCAGCAGGAGGCAGTCCACGTTCAGATCGGTCAGCCTCAGGCGGGTTTCGTGCATTTTTTGGTAAAATATTAATAATTTTTTGTTTTGCGACCACAATCATGATGCAGTGTTGCCAATTTAGCTATTTCCCGCTAGAAATCCCGGGTTGCTCGAGCAAGCTACGTTCGATAGTTTCCTATCGATTGGTCAACTTCCGGTTGACGGCTTTTACGACACTTCTTTCCGTTAAATTTAAAAAGGGTAGAGTTAAGACCTATAAAACCTTCTCATTTGGAGTTAATAAAAAAAAAAAAACAGATTATTCTGATTGGTCATCAGTTGCCTCCAGAATATAAGATAAGGAACATCTATTCTTTCGAGTATGTACTCATGTGAATCACTTCATATGATGCAAAATGACCTGGAATTGTGAAATCTTAGTGTTCTCTGCCCTCTCGCAGTGATTGAATGATTCGACAGAAAAAAGAAACAAAGAAACAGAAAGGCAATCTATTTAACTGTTATCTTATTTAAAGCTCAAAGGTAGAGTCCAACAAATGTAATGCACTTCGCAAATTTGTATACTCAAAAACCTAACTGACGTGGATAATGTTTTTCTAAAAGATTGTTCCGTTCACCGCACTAATATTTATATTAACGTTTAAATGAGATAAGACTTGGTATTTATAATTAATTTTATTGGGGCTAACTTGATGGTATCACTTAGAATTTGTCGTGTCAGGATCACGGATAGATTGCCGCCGCTCTATTTGCAAGGCTTTTCCGAACCTCCGCCTTCCATGCATTCTATTTTCTTTCCAGGACACGGATTATCTGGAGATGAACCCTTGGCGGCGGCATCCGCGGTGCTATATATGGTCGCTACGCCACCGGATGGACCCGCCATGCCTACAATTAAGAGGGCACCACCTGCCGTCGTCTGCTTCGCCGAGTCCTGGCAATCCTGACAGTCCGGTGAGCACTGCCGGCCGGGAACCTCAGGTATAGCACACGCGTCGCTCGGATGGGGCCCAATGTAGAATGGATTGAATGGCGTGTCGTCTGATGTCGGCATGGTGCTAACGGGGATGGGTGGCTTCGGAAAACGGAAAAACACGGATGGAAAAATTTGGAATTTATGTTGTTGGTGTCCTGAACTGTTGTTTCTGATGTTAGCCCCAAAACTGAACGAAACTGTTGTCCAATGGGAAAGGAAATAAAGCCTCAATGAAAGCCATTCCAAAGCCTGCTATGAAACACGATGAGGAGCGTTTTTTAAAAACAATTTTTTAAACTTATGACATGGCTTTATTTAAAAGCTTAGAAAAAAAAATAAAAAAATCAATCATGCAAAACAAATATATGCAAAATTCTGCAAAAGAGAACTCCTATAAGACATATACTAGAAAAATTTTAGATAATAAAGCCACAAGAAAAGCAAAAACCATACCCTAGAATTTAAATTTATCATTAGCGCGCCGATCTTATCCGCAAAGCTTTTTTGAAATTATACTATCAGAGCTTTGGACTCATTAAAGATTAACCATTTCGCATAGAAGGGCAAAGGCTGAAAGAAAAAACAATTCATGGGAAAATGATTAATGATTATTTACCTTTCCTGCTGTGGAATTCAAGTTGCAGAGGCTAGACTTCAGGGAACCACTTCAAAGTATGAAAAAAGACAAAACAAATTAAATTGGCGATAAAATAGTTTTGATTTTTCAGAGGTAGAAAAAGCATTTCACAGACTTGCAACGATTGATATAAGTCCACGACTGAAATACCCAAAAATAAATAGACAGGAACTGCACATTTTTTGGGGACACAGAAGTCGAAAATACACTGAGTACATACATTTCTACGTGGGATACGAATGCGTACGTCCACGTACCTATATATATACATGATAGCAACAATTTAAAGTTATTTAGAACACTGTTTCCGCAATTAGGCACGAAGCTACCGAGAGATTTTTGCGCTAAATACCTTAACTGAGCATTTGATTGAGTCGAAATCACACAGAAAGCTGTCGGATCTGTCTAGAACAGTGCCTATACATATACTACGCACATTGGAACAACATGGGAAGATTTATTTTAATCTTACATCTGGAGTGAGTCAGAACTGCATTTGTTTGCGAAAAGCTGACAGCTATTCACTACCTGATACGCTCTCAAATAAATAAACATTAGATTAGCATAGTATAGTAAACAATACTGATTACAATAATTTCTCCGCTCATAATCGCTTTATATTATAGATAAGTCCTCAGTGCGGAAAAATAAATGTTTAATGAAAACCAAAAACAAAAACCTGCGGAGTGTCTCTCTAACAAAGAAAAGTGTAACGGCTATATTTTTGGGTCAGGGAAAGTAGCGTAGCTGTCACAGTTCAGCTCTAGTTTATGGTTAAAGGTTTTAGAACCTTAAAAGTGAATTTCGGCTAACCTAGATCTCCAAGTACTTTTCCCCCAGCCAACATAACTTGGTACTTTCCATTTAACCAACATTAGTTGCTTTATGACCTCTATTAGGGGCTTGTTAAGCTTGTACAGTACTTAACTTTGTGGTGTCAAAAATCAGATGGTATATTTTATACTATAAGGGAAAGAATCGTGACTTTCATGTTAGTTAAGAAAGAACGAACGCGTATTTTCTGGATCGTTCGTTTAAACGCCCGTTGAGACTCTTATCACACTTGCACATGACAATGGCTTTTGCCATTTGAATTCTTCTATGGAATAGGTATAGGAATCTCGGAACTTTAAATACTCTTCAAATGATTGAAATTATTAGGAAAATAATGTATATATTTGGAATACAAATTTAAAAGTAAATTAATTTCACCATGTTAGATTCGGTTCAAAAATTGTTTTACACTTCACTAATATTTGTTAATAATTAAATACTTTAAAGGTGGTTTTCATGGTTTTTATTGACGTTATTTGGGCTAACTTGGATGGTCTTAAGTGTTGTAGAGTGTCAGGATCAGATAAGATGAATTTTCGCCGCTCTATTCACAAGGTTTATCCTTAATTCTCCCTTGCATGCACTCTATCATCATTCTGGGACACGGATTATCTTGAGATAAACAGAGGGACAGGCGGCGCCTGCTTGGTGGAGTCCTGGCCATCCTAGCAGCACTGTTGGCCGGCAACCTTAGGTGCAGCGCACGTGTTGCTCGGATGGGGACCGAATGGGTTCATTGTATGACGTCTGAATTGGCCATGATGCTAAAGAGGATCGGCGGCTCCAGAAAACAGTGAACGGCTAACACCAAAGCACAGATGGATTTTGAATTTATGTTGTTGGTGTCCTGCACTGTTGTCTCTAAGGTTAGCCCCAAAACTAAATCAGATTTTCATCCAGTATGAAGGGAAAAAAGCATCATCGAGGACCATACTACGGAAAACCCCACAAATAAATATTTACGAGAATTCCACAAATATATAAAAACATATGGGTATTTTCCAGTCGGCTCTGGATCGATGTTAAGTCCCATATCGGGGAAAAAGTTCATGCGTGGCAATGGAGCACCAAAAAAATTGATAGTCACAATCTGAAGGTGACGTCGCCGTCAGCAGTTTTTCGCGTTTTGCGCAGTTCTCGTTCTCCCCATCGGAAATTTCATAATCTGAACAAAGTGCTCGCTCGGCCACAGGTAGAAATGCTCACTTACACCACCGAAAATCGGGTTGGCATACATGCGAAAGCCCTCGCCTCCTCACGTCGCCACATCAGATGACAGTGGTGGTGTTGGGACCGACCTCTCTCCTCTGCTCACAATAATACTTATTAGCTTACTGTTGTTTTTGGGGGAGCAAAGTCACAAGTATTTCCGCAACGAAAGTCACGTTCGCCAAGCTGATAAGTTGCAGTCACTATTGTTATTATCAAAAATGTTGGAGAATCTGCAAAGTAATTAGGAATCCCTCGGCCGAGAGGCGCTCTAAAAATATACTCTTACTGCTACAAGAAGTCTCTCGATTTTTCGCGAACAGGTTATTTATCACCTTAGATTAGAATTAAGAATAACAAAAACTTTGTTTTTCTGCGAATACACGATCAAAATATTTGTCTCATCTTACTAAAATGTTGTATTTTGTTGTTTGTAAACAACAGTGACGCATTCAGACTCTCAAAAATCTTCTTTTCCCCTGACTCATAATTGTTTTCGACTTGTGTAGCTCTCTAGTTCTATGGAATTGATTTCAATATTCTAAGTGCTGAATATTGAAACAGTTTATGCTCAAATCATTAGTACAGTTGAATTTTCATATAGTAGACTAGTAACTATGTTTTTGGGTAGATCTTTTCCACAGTGGGAGTCATTTTTATAATAGAAAAATTAGTTTAAAACAATATTTAAACAATATTACAAAATTCTTGTCAGGTTGCCCTATATAATATTTCTGGAAATAGTGTAGAATTTTATTTTATAAAGTTATATCATAATTTTTTAACCCATCTTGTCGAAAATTCCCTTTTTTCTTATCTATTTATTCTAAAGATAACGTATAACTATTAATTTAAATTCTTTCAATTAATTAAACCGAAGCTTTTCGCTCGACTTGCCCGATAACTATAAGGTTATCTTTAACTATTCAAAGTAACTGAGAGCCTCCCAAGTCCCACGAAATAAATAATAAAAACACAAGTAATTATTTTAATTCTTGGTGAGATCAAATTTCAATGTATTATTTTTTTTCACGATTTTCTCTTGCAAGATTTTCATATAGTAGACGAAGCGTAATACAGAAGTATTAAATAATAAATAACAATTTGCATTTGTTGCATTTTTTAACATGGAAACTAATGTGTTGTTTTAGAGCCCAAAAACAAATCAGGGCGACTGTCCTTTTTGATCAAGATCAACAGTTTGCAAAAAAATTAAAAAATGTTACAATGTATTGTACATAGGTAGGTGTTTTTGTTTTTTTTTTGTGTGTTTATAGGAAGAATTGGTTGCAGAGAGGAGGCTGCGCAGGGCGGCACGATTCTTGAACGGATCGTGGCCACGGAGCGCGATTGGAAGGCAGTGAGTTCTTGTGTGTTTGTATCTAAAAGAAAATGTCTAAGCGAGGCTTTAAGTCTTTGTTTGGCAGTACCACCTGCAGGAAGACGACGTGGAACGCAGTCAAATTCGGCGCGCGCCCAAAAAGGCGCAGGATGTATTCACAATGTCACATCGCCTGATGTGTCCATTATCCTGACGGCTACCGAAAGCCGGCATACAGCCGGAGTAGCAGCCGACGCGCCAGCGTGTCCCAGAAAGCAACCCGTGGGTGAATTTCTCGAGCTCCGATCAGCCCATTTCCACATCCGTATCGGGTCCGGGTTCCGTGGACATGGCATTGGCGTTCTGCGCCATCTGAAGCGTGTTTCGCGTGTAGTCTAGCGGCTCCACCCCGATATCCTCGTACTCGTGCTTGTCTCCCAACGGACATGGTCCGCCCTCGTCCTCATCAATCGCTTCAGTGGCTGTGCCCTCGCTCTCCTCCTCCGCATCGCTCCAATCCTCGGCCACCTCCACGTTGACAGGCAGGTACATGTGGAAGGGGCGCTGTTCCCGCAACCACGGCGTCAGGAAGATATGGCTAGCGGTCATCCGTTCCGTGTAATCCTTTCGCAGCAACGACAACAACAACCAGCGGACCGATCTCGAAAGCGTCATTGGTATTTGGACGTTCCCGTGTCGGATCACCGTGATTAAGTTGCAGTTGGCCTTCTCGTAGAACGGATACTGACCCACCAGCATCGTGTAAAGGATCACGCCCAGCGACCACATATCCGCCGGCTTGCCCTTGTACGTTGGCTGGGGACAAAGGAGCTCCGGGGCGGTGTAAAGCGGGCAGCCAATCTTGTCGCTTAGCGTATCATCTTCGCCGTCGAGGATCATTGAGCCTTCAAGGGACTCGTACTGAAGTTTGGTTCTGTAAGCAAGTAAGAAAAACAATAGCCGTGAGTTTTCTTCCATAAGATTGCATAGATTTATAGATAGATTTATGTATACAAAGTTTGATTACTTTGACATTCAGATAGTAAGTGTGGCAATTGATAATGTAACCTCTGTAAATGCCTTTTCGTTCCCAAAGACCGGTACATATTAAAGCCATTATGGGCAGCCATTATTCTGATCGCAGACTGTACCCCCGCCAAGACATTGGAGCTCTACATCATGTGCAATCCCTTGGGGCCTTGCGTAACCCCCGATTTTGTGGGGCCATTAGCTATAGCGCAATATCGAAGAGACTTGAATCGATCGGATACGGCGCAGCAGTGGCAGCAGTGCCAGTGGTAGTTGTAGTTGGCGTTGGCGTTTTGACAAGTCAAAAGGCGAAATCGAATTCGGCCGAGAGAGACAGAGAGAGGAGAGCATTGTCAGTTTGGTGACGAAAGCGCAGCTTGCGACCCCCGACACCCATGAGCGAGTGCCTCCTCCGCCTCTCCCACTCCCGCACTCCCTCACTCCGCCACTCCACTCCACTCCATTGACATTGGCCCACATTCGAATGCAAAAAGTAACAAAAAAAAAAAAAAAAAAAAGGCAGCAAACACGGCGAATAGAGCCAAAAGAGAGCCAGAGCTAGAGCTAGCCGTCAGCTGTGAGTGAAGAGTGATGTGACGTATCGCAACTTGTTGCTGCAACGGCGCTTCTGCTGGGATCCAACCACCAATCTTGGCGGCACAATAGCAAACCACCGAGAGATACACAAACACACGGCCGCTAGCCATGGTATCGTATCCAAACATCCAAAGAGCCAAACACACAAAAAGCAGGCCAAAAAAACCTCGAGCTGACCCTGAACAAAAAAACAAGCTTTGAAAACGCGCCTCTCCTCGTCACAAATTACACGGCACACACTGTTAAAAATCGTAGAGCATTTCGATCATAAAGGTCAGAATCACATATTGATTTGGCATATCTTTTCAAAGTGTAAACTTTTAAGATCAAGGTTTATTTATGAATATTTTTGATGATACCTTTTCATATTAAAATCAAAACCAGCTGTTATTACATTTTAATATAAAGATCAAGGTAAATTATTTGTATTTAAATATGGTCTATGGTCATATAAAAAATTGAATTCTTATAAAGGGATTATAACTTTTAAGATCAATGCTTTCTTTTACAAATTAATACAAAATATATAAAATATATTTCCGTGCAGAGTACCCCAATTGAGAATTTGAGAAGTAAAGAAGTTGGAGATTGGGAGTAGTTACAGCCGGTGGCCTCGATGGGTCTCCAGAGGGGGGCTTTGAAGAGCGAATGAAAATACGGAAAACCGGCGGTGGCGACTAAGTGTTCAAACACCTTGAAGCGTTTTAAATAAAAGTATGACTACCGATTTACATGCATAAATAAATACTCGCTCGTATGCATGAATGTATATAGGCGCAGGCACATATATACAAATTTTTATGAGGTAAAAATACAGAAGATCAGAGTCAGGGCCACTAACCGCAGTGCGACCTTAAAGATTTCGGCTCGTCGCTTGGTTGTGCGTGCGTGTGTGCGCGAGACTTCGGATATGGATACACACAATGTACACAAAGTACATAGTATAGTTATAGTATCTTTCGAATGGAAATGAGCGTTAATATTCGCATTGAACACACTTGTTGTTTATTCCTTTTTCGCCAAGGTGAGAGAGCGCTATAATAGACTGAGCAGAGATCTGTTGTTGCTGCTGTGCGTCTCTGGCCTGTTCCTTCCGCTGTTATTTTTGCACTTGGCTGAGAACGAGAATGATGAAAAATCAGCCGATATTGCGCTAATTGTAAGCCATACGGAATCGAACAATTGTTCACGTCATTCCCTGCTGATGTCAGTAGTAAAGTCGCGGTGATGATAATCAGAGCGGCAGAGAGCGTGTTTATTTGCATATGCGAAAAAAAATATAACATTTCGATGGCGAGAATATGGAAAAGAACACAGAGAACCAATGTGGGGTGGGCAAAGCCCAATATTTCATCAGCCACTGTAGTACACATGCAATAAAACGACACGTTGCTCTCTCTCACACACCCGAGCATAATATGCTCAACCCAAGAGAACCCGTAGTAGGTGGCCTCCGCCTTAGCTAACACCTCCCGCCCCCACCGCACAATTGCACATGCCGTATTGTACAATTCTTAAAATGTGGCAATGCTTCCAAAAATGTGAAGAAAAACAATGAAGGTGGGCCAACATTTCGGACACCACTGTGGCACATTGGCCCTTGTGTGAATAAGCTTCGTGACTCGGCACAGACGAGGTCAAAATACTACGTTTGCGCTATTATCTGTTGCTTCAAGTTTGTAAAAAGTAACATTAATCACTCGTGATATTTCAATAACTCTTGAAATGTCTAAAATTAAATTCTTAAAAATCAAATAATGATGAAATTATAATAAATAGCTAAAGCAGCGATGACAAAAATGTTCTTATCTAAGCGAATCTGTATTGTAACATTTTTAAATTTAAATTTATTTAAAAAATATTATTTTTGTATTGATATTCAAAAAGATTGTATTTTATATAGTAAATTAGAAAAGTTCTATAAAAAATTACTTATAATTTTCAGAAATTTAATAAAAACTCTGAAAAAAAAATATTTTAATATTACTTCATTTTAATAATTCATAAATTGAGATCAAAAATATTCAAAAATATTTTTTACGTCATTCGGAACTATTATTTGGACGAATGCTGTCTCACACAAACATTCATACATACATGCGCAAATACGCCGCGAGCATGTGGCTTGTCAGTATAATTGTTTTTGTTGGACTATTGGTGATTCGATTGCAACACTTGTTAAATGTTCAATGTTACCCACAACGACAACAAAAACAACAACAACATAGGCCAATAACAAGAGCAACAATTGTGGCACCACCAAAACTCACACAAGCACACACGGCAAATACAAACAAGATCTCTCGCTCATAACGAGTTTTTATCGAATTGCAAAATAAAGCGACCAAAAGCCAGAGACATGTATGCAATTGAGCTGGTTGCTTTTTGGTATATGGATGTAGGGGGATTTCGAAGGTGTCACCACACAACTCACCTGGCCTCGTCGATGAAGTAGAACCGCTTGAGCTTGAGGTCTCGCAGGATAATCCCGTTGCGATGGCACACCTGGACGGTCTGGCAGATCTGGTGGAATATCGCTCGCGCCTCGGCCTCGCACAGGCGCTTCTCGTGCCGGATATAGGTGTGCAGGTTCTCGTAGACACCGCTCAAGCCACCGGTTGCGTCCCGCTCCTGCGGCACCGGCGCTATTAGGATGTAGGTGCGATCCTTGGACAGCGGCACGATGTCGTGGACGGGCCGGATCAGCGGATGGCCGTAGATGGTGCTGCGGCGGAGCTCCTCATCCTGCTGTTGCAACTGGAAGTAGGCGCGCTGCACCTTGTGCAGGGGTTCGTTGACGATCCGGCAGAGGAACTGCTCCCCGGTGAATACGTCCACGCAGCGCAGGTTCGAGGCGGTGAGATCGACAAGGTGTCTGTACGAGGCGGGCGTCTTGGCGGCCACGGCGGCCGAGATGTGACTAGGCTGGGCACTGATCAGATATCGCTGCTGGATGAGCTTTACCGGCTGCTGGTCCGTGGGCTCCGCCGCGATGCCCAGGGCCAGGAGATCGCATGCGCCGTTAGGGGTCATCAGCTTCTCACGGATCGTCTGCAGCATCTTGGCGTTGGGAAAATTCTCCTTCTTGGGGGTGAACAGACCGGATCCCGATGGAACTCCGTCCTCTTGGCTGGAACTCATGCTGGATGATGATGATGCGGGCGAGGCTGGCGAATAGTTGACTACTTTGTTGGCCGCCGCTACCGACGCCAACGCCGTACTGCTGTTTTGGCCGCTACTGTTATCCATGCTTGCTTGTTTACCACTTAACTTTATCACAGTTCTTGCTTTCGCGTCTCCGTCTTATTTTTCGCCGATCTTTCTGCTTCTTGCGCTTAGCTGTACTTCACGATTTCTTGTCCACCGCGATTGTTAATTGTTTTGACATTTAGCGACGCGCCGTTTAGCGTGCGACTGTTTCGAATTCGTTACTCCAACGCGGCTGCTAGTGCTGGCGAAATGAAATGCGAAAGCGCGTTATTCCTCAGCGATTTTAAAACAAATCGAAAACGCGCCCGACTTCTTCGCAGTTTGAATTTCGAATGTTCCGATGACTCGCTGCTTCGTGTCGTTGTCGCCATCGTGAGCGCTGGTGGAAGCGGAAAGCGGAGAACGAATCACCGCTCTCCCTCTCGCTCGCATTGTTTCTCTGTCGCTCTCCCTCTCCCGCACAAGGTTGTGCGCGCCTGTGTGTGTGAGCATGCGGACGGCTCAGAGAGAGAGAGAGAGAGAGAGAGCGCAAGAGCATCGTTATTTTTGAAAACAATTGCGCTGAACGCTGAAATTCCGACTTTGGCCTGCATGTGTGTGAATTCTCACACACACACGCATGCGTCGGGGTTCGCGGCGAGAAACGAGACGTTGGATTTGAATGCCCGCGATAACTCTTATTTCGAATATTATCTTTACAGCAACCCTTAAAACTGAATATGATTTTACATAACAAATAATCTCAGAGCACTAAATTAGAAAGAGGGAAAGTAAACATTATGGACTTGATATACGCAGATCCACACTGCGTCTCTATATTTTCAATATCTATTCGATCTGGTCGAGAAATCAATGTGATCTTTTTAAAATACAGTTGTTGTATGTATTTCATGAATATATTTATATTTTAATGCTCCCATTCTTTAAAAATATTTGTAAGTTTTCTTACTCCAAATAATTTAATTAATAAGGAACAACTACATGTTCATCAAAATTTATATTTAATACCAGAATTAATTATTGTTTTAAATATGGAAATATCTATCTAATTAAATTACAATGGTTTGTGCTAGTAAATTTTTAAGGTTTTATCTCAAGCTCGATTTTCTAAAGGACCTTATATTATTAGGATTAGCTTCTGAAATATTTATATTACTCTCTAAGAATAATTCAATATATGTATTGTTTCTAATTTGGTGTGCTTCTGACTATTTTTATTTTAAAGATTTGCTCAATTTCATGTTTGATTCATGAAATCGATCTTTAAATTTCTTCCTGTGCGAGATCATTACTCACTCATACGTGAGTGCCTGTCTGTATTGGTATTCGTGTTCGCAGTGCAGACGATTTCATGATTTTTGCAGCTGTCCCTAAACGAGGATCACTGGGCTACGCAGGAATTACGACAGCGACAGAAGGTAGTGATCAGAGGAGATCTTCGAGGAGCAGGAGCAGGAGCAGGTAAGAACCACTGAGCGGGCATTATGTCGCAGGTAGATTTCTATGTCAGCTGCACTATTCCAACCCCTAAGCACCGTGTAGTGCACCGATGCAGGGCTGTACATGCGGCTGCAGTTGCATTTGCAGCTGGCGCAAGGTGATTTTTCCACTAAAGACATCCGTCTCGACACAGATGAGGTCAAAATAATAGAAATACACTACCAGAATCTTGAAACTGTACATTATTTTGGTTAAGATGTATTTAAAAACACACCTTTACTGCTGTCAATTGATAATGGGAATATTCAATGCTAAATAAAAATGTAAAATTTGCCCGTTGATCCAAATGATATTAAAAAGCTAAAGATTTATAGCCATTATTTAAGAATATAGAATTGGAAAAGGAGCTAATATTTTGACCGCAGCTGTACATTATTTTTGGGCGCTATCCTTTAAACTCTCCGATTGAATTTTTCGTAATGTAACGCTCATTTTGAAACGCAACGTCTGTTTCCATTTCTCCTGCTTCTTCTTATTATTTGCCCAAAGCAGCCGATAAATACGACTGAAAAAATCGCGAACAACGGAACCGAGAGAGAGGTAACAGAACGAAAACGTCGTCTCGCTCTTCCTTCTCCGTCCGTCCCTTTCCACGTTTTCGCATCTGTTTCTCATAAATGTAGATGTGAAGATTTAAATGAGGAAATATACTGGTACCGTGTCCCGAATCTGATCAAAAAGGGAGTTTTATTTTGGGGGTGGCTATATTATTATATAGATATTTATTAGTCAGGGAAAATTTTACACTATATATGACACATTCCATTCTGGTTCGTTCTGGTTAATGCACTTACATATAGTATAAGAAATACATATGTACATATATATAAATGTATTTTCCTGAAATAATCAATAGCAGTCATCAGTTAACAAGGTTAAACTTTGTATAGTATACATAATTATTTCACAAATAAAATTTTAGTTTCATCATGGGTTGAAATTATGAATAACCTAAGTTTGCCAGAAGGAATTAGTACATATATTTCATTATAATGAAATTACTCACATTAATTGTTGAAAAATGAATTGATATGAAATGTGGTTGGTATATATTTATTAATACCTCGAACCAAATTCCGAATAAAAAACGGGATAATATTAAATTCGAACCCACCAGCTCTGCACAGATTTTAACTAGCACCTTATCTAGACACTTAAGAACCGGTCCTTCAATTCAATTCAGATCACATTGCTTCGGGTATGTACGGGATAGGTGTTTTCCATTAATTAACTATTTTTAAAATCGATTGATTTGTCACATTGATTAAGTTTTGTTAAGTTTAAGCTTAAGTTTCACTGTGGAGTCGCCCCTTGAACCCACTGTGCCGCCGAGCTCCACCAAGAAAACGTTACATTTTAAATTTTAAATTCGAAAATATACGTTAAACTGGTGCTGGGACTGAAACAAAGTCGAATGAGTTCTGCTTCGAACGCTGTTGTGGCTTTTTCTGCGACTCCGAGACGATCGATAAAATTTCAGCACGAATTTTTGTTGTTGCCAAGCCGCTTGCGGCGGCATGAAATCTAGATTTCTCTCTCGCCAAAGTGGTTAAGTGAATGCGTCATCATCGGCTGCGTCATCAATCCGGGATGACGATTCAGACTGCGATTCCCCTTCCTGATTCCCCAGTTGAAGCACCATCACACCGTCACGGGGAGCGACATTCCCCCGAAAAAGATACAGAAACAACACGACGCACACCTCGCCTGATGGGTAAATATGTTTGTATAACTTGTATATGTATCTGACGGGTTGGTGGAGTTTTATATGCGCTCAGTGCAAAGTTTCAGATTCGCACGAAATTATGGTAGGTGAAGTTCTGGAAGTGAAATGGCGATTGGCTGGGAAATGCACGATGCAAGGCCATGCAATGACTGCGGGAAAAGTGAATGTAGATTAGGCCGATGAGCACGATAAGAAATTACACTTGCATGTGAATTTTTAAAGCCTGAGAGTGACTGTCTATAAAAAAGGTACCAACAATAATATTTTCATATATATTATTTTTAATATCTAGTACTATATTATATTTTTTAACGGCTGTTTTCGTCAGATCATAGTATTTCCAGAAATAAAGCAATTTCAAGTACTAAGATACTCGAGAATTTTTATATTTCACCAGAAAACTAACTTTGGGATGTCGAAATTTGTTTACCCTTATATAATATTGATAATAAGTAAGCCAAAAAGTAATCAAATTGAATTCGGAAAGCTTTTCTATGTTAGTTTTAAATAGGCTAACAAATCAGCATACAGAATTTAAAAATGTAAGAAATCCAAATTTTTGTCAATTTTTAAAAATTTTAACGTTGTAACCCCTTATATAATTTGGAAAAAAATGGCAAAAATTTGGTTCCTTCCGGACATGCAAAGAAAGACTTGCCTGTTAATTCTGATCAATAATATATATGGTTTATGGGGTCGGAAATGGATCCTTCATTGCTTTGCAAGCTTTTGAAAAATTATAGGCAAGGGTAAAGTATCTATGGGTAAAGTATCTATGTAGCTAAGTCATAATAAATATAAGATATTGTTACCATTTCTGTAATTTCTTTGATTAAAGAAGTATGTATATATGTACATATATTATTTAATTATGTAAATCTGATCTATTTACATATTTAAATGAATATCCATACAGAAAAAAACTGATTATAAACACTGTTAACTACATTTTCAGGCCTATTTACAAGAGTTCAGGTTATGGAAGATATACAAAGCTCAATGGTGTTTCAATCTCTATGAACTTTGCTGGATCGGTGTAAATTCGAACGGCAAATCGAACTCAAGCATCACAGAAGATACACTCTCACTCTTTCGAGCGTGCAGTAAACACACAACAACAGGTTGTCGGCGGCGGCGTCGGCTGTTTTGGAGAAAGTGCTTATTGCCAACAATAATAGCATCAGGTGCAATGACCACATATACTACACCTGGGCGGTGGTTGGTTAAATAAAAAACGAATATGTATGTATAAATTTCCATGGAAACGCGACGCTCTAACGGCGGCGAAACTTATAAGGGAACTTGATCTGATTTAAAATTACGCTATAAGTGTGGATTTTCTGGCAAACAGATTTTACTGTGAACTTACTAACAAATAACTAAAGCTTGTTTAATATTATACAAGCTGCTTACCGTTAACATTAACCATTAAAACTTTCTTTTCATTACAAAGAGAAAGATTCCCCATTATGTTTTCGATGTCATTGAACTTTTGTAACAAAAACTGTTGTGCTTTTTGAGATCAATTTTCTATAAAAAGGAAATATTTATTTTAATATTTTGATTTTTGTAAAATTTTCTATATTTTCTAAATGATTTGAAATGGCAAAAAACACTATCAGTTTGAAGGACATTATTCAATGGCCTCAAACACTTTCTCGCTACCTACACACACATTTATGCGTAGGTGGTGAAAATTGCTGCCCTTTTTCAGGTCTCGATCCTCTTCCCAGATGTGTTTCCCAGATGCCAGCATGCTGAGGATTCCGGGCTTTGTTCAAAATATTTGTAATGAAGGAGATACGATACCCGGCCGAGAAATGGTATTGACGTTCCCGCACAGCACACATATGGCTGGGAAGTAACTATTATTACCAGTCACGGCGTGGGAACCGGCTCAGAGATGTCCCGGGATTTATTTAGAATATTTTTGCAGTTCCTGTGGGTACAGAGCGAGGTATAGGTAATTTGCGGCATCATATTTATAATACGGGTAGCACTTCCCAGGTGAAAATTCCCGATGCCTTTCCACACATCATGGCGAGTTTGAGTGCGTCGCCAACAGTAGTGGCCGGTCACCCCGTCCCTTACACAGATCCCAGACAAACAATTAGTCCGTCATGGAAAACGTTTGAAAATGAATTTTTCAAGAAAAAATTAACCCCTTATGATGCTCATCTCGGACACAAAGGAAAGAAGAAAGGTACAGGCTGCGGAATACCATTAACCCTGTCAACCCCTAAATGACAATTGCCTTCAGCTATCAAAAGGATATTTTTCAATAAAATATTTACCAAAATATGTAGTTTCATCAAGAAAGCATAAGTACACTTTCTCAAGAAAGCGTTAATGTGATTTACTGGACTTGGGAAAGGGTATACGAATTTTGCTATTACAAAAGAAAGAAATACAAAAAACTTAAAAGCCGATCCACATTTATGACTGGAAAATATCCCTAATCGCATCTTCATGGGGTGGGTTTGTCCCTGAATTTTTCATCAAGTTTTCCCACTTTTCACGTTAGATCTAAACGAACTTTGGCCCTTTTCTCCAATTTTGTAATTGCGCCATTTATTTGTCTATTGTATTTTTGGGCGACCCTGTTTCACCCGGAAGGAGCCCGGCCTCCATTGTTCCTTTGTGACACTAAACTAGCTGAAAACCTCTTTTTTTTCTATTGTATATTGTCATCATTGTTACACTTTCAAGGAAAGCGAATAAAAAAAACTTGTATTTTTTTTCAAGAAAATATACGCATTAAACGATGATATAATCATGCCATCAGAGATCCCTAGAAATGTATTTTTATTTACATATTTAAGGTTTTTGTGTCGATTTTAATTAAATTTGCCTAAAAGTTGGCCACGCTTGGCTTTGACCGGGAGTTATAGCCATCTTTCGAGATCCGCGCCATCGCACAGCCGCAGCTAATCCCAAAACAAGTTCGCGGCCCAAGAGATGCTCAGTCTTCCGAGCATCTTGAGCCCAGAGCAGCATCCCTCAATGAAACTCTACGCTTCTACCCACTAAGTATGTCCTGCAGTCGAACGATATAAAGAGTCCTGTGCACCACCTGCTTCCTGCGACTGATGCTGAGATTTCGAGCCGAAGATATCCTTGCAGCTGAACATATGTATGCGCCTACGCTTCGCACTGGGGTAGGTTCTTCTATTGTGTGTGGTACAGGCTGAGATCTCAACAGTTCTGGGAGTTCAAAATGTGTTTTTTGAGTCCTTAAAAAAATGGAATCAACAACTGTACCACACACACACAGGCCACACCGAGCATTAAACGAGTCTGTCTTTCAGGTTTTACACTGATAAAGGAACTCTTTTGGGTCTAAAATATTTCAATATTTTGAGGACAGATTTTAAATTTACTTATTGACAAAAATTGTAAAGATATATTATCAACGTAAATCTACTGGAATTAAAACACAAGCCTCATCACTATACATGAGTTTTAATATAATTTCAATCATATATATAATATTGTATACGTTTATTTACACAGTTATAAATATATATTTATATATATGTATGTATATGTAGTTATTGAAAGACATGTACTATTGTTTAACAAATGCCGAGTGTGCATAACGTTTTATAAATATATTTGTACGTTTTTGCAAAGTAAATATGTTGGTTTGTATATATGCAATACGATTTCTGCAATACGCTTTTGGAATAACACTCAGTAGACAGCTATACTATGTTTTGTGGTAAAGGTACTCCGTTATAATAGTTACCAAAAGTTTTCTCGATCATAAGTGTTAGCCATATGTCTCGTTCAACGTTGGGTTTTTTAGGAATGCATAGAATTCGAAGAGATTAAGTAAAGAGGGATCTGTTGCACCGATTCAAACCGTAGCCTCTAATAATACCTAAATAATTAGAATGGAAACTGTAACTTAAGAACTTTTTATAATGACAGTTAACTAGACATTCAGAGTTGTTTTAAGAGTGAATTTGTACCTTATTATTGTTATTTCATGATGTTTTTTAAATTATTCAACAGAACTTTGTTCCAGGCAAAAAAATACAATATAAATTAGTAAGCTTTAGCTATTTACATTTAAGATTTTGATTAAATAGGTTTTTTAGTATTCAAAACAATGTGTATTTTTTCAGTTTCTCCCGATATTTGTTTCAGATTAGATCCTTGATCTGGAATTGAGTTTATTATACTCAGAGCCTGATCTTTAAATTTAAATAAGCTTCTCAAAAAGGTTTCAGATTCGATTTTCAACATAATACAATTAATAATAAAAGGCTACAGAATCCGTTTCGGAAGAATTGACTTAGGAATATCCAGAAGTTTCGTTTTCACTCTCCTCCACAATGGACTTTTTGTCGTCCGCCTTGCTCCGTCCAGTGAATCTCTCGAAGATGGAGTGCTTGCCGCAACTTTTGGCCTTGCCCGTAGAAGCTGTACCCTTGAACGAACCCCACGGAACCTTGCCGGCCTCCGAAGTGGTCATGAGGATTGAGTACGAGGAGCACACCTCTCCCTCCTTGCTGTTTCGGATGCCGTATAGGAAGTACACCACCATGCCGATGCACACCCAGACAAAGAATCTCACCCAGGTAACGGCGTCCAGGTGGACCATCAAAAGGATGTTGCAGAAGATTCCAAGAGCCGGAACAAAGGGAACCAACGGTACCTTGAAGACTAGACCCCTGGTGTTTTGGTTGTGCACAGCCATCACTGCCACACAGGTGCTGGCGGCGAAGATGATGAAGCCGTAGATGATCAGGGCCCACCAGGTGCCAGTGTACAGCTGCGTCCACGACACCTTCAGTTCCACACAGATGGCGAAGCTCAGAAAGATGAAGAGCATCACAGCCACGGACACTACAGATCCGGGCTCGAAGCGACCCAGCAGTGGCTCCAGGCACCGGAATTGGCTCTTTAACCTGCCGGCCAGCACCTCTTCGATCATCTCACTGGTGGGCGACGACGTATCCATGCTGGACTGTGAGGCCACCTCCTCGTCATCGTCGTCGTCGTCGTCAGGACTGCCCGGCAGAGCTGGCACCCGTATAGTTGTGTGGATCCGCTCCATGGGCCGGTACCGCAGGATGATCACACTGGCCGAGACAATGGTGTAGGCCAGCAGGGTTCCAATCGACATAAACTCCACCAGCTTGGCGAGGTCGAAGACCAGAGCAAGGCAGGCGCTAAGAACCCCGGACACTACCAGGTTGAGCAGCGGAACCTGTTGACCAAAAAATCCATGAGTTTTTACGTTTCCTTTGCCATAATTTTCATCCTTACCTGTGTGGTGGAGTTGACCTTGCCGAAGCAGCTGAAGAGCAGTCCATCGGAGGCCATGGCATACATGCAGCGCGGCAGGGCAAACAGGGAGCCCAACAAAGTGGTGGTCATCCCGCACAGCGCTCCAATGGAAATCAAGTACTTGGCCCAGGAGAGGTTCAGTTGGCCAAAGGCCTCCGGCAGCGAGGCAGCCGGGTTAATCTCGCTGATGGGGATCATGAGAGTGAGGGCGGCGCTCACGAGGATGTAGCCGACGGTGACCACGAACAGGGACAGAATAGTGGCAATGGGTATGGAGACCGAGGGATTCTTGGCCTCCTCCCCGGAGGTGGCGATGGAGTCGAAGCCCACGAAGGCGTAGAAACAGGTGGCCGCTCCTGCAATGACGCCACCGATGCCGTAAGGCAAGAAGCCGCCCTCCGCCTCCGACCAGTTATTGGTGTCCGCATACCAGAAGCCCACGCTGATGACCAACACCATAACGGCGATATTGACAAGGGTGAGCAGACTGTTGAATACCGCCGTGGCCTTGACTCCTCCGGCCAAGGCGGCAGCGTACACAATGCACACTAGGAAGGCCAGGATATCCGGATATTGTGCCAGTCCTGGCTCGTGGATGCCACCAGTTAGCTCCAGCGTTGTGTTGCCAATCCAACCGCCCAGCATTGAGTCGACGTAGCCACTCCAGGCCCTGGCCACCGAGGCAGCGCCAAGCATGTGCTCCAGCAGGATATTCCAGCCGATGACAAAGGCCCAGAACTCGCCCATCGAGATGTACGTGTATACGTAGGCGGATCCCGCCTTGGGCACTCGCGTCCCAAACTCCGCATAGCAAAGCGCGGCCAGCATCGAGATGAAGCCCGCCAGGACAAAGGAGAGGATGATGCCGGGTCCGGCCATCTCCTTGGCCACGGTGCCGGTCAGCACGTAGATGCCAGCGCCAACCATATGGCCAATGCCTGGGGGAAAAAAGCGGTGTACATAAGTGTCATGTGTACCATATATATGTATATATATTTAGGGGTGGTTCCCTAATCTCTGGGGGCTCGAAGGCAAGCATAGGGAACTGTACGCGATTTAATTACATTCTGGTTTCGAGGCAAAGATAAGAAGAGTTTCCCACATCTCTGAAGGGAAGAGAATTGTTTCTCCCTAACAAGGAATTCCCTAGGGGATCAGTTTCTCAAATAAAATTTTATTTGCTTTTGCTAGGACAAGTGCCATGACAGATTTCTTGATTATTATAGAGAAATATGATTTTAATTAAAAGAAGTATAGTTACTAGAATCACATACTTTAAATTAATTTAATATTAATTTCCATATAAGACCTAGAAAGTTATTACAAGATTTGATTCAAAAGTTTTCATAGAAATGCAAATTTTTAATTCTCGCTGATAAATGATTTCTTAAGAATAAGAAAGAATACAACTGATAGAAAAACACAACTTATATCTTCAATGTACATAACAACTTAATTAAAAGTTTAATATTTCTAGCTGAAACAAGAAACGAAGCCGAAATTTGTATACCTTTGCAATTTGCCACTTAGGATCATGGCATCGAATCAAAAATCTATGATAACTAAGCCAAAAATGCATTAAATTCAATTCGGAAAGCTTTTCCGTGCTACTTGTTTCTAGGTTAACAAATCTGCATACTAAATTTTAAATTTTAGGAAATCAAAATTTTTGGTCATTTTTGAACATTTTAATGATGTAACCCCTTATCAAATTTCGAAAAAAATGGCAAATAATGTTTTTCTTTTGGACATGGATAAAAATATCCGTCTGTCAATGCTGATCATGAATATATATGATTTTTAGGGTCGGAAATAGTTCCTTACCGGATTTGCTAGCTTCTGAATAAAATTATAATACTCTGAAAAGGTTTAAAAGAGATTGAAGAAAGTTACACTTGTTGCCTATTTATCACTTTCTATTTTGTTTATTAAATTGTTAAAATAAATATTAAAGCCGGCAAAGGCAATTTCCTAAAGGCAATTTATATCTGACAGATGCTATAATGATCTCAGAGTAGAGCAATAATTATATTCAATTAAAATTTTTAAGCCCAGATGCAAAATTACCCTTCCTTAATCTACTTCGATACTTGGATCATAAAATTTTCAATTTAAAGTATATTTAAGTTAAGACGTAAATATAAAAACAATCCTGTCAGTATGTTCCTCCTTATTACATATATTTTTTAGCTGACAGATGTTAAGATTATCTTATTAGAATTATGCCAAGTCATACTCTCAAATACCCAAGGAAATTCTTAAAAATCAGCTAGGACACCGGAAATATGCCGGCATGCAATTGATTTATCTCAAGTACCCAGTAAGGCGATGTCGAAGGTGTTGAGACATCGGTTGAGCGGCGTCTCCATGACGTCAGTGGGCACCGACTTGGTTCGGTTCATTTTGGTGCACAGACCCGACAATATGTGCTTCAGAATGGCACGTCTTGAGCTCGGCATCCTGGCAAATTCGATTGAAACCAACTGTGGAGGAAGTTAAGCCGCACAGGCAACACGATTTGAGGTCGATTATAATTATTATACAATTTTTATTTAATTTTTTGCGGCACTTTTGGGACACTTTCACTTGTTGTACACAAACAGCTGTGACTGTATCGATTTTTGCATCAATCTCGAAAGCTCCACAGGGCTCCCATAGCTTGCAGAATGTTTGCACTCCGGAAAGGAGGCAGGGCAGCTTTTATCAGTGAGCTTTTATTTTGGTTGTAATAAATGTTAACTGAAAACCAAAAATATTTAGAAAATATTGGGGCTACAAGAAGTAAGACAATACAATGATTTATGGGAAACAAGCAGAAAGGTAACTTAGGGAAGCCGCAAATTTAATTAAATTAAGATATATAAGAACACAAACGATTTACATATTACAATGTTTGACCTCTGAAAAAAAAGAACAAAAGTTAACAGAGCTATAAAAATCTAATCAATTAGTTATAATTTGTGGTTACTTTGTAATCTTTGGTTAGCCTTCCAAATATAGCCCTAAAGTATGCAGTATAATTTTATGTAAGATCTTAACAAAGCTAACAAAATTATACCCAAAGTAATACCATAGTTACGCAACTGAGATCCATGTGTTTGTTTACCACAACCGGAAATTAAATTTCCAAAGCCATTTCTTAAATCAAAACGCCGTTTCTAGTAATCAAGATTTATAGATTTTCGCTTGATAGAATAGTTTTTTTTTAATGTCTTCACACGTCTTTCATCTCAACGAACTTGACATCAATGAATTTTTAATGAAAATCTTTCAAATTGAAACGTCTTGGTATTGCCCTGCATGTGTTTCGAACATTTTCAGTTATTAAATAATCGGAAATGCTTGCTTTGTTGGAAAATTATAATGGCCTTTGCACGGTTAAAAAACTCTAATTGTATTTGCGATATTAAAATTTAATAAAATGAGAGACCTCCACGTCAAACGTCTCAAGCATCAAAATATGTAATTATTTGCTTCTTTATTAATACTGTTCACCTTAAAGGTGTGTCCGAACTCTTAAAGCTTGTTAAAGAACGGGTGATCTTAGCTTTTGCTTAATTTTATTACAAACTATGCATGATGTCTAGGCAGCCAATGTCGATTCGCAAATCCGAGATGAGAGTTTCGTTGATCATCGTAATAGATATAAGTCCGTATGTTTATGCCAATGTTCATTATGCTTTGTACAAGCCTAATTAATTGAAATGTAATGCAATGTTTTAAGGCAAGTGTGTTTGGTGAAGTTTAAACTTAATAATCGGGATGATGTAGTCGACTTGGGGGTTCCCTTTGGTAAGCCTCTCTTAAGGAAAATTATAGTTTAAAATTAATTCTGGATCCTGTTACAATTATATAATTTAGAAATAGTTTATAAAGAAGATTACCATAGATGTTCCGTTGTTGTTTCCGTTGAAACAAAAATATGGACATGGCTAGATCGGAATTTATAGATCATTAAATTTATAGGTTTTCAATCAGGGACACATATTTTCTTACATTTAAGATAATCCGCTTTCTTCCCTTTCTTTTTTCTTCAATTTATAAACAATATTCAAGGCACTACAATACGAATACCCGCAGAGTACCGGGTACAATCAAATCGCAGTCTAGGTTACGTGATGTTTGTCAAAGGCAGAAGCGGCTTTGTCACCTCTGCTATCGCGGTATCGGTGCGATCGTGCATGCACTCGGGCTTGCTAAGGGAATTACCAGTACACTGAGAGAAAATATAATAAAAACCATTTATAAACATGGTATTTCTTATGTGTTAACGTACCTTATCTGCGGCGTAATACAATATTGTTTATCAGGATTTTATATAAAATAAAAAAAAACTTCTTGATTTGTTTATGAAATGTCTATTTTTTGTTGTACAATTTATGATACAGAAATAAATAATTAAGAAATAGCAATAATCAAAATTCCCATAAAGAATATTTACAGTTTAGTAAAATTTTTCCTGTAATATATATGTTATATTTACTGTTTAAAATATAATAAATTTATAGACAATATCGCACCAAATAAATATATATTTTTCCCTGTGTACCAGTACCATATGCTCCATCCATCCATCCAACCATCCCATCCGTATTCTTCTGCGCCCCCCGTTCCCGTTCCCATGACGACAGCTCCGATAGCCAACTTACCATCTCGCCATGACCGTTGCCATTTGGCTAAAAATCTATCGGCATCACGAAGCGGACGCTGGGCTTCCAAAAACTCTGAATACTATGTTAATACCTGTTAGGGATGACCAGGCGCATCGGCAACTTCGTCAACCTGTCCGCTATGCCGGCTGCGGCGGCTGCATGACAACATCTCCATCGCCATCTCCGCATCCACATATCCCACTCCTGAGGCGACTCCACCACGACCAGATGTAGTTACAATGACGGATTTTGACTCTTTGGCCCTAAAAGCACACCGGCCGAAGGTGCAGTTTTTCAGCTCGGTTTTCAGCTCGTCTCCGAAATGTGCCAGTCGCGCGCTTGGGTCAAGTCAGCGGCTAAGACGGCGGCCAAGACGGCGTGTGGATGCTGCTCACGCGTCCGCTCTGCCCACGAACTCCATATGAATGGAAAAAAATTGATGGTCTTGGGCTATGGACTGTTAAATACTCTATCTAAGTTTTAGAGTTTTTAATTTCTTGGTTTATAAATAAAGAAACGAGAATTTTTGAAAGGCAAACATGTGTGTTTTTAGTTTTGAGATATTTTAATTTGATTTATTTATTTAAACAAATTATTTTATTGTAATAATTATTTCACCATGAATATATAATATTTTATTCATCAAATAACTTCAAAAGATAATATTTAAAAATAAAACAAGATTGTAAAATTGTATTTATAAGGTCAAAGGTCGTAGTTTTTAGGAGAGTCTAAGAACACTTTCTGGCACTAATTATTTAATTTAACACGTAATATTTTCTGTTTACGTCTTAAATATAAGCATGTTAACTCTCTATATACATATATGATTCCCGATCCTGAAACAAGTTTGCTTCGATTAAATTGAAACAAATGAAGATTTTAATCACCATAACCCCTAGCATTTTTAAACTCCAGTCCGGAGCTGGTACTGTTTGGCGTATTATTATTATTTTTTTTATTTTCATTGCAATGCTTAGATAAATCTTAATCTATATTCCATTCTTACGAGTTTATATTGGCTGCTGTCACAGTACTCGTTTTCGGCCGCAGAATAAATTAACCCAACTCGTCGATAAATCGGAATAACCCCGCTTGGAGCTGAAAGAGTGTGCGTGTATAAAACACCGCGAGCAAACGTAAAATAAACAACAAACAATATATAAAAGCTACTAGCGTTGGTGTTTTTCTTGCTGTTTTTGTTTCTGCTATTTTACTTGCCGCGTCTTTGGATTTTTGAGGCAATATCCGAAACGATTTTTGTTAAATCATACGGCCATACCGGCCCGTGTGTGTATATAAACGAAGACGAGTCTCCTCGGCGCTTAGTACGGCTACGTCCACTTAGCCAGCTGCATCCCAGCGACTTATTTTCCCCAAGCACGAGTCCCGAGCAAGTGCAGTAAGTCCTTACACCTAGTGATATGTGTGTTCCACAAAGATCGAACGTTCAAGTGAATTTATGCGACCGCCTCGGAGTGCCGCTAATTGCCGCCAAGTGCGGGCCAAGTTAATAAACCGAACCAAGTTAACTGTGAACTCAGTGAAAAACCAAGAACTGGCTGGCAATGAAGATCGTTTGAGAAATAAATAAAATTAAATGCAAGCCATAAACCTCATTGCAGAATCAATCACATAACTAAACTGAAATCCTATTTGGCAATTTATTCCGGTTTCCGAAGAAAAAGAAAAGTGGTCAAATCAATAAGCTTTGAATTTTACGGTTGGTTCCCTTAAAGCCGATACAATGCCTTGTTTGGTAAATTTGTCAAGTCAACTGTAATATGTTATTCGTACATATGTATATAATGATTTAGAAAAAAAAAATACATTAATGAAGTTATACAACAATTTACTGATTTCCCTTTCAACCCACACACAATGGCCATTTCTGTATCTTTAGCCAAAATTGAGCGGCCTGTTAAAGCCCAACTGCAAATAAATAAGTAATTATAATCCCAAAAATAAAAATATAAAGCCCAGACATAACATAAATAATTATATTTGGTTAGTTTTTCCGGTCATCAGATATGAATTGTTAATAAATAATAAATTTGATATATTGAAAAATATTAAAACCTAGAAATTTATGATAAAAAAATATCCTTTTGATTAATTGATTTACTTTAAATTAAAATTTTAATTTGTTGAAGATTTTGATGCCACTTTATTAATTTATTTGAATTAAATCACACTTAATTACCATAAAATCTTAAATTCAGTAGCATTTTTTGAGCCATAGATAAAGATAAGAATTCTGGTTTCTATCCATAAATTAATTTATATTGAATAATATAAAAAAACTAGAAATTTATAAAACAACATATCCTTTGGCTGTTAAATTTCAATACAATTCATGTAAGAATTATTTTACAACCAGTTTTGCCAGTTCAACAAACATTTTAATATGTAATAAATTAAGCAAAAATAATAATGCCAAAATGGAATAAAAATATAATTATACAACCCACGAACAGGGTGACCTTGCTTGTGAACTTATTCTTACCGATTTTTAATACCTGTGATGCAAGTAATTATATCCTCGCTAAAAAGAAGAGAAATAATACTTTATGGCAGAATCATATTACTAAAATAAAACCGCTCGCCTTTGGGTTAAACCTGAAAGTAATACGGATTATAAAATCTCACGGATTCTAACTGCGTACATTTTTTATATAGCCATTTCGCGCAGATGAGCTTCGGAGAAGATCAATTGATTTAAGCATTTCGGGATTATTAAATGGCATTCTTTTTGTAAATACGTTTGACCGTTTTTTTCTGCGCTTGTTTGTAATTATTTAAAACGCGAAACAAGTTTCGCAGATCCGGTGTTCAAATGCCATTTGCATTTCGCTGTTTATTTGTCAATATTGCTAACTGTATTTTATTTATTTAAGTACCCAGCGCGAATCGAGCATATTGAGACTTTTATGGCCCACCTGTGGGTCATCCTCGGGCACTAAAATATTGTTTTCGCTAAATAATAATACATTTAATTTATGCTAAGCACACGACTTAAACTTTAAACTCAAAAATTCAAATCAAATTGCTTGTTAATGGCCTCAAAACGGGTAGTGATCATCGGCGGGCTACCAAATCCGCGCTCATCCCAAAATTGGCCATTAAATGAATCCGAGATGTGACCATAAAAGATAGCCAACAATGCATTTCACCGATTTGTCAATCAGCTAAGGCCCAATTGTGAGAACTTAGAGCTTGTGGCTCAGAGAAATCAATCGCATTTGGACATACTACATGCTGCCACTTAATATACATACTACGTGCCCATGCATATTGATAGCTCCGATGCGATGCGATACCGGAGTGCGGCCCGCGGACTAATCACCTGTTCGCCGTGATTAATACGAAGATCTACGCCTATGCGAGCCGGTAAAATGTCAAAAGTTCAGGGTGAAGCCATCAATGTCCAATGCTCGTAGAGGCAATGCTGCTGTTGGCCAACACAATTGAATATGATTGCTTACACACACACTCCGGGAGATCCCATTCCTTCTATCTCTCGATTTCGACACCCAAATCGCCATTCAATAATGGCCTTTGAAAATTATAATTGACCAATTATAATTATTTGTGAAGTCCCCAGAATTATGAATCTCTAAATCCATCTAACTGAGACATTAACGTGTTTATTTGTTTAACAAATTAAATAAATGATCCGCACAGGTTGAGAAAATAACTATATCAGGGCAAGTTGCAGAGTGGCCCACAAATAAATGGCCAATTTTTTGACATAGTGAACCAATTTTTATCAAATTGGATATATAATTATGCGCAACGTGCAAACTGAGATATATCTGAGGTCGGGAGCCAATAAAAAAATTGGGTTAAGCGAGGCGAGGAGAAGCAGGCACCAAAAGAAATACCATATTAATCGCGTTGAATATGAATCGGATGTATGAATGAAGGTGGTTGATTAGTGGTGTTTCATCATCATAATCCGCTGGACATCTTTGCTAATTTTATTTACAACCGCGACGAGGTTTTAAGCTTGTACAAGTAAGAGGGGAATCTTTGGATAAGGGAAAGTAATCTGAAAACCCAAAGGCTTGATTAATTAAATAATTAATTAAGTAATACGGAAGCATAATTCATCCCAAACATTGAAATTATCCCAGGAGTGACGCAAGACCCGAGAAGAACAAACACAGAAGAAGACCCTCCACTTCACATGCCAAATCATCCGTAATCAAATGGTACTTTTTTCCACGTCTCGTTAGCTTAATGCTTGGAATAACCTAGACAAAAGGGGCCACAATGAAAAAGCACCTAATCATCCACTTCCACATCCCATAGTCACATTCGTTTGGTAAAAACAACCGAGGGAATTGCAGAAGCAGAAGCCAATGCCACACACAAAAGGCCCCAAAAATCGAAGCCCCTTTATTATCAACTGCGGCTAAGCAAATAGGCACCAGGCACTCGTCACTATTTGTTTCGCCGCCGCCTCCCTTCGCTTCGTGTTGAATTTATGGATTTTGAAATCAGCCGCACATATATATATATATTTTTCTTTTTTCTTTTTAAAGGTTAGTTGTATTATTTAAAAAACCAAACCCGTTTTAGTGCCGCGACGCGGAGTCGGTGCAGCACCCTCCGTTCCATCGGGCAAAAGAGGTCCGGCTCATCTCATCACATCTCGCGGCTCGAGCAAATACTCGCACTCGTACCTGCACTCAACCGTAATTAGCGATAAAGAAGATCTTACCTCACCTGGCCAGATGCTCTGGAGTTGACAAAACTCTCGGCGAACGCCTATGCATATTTCGTATTTTTGCCAAAAATAGTTTCTTCATCAAGCTTTTACGATGCTATCGGTCAACCCTTTTCCGCCTAACCCATAAATGAGTCACGGCGAAGGTCGTTTGGCCGGGGGATTAAGTTGCCACCTCGATCAACGAGTCGAAATGAGCCATAAATTTAAGTCGATATTATTAAGATAGTATGGCAATAATTTTAATTTATTAAAAAACTTCAACTTGAAAATAATCTTACCTGTCAGCGCTCAAATATAAACAAGCATAAATATTGAAGAGTATGTATTAACTTGGCCATTAATTTGGCTTTATCTCAGGATTTTTGAAGATTAAAAGTATCAGAGGATTTTAATGTTGAGCCACTGTTTCATTAAATATGGAAATTACCTTAAGTAAAGCTATAATTTTTATAGTTTTAGACTTGCCATTTCGTTCTAGACCTTCCTAGTTACTTTTTGTTTAGCTTTTACTTTTAGTTAAGAAAACTGTAAACTGTAAATATAAAATGTAATTGTCATTGTAATAGTCAGTCTTTAATATTTTAAGCTCAGTCATTAGCTCAAACCTAAAATATTAGAAACAAGTAACTCAAAAAGGAATTAGTTTAAAGATTTTACGATTGACTTAAGGAGCGAAGGAGCTACCATTAATTATATTGTTTATTAAAAATACACCACCTATAATTCTGTTTTGTTTTTGTTGGTTTGATTACAGAATAAAGCTTAAGACTTAAAATAAAGAAGATGGTCAACATCGGCCACATATTCGTGTGGGCCTTGCTCTTGGTGAGTGCAATCATATCGGATCTCTAGAGATCGCCATCAGTTAATGAATATTTTTCCGATTAACGTTCAAGGCCATTACTTCGGGCACTGATCTGAGCGGCGATGACAATCTCAACAACGTTTTGAGCGAATTTGACTCTTCGTCCAGACTAATCCGCGACACCTCTCTGTCGGCGAAAAACATTGAGAAGATCGATGTGAAATGCGACCAAGGCAATGGCATGTTGGTCGAGATTGAGTTCTCGGAGGACTTCGAAGGAGTCATCTACAGTCAGGGATACTTTAACGATCCACAGTGCAAGTAAGTTTTTTTTGTAAATATTCGAGAGTATTATTATATTATTTTTGTTTCTCCAAAAGCTATGTGAAGGGCGAGAAAACTGGTCGCAGCTTTGTATTCTCTGTGCCATATAACGCTTGCGGCAGCAAGCCCGCCTGCTCCGTTTGCGCCTCCGTCGAGAATATCCTGATCATCCAGAATGACAGGGACATTCAGAACAACTTCGATATTGCTCGGAAAATATCGTGCAGTCGAGGCGATGAGCGGGAGAAGACCGTGTACTTTAAGCCATTTGTGGTAGACATGCTGGAGGTCATTTCCGTGGACACTCCCAGTGGTCCCGTTAAGTGCTGGATGGAAATCGGTACTGGCGCTCCGCCCAATATCAAGCCAATTTCGGGAAGCCTTAGCCTCGGAGACGACATTACGTTCACCATCAACGTGGAGCACTCGGAACAGCCTTGGGATGTCAATATACTGCAGTGTTACGCCTCGGACGACATGGACTTCGAGGGCCGAACCACAAAGAGGCTCCAGCTCTCGGACAATCGAGGGTGTTCGATTAAGAAGAAGATATTTGGGGAGTGGAGAAGATATAAGGGGCCATCGAGTCTCACCTCCACCTACTACAACACCCTGAAGGCGTTCCGGTTCCCCGACCGATCCCAAGTCTATCTAAAGTGCGACATTGAGCTTTGCAATGGTGCTTGCCAGAGGGATAACTCCTGTGACGATTCCAAGAATCTCTACTGCCCCGAGGACCTTACAGACCCGCGCAGAGATCCCGCTTGTAGCGGTTCCAAGAACCTCTTCTGCCCCGAGGACCTCACAGATCCGCGCAGAGATCCCTCCTGTGGTGATTCCAGGACCATCTCGTGCCCCGAGGATTCCACAGACCCGCTGTGTCTACAGAATCACCTCAAAAATACAACGCCAAAGCCTCGCTGCTTCCCGGGCGCGACTGATAGCCGGTGCCCCAGAGTCACGACTCAACCTCCAGTATCGGCAAGAACTGTTCCTACTCTTAGGCCCACTTATACGCCTTTAATTCCAAGAAAACCAGAAACCACTTCCAAGACCAATTGCATCCAGGGCTCGACTGATATAGATTGCCTTAACTGCTTTCCCGGCTCGCCAGATCCGAGATGTCCAAAAATTCCCACAACGAAAAGGGCCGGGTGCTCCGAGGGCTCCGACGACATAAAATGCCAGCCGGCCACTTATCTCCCACCGTCAACAAGGAGAGTATCAATTCCAACGAAGCCAACCACACCAATTACTTACGCTCCTCCAACCTCGAGGACTCAAATAACCACTGCCAGGCCCGATTGCTTCCCGGGCGCGACTGACAGCCGGTGCCCCAGAGTCACGACTCAATCTCCAGTATCTGCAAGGACCACGATTTCTTCTTTTAGGCCATCTTTTACTCCTCCAACACCAAGAATTTCTATAACCACTTCCAAGGCTCAATCCTCTACATATCTCCCTCCAGTATCGGCAAGAACTGTTCCTACTCCAAGGCCAACTTTTACACCTTTAATTCCAAGAAAACCAGAAACCACTTCCAAGACCAATTGCATCCAGGGCTCGACTGATATAGATTGCCTTAACTGCTTTCCCGGCTCGCCAGATCCGAGATGTCCAAAAATTCCCACAACGAAAAGGGCCGGGTGCTCCGAGGGCTCCGACGACATAAAATGCCAGCCGGCCACTTATCTCCCACCGTCAACAAGGAGAGTATCAATTCCAACGAAGCCAACCACACCAATTACTTACGCTCCTCCAACCTCGAGGACTCAAATAACCACTGCCAGGCCCGATTGCTTCCCGGGCGCGACTGACAGCCGGTGCCCCAGAGTCACGACTCAATCTCCAGTATCTGCAAGGACCACGATTTCTTCTTTTAGGCCATCTTTTACTCCTCCAACACCAAGAATTTCTATAACCACTTCCAAGGCTCAATCCTCTACATATCTCCCTCCAGTATCGGCAAGAACTGTTCCTACTCCAAGGCCAACTTTTACACCTTTAATTCCAAGAAAACCAGAAACCACTTCCAAGACCAATTGCATCCAGGGCTCGACTGATATAGATTGCCTTAACTGCTTTCCCGGCTCGCCAGATCCGAGATGTCCAAAAATTCCCACAACGAAAAGGGCCGGGTGCTCCGAGGGCTCCGACGACATAAAATGCCAGCCGGCCACTTATCTCCCACCGTCAACAAGGAGAGTATCAATTCCAACGAAGCCAGCCACACCAATTACTTACGCTCCTCCAACCCCGAGGACTCAAATAACCACTGCCAGGCCCGATTGCTTCCCGGGCGCGACTGACAGCCGGTGCCCCAGAGTCACGACTCAATCTCCAGTATCTGCAAGGACCACGATTTCTTCTTTTAGGCCATCTTTTACTCCTCCAACACCAAGAATTTCTATAACCACTTCCAAGGCTCAATCCTCTACATATCTCCCTCCAGTATCGGCAAGAACTGTTCCTACTCTTAGGCCCACTTATACGCCTTTAATTCCAAGAAAACCAGAAACCACTTCCAAGACCAATTGCATCCAGGGCTCGACTGATATAGATTGCCTTAACTGCTTTCCCGGCTCGCCAGATCCGAGATGTCCAAAAATTCCCACAACGAAAAGGGCCGGGTGCTCCGAGGGCTCCGACGACATAAAATGCCAGCCGGCCACTTATCTCCCACCGTCAACAAGGAGAGTATCAATTCCAACGAAGCCAGCCACACCAATTACTTACGCTCCTCCAACCCCGAGGACTCAAATAACCACTGCCAGGCCCGATTGCTTCCCGGGCGCGACTGACAGCCGGTGCCCCAGAGTCACGACTCAATCTCCAGTATCTGCAAGGACCACGATTTCTTCTTTTAGGCCATCTTTTACTCCTCCAACACCAAGAATTTCTATAACCACTTCCAAGGCTCAATCCTCTACATATCTCCCTCCAGTATCGGCAAGAACTGTTCCTACTCTTAGGCCCACTTATACGCCTTTAATTCCAAGAAAACCAGAAACCACTTCCAAGACCAATTGCATCCAGGGCTCGACTGATATAGATTGCCTTAACTGCTTTCCCGGCTCGCCAGATCCGAGATGTCCAAAAATTCCCACAACGAAAAGGGCCGGGTGCTCCGAGGGCTCCGACGACATAAAATGCCAGCCGGCCACTTATCTCCCACCGTCAACAAGGAGAGTATCAATTCCAACGAAGCCAACCACACCAATTACTTACGCTCCTCCAACCTCGAGGACTCAAATAACCACTGCCAGGCCCGATTGCTTCCCGGGCGCGACTGACAGCCGGTGCCCCAGAGTCACGACTCAATCTCCAGTATCTGCAAGGACCACGATTCCTTCTTTTAGGCCCACTTTTACACCTTATACTCAAAGAACATCTATAACGACGACGAGGACGCTGATCGACGCCACCACGCCAATTTACTGTTATCCAGGTTCCATCGATCCACGTTGTCCAGACTCAGGATACAGAGGCACCAGCCGAATTCCTGCCACATATCTGCCACCATTGAGCGATACTGGTTACGATAGAACCATTCGTAACGCAAAGACCTCCTTCTTCAAGGAGATCAACCACTTGGCCTTCTCGGACAACAATGTCTTTGAACTGGACGACGACGAGAACGAGCCATCGCGAGTGAAACGCGAGCTGAGATCCGATGACCAGGAACTGGACCACAACGAGGACCTCCTCTCGCGGAAGATTGTTAAGCGCGAGACAAACGAGCGGCCATCAGAGCAAGAAGTGATTTCTCTGACCCTCGGCGTGCGGATGGGCATCAGTGTAAAATAGTCGTCGGAGGTCTAGTAGCCGTTAAGCGTATCCGTATTATAATATCTCCATACACCGATATGTATTTAACCTAGAATGATATTCATTAAATATAAACCTATGTACATACAAATGTAGAGCTCGGCCTAGTACTCGGGGGATAAGCGACAGTCCCTGATTGGACTCTCAATAAGGCAAAGTGTAAATAGGCTCCTACTCTCACTTACAATTAAAGTTGTACGCACCGTTTGTACTTTAATAATTTAATTAAATAGTTCGATAATTATGTGTGGGAACAAACGCTAATTGAGCTAATTGGAGGAGCTGCTCTTAAGACTCCGGATAGCGGCAATAGGAGTTGCTCTCGATAGACTCATGTGGAATCCATTCTTCGTACAGCGGCAATCGGTTCTTTAGGGTCTCGATCTCCCTCAGAATCCGCATGACATTTCCGCCAACCAGCTTTTTAATGGCCGCATTGCCCCAGACCCGATCCCTGGCCAGTTCGGCCAGCAGGAGGGCATAGCTCTTGGGAGCTCCACCCAATCCAATGTGATCCACACCGGCCACCTTGCGCACATAGTTAATGGCAGTGATGGCCTCCCGAACGCCCAAAGTCCGATCGCCGCAGCGCTCCAAGTTAAGCAGTATCACTCCTCCGTTTTCGGGCAACAGGCTGCGTTTATACAGAAAGGAGGAGGTTAGAGGAGGTAGGATTAGATCCTAGTGAAATGTTACCTTAGCACATGGTCGGGAATGGAAGCTATATTGGTGCTGTTGCACATGGAAAGCGGTGTGGCGTTCGTGAGGAGTACGGGCGCCTTGGCCGTTTTCAAGACGGCCAACATGGCAGCCTCACTAAGCATCGAAATTTCCACCAGCATTCCCAAACGGTTCATCTCAAAGAGCATCGTCTGGAAGCGGAAGAATATATTAGCCTATTAATTATAAATTATTAATTTGCAAATAGTAACCTGTCCGAATTCGTTGAATGAATTCGTCACATTCTCCTCGACGAGGTAGTCGGGCCTCCGAATGGCCGCCGCCGCCCACGGAGTGGTGCACTCCAGGCTGGTGATGGACACAAAACGGGCTCCCAACAGATAGATCGATCGCAGGACCGCCGTGCTGGTGCCCAGAGCATGACCCCCACTAATGCCCATTAGAACGGCGACTTCTCCACGGATATGTGTCTGCTCCATCTCATCGGCAGACTCCACAATATGCATTAGATCGCTAGCGGCGGTAATGCGCTTGGCCCTGTCGATACCCTCCAGCGTAAGCTGCACTGCATCCAGGTACTGCGCTCCGCACGGCACGGCTATAGGCCAGAGAACAGCCCCTATATGATTTTGCCGCACCTCAAACAGATTGCTGCTGTTCAAATTCATGGTGCTCGGGGGCTTCCAGGAGCCCTCGATTAGCGGCGACTCCGTCAGCAGACGGCGTATGAAAGCTAATCGGGCCTCCAGCAGCGACGAGGAGCGGAGTTGCAGCGCAAGAGGTATCCCGCCGGCCATGGCGATACAGATGAGCACCACACCCACGCCTAGTAAAATCTTGCGGCCTCTGGATCTTTCCGGACGTTCACCCGAGGACTCGCTGCAAGAGTCCTTCTTAGTACTGTAGGTGGGTATGCCGCCATTAGAACACCTAATCTTCTCAGTTCCGCCACCGAACTTGGTTATCTCCGCGGGCAGCTCGATGTCCGCTATCTCCGTGAACACAAAACATTGTTGCTTGCAGTGCGGCTGGTGCTGGTGGAGAGGATGGACCTCGAGGAATTCGCGGCTCGGCACAGGATTCATTGAAGCATTTATATGAAATGCCAAGTGATTTCCCCCTCGGAGGCTTCCGAGCTACGTTTTAATTTCTATTCAACAAGCTTGCACCGCACCGAAAGCCTAAAACTGGAATAGTATTGATTTTTACCACATCCCTGCAGATCCTTTCAACTGCCCATTACTTGATGCCAAGGACATGCGCTGTATGCCTTTTCCATCGGTATGGCAGCATACGAACTGGGCGCGCTGGGAATATTTTTGAATAAAATTATATAAGGAAAATTAAATGAAAGAAAAATTTGTGACGTCTTTCAGTCCTCGGGTGGCTCAGCGACTCAACCAGGCAAGACCGCGGAGAAATTTATATACTCTGGCGCCCGTCCACTCCGATCAAGGAGCAGGCACCAAGGCTAGAGGATTTGGTAGAACACAGAGAGTCGAATAAATATAACTTAGACCTTTACAAAAAGCTGAAGACCATTTATGACGACCTGAAATTTTGGGTCTTTAAGAAACTCATATACTCATATACTCCCGTCCACTCCGATCAAGGAGCAGGCACCAAGGTTAGATGATTTGGTTGAGCAGGCACGACCAAGGAGAAGCTTATCTTCTCCGACGCCATCTGAGACGGCACAATCCCGGCATCGTCCACTCCTTCGTCCCCTTCGGAGCAGGCACCAAGGCTGGATGATTTTTTTATAACACAGAGAGTCGAACAAATTCAACTTGGACATTTATAACGACCTGAAATTTTGGGTCAGACATATTTCACCCCTGGGCAGCTGATCGCCCGGGGGTGCACTATAAAAAGCGGCGGCAGAATTTGGTTGAGCAGGCATGACCTTGCAATAAGACGATTACAATCGTACACCCCCGGGCAGCTGATCGCCCGGGGGTGCCCTCCGATCAGGGAGGAGGAAGAAGACCATTTATGACGTCCTGAAATTTTGGGTCCGATCAGGGGGGAGGCACCAAGGCTGGATGATTTGGTATAACACAGAGAGTCGAACAAATTCAACTTGGACATTTATAACGACCTGAAATTTTGGGTCTTTAAAATCGTCTTGCTAGATGTGAAGGGTCCCTTTTAGGAAAAGGCGTAAATTTATTACCCTATTAATTATTAATTTGCAAATTTACAAATGCAGTAAACACTAGTTTGGATCACATTACGTAGTGCAAGCCTTAAGCCTTGTCGCGCTAGGATAATATAAAAACTAAATGAAATGAAATAAATATTTTAAATAAGATTATAGAAAAAAAAATTAAGCCAAAGAAAAATTGGTGACGTCTGTCAGTCCTCGGGGGGCTAAGGAGTGGACTACGTTCGTCGTAGGAGGTTAAGGAGGAGGGAAACTAACAACAATGTGTAGGGCGAACAAGATCAAAGGATCCGGTCCACCCAAAAAGTGACTTGCGACCGACTACTGGAGGCTAACTTCAACCAATCGCTGTCGGGCGCTAAGCGGCGAGCTATGGGCCATGGCCCGCCTTATATAGGGCTTGGTCTTCAGATTTTTGAATATGTGAATTTGTTACTCTTCGTGTTATACCAAATCATCCAGCCTTGGTGCCTCCCCCCTGATCGAACCCAAAATTTCAGGACGTCATAAATGGTCTCCTTCCTCCTCCCTGATCGGAGGGCACCACCGGGCGATCAGCTGCCCGGGGGTGCACGAATTTAATCGTCTTATTGGAAGGCCACAAAAACTGCAAGGCAGAGGATTTTGCCTGTTTGTGTGGGTATCCACATTTTGCAGCGCCATCGTACTCTTGCACCCCCAGGCGATCAGCTGCCCGGGGGTGCAAGACCAACTGCACCATTGTGTGATTCTCTCTCCTCTCGGACCCAAAATTGCAGGTCGTCATAAATGGTCTCCTTCCTCCTCCCTGATTGGAGGGCACCCCCGGGCGATCAGCTGCCCGGGGGTGCACGAATTTAATCGTCTTATTGCAAGGCCACAAAAACTGCAAGGCAGAGGATTTTGCCTGTTTCTGTGGGTATCCAAACGCAGCGCAATCGATCATCCCCGGGCGATCAGCTGCCCGGGGGTGAACGATTATCCCGGGCGATCAGCTGCCCGGGGGTGCACGATTATGTAGTAGAATCGTCTCAGATGGCGTCGGAGAAGATAAGCTTCTCCTTGGTCGTGCCTGCTCCTTGATCGGAGTTACGGGCGCCGGCTCAGATGGCGCCAGAGGAGGCGAGTTCTCCGCGGTCATGCCTGCTCAACCAAATTCTGCTTTTTATGTTAATAGTGCACCCCCGGGCGATCAGCTGCCCAGGGGTGAAATATGTCTGACCCAAAATTTCAGGTCGTCATAAATGGTCTTCTTCCTCCTCGCTGATCGGAGGGCTCACCCGGGGGTGGAAGACCAACTGCACCATTGTGTGATTCACCAGAGTGACCACGGCCTACCTCGCCCGCGAGTGTCGAGCGAGTGACGGGATATGGGCTAAAGTCCGCTTTATATAGGGCCTGGCGAGGGCTAGTGTGCCCGCCGGTGGCAATTAATTTGCCCGTTTGGTGTGGCCAGAGCCCTGCAGTAATGTAATTTCCGTTTTTTTCCCGTCAAATTCCGCCTTTTTTCAAGTGTGATTGCGGGTAAAATTTTAAAACAGCGGCCAGCAAGAATTCCAGCTTTTTTAGAATCTTAAGCAGCTTGTTTAATATTTTAATGTTATTACTTTTTTAGTGATCTGTTAATTGTGTTTAGTGTTTTTAATTTATATCGGAACAGTATCTATATTTAGTATATATTATTGACTTATATCGAATAACTCCATTCAAAAGTCCACACCAAAATTTGGAGCGTGGTATTAGTTTGTGAAGGTCGTGAATTCGAGGAAAATCATGAATTTGTCGATGCAAAAACAGATTTACAAACAAAAGTTCCGAGGCACCTTGCTTCAAAGCACGGAATTTAAGGATTATATTAGACCAGGAATACCGAAATTTAAAAATCTTTTTTTTTTAATTTGAAAATAAAAGTTGAATTGCCATAACTGTTAAACTGAGAGGCCTATTTGGAGAGTTTAACATATACGCTACGTTTGATGTATGACTTCGGAATTTAATGCATATTCATAAAATATGCGACATACATACATATGTATATAAAATAAAAATATGAAATATGGAATACGCCAATTACTTTTCCAATACATAATAACAAAAAAATAGATATTTCTACGCCGTCTTTGTAAAAATCTTTATTACAATTCAATTTCATATTCTACTATTTTTTGTGTGCAGCTATGACGATCTTCATCAGCTTATGTGGAGGCAAAGATTCCAGGACGCACAGCAACTGTATCTGATTGGTGATGCAGTTTGAGCTTAAAGCGATTTGCACGGCCTGGGCGAAGCGTTCCATGCTTTTCTGATAGGCTGCATCCGTGTCCGGGTCCGTCTTCGACTCGCTCAGGCGGGCGCAGTGGTTCTGTAGGGATTGCACGATCTGCATGAGATCCTGGATGGGCAAAGCAGTGGTCTCTCCGCTGCTAACCAGCTGCTGGAGGGTTCGCAGGAGGGATAGATGCAGATTGCTGTAGGCAGCCCTATTGGAGACCAAGGGAGCCAGCACCACCCATCGCAAGAGTCCGGCCAAAGGCGTAGCAAAGGGCATAGCTATAGCACCCGCTGGCAGAATCAAGGGCTGCTGCGAGGCCTGGCACAATGTGGGATTCTCCGTCATCCATTCGGTTATTGTGTCCAGCAGCGCATCTGGCGGCGGGGTTAGCACATGGGAGCGCTGTTCATTTAAATAGAGATCCGCCACAGCCACCATAAAGTTGGCCGCAAAGTGCGGTCCCACCATCGGCAGATGCTTCAGTTGCTCGGGTGTCTTTCGCGTGTAGGATATAAAGTCGCTGACTATATTCTGCGCCACCTCCAGGCTGAGCGGCGTTTTGCAGCCTACCTGCTGCATCCAGGTGCCGGCGGAGGAGAGCAGCGGCGCTACAGAACCGGAAACCGCTGTGCTTATAAGCCGGGACAGAAGCTTGGAGCGTTGCGGAGTCAAATGACTGCCGAACAGTGACAGGAATATGGCATTGCGCGTAGCATCCCTGCCGGGCCGAGAGAAGTACTCAATAAGCGCTATGATCAGCTGAAACTCCTGGAACAGGTTCAACTGGCTGATGGGCAGCGCCTGCGACTTTAGTGGACCATCCTTGGCACTTCTCTCCAGAAATATATACTCCGATATGATTTGCATTACCATGTTCTGCTTGTTTCGGCTGGCAATCAAAGTTTCTGGAATATCAATAGTTTAAACTCAGTGCTTAAATTAGGGTAATTGAGTTTACCCAATCGAGTTAGTGCCTCCACGGCGCATGTAGGATAGTTTTCCAGCTTCATATCCATCTTTCTAAGCCCCGCCTTGTTGTTGTCCACGGATAAAGACATTTGTTTTTCAAACTAATTAAGTTAATTAATCATAGAAGGGCTATTAAACAACGAAAACCGTTGCAAAAAAATATGAAAATATAAACAATTGGTAAATATATCTGTTTTGGAGATGGGAGACAGTCGATAGAGTGTTCGATAGCTGTACACCTTCTGATTGCTGGACTATGGTCATACTGTTACAAAATACGGATAAAAAGTTTAATTCGAATTTAAATTTTTATTTGAATGTTTAATACATTTACAAAAAACTGTAATATTTAAAATAAGATTTATTTAAAACACATAATTTTAGAACATGTAATACGTACTATTTTCTCAACATTATAACATTTTAATGAGCAAATTTATTTTTGTAAACTCTTGTCATGGTATAAATCATATATATTTATGATCAGTAGCAGTCTTTCTAAACATATTTAATATAAAAATCGATTTCGGAATTTTATAATAAATTCTTGTTTTTAGTACAGATTTTTTCAAAAGTATTTTAATAAAATATTTAAGAAAAATACATTCAGATGATATTATAAATATTTGTATTACGTTGACATATTTTTCAAACTGTTTAAATATTTAGTTTGCAGAAAGGTTAAGAATTAAAATATTAGTGATATCAGCTATATGCCTATAATCTCCAAAATAATAACTTTATTGAAATTTATTTTTTGTTTTTCACAGCCGATTTCAATACTGACTTATAATTCTAAAAAATTCGCAGATTAACATAATTTCTTAAATATATATGTACAACAACAAATCCATATTTGATTTGTGGTAGACCAGGTATGAATAACTGTGCTTATTTAGTGCCAAGTTACCTTAACTAAATAGGTTAATAGACACCAGGCAGACACATAAAATGGACCAAATTAAAACAAAAACAAGCCAGGCACTGGACTTGAAGGGACTTTGGAACTGATTTACAACGCCGCTTCCCAGAAGCTCCGAGCACGTTTTTCTCGCAAAGTAAACTAGGAAAATGGGGATGAGATACTGTATTCCAGTGCCAGCATATGTGCCAGTAAAAGCCACTAAACTGGACAGACTTTCGGTGAAATAGGTAATACAGAAAGGCGGAATGATGGCGAATAGAGGAAACATCAGACGGACGAGAAGGCCGTAGGACTCGTATTGGGACATGTCCAGGAACAGAGCTTGCAGATTGTTCTTGAGGGTTATGGCCACGATGGGAAAGCTGGTCGAAAGGGTAAAGATGGGGAAGAGGGCCAGGAAGTAGTCAATGCAAATTAAAAGACCCGACCAAAAGTCTATGTAGGTAACATCGTAGGGGAGGAAGTCCAAGGTGTAAAGGTCTTCGATTCGCTCAAAGGCAAAGATGCCTGTCATGGCTAGTAGAATGTAAAAAGCACAGATGACGATATAGTCAATAGACAGAATCTTCGAAACCTTCGACTTGTGTTTGAGGGGTGCCAGCAAACTGGGCAAGGAATGGTGGCACATAAAGGAGTAGACACAAGCGCCGAAAAGCGACGGAATACCATATACATTAAAGCTCACGGGGTGTCCCTTGGCACCTTGGGTGATCAGTAGCTTCACCGATATGCAGATCATCAGGGTAAAGGCTGAAAAACACACAAGTGTTAAATCCTTTTAACCGGCAATCTTTGATCTTACTTACCCATCCAGCGGAAGGCAGCGGTTAGCATCTGCAAGTATTTGGTTTTCTGCACATTAAACGCGGCAAATGGACCAAAGATCAAGGTGAATCCGATTAAAAACACTCTGTACATGCTGAGGCGAGATATAGTGTGTTCCCTCCAACAGGGTCGCGCTGTGTTGTTCTTAAAGTCTCCCGGCCATAACATTAAATTATTCGTGTCAGTTCCATTGGTTTGATCACTGAAAATATGTTAATAGTGATGGTGATAGTAGGATAGACAGATATCATATATACTCACCACACCACGTCCCGCAGACTTCTTGCCACGGCTGCCGAATATATGCTCAGGTCGCCGTATAGATACACTATCAGGCAGAGATAAAACATAATGCGTCCGAATTCGTTGAAGAACAGTGTCGCCATTTCGCCGAGCTCGAACTTGTGCGACAGCTGATAGTAATGGAACTCTCTGTTCTGGATGGTCAGCGGCACGCGCTCAAAGTCGCCCACCTGATCCGTTCCAGATGTCAGGGAAACCTCCTCGGCATTGTCATCGTTTTCGCTGCTCTCCGCCGAGCTCCTGCTCTGGCGCAGAGCCTGCAGCGTTTGCCAGTTACGAATGGCATTCGCACAGGCCATGGACTCGATGATAAAGGTGACGGTCATGTAGCTGACTATTGCCAGTAGCACGATGACAATGAGGCTCAGCATCCATCCCGCCTTGGCGAATACGCCGGGCAGGGTCAAAGCTCCAGTTCCCACAATGAGATTAAAGATGAATATGAAGCCGACCTACGTAAAAAAAGGGTATATATGCATTACTCATGGAACATGACAAAAAATAAGCAACAGATGTTTCGTTTTCGGTATCCAATTCGTAAGGTAATTTGCCTACGCAGCAAAAATTGTGCAATCACTTGTATGTACAGACATATGCAATTACATCCCTTCCCAGTTCATGAGGGAATGTAGCTTAACTAGATAAGTGAACTTATGGTCACTGAACCCAACAAAACATGATATTTGTGGCGCAAGAAAGATAGTAAACAGAGGACTAGTCCATGTATTTGTTTTTGTTGTATCTTTAAAATAGTAACTCCTTTAGTTTGCTTCTCACCAAATTCGAGTACGTGGGTGCGGCCTCTCTTCCGTTGACCAAGCGTGGCATCTTGAAAGTGCTGGTTTCTTTGTCTTTTTTTTAAAGCGGACTTCCTCTATTCAATTCAATGCAATCAATGCGCAAACAAAAAACAATAATAGACGAAAGAGCAATTTGATTTAGTGTGACCAGCCGCCATGCACCATAAAGGGGCATGACGCCAAATCATAATTAATACTAAATAATTTAAATGAATATTATTAAATATTATTAAATGGTAAAACCAAAATAAAAATATTAATAAAACCAATTTTAATGTGTTTATCCGATATATTTCAGTTGTACAGGGCAAAATAGTTTTACACCTATGCTCTGTTTGACGTAGAATTTTGTAATAGATTAAAAAATATAAGGGTTTTTTAAGGAAAATTAAGGTTTTTATTGATGAAGTTAGTTTGCCACAAAAAATAAATAATAAAATAAAAGCAATTCAATTTTCAAAACCTTTGAACTCATAACTAATAACTAACATCAGATATATGAATAACAATTCGAATTTATTATACATTTATAAGATTTTGTTATTATTTATATACATATACTTTGCACAACAAAAGGCAGTTTTGCAAATAAAAAGCAGAACCAAACTTATCCATTTGTGTGACGAGGCATCTAGAATTTTTTGTATCTTAAAAAATCAACAATTATCCTAATCTTTCGGCGATGCATTTGCGCTCTGGTTCTTCTTCCGGTTCTCCAATATACTGGTGATAAAGAACTCGCCCGCTTTGTAGGAGCTGCGAACCAGGGGACCACTGGCCGTGTAAAGGAATCCCAGCTCATTACCGCGCTCCTCCCAATGCTTGAACTTCTCCGGCGTTACGTACTCGATGACTTTAAGGTGTCTGTTCGTGGGCTGCATGTACTGGCCCAAGGTAACACAGTCGACGCCGGCATTTCTCAAGTCCTTCAGCGTGGTCTCAATCTCTTCATCGGTTTCTCCGAGGCCCAGCATAATAGAGCTCTTCGTTATGAGATTAGGATTGAAACGCTTGGCTTCGGTGAGGACCTGCAGCGTCTGGCGATAATGTGCGCGTCTATCCCGAACATAAGGAGTGAGTTTCTCCACGGTCTCGATATTGTGAGCGTAAACATCCAGACCGCATTTGGCAATCGTCTCCACGCACTCGAGATTTCCGCGAAAATCTGGCACCAGGCACTCCACAAAGATGTTAGAGTTTCTGAAACAAATATTTGGATTAATAAGAAAGACCATATGAATATTATAGTTCTTACCGCGCCTTGATTTCCTTTACAGTTTCTGCTATGTGCTTTGAGCCACCATCAGACAAATCTGCGGATTTAGTTAGTTGTATGTAGAATCTATTTACTTTAAAGTTAAACCGAGTACTTACCATCACGGTCCACGGATGTCAGCACAATGTAATCCAATCCCCAGGATGCAATTGCCGTGGCAGTATTCACGGGCTCATTTACGTCCAGTGGCGGTGGTTTTCTTGCTGTTTTCACGGAACAAAAGCGACAGCCTCGCGTGCATGTGTCGCCCATCAGCTGAAAATAATCATAGAAACGTTAAGTCTCTAGGTTTTTCATTGAGACCCCAGATAACCAATACTTTCGCTTATCAACATAGGTCAAGGTCAATAGAGGCTTCTCACCATAATCGTGGCTGTTTGGGTGCCATGCTCGCCGCCGCCCCAGCACTCGCCAATGTTTGGACACCTTGCCTCCTCGCACACAGTGGAGAGCTTGAGCTCACGCATCTGTTCCTTGATCCGGGCGTAGTTCTTGCCCACAGGAATTGTGGTCTTCAGCCAGGGGGGCAGCCGCAGGCGCTGCTCCTCGCCCTTTTCGCGTCGCAACTTTCCTGCATAGTCATCCCATTCGCTCTTGGAGTAATCCGGATTCTGAACAAAGTCCTGGAAATTGGGACCCTTAGCCAGGCGTTCGCGGATCTCCTCCAGCTTTTCCGCATTTGTTGAGGCCGCACGCTGTAAAATCAATCAATAAATATATTTCATCGACTTGACACTTGCATGTAAGTATTCCAGATAATATAACTTACGGCGACAATCACTATGGGAGTTTCAACGTGTGATTTTAAACAGCGCAACATAGTTATATTTTAATTGTTTTGCCAAATTATGTTGTTTTGTTGGGTCTTATGAAATGATTAGTGCGACCATGCTTAACTTTAGTATTTTTACTACGATAGGTTTGATTTATCGAACTTAAATACTTTTTAATTTAAATACATTTTAATGAAATGATTCCTCTATATCAAAAGAGAAAACAGCAAATAAATTATCTAGTTTTCTATATATTTAGTTAAATTATAGTTTTAAAATCTATTCTTAATAATATAATAAACTTTTAAGTTTATCAAAAATCGATTACTGAGCCGGACTAGTGTTGGTCCATCCCTAGTCTATGAGTCGCGTTCTTGTCAACAAAAGAAAGTTTTTGCAAAGCAATTTACTTAGGTTCCACTAATCGTGAGTACCTATGCCGCCTGCATTTCCCGGAAACTGCATAACTAAACTATATCGAACGCCTTGAAAGCGACCCAACACACAAATACGGCTTCGCAGTGGTCGGCGTCCAGCGCTACGGAGGCGAACGAACGCACACCACTCATGGCTGCTCATGTCCAGTCTACCAGCTCCTCCGGGCCATCAGGCGTGGGAGTGGGTGCTGATGACGGCAGCCTGAACGGCGAGACAGAGCGTTTGGAGCGTCCTCCAAAGCGGCAGCAGCAGCAGCGTAACAACTACGGATCCAATGACCAGGATACACCAGATGCGGTGGGTTTAACTTGCTGAGGGAATTGCATTTGATTTTAATTTGATTTTTGATCTCAGGCTATACTAGCAGTTCCCAATGTGGTGATACGGGACTCTGGGGGACCACATTCTTCAAGACTGAGTGGGGGTGGCGGCGGTGGTCCGCCCACAAATGAAACGGAGGAGGAACAGGGCCTCAAATACGGCGCCCAGCATGTCATCAAATTGTTTGTGCCTGTCTCCCTCTGCATGTTGGTCGTGGTGGCCACCATCAACTCGATCAGCTTCTATTCCAGCACGGATGTCTATCTGTGAGTTTTATCTGGGCTCCCATATGGACATCCAACTAATAGCAGACATTTCTTCCTTAGATTGTACACTCCTTTCCATGAGCTCTCGCCCGAACCGAGCGTTAAATTATGGAATGCCTTGGCCAACTCCCTGATCCTGATGAGCGTAGTGGTGGTGATGACCATTCTGTTGATTGTTTTGTATAAGAAGCGTTGCTATCGCATCATCCATGGCTGGCTTATACTCTCCTCCTTTATGCTATTGTTCATATTTACGTACTTATACCTGGAGTGAGTAGGGATATCCTTTTTTCTGGAATGTCTTTATTATATTTTGGCTTTTTAAAGGGAACTCCTGCGGGCCTACAACATACCCATGGACTATCCCACGGCCCTGCTAATCATGTGGAACTTTGGTGTGGTGGGAATGATGTCCATACACTGGCAGGGACCACTTAGGTTGCAGCAGGGCTACCTTATATTTGTGGCAGCTCTGATGGCCTTGGTTTTCATCAAATATCTGCCTGAATGGACTGCCTGGGCTGTGCTGGCTGCCATTTCTATTTGGGGTGAGCTTTAGGTCAATTTCTATGTAAATGACGATAATTGAATGTATATCCTGCAGATCTCATTGCTGTCCTCTCGCCAAGAGGACCTCTACGCATACTGGTGGAAACGGCTCAGGAGCGGAATGAACAAATCTTCCCTGCCTTGATCTATTCATGTACTTATAAATCACCAATCCTTTTGACTTGGTTAAAGCAAGCTTTCTATTCCTTAGCCACCGTCATCTACACATACATGGGCACTCATTATACGCCACAGCAATCACAGGCAACCGCCTCATCCTCCCCGTCGTCCAGTAATTCCACAACCACGACACGGGCCACACAAAACTCGCTGGCATCGCCAGAGGCGGCGGCGGTTAGTAGTGGCGCACGTTCAGGTAACAACTCCCGTTCCCATCCGCAGCAGAATCAGCGGGATGATGGTGGCAACGCACTGGCAACTGAAGGTATGCCACTTGTGACTTTTAAAAGCAATTTGCGCGGAAACGGTACATATGCATTATATATATTTTTATGATTTATCTTTATCTCCCTTCAAATGTGTGTAAATATTGCTTATTTGGCGTCTTGTCTGTTCTTTTCACGTCTTGTTTAGCATTGTTTGGGCATATGGTATAAAGCGCTGCTACTTGGTAGAACATCATTCGAGATAGAGCTACGAAATGAACGCCATTTCAAGGCTCTCTTAATCTAGGATTATCTTTAAATTCTCTTTTTGCTTTATTTTTTCAGCTGAAGCTGCGGGATTCACCCAAGAATGGTCTGCCAATCTCAGTGAGCGTGTGGCTCGTCGTCAGATAGAAGTTCAGAGCACACAGAGTGGGAATGCCCAGCGCTCCAACGAGTATCGTACCGTTACTGCGCCCGATCCGAGCCAACAGGAGGGACAAGAAGAACGTAAGTTAATCCAACAATTTCATTGAAAAACTCATTTAACACCTTGTTTTACAGGTGGCATCAAACTGGGTCTCGGAGACTTCATCTTCTATTCGGTTTTAGTGGGCAAAGCCTCTAGCTATGGCGACTGGACCACCACAATCGCTTGCTTTGTGGCCATTCTTATTGGACTCTGCCTTACGCTCCTGCTTTTGGCCATTTGGCGCAAGGCCCTGCCCGCTCTGCCCATCTCCATAACCTTCGGACTGATATTCTGCTTCGCCACCAGTGCCGTGGTCAAGCCGTTTATGGAGAATCTGTCGGCCAAGCAGGTGTTTATATAAATACAAAGAAAGAAAGACAAGGACACGGGAAAATGTCGCTCAGTATCATAGTCTAACAGCTTTTTGTAACCATTTCTTTATTTAACAAAATGCATAGTATTGGAATTACTCACTCCAACTTGCGTTTTATAATTGTTTTGTCTACAATGTTAATCAGCCAGCCGGGCTCCAGGCCATAGAATATCTGCCTCGGATCCTTGGTGGTCGTGAGCATCTCGTAGGCGGAATCATTCTCGATTTTAGGCAGCTCATAACCGTATTTCTGGGCCAGCACCAGGCGTTCTTTGCTGATCTCCTCGGGATTGGCCAGATAGCCGCGATTCTTGGGATTCGTATAGTAGTCCACGGCGTCCTGGGGCGGCAGCATCCGGCTGGGTATGGGCACACCCTTCTGAAACCACTTTTGCGGATTGGCCAGCATGTGCAGGCTGCGCGGATCGTAGTAAGATGTACGGATCACACCGCCGTTCTTCTCCACAGCGGCAATGACCGCCTCACTGGCGTGCTGCACCTCGATGTTGATCTTGGCCTTGAAGTTGTCCAAACCGTCATCCGTCAGCTGGAACCCGTATTCCAGCTCCGCTGGCTTTAGCTTCAGCAGTCCCGAGTTGCACAGCGTGCTGATATCTATGGGCTGACTGGTGTCTATCCGGTTGGTGTCGATAAGCACCTGCAGCTGGAGCAGGGAGATGGGCGGGTACTGGCGCTTCATGTGGTGTCCCTTGTAGTAGGGCTCGTAGGGGAATCTCATGTAAAAGGGCTGATTTCCCGTCTCATAGCCAAGCCGCATAAAGTTTTGCCGCTGTCCTGAGCCCTTGTTGCCTGCTCCATGCTTATCGCCGCCGTGCTGGGCCCGGCCACGCTTGTCCTGAGGAATTTGAACAGAAAATTAAATAAATTAACCAATTGCATGTTGTTATTCAACCGGCTGCACGCACATTCTGTTTGGAGTTGGGATTCGGCCGGAGGTTCCCGATCTGAACGCGCGGCAACGTGCGCAGCAGCTTCAGCGCTTTGTCCGAGGTCTCCCGCAGGTGAGCCATGTTCAAAAACTACTTAATTTATTTAATAATATTAAGTTTTACAGGTGAAAAATAAAAATTATCCACGAGTGGATGTAATCGAGTAATCGAGTAATACACAGGCGATAACAATTAATCGATAAATTACCCACATCGCTAGTGTAGACGCAACAAAAACGTAAACATTCCTTGAAATAAATAAAAAAACAATAATTATCTTTATTAAAACATATAAAATTTATAAAATTACAAGAATATGACGTGTGGAACATGTCGGGGACACAAGGAGCGGAGTGTAAAGTGCCTTATTGCCGCTCTGGACATTATCAAAGATCACGCCTTGAGTAAGTGGCTATGAGTTGACTCCACTTTATTAATTAATTAATACATTAAACTTAATGAACCGCAGTGATGCAGCAAGCGTCTGAGGAGAGTGACAAGACCATAGAGAATTTGAAGGCGCACAATGAAAAGCTGCACAAGGCGCTCGACTTGCTGAAGGAGCGGCAGGAGTCCATGACCTTGATGCAGGCGGAGAAGCGAAGAAAACTATCGCCCAAAAAACCAAATGATGACATATCACCATTGCCGCAAAGCCAGAACTCTCTGAACATGAACATAGCTCTCAACAGTATCGAGCTCTCTGACGAGGACCAGGAAATGGAGGAGGACGAGAGCATTACGGAGACGGAAACCAACTCCTTGCGAAGTCCGCGCAAGTTGAAGTCGTTGCTAAACAGAAAGCCGGACATCCGAAATTTGGAGAACGTCCAGCCAAACAGTCTGTCCACGTCTAACCAAAATTGGATCAGCAAGACACCAAAGAATCCCGCCGTCCTCACCAAATTGTCACTCACCCACAAGGGCAGCGCCCTGGGCTTGAAGCAAACTCGGCTGAAGTTTGAAAGCAACAAGACGAGCACCAGCGAAAAGGATGTAATAGAAGATAGCCCCAATTTGAGCAGCAGCAAATCTCGCCCGTCTCGATCCCTAATGCAGAGGTAATTATCCGTAGAAATCACATAAACCCGTGTAATATTCAAAGCCAAGTTTGCAGAACCGACACCGTGACCGCTTCAAGCGCCGGCGATGCCAAGCTAGACGTCACCAGCAGCAGCAGTCTCCTTCAGATGCCCAAGCCCACATTTGAGCTGGAAGATGATGCCGAGTTCGATATGGATAGCTCGGAACTACCTCTGATGCCGCCACCTGCCACGCCGCCATTTCTAAAGATGAACAGCACCTCGGACAGCGTGGTCCTGCTTACGCCAGCCACTCAAGACATAATCTTTGTGAACGATACTCTGGAAGATCACGAAAATGTGGACAAATTGGGCACCATGGATGTGCTGGCGGAGATTATGAAGGATGACGATGATGCCTGCTCCAATGCCTTGCGGCAGTTCGAGAAGAAAATGATTGACCAGCAGAAGCAAAACAAACCGACTCCGCAAGCAATCCAAATTACTCGACCCGTCAAACAAGAGCCCATTTCACAGCCAGCAGAGCCGGACTTGGGTAATGAATCAACGAAGCTTCCGGAGGATATCGAAAAGTATATGATGGACATTAAAGATGAAGATGAAAGCAAGGACTCGGTGGAAGAGGAGGAAGAGGAATTCCCCCGTCCAATTGTGGTAAAAAATGAGCCTGAGTTGACGCTCAAAGAAAGGCACAACATCAATTGCCCTGATTGCGAAAAGGTTGGTGTGGGAATTTATAATAATATACAAAAATTATGTTAACTTAACCCTTAATTATCGTTACAGTTTATCAACTTCATGGGCTCAAACCTGACTGACGAGAAAATTAAAGACTATTTAAACAATTGCCGACACGTGGACGCCCGAAGCTCAACGCCCCCAGGCTTCTGGAACCCGCACATGGTGTCCTTTGCCGAAAACGATCCTAGGAATGAGGTCTTGATAGACAACCGATTCAGGGACCAGCGCTTAAACAAATGAGTCAAGATTTCAGGTTTTCTGTTTAATTCATTGATTGTATTTAGTATTTTATATTGCACACATTTATGGTTACAATTCACAAGTTGCCGCGTTTGGCCTGCTCGATTTCGATGGCCGTGAACAGGGACTTGAAGTTGCCGGCTCCAAAGCCCTGGAAGATAGTTAAATTATAAGATAAATTAGGTGAAATAAATACTTTCTTAGCAGCTCTTACATTATGGTTGTGGCGCTGGATAACCTCCAGGAAGAGGGTCGGCCTATCCTGGCAGTTCTTCGTAAAGATCTGCAGCAAGTAGCCGTTCTCATCGAAGTCAATCAAGATGTTCAGCTTCTTCAAGATCTCCATGTCCTCCTTAATCTTGGTGCGGCTCTGCGAGAGCTGCTGCTGCAGGATCTCGTAGTAGGACGAGGGAATGGTCAGGAACTCGGTGCCCCGAGCCTTCAGGTTGCTCACCGCCTGGATGATATCGTCAGTGTTGAGGGCAATGTGCTGGACACCGCCTCCTCCATAGTACTCGACATACTCTTGAATCTGCGACTTCTTCTTGCCATTGGCCGGCTCATTGATGGGCATCTTCACCGTCTCCTCGTAGTTGGCCATCACGATGGACCGCAGGGCAGAGTACTCCGTGTGGATCTGCGAGTCGTCCACCGACCAGAAACGATGGAATTGCAGAATTCTCTCGTACCAGGAGGCCACGCTCTCCATTTGCAAATCCGGCTGATTGCCCACCACATGATCGATGAAGTTCAGTTTGGTGGAGGGCAAGCCCTTCAGCAGAACATCCTCTGCTCCGCGCTGGAATCCCGGCAGAAAGTCACCGGCATAGCCATTGCGCTCCACAAAGGTGTGGGTAGTGTCACCGTACGTCTTGATAGTGGCGAATCTCACGAATCCGTGGTCATCGCTCTCCTCCCAGATGTCGCGCACCACTTCGGCGCCGCGGGACACAGCCAGCGTAAAGATGGCATTCAGATCCTCCACTTCAAAGGCCACATCCTTGACCCCATCGCCGTGGCGCATCAGGTGGAGTCCATGATCCTTGTCGTCTGGCGTGTAAGCGGAGACGAACACAAAGACGATCTTGTTCTGGCGCACGGCATGCTTGGCAAAGCGCCTCTCCCCGGTCTCAAGTCCCTGGTAGCCAAGTGGTTCGAAGCCCAAACGAGTGGTGTAGTAGCTGGCCGCCTGCTTGGCGTTGCCAACGTAGAATGTCAGATGATCAAAGCTTAGAAATTTGCCGGCTTCAGGCTGTAGGGAATAAAGATTGTTAAATACCTCAAGATAATGCAAGGCGAATGCTTGCACTTACTTTGGTTCCTTTGTCAGTATAGCTTGTCTGAAGGTAGAAAAAGTCAAGTATACAAATAAAATTAGCAATTAGCAACTAATTAATAAATTTGAAATACATTTTTGCAAATAAATAAATTAAACAAACTTTTAAAAGCTAAAAAATGAAACCACGAACAAGAGTAATCAACGTCTTAGTAATTATTTCCTAATGTTTGACACCTATATTGTTGGAAAATCTATATAAAACATCCAGTAATCAGATTGTTAGCATAATATATTTTGTTTTCATAATTATTTGAAATATTTCTTTTCACTATTACATTTTTTAACCATATCTTGTAAGCCACATGCATGAATTATAATAAAAAACCTAGCTTTTATAAACTTCATCTTTTTAAGTTCAAAGTGAAAATCTTTCTTTAATCATGCAAAGCTTTAATATTTTTATTTTTAAGGACTGATAAAGCAAGTCCTTTTTCTCACTATCACCATCTTATATAACTCTTTGGCACACGTTTAACACATTATCTTTAGCCATACCATTATCACTCAGACTCAATTTATGCAAATCCTCTCCTCACACGCGATATAGATTTCTACGTTCCGTTGGATCTTACACGATCTTCAAGTTGATTATGGACTGAGCTGTGCCAATCGACGGCTTTATATAGGGCCCCAGAATCATGTGTAGATCAGGTGAAAATCCTGTACTAATTTAAATAAAAGCCAAACTAGTATTTTGTTTATTTCAACTGCTATATATACCGGAATATCTTAGGTAGCTGCTTGTTGTTATTCGCATATTTTAACTGAACCTGCAGAAATTTGTTTACTAGAACAGGTGGATTATTTAATTAATGCAAACCTTCCCGGCGAAATGAATTGCAATTTTGTAATCAGAGACGGGCCTCCTTCAATGAGTGTGTTTACTGCCCATCAAGGCGGCTTTTTAGAAGTTTTTGTAAGCCGAAAATTTCACTTCCTTTCAAGTGTGTTACACAAAAAGCGATATATTAATATCAAGTCCGTATGCAAAATGCCTGAAAGTTAATATTAGAATTCCCCTAAATATTCATGAGGAGAGGCGGCAGTCGAGTTTGCTGGGGCAGATCGGTTGCCAAGTCGTCGTCGTCGCATTGAACTTGATTCAAGTTGCGAGCCCCCAAAACGCCTCTAGTGTTATCTCGATTGTTATTGTTATTGTTATAGTACCAAATGTACATATGGCGCCATTGAAGTTGAAGTTGTTTTGTATTAGAATCGGGCTTTAAAAATTACGATAACTGGTTTGAAATATGACTTGTTGTTGTTATTCAAAGCAAGGCACACGTTGGCCATAAATCATATATTTTGATTATTATCTTTATTTTCATTGACTTTAAGTGTTTAGGGTTAATAATATTACTCACATATTTCAGTTCTTTTGGAAAGAACCAAGGGAATATATTAAAATATATGATCAGTACATCTAGAGTTTTGTAAAAGATAGTTAGCCTTTTAAACAAATCTTTCTCATTGTTTATTTAACATCAATGATTTGTTTAAATAATTTGATTTCTTAAAAAGGACTTTAGAAAACCTGGTAAATGTAAATCATTTACAACAAATTTTGTTAGATAATATATTTTCTTAACTATTGTTGCCTCTCTTCGTTTGTTCCAATAAATATCTTATTTTATAGACATTCTTATCCATTTATTTAGTTATTTACTTGCTCAATGTTTTCTTTTGGGATAGGGCAGTTCTGTTAATCATTTTGACTGACGATCCGTGTCAGGTGTTTGGCAACCAAGCGACAAGTCCATAAATTAAAAGTTTTCCCTAGCTCTTTGGCCGAACACATGGCGTATGAGCAATCTGGGGAGCTAAGCATTAATGATTTAGCCCTAGAACTAAGTCTCGCCCAGCTGCTGGCGACCAGCCTAGTCGTGACGATGAGCTGACAGTCCAAAAGGGGTGGAGGACAGCGATATGGTCGATTGGCCATTGGCAAGAAGCCAAATCGATGCTTGACATTTATTATGATTGGCTTATTAGGAGCAGCAGAGCAGCAGAGGCGATAACCTGCCGGAGGGGCCTGGGGAATACAAAAAACACTTGTCGCTTAATTGTTCCAGATGTTATAGTTGTCATTAAGCCATATGGTTCTGAATTCTTAGAAGGATCAAAAGCATGGAGCTTTAATAAAGGTGAATCAATATTAAAAGTGAAAGGAAATGTTGCATAATATTTGTATTTATAAGATGTTACCCATTACCCCATAATTTTCTATGTTTAAAATATTTAAGAAATAATTTATAGCCTGGGAAAACTTTTCCAAATTATAGTTTTCACATCATCGTTTGCACTTCCATAAATATCTTTGATTTCCATTTGTTTGTTCGACCGACACCTGCCGAAACATCGATTCCATTAGTCAGGTTATTCCAAGGACTCACCCCATTGGACCTATCCCAATGATATTTGCCAACCTCTCTCTTTCTGCTCCTCCGCTGACTTGCCATTAGCTGAGCAAACTTTTGTCCTTGGCGAAGGGAACGGCATCCTTCTGTGTTCGGGTTTGTTTTGGGTTTGATGTGGGTAGCCTGTTGCTCGATGGTGAGATTATGTTTCCCGCCACCCTTGGCTTCGATTGAAGTAGAAGTAGAAGTCCTTCTCTTTGCAGGACCTTTCTCTCTCTTTCGGCAGAGACGACGGCATTGCCAGCTGGGAAAAGTTTCTCGCTTGGGGGTTGCTTTCCTAAAAGGACGATTGCCACCAGACAGAAGGATGTGAGTCTCTATTGTTGTCGTTAGTAACTTCGTCGCCGTTGCACAAGGAAAAATTAAATATTTTATTTCTTAAAAGGTTTTTAGAAAATCTTAAATACATGTAATGTAATTTGTTTAATTTTAAGATAAATTAAAATAAATAAGGATTATAGAATAGTTTAAACATTATTTATAAAATATTCAAACTAATTATTTAAATTATATACTTCTTTAAAAAATGTTTAAAGAATTCTAAGAATATTTCTCTTTTTAGAACTTTCACCTAACTATTTAGATTTAAGGAATGTATACTTATTACCTGTTTTTCTCTCAGTGCAGTGTTATTGTCCTTGTTGTTGCGGTTGTTGTTGTTGCCATAGCCGCAAGCTGTCGCCGGTCTACGTCACGCTTTCCATCCTTCAGTCGCGTTTACTACGCTTCGAAAACAACAAGCAGACCAAAGATAGTCGCAGATAAAAAATTAAAAACCCGAAAAATCACAAGTGTGTAACTACTCTCAAATTATCTCCCATAATTTTTTTAATTTAATGAAAACCAAAACAAACGAATGTACTTGAACTGTCGCTGGTGCTTTGAGCACAAAATCAAAAAATCATTCGTCGCTATTTAAGTTTTTTAGTTGCTGTATATGAAAATTTATGTGTAACTTTTTTTTCTTCTAAATATTGACAAATTGGTGCGTCTCGTTGAGCGATTAAAATCTTTATGTTGAAAAAAAGTCGGAAAAAAACAATGTCAAATGGTTGGCCCCCAAAAAACAGACAATTTTCGAGACCCAAAATCCCCCGAAGCAAGGCAAAAAAGTTTTAAAATGTTACAACATAAATTACTACAAACTACGCGCTCTGAAAGCATTCTCTAGTTAGTGCGGTTTAAAAATAGTTCGTATATGTTATTTTTGCGATTCTGTTGATTGATTGCTCAGTGTGAAAATGATCATAAATTGGTTAAAGCCCAAAGAACACTTGGGGACCCATAAAAATAATCATTTCCCTGGGCAGTGGCAGTGCTGCCAAAAATGTTAGAGCTTGTATGAGCCACACACAGTTTTGCAGGCGCTGTCGAAACGAGTTTTTGTTTGAAAAAGGGGAGATATCTCTCTTTTCGCTGACTTTCTCCCTTACAATCTCTTCGCGGGGTGTTTTTTCATTCCATCTTCAGGGGTTAAAAAACTATACAGACCGCAGGCGCAGCGATATCTTAGGGAAGGTGAGATTTTATTAGCAAAGGTAATAAGCAGATGTCTGCCACAGAGATCTGAAGATTTTAAGGTAAGGCAGATTTTATAAAGATTTTTTAAACTCTAGTGCTATAAAACTATTGGAAAAGGTATCTGAAATTATGTTATAAAATGTTTTAAGTGTCAAATATAATAGTTTTAGAACAATTTACTTTCCTTACCACAAAGAAAAACTTTTATAAGGATAGTAAATATAATTTATAAAAAAGAATATTCCTGGTAATCACACCCTTGTGGACATTTCTGATAGAGATCTCCAAAATAAAACAGTTCTCCCACCAACTACTCAACACAACATTAAGTAAATCCAGCTAAATCCAAATATTTGCATCTAAATTTGCGAATTTAATTCGGTTTGCGTGCCAGAACCCAATCGAAATGCTTCGACAGAGCCATTTTCCACTTACCTGCCAGATAGACGCGCCCTTTGTGACCTTTCGAGAGAGGGGAAGTCCCCCATTAAAGTCATAAAGCATTACCTGGGGAGAGGTGGCGCTCTCAGCATGATTCACTTTCACCTTGACATGCTTTCCCCTGCCTCAATATCCTTTCCAGCGAGTTGGATGCGGATGATGGTGGTATTAAGTTCTTAAAGCCAGATGCCGCCGACATAGAAATGATATTTTTATGCAGTCAAGTTATTTACACGCCGACTTAGGCCCTTAAGTGTTGTGGTAGATGAAACCACATCAAGCGAAAAGCAAAGGAAAATACAATAACCGCCCACAGATCTAGAGTCCAGCCAGCGTTTAATAGTCTTGGGTAATTCTAGAAAGTAAGGTCCATAAAATGATGCTTTCAAAACAAGAAATCGTACGGGTTGGGGCCAGTCCAGATATAGTATGTGAGATTTGGGTGGCGACTGCCAGAGCAGGTTGCAGTTTTACAAATAAACAAAAGAGCCGGAGGAGGAACTTCCTAGCCATCACCTCGCCTATGTGAGTTTTCATTTTTATTTTTAAAACACCGAAATTATGAAGACCAGAGCAGATCACATATATGTGTATATAGCTTACATAGGTATACAGATGCAGATATATCTATTTTTAAGGGATCGTTCCGGGGCATTTAGGTGGGCATAAATTATAAAAATATTTCAATGTGTGTCAGATATTGTTTGTTCGGTATGCCAAGGTATGTTTGGTGTTTATTTTTTCTAAACTCTGGAAGGGGAAATGGTTATGCTCCGTTTTTAACAAATTACTGGGCTTATTAAGTGCCATATTATTAATGGAGCATCACATTGAGGGAATATTTGATTAAATGCCTGTTGATGGCCCATTGGGAAGTGTGAATTGAGCTCGACAAATTGGTTAATCAGGTGAACAAATATTGGGAAAGGCAGGAAGTTTATTTATTCTCAGTTTTAGTTTTATCTTACTTAAGATGACTGTATCTTTTATGTTCTCATTTTTTAAATATTTATTGTTTTATAATTATGATACTACTCATCCTGAATTAATCTTGAACGTAGTGCAATTATTGACCATCTTATACCGCCTTATCTTTAGAATTAACTTGCACTTAGTTACAAGGAATTTGAAAATAAAGAATATGTATTGTTCCTTATCGGAATCTACCTTTAAATGCAACCCGCTCGCTATCTGCGAATATACTTCATTCAAGTCGACGGATCCAGCCGGGTATCGCACGGATACCTCGCTTCTGCCAACGGACAGTGTGTCATATCATATTTGTTTAGCCTCATATTTTCAAGTTGGTATAATAGGGGCTTATTTTTTATAGACTTTGACAGGACAGAAGATTTCATTAAAGCTTTGTTTTCTTACTTATTTTTTTTAAGAAATAATTGGAAAACCCAATTTTAAATCGATAAATAGCTATTATTTTTATGACGTTTCGACGTGTTATAAATTCTAAGACGGCGTAGATAGTATTAAAGTTTAAATTATTAGTGAATATAAAAATCCCTTAATTAACTAAGACACAAAAACGTTTCAAGTATTTATTCTTTCTTTTTTCAAGCCAAATAAACTTAAATTCTTGTTTAATTTTTAACTAACCTTGCAAAGCAAAGCACACAACATTTAAGTTAATAAATTAATTAATAAATTATATAATTAATAATTAAATGTAAGGCATTTCGTAACCAGAAAATATTCCCCAAAAAGTAAAGTTAATTTCGCTGAAACCACTTTACAAAAAATTTAAAAAATATATATAAAAAAATAAACAGAATTTTCGTGGGATTTGACCACTGTTTACTGTTCGCTGCCGAAGCATTGGAGAAGCCGCCGCCGCCGACTTGCTCAAAAGTCAGAACGAATTTGCATAGGCTGGGAATCGGACGTGCGGCCCGTCGATCTTGATGCGAAACCATCGCAGCGGTACGACAAATATTACGAGTATTTATTTCGTTGGCTCCTGCGATCTCCGATCCGCTCCTCACGTGCGTGTGTGATATTTGTAACTTTAATTTATGAGATGCGGAATGCGTTGAGTGAGTCTTCGCCGCTGACTAGCTGCTTCATAAATTATTCCCAAGAATACCAAGCATTTTTTTAGTGAAAAAATAAATATCAACGAAATTTTAAAGCCATTTATCAGTAACAAACGAGATGAAAGAACCATATTTTATGCAACAAATTGTGTGGATATGTGGAAATTTGTGTTTTTTTGAGTTGGAAAAATGTAATAAAGGCCAATAACTCGATAAATTAAAGGGTTTATAAAGTTTTATATAGTTTTATAAATAAAAGGATTATAAATAAAAACGACAATAACGTGAAAATTTATATGAAAATATATCGCTTTGAAGTGAAGTTATAAAACACAGAAAAAGCTACAAGTGTAACTTTCCTTTAATTTATTTTATTTATAAAATATATTAAAAAATCACTACAATTTATACAAGTGGGTTTTTTTATTTTTAAATTGACCCATTTAACCAAAACAAAAACTAAAAACTGCCTGCCAAATCGAGTTATTGCAGTCAAAAGGAAAACTATAAAAATTGTTTAACAATATTAGAGAAATGCCATCAAACCAATCAGCTGTAAAGTGATTTAAACACACAAAAGCTGTTCGTGTGGAAAGCTGGCTATAATATTCTTGAATCTGAACCATATACAATGTGTGCGCTGGGCCTCTATATTCCGATCACGACCGCATTTTACTCACTATATAGTATGCCGATCATCACTGAATCTCAATCTCAATCTCCGCATCCGTGCGACTGACTTACAGATCGTATCCGATTGCTGCGACCGCAACGACGCACTAGTTGAAAGCCGAAATAAAACGCCAATAAAATCCAGCTAATTAATGTGATAATTGTGCAAAAACTAAAATGATCGAAATCGGACGATTTAGCACGATGTGGAGCGACTTGGAATGCACTCAGCTTGCCATAGAGGATTATCGCCAGTGCCCGAGATTACAGCAAACGCCGACGAGATCTCCAACCACCGATAAGCCTGCCTCCTCCAGCTCTTCCTCCGTCTCCGGGGTCAGCCTGCGCTATCAGTTGGCGGTCAGCATCAGCATTCCTCCTTCGTTCCTCCTAGCTTGCACAGTGGCGATCCTCTGCCTGGGATCCGTCTTGGCTGCCCCACAAACCTCCTGCATTATGTGCAACAAGGAGGACCTGCGTCCGCGCGTACCGCCGTACAGCGACAGCTACACGGAGTGGACCTTTGACCATCAGGTGTCCCAGCAGTCGGCCATGGAGTCGTTGCAGAAGTTTAATGAGTGTAAGTATATAAAAATTAAATCACTTTGAATTAAAATATATAGAAAAACATTTCGGGTATTAATTTAAGAATCTAACATTATTGCAAATATAAAGTTTTGTATTTATCATTATTATCTTTACGTTTAAAGTAATAAATAATCCAGAATACAATTTTAGATAAAGAAAGTTTATAAATTTAATCAAATTTCTTTTGTTTTCTACAAAAATATACTTTCCTACTTGCAAAATTATTTTTTTAATAATATTTCCAAGCAATTAGCCTTTAATTTTGTGTAATAAAATATTAAATCTTTTATTTTCTTGGAAAATAATTATAATATATTAATTAAAGTCTCTTTGTCTCAACAGCACATGCCCAGAACAATGCCTGTAACTCTATAAAATGCCCACCGAATGTAATGAAATATTGCCTAGGAACTCAGGTAAATGTTAAATATAAGCTATAGGGACAATAGGCAGAGAACATCCTTAATAAATTCATGATTAAATAATAAAAAATAAAGCCTTAGTTGAGGACAAACTTAAGGTTATTTTCTGCCTAATGAGCCTAATATTTTACACAAAAACTTTCAATTTGAAAATAATATGTTTACAGTTTATAAACGACCATTGTTGGTGCGAAATGCAGCATCGAGAAGGTGAGTAACACTGTAAAATATTTTATGAAATAGTAGAATTAGTAAATTAATTTTGTGATTTGAAAGGAGATAAAAATTTGCTGGAGTAGTTACATTTTAAAAGAAAAAATATAAATATAATTATTAATATTTGTTTGCTTTAAACATAATTTTGATAATTTATTAGTGGTTATACTCATACATAACAACAACTTCATAAATCAGAGAACTTCCCTAAAAGCTGTTTTAAGTGCACTGTTTTCAATAAAGTTAATATTTATGACTTTGCCACAAGAGTCTCAGCACATGGCGCCAAACAATAACAAACAAGAGACCTGCAACTTCTCTGCATTCGCAGTGGCAATCTCCCACAGCAGACGTGTCGTGCCACTAACCCACTTGGAACCCAGTGGCACCCAGAGACAACTCTCTAAAGAGCCTCATTAGCCCTTAACAAGCCCCACTCACGCAGATTACCGGGCAGGGAGCGAGTAAGTGTACCTCTCGTACTTACTACGGCGATGACGCAACCCTTTTGGTGGACATAACTTGGCCACAGAATTATCCCATGGTCGAGAGGTGGCGGCATCGGCTGGGCATGGGCTCGAACTGGTCTCCTTGTCGCCGGCATTTGGCACGTGATGCGGCGCGGAAGTTGTTAAGTCTGGTCCACTGATTGAACCGCACTCTAATGCTTCGACACGCTCCATTGCCCCGACTTGCAACAATAACAGTGTGGGTTCTGTAAGGGAGAAGTATGTGGTTTTTAGGGTTTAATATTTGAGTTATAAGAAGGTTTTTTCTATTTTGAGTTCTCATTTTCTCATTGCATAGATAAGATTATCAAAAGTTTGAGATTGTTTTTATCAGAAGTAGAAGTAGAAGTTTTTAAATAGAAATAATACTTTCTTAGATATAACTACATTTTCTTATTTTAAAGATATTCGAATACCTAATGCACTCTTACCATATGCTCCTTAGTCAGAACCCACTGTACTCGGATTACTTCGACATTCCTAATGTCCAAGCGTCAGTTTATAATTCTTTCCAATCTAAGCAGTTGTTTTTTTTTTTTTTTTTGTTATTTTATTGCTAGAATGCAGGCTGTTTGGGGAAAATTTTGTGGGCTCGGCGCTTAGATTGTCTACAGTTGAATGATTTTCTTCAAGGCGCCCAGTTTTCGTTTTCCATGCCCCCATAGTTTTACTTTTTCAATGCAATTGCAATGCACCCGCCTTTGAATTGTTCTTTGCAGCTCATTAAATTCAATTTTGTTAATTTCACTTTTTTGTTGTTCTTTTTCTGGGGCTTATTATGCATTTACCGTTGGTTATAAGCCCCAATGAAGGTAAAAAACACATTTCTTGAACAAATATTAAATACAAATCTTGCAGTTCTTGGAATCGAGGCATATAAAAGGGTTAAGAATGTGTAATTTGGGTTGTTAAGTGCTTATTGACGTAAGATAAGAAAACTCTTGGCAGTTTTCCTGTTTATCTTACCCTTGGCCTTATCTTTACTTACATGATCTCTTCCATATAATATTTTCGAAGAACTTAAAAGCTTTCCGAATCAAATACTGTCACTGTTCTTCAACTTATGATACAAAAAAGAAAGGAAACTTATTTTGCAATGCCGAAGTTTGTATACTCTTGCATTTTGCAAAAGGATCCAGTTTGAATTTGAAATCGATCATAACTAAGCCAAAATGTATTATGCATGTATGTTTATGATTTTTAGGGTCGGAAATGATTCCTTTTGGCTAAAATTAAAATACCCTGCAAGGGTATAGGATTGTATTCTGTTTTAATATTTACTGAACATTTTTTGTGGCTTACTCCCACATTCTTTGGTATGCAGCAGGCAATACTTACTACCGGCCGCCAGTCCAATCGATAAGGAACGTGTCTGGAATAACAATGGGAAAACACCTGCCAACCCCTGCCAACTCTGGGTGGCATGTCCACATAAGTAGTATATACAGCTCTCCCGATGACCATTGTTAGGTGCCGCTTATAGCTTCCAATTCAAATATTTCCATAATTTTACGCAATTAAATTTGACAGCTATTTCGGTGTTCTTTTTTTCGTACTCCAAGCAATTATTATTTAATACAATTATGGAAATGCTAATTGACGAAATGTGTGAATCATAAAAAAGCTGTAAACATAAAAAATCGTTATTAAATTTCTTTGGTAACCTAATTTTAGCTGCTTCGTGTAATCAATCACACTCGATTCACATTATTCTCTGTTTCAACAATCTGTCGATTTATATATTTCCAATGCAATCTCGTCCTCGGCTTGTCAGCCGCCGTCGCTAAAGATTAATAACAATTGCCAGAGCAGTCGGTAAAATTGACCTAACATATTACACGCCGGGACCCGTGTCTGTTTGCATTTACTAATAATTATTTAATTGTATAAATATCTGTGACACGCAGCAAACAAATGAAAAGCGACTATAATATGTGTGTGTGGGCTTTCAATGTTTTTAAAATTTAGACATGGAACTTCATAAAATTCAACACGTTGAGTTTTCTATAAACAAATGTGAATCGCGGCGTCCATAAACAGGCCAACCGAAAAAATAACCCAGGCATATGTTACGATCACCGATCGAAAAACAATGCCGTTCATATTTAGTCACTCGTCTCAGTTTATATTTTGGCCAGAAATTACTCTTGATTTTTCGTTTTCGTGCGCACAGCAAGCTAGCTCCAATAAACATATTCTATTTTATCGATTTCCGTTTCTACTCAAAGCGCAAAAGTTCCATAAATTGTGTATTTAAATTAAGTGGTTGCTATTATAAAAAGTTAAGCACTTGATTTTGAATTGGAGCATATTGGAAAATGTTTGAATATTTTGAGATGTCTGAAAACCAATATTTTCGAAATATTTATAGTTTTTTTTGTGAATGACACATGCAGCTGTGTTTTTAGAAAAACATAAGATTTACTTTGATTTAAATATAATTGCCTAAGGTCATATATACCAATTAATTTTATTTGTATATGAATTTCGATTTATAACATTTGTTTATTACTCTCTAGCTAATTTTGCTAATTTGTTTATTATTTCGTGAGATTTATAGCTTTATAAATCAATCAAATCATCATACTAGGGGTTGTTCTGGTTTTCACTTTCGGTGAAGGTTTTTAAATTACTTTTTTATTATTATTTTTTTAAGGTTTTTATATGAGTAATTAAGTACAAATCATAACTGATTTAGAAAACTAGGAAAATCAGATTTATTTTTAAAATATTTTTTTAAGGCTGTGTAATTGTTAAAAATGTAATTGTAAAACAAGCTAACTTTGGCCAGCCAAAGTTTGTATACCCTTGCAGGTAACAATTCAAATATATCATAACTAAGCCAAAAATGGATTAATTTCGATTCGGATTCAGCAGTTTTGTGTTAGTATTTATTAATTTAAAAAACTGCATACCAAATTTAAAATTTTAAGAAATCAAAATTTTTGGACATTTTTGTTCATTTTAATGATGTAACCCCTTATCAAATTTCGCAAAAATGGCAAAAAAAATCGATTTCTTCCGGACATGTCTAGAAAGATTCGCACGTTAATGCTGATCAAGAATATATATGGTTTATGGGGTCTGATTTTTTATATTAAAAAACTTCTTGATTTTTTTTTAAATTAAAAATATCATAACTCGGCCAAAAGAGCATTAATTTTAAATCGGAAAACTCTTCTGTGCAAGATTTTCTACAGTTAATAAATCTGCATACTTCATTTAAAAATTTTGAAAATTCAATTTTTTATCAAAATCAAACATTTTAATGATGTAACCCCTTAAAAAATTTTGCAAAAATGGCAAAAAAATCGATTTCTTCCTGACATATCTAGAAAGATTCCCCTGTTGATGCTGATCAAGAATATATATACTTTATAGGGTCGGAAACGTCTCCTTCACTGCGATGCAAACTTCTGACTGAAATTATAATACCCTGCAAGGGTATAAAAATGACCGAAATTATTTTTTTCTCCTTTTAAAAAACTATAAAATCAAAATGCCAATTTTGAAATTTAAAAAATTATGTAAAATTAATATTATCTATTAAGAAAAAGCTAGTATAAAATAAATAAATAATATTCAATTTCCAATTCCTTTCCAGAGGGCCTGCCATATGTACCCCATACATGCTTCTTGGATGAAAAGGTGCACACACCTTCCGTGGGCTCGTGCTTCGTCTTCGCGGAGGTCAAGGAGTGCTGCTGCGCTGGGACCTGGGTCAAGAAGTGTAAGTATTTTCCATCCAATACGATGGAGACTGCACGTAGCCATAGTGTTCGCATCTGGTATCACACTAGCAATGCTAAATGCTCATGCCACTCCGAACGAACACACGGAGCGGGATTAACAAAGCGATGCTAATTTAATAATGTAAATATACAGTTTTCGATGATTCTGTTTCCACAACGGCGCCTTCGATAAACATACAAATACCAGAAATAACAGCAACAATGGCCGAGAGATCAGATCATGTCAATATTCACATCACTGGCCAGAAAATCGTACCATGCTAATTATATTTAGTTTATAATGCTAATTGAAATCGCTCACACCGTTCGGCCTGAGAGATCGAGAGACTTTTAAATCATAAAATATATGTAGGAAAAGGCCTTTTGAAAATGGCAAGCTATAAATTTTAAAAAGGGCAATTAGCCTTGGCTGTTGTATATTATCGCACTGAGTAGTTTATTCCAAGAAGCTTCTCACAATAAACATAAAACTTTGGCTAAATCGAGAGCTAGCTCATAAATAAATATGAGAAAAGCTGGAAAAACATATTCCGAATTTTACCAGCTGGCATAAAAACAATTTTAACTAAAACTACATTTTTCCTTTGACTATTTTCCAGGGCGACACATTTCCGGGAGCTCTCGGAGCCAGCACATACCAAAAATATTAATACCTCTGCTCTCTGCACTCAGTTTGCTGCGATGGACGAGCAGAAGGTGGATATTCTGTTAAAGTTAACTGGACGATGATGTAAAGTTGTACAACATATAGTCATAGCAAACTAGGATCGTCGTATAAGTGTACTTAGTTCAAACGAAAAATGTCCAAAATGGTAATCAAACCTACTTGCTAAGCATATATATTTAAGCGTTAATAAATACAAGTTTATAAAGCTAGCCGACTGTTCGATAGCGTGTGTTTCGTTTCGCTTAGATCACTAAATAATGAAGCTATAACTTACGTGCATTCTAAAAAGGACAACATATCGAGGAACAAAATTAAAAGATAGTTTTAACATGCTAACTTCGCCTTAGTTGCTATTTTCGGTCCACTAAACCTCGAGTTCAGCAAGTCTATAGTCTCCTCAGTGTCTTACAGGCTGGTACGGTTGTTAAGCGTACGCTGCAAGGCATTCACACAGGACAGCACGTCCTCGTAGTCCTTGGACCATTCACGCAAATTCCGCTCCAGACTCTCCAGTCGCGTCTGGCCCAATCGCATGCCGCCGTGCTTGATGGCCGCGTAACAGGAGCAGGCGAGCAGCTTGAAGCACTGCCGCCGCACCGCATTGTGCGCATGGCTCTCCCAGTTGGGGGTGCTGGCCACATACTGCCAGGCCATGCTGACATAGTCCACCAGGGCATCCCAGTGGCTGGAGTCGTGCAGTCGCTTGGCCTGCAATTGCAGTACTCGTTTAAATTCGTTGAGATGCATCGACGCCTTCGAGTAGGCCGCCGCATCGGTTTTCTTGCACAGGCGAGAGGTGGGCAGGGACTTGAAGATGAGCCGCTTCACATGGTGCAGCTCCTGCTCTAGCGAGCTGCAACAAGGTAAGGGGTAAAAATATGTTTACATGATTGAAAAAGCACAATCACCTTATGTCTGGCGTGGGCAGCTGCCTCCTGATCTCCTCCTCATCGCTGGTAGTGTTCACACTGTTCGTTATCAATTCAATAAGCTGCTGTTGGGACAATCCCTGCAGCAGGACAGGCAACGCCACATCGTTGTTTGTCTGCCCAACCGGTCGGTCGTCCATCTTCAGCTTTTTCACTATCGGCGTTCCCGGCCACAGTTGCTTGGTGGTGGCCATTTTGATGGGCGAATATGTCTCCATGGGCATGGGCTCTGGAGGTGTGCTGCCCATAGTCAAGCGCTTCCTGGGCGAGCTGCGCAGGATCATGCCGCTGGTCAGTTGCAGGTTCTTGGTGGGCGTACGCTGGAAGGGACTGCGCATGGAAGAGCCGCTGGAACTGCCGCCGCCTCCATTCACTTTATCTGGAGAGAATGTGGTGGTAAACCTACGACGTCCGCGCTGTCGGATGACCAACTCATCGGGTGAGGGCAGCGGTGAGAAGACAAAGTCCTGGGCCTGCACCACATTCACATCGTTATCCACCCGCAGGCCCAGTCCCCCGTTCGCGTTCGGTGTGTTTATTACCACTGCCGCCGGTGTCGGCTCATCCGGAGTCCGCCGGTTGGCATTTGTCGGGGTGTTGGCCATGCGCAGCGCCTCCAAACGGTCCGGGATCTCGGCCAACGCCATTCGCGTCTGCAGCGGTGTCGTCATTGCTGTCGATTGCTGTAAAACGCATCAAAAGATTCTATAAAACCCTTGGATACACCTGCACCGGACGTACCGCTTGGATGCTTCGCTTGGTCTTCGCAGCAGAATCACCGATTTAATGCGTTGGCGGTTTGTATAGCTTCCGGGCACTTGGGATCGGTTGGGATTATCTTTTGGCGTCCCTCCAGGCGAATGCAACTGTGATTTTTACTTGTTTTTGTTTAAATTGCGCCAATTCGCACAAGGTGGCAGCACGCTCTAGAGGTGGGCGCTCGTGGCGAAACTATCGCAAGTAAATCGATATTGCAATTAAATACCCTTACATCAGGGTATATGGAATGTGGCTCTAGCTTTGGCCATAATGGCTCGAGGAGAAAATAAAATCCTATTCAGGATTTTAGTTGGGTTTTCAGGATGGCATTTCGTATCTATAAGATCGTTCTCGCGTATGAAAAAAAAAATGTTTTTCAAGCTGCCTTGTTTTATTTAATTTAAATTAAGGAGCTTAAAAATCCATCATCAGAAAACCATATTCGATCTCACTGATATTTTAATAATTTGATATTTTTAATGCCCGATAGTTGATCTTCGCACTATCTGGCATCTCCATGTGGAATCAAGGTTCTGGCCATCTGGCAACCTCAAGCCTTCTTTCCATCTGAATTCTCGTTGCCTGCAGTTGTCGGCTCGCTTAAAATATTAAATTAAACTTTGAAAATGAAGAAAATATATGAAATATTCAGCACAACTGATGTGGACATAATGTTGTGCACAAAAAATTGTATTCAGCAAGCCGCAATAAGTTGAAATTGTTGAAAATAAATGGGATAACCAAATGTGAACCAAACTCCACGTGTTGAAAAGTGAGACACTTGGGGACAGGCTGAAAGGTTACTATTTCTGAGGTAATTATATTTGTAAGGCTCCTCTACTTTAACAACTGGAATGATGACATCTAACATACCCAATGCAGAGAAATTATGTTGAAAAATATTTAACATGCATCACCATCTGATTCAGTTTTTAAAGAATTTAAATTAAAAACAGTTATCACAGAGTATTTTATAAATATTTGGTTTATGTTTACAGAAGGAAAAGTGCCCTCTAGCAAATGAGGAATCCTGGTCTGGAATTGGCTTCATTTGAAGGTAATTCTATTAATTAATAATATTTTAATTAAAATCTTGTGTATTTTTCTGTTTAAATTGATGATAAATTCATACCAAACTCTGAGAAATGATGTTGAAATCTATTTAACATGCATCACCATCTGAATAAATGATGTATAATTTAATTTGTAATAAGGATAAATTATTTATTTACTAATTTAGACTCCTTTATTACTTTGCAGGCTAAACCTTTTGCTGAAAATTTTCTATTGGAAGCTTAAAGCTGGGAAAGGTAATTTATAATTTCTTGTAAAAAGAATTCCATGTTTATTTTTAAAAATGATGATAATTTCATACCCAACTCAGAGAAATAATGTTGAAATCTATTTAACATGCATCACCATCTGAATAAGTTCTTGAAATTTGATTTGGAAACTTAAAATATGATTTACTAAATATAATTTCTTTCTTTTACAGACAGACAAAAATGATAGACTGCCTTAGCTGTCTGTATTTCAATGATTGAAGCTATCAAAAGGTAATTTAAATAACCCCTAAAATTAAATTAAATTAAACCCCCAAACTGATGACATCTTACATACCCAAAAACAGAGAAATAATGTTGAAATCTATATAACATGCATCACCATCTGACTTAAAATTTAAAATTATACTTACCTATGTTTCTAAACATCCCTAACATCCATTTTTTCTTTCCCTTTCAGATGCTGTGGTAATAAAATCTTCCATTTTAATATATAAAATAAAGTCTTTATTTTAAAAACATACATAATACAATATTTTAAGATCTTACAAAACTGTTTAACACGCTGCTCCCCACAACAATAACAGGCTGAGGAAAAGAATCTCCTTCTTGCTCAATCGATTCCAACTGGAGGAACCACCTGCTCCTATTCCATCGAAGAACACTTCTTTCTGGGCTGTTTTTCGCACAGCAGCCCCGCCATTGAAGTCGCGCTTCTTCTTGAAGCTCTCATAGTACCAATCCATACCATCCTTGCGATCCACTCTATCCACCTGGAGGAGCTCCACCTCTGTGCGTTTTTGGGCATTGGCTGTGAGCTGATGTTCGCTGGCCAAGCCTTCGTTATCCGCACTGGGCGTGGTGCGTTGGTACTCCTCCGCCGTGGGCTGGGCAACTGGCTGCTGCTGGTGGGGAGTGTACACCTTGGTGATGGTGGAGCGTCCTCCACCGCGTACTGGCTGTGAAGGAGGTGGCGCCAAGGAGCTTGTGGGACGCGCAGTAGTGGCCTGATAGTTTCTGGGACTCTGAGGAGTTGTTGTAGTGGTGGTCGTCGCCCAGGATCGGCTCTTTATCTGTGCCACATGCTCTTCAGCGGGTGGAATCAATAGGATCGTCTCCGCTGTGGTTGTATGCACTAGTGGTGGAGGCCGCAGCAAGGTCACGGATTGTGCCTCCAGATCATCGTCATCGTACTGCGACTCTTGAGCCTGTTCGCTGCTTGAAGATGATCCGTCATATGCAGGAGGCGCCTGGGTGCTGGTAGTGGGTCTTGTACTCCGCACTGTAGTTGTGGTGGCTCTGGTTGTGCTAGTGGTCATCCTATTGCTCGGCATCAAAGGCGTTGTGGTAGTAAAGTCGGGAGTGGTTTCCGTAACATCATAGGTGGCTGTCTCCGCACTTTCCCCATTGCTCACCGTGGGTTTGGGTCTCGTCTGAACAGGAATGGGTACAAAATTACGCTGGTCTTTGGCTTGTGCCTCCGGCTGCTGCTTTCCCGTAATATTCACCGCCTCCACCGTGCCCCGTCGCTGCTGGGGATCATGCACAGGCATAAAGCCACCCACATGAACTGGGACAATTGGACGAAAGCCACCGCGTTCGATGCTCGATGGCTCCCTGAAGGTGGTGCGAAAGACACCCATTGTGGTGGCTGCACTCCCGCTCTCGTTGCTCAGCGCATCCTCCAGTGAAGAGGTGGTGGGGTCCGTGTCCACATACCGGTTCCTGGCCACACTCTGCTTCTCCTGCTGCTGCTGCTGTTGCTGGTCCTTGAGGTACTTCTCGAACTCTGCACTATTCGGCTGATACATCCTGGTTTTGCTGCGCTGGCCGCCGCTGGGCAGGCTAATGTGAGCCATGCGATGGGTGGCGGGCATCTCGTCGCTGCCATCGGTACGCTGCTTGCGTCCCCGATCCCCGAAGCCAAAGAAGCGACCCAAGCTCACACTGGGCAGTGGATAGCCGAAGAAGGTGAAGGGGGATCCGGAGCCGGGCTGAGGCTTCCGATTAAAGTACTTGGTGTGCAGTATTGTATTGTTCAGATCCAAGTTACTATTCAGGGTGGGATTCGGCTTGGGTCGCTGCGACGTGCTGATCACAGAGTTGGTGGTGTCTGGTGCTTCAGTGGCGTCCACATACTGATCGTAGAAGTATTCGCTTTCGCCGACTAGAGGACGATCACCTGGCAGTCTCGTGCCCTCAAATGCCTCGCATTCATCGTTGAAATCCTCTGGCAAATCCCGCTGGAAGACATCGCCATGCTCGTTGAGCAGTGGCAGCTGATTGCCATCGGAGGTCCGCTCGTTTCCAAAGACATCCGTTCCCACGCACAGACTCCTTTCCATGCGGGCTGCTCTTAGGAGGCGTCCATCCTGGCACTTGGGCCCCGGATAGGGGAAGTTTGTCTCCTGCAGCCAAACGGAGAGCCACTGCATCTCGCAGTTGCAATCAATGGGATTTCCTGGATTGAGAAGGAATAAAATGTTAATTTTTGGAAATTTTTAAGTTTAGTAATGTTTTTTAGGTTTCAAAGATATCTTACCATCCACATCTAAAATGGCTATGTTTCCTCGGAGGTTTCGGAAAGTTCTCTCTTTGATGCTCCTCAGTTGGTTGTTTCGCATGGATAAGACACGCAAACGAGGCATTGTCTCGAAAGGAGAGCCCTATAATTATAACAAAAAATATAAGTTTATACAGTCCTGATTATGGGTTTTTTTATATTTATATTCTCACCTGAATCCTACATATCTGATTATTGTCCATTTTAAGCTCCACCAGCCAATTGAGGGCCTTCAGCGGCATCGTAGACACCAACTTGACTCCATTGGTGGACAGATCCAAGACCTCCAGATTGCGCATGCTGCGAAGACCTATATTCTCCATGTTCCTAAAGTGGTTATTGGACAAATTGAGAAACACCAAGGAGTTGGCATTGTGGAAGCTTTCCGGCGAGATGTAACGCAGTTTGTTGTACTGAAAGTGGGAAGCCAGGAGACTCGGTAGCTCCTCAAAGACATGATCTTTGAGCTCCACCAACTTATTGTCCGCCAAAACGAATTCCTGCAGCTCGTCCAGACCCTTAAGAGCTCCTGGTTCCACGTTCCTGATCTCATTGCTGCTCAAATCAAGATACTGAAGCTTTGGCAGATTTCGGAAGGTGCCCTGCTGCAGCTCCACAATAAGATTATTGGACAAACGGATCTCCACGACATTGCGCCAACCGCCAATCACATCGGATTGAATGCGGGAGATCTGATTGTAACTGAGATCGATGTCCCGGAGGCTGTTTAGGTTCCCCAATCCCACGGATATGTCCAGCAGGGCATTGCCCGACAGATCCAGATACTCCAGAGATCTCTGGGTATCGAAGGCGGTGGGTGAGATGCTACGTATTAGGTTTCTGGACAAATCCAACTGCTCCAGCCTGCTGTTGTTCGAGAAGAAATTATCTGTGATGGCCTCCAGTTTGTTGGACTGAAGATTCAGGTTCCTCAGCTCCGCCAGCGGCAGCAGAGCTCGCTCATCAGCCTCGCCCAGTTGGTTCTCCTGTAGGTGGAGCAGCTCCAGGCGTTGGACTCCAATGAAGGAGGTGTCCTCCAGCTGGCGAATCTCATTCTGAGCCAGACTCAAGACCCTCAGCTCGGATGCCCCCTGGAAACCGTGCCTGGGCAGCTGCTCTATTCGATTCTGGCTGAGATCAAGCATGCGCAGATTGGGCAACTGCAGATCCTTGCTAGCGGCTGCTGGGAGAGCCGAGATGTGGTTACCCTTCAGAGAGATGCGCTCTACAATACGGGGAAGGCCTCCAATGACCGCTTTTAGTTGATTGTAACTGGCATCCACCTCGAAGAGTCTTTCCAAATGCAGCAGTGTGGAGGAGTGGATTTTGGTCAGTTCATTGGAGGATATATTGAGGGTTTCCAGGAGGGGATTGTGCCTAAAACTATTGGGCGCCAGCTCAATTAAACCATTCTCACTGAGATCTAGCCTCCGCAGCGAGGGCAGACCTGCCAGCAGCTGCGAATCCACTCTGCTGAACTGATTCTGCGCCAGATCAAGTCCCTTAAGTCCGGGCAGATTCCAGAAGGGCAGAGGCAAATCCGAGGAGAGACTATTGTTCCTCATACGGAGTTCCCTCAGGGCCGGCATGGCCATCAGGGCGTCTCGTTCGATGAGCCTCAGCTGGTTGTTATTGAGATGGAGCTGCTCCAGTGTGCCGTGACCCCTGAGAGCTCCGTAGGGTAGTTCGCTCAGCAAATTCCCACTCATGTCCAGGTAACGGAGGCTGGGTAGAGCGTCGAGAAGAGCCCGCAGGGCCTCCACATGGCCTATCTCATTGTTGTAGATGTGCACCGCCTCCACGCCGCTGCCACTCGCCTGGAGCAGCGACTCCGGGTGGATCCGTCGTATGAGATTGTTCTGCAGGTAGATTGTCTTGAGTTGAGGCGTGCGCAAGAAGGCTCCGTACTGCAGCTCCGTAATCCTATTGTCGTTCAGATGCATCTCTGAGAGATTGGGCAGATCCACAAACGAACCGTCCTCTATGACGCTAATGAGATTATGGTCCAGCCGCAGCTTCTTTAGGTGCTCCAGATCCTTGACAATGCGACCTACCATGCCCACGTCGCTGATTTGGTTGTGCGAGAGCTTCAGACTCACCAGGTTGGGCAACCGAGACAGGGCACGCAGATGGATCCAGTTGAGGCCGTTGTGCGAGAGATCTAGATTCTTCAGCGAGATTAAACCGTCGAAGAGACCCGCCTCCAGGCGTGTGAGTCCTGAGCCGCCGGTGATGTGGATATGCTGCAGCTTGGGCAGATGACGGAACAGGTGCGACGGCAACTCCTGCAGCGCTCCCGTCTGGACACTAAGGTAGGTGAGGCTCAGCAGTCCCGAAAAGTCGGGCAAATGCTTCAGCTCATCGCTCTGGATGGTGATGGCCAGCATGTTGATCATCCCGTTCAGACTCTCCGCCGGAATGCTGCGCAGCTGCGGCTCCACCACAAAGATCTCCACCAGGCCGTTCTCCAGCTCGTTCAACCAGCCATTGGACACCCGCTCAATGCTGTTGTGGCGGAGCATTAGACGGACGATTTGAAGGCTCCCGAAGAAGCGACCCGGCAGCGCCGGCAGCTGGTTGTTCTCCAGCACCAGCTCGTCGATCCTTCCCTTGATATTCCGCTCCACAGCCTTCAGGCCATCCATAATCTGAGGCAGATTGCTATGGGAGCACCTGTAAGGAAGGGGTTTTCTTTCAATTGTATTTTAGTTGAATTTATTATTGAGACTCACCATATCTGAATTTCCTTTCCCCTCAGGGAACAGCGACAGGGCAGAATGGCCTGCGAGGGAGGACAGCTTTCGGCCCTTATTAGGTTTAAGCCAGCACAGAGCAAAAGAAGGATGGTCAGCAACATCCTGGCAATCAGCTAAACCATAGAATTTGAGGGCGGAACAGGCTGATTGTGGCCAACTGGGCACATAGCTGAGGGGAACAAGATATAGGACATAAAAATTATAAATAAAATCCTTTAAAAATTGGTTAATTATAAGAAAACCTTGTAAAATCACGAAATATAAACGTTTCCTTTATTCTCGAGTTTATTATATTATTAAATCCACAAACTAGAACCATCAATGACTAAAAATAGAATGCAACCGAGCAAAAATCAAAACAAACGTCATACGAACACTTGTGCCATTAAAACACACCCTGAACCCATCATATATTAATCACAATATTTAGCAGTCGGAAAAGATTGAATTAAAAATAAATTATGTTTTATTATAGCGAAGAGAGTTCCGCCGGAGTGTAGACCAGACCCCCTCGATGGGATTAACTTTGGCCTATCAAGCTTTGCCAGACAGGTGCACGCCATTCAAGATTGGCGGACATTCCTGCACTCGAAAAATAATGATTTCGATTCGAAAGTTATACTGAAATGCAAAAAATTAATTAAATATACTGAGAACTCTTTGATTGTTGCTAAATTATATGGTTGTTGATAGCAACATTTCTCCAAAATTGTGACATTATTCAAGAGCGTGTTTTTTACAGATTTTAAAATATTTGGTAACTTGAAATGGCTTAAAAAAATAAAATTTTAATACAACACCTATTTTTTTATATTAAAGATTTACTGGAATTGTTTAAAGATATTCTGTGAGAATACTTTAGTTTATTATAATATTAATTTATATAATAAAAACCAGTTCGAATAATCCTTTAAAGGTTTATAAGTTTTAAAATCAATCAAGAATAAATTTGAAAGTATTATTGTAGATTTAAAATTTAAAAATGTTCTAATATATTTATTGCATATCCTTTTGCACTTTTTTTCATTAATTTTAAATCTAAAATTAATTTTTCTCTCAAGAACCAGATAGTGCTGGCAATATTTTAAAAGTGTACCTTACTAGAGTATCTCTATATATCAGCAGACTTTCAAATCGGCAGCTATTCTACCAGCAGATAAGACCCTCTGGACTATATAAAGAAGGCCCCACCGCCAGTTTGGTCAGCAATCAAGTTATTCCACCATGGGTCCTATTGCCTACGCCCTACTGTTCAGTTTGGTGGCGGGTCTAGCCGTCGCCGAGAAGTCGGACTACTGTCTGAGTGAGATCGTCAAGTCGGACGAGCGGATCCGCTCGCACGGCTACCCGGCCGAGACCCACGAGGTGGTCACCGAGGACGGCTATGTGCTGACCCTCTTCCGCATTCCCTACTCGCACAAGTTGAAGAACCAGGACAAGAAGCGTCCGCCGGTCCTCCTGCAGCACGGCCTGTTCAGTAACTCGGACTGCTTCCTGTGCTCAGGTCCAGACAACTCCCTGGCCTACCTACTCGCAGATGCCGGCTACGATGTGTGGCTGGGCAATGCCCGTGGCAACATCTACTCGCGGCAGAACAACCTCATCTCGCTGAACAGCCACAAGTTCTGGCACTTTAGCTGGCACGAGATCGGAACCATCGACATCGCCACCATGATCGACTACATCCTCGACGTGACCCAATTCGCCAGTCTGCAGTATGCCGGACACTCTCAGGGCACCACCGTCTACCTGGTGTTGCTCACAGAGCGCCCAGAGTACAATAAGAAGATCAAGTCTGGACATCTGCTGGCCCCGTGTGCCTTCTTCGAGCACGGCCGATCCTTCGTGTTCCGTACTTTGGGCTCGTTGGTGGGCGAGCCCGGCGGCATTTGGAACCAGCTGATGGTGGACACTGAACTGATTCCGCACAATAACCTGGTCAACCGAGTGGTGGACAATGGCTGCCACATGTCCGACACGATCTGCAACAACGCCTTCATCATGTTCGCCAACGGAGGTTACGAGAATGCCAATGCGGTGAGTGGGGAAAAGAATATAGCTCTATTCTATTGCTATAATGTTTTAAAACCCAACCCCCCTTCTTTACAGAGCTCCATGAGCGTCCTTATCGAGACCCATCCGGGTGGCTCCTCCAGCAACCAGGGTATTCACTTCCTGCAGCTGTACAAGTCGCACGAGTTCCGCCAGTACGATTGGGGCACCAAGAAGAACAACGAGCTATATGGACAGGATACCCCACCAGTCTATGACCTCAGCAAGATCACCGCTCCCACTCACTTGTACTCCAGCACAAACGATGCCCTTTGCGGACCCGAGGACGTGGATACCTTGGTCCGGGAGTTTACTCATCTGGTGGAGGATTACCGTGTGCCCGTACAGAGTTTCAACCATCTGGACTTTATCATTGCTAGGAACATGAAGCAAGAGGTCAACGATCCTATCATCAAGCGCATGAACTCCTACGAGGATTTCTAAGATCCACGAACTGCAGTAATTTCAAGTGATATTTTATTCTTGTAAACATTTTATTAAGTATGAAATTATCAACCAAAATGAAATGGAAATTTTTTGAAAGGAAAACCCCATAAGTAACCTGCAGTGCAATGCTTTTGAGGGTCGTCTTATCTAAATACTGGTAGGACAGCTCCAAGACAACCGAATGTGCAAGTGTCGAGTTTATGGAGGCGATATATATTGATTTGAATTTATTGGTGCGCTTAACCTGATTAGATAATGACTTTAAACATAAGGTAATGGTCAGTTATTAACACCTCGTTCAGGTGTCTGGCATCGAGTGTTCACATTTAAAAACAAGGCAAAAATCTTGATTAACATGAATCAAAATGTGTTCGACTAATGGCAATTGGTTTATTTTAATCAAAAGTCGAGATTTTAATAGAATTTGCTTGGAATCGGCAGAGATTAGATGTGTTATATGAGGTTTTGTCAGGTGGAACCTCTGATTTGATTTTATTTAAGGATTGTGTGGAGTTCTAGGTAGTAACTTAATGGATTACAAAACCCTAATGCTTGATTTTCCTTTCATTATAAAAATTAAATTGTTTTATGTTATAATTTCTTCGATATATTAAATGGTTTCATTTTCACATGCACTTCTAACGCCTCATAAACCCTTCTTTTGTTGATGGCTCCGGCAGTCGTACGACAGGAAGTCGTACGTACGCTGTCTTGTGCAATAGCCCCGAGACTCGTCTCGTCTCGTCTTCATAACGTATAGACATTATACCTTTCCGTGGCTTGGCTATAACTATAACCATCCCACCCTCTATCCATGCAACTGCGCAACTCCAAAAAGAAACTCTTTGCGCCGAGAAGCGTAACATGGCTTTTCAACGAAAATTTTGTAATCATTTAACGAAAAAAAAAGAAAAAAAACTGAAAAACTGAAAGACACAAAAACAGCAGCAGAAGCAGCTGCAAAACTTTGGAATAGTAGAGTGAAAACGCTAAAACCGCCGCTTCGGGGGTTCGGTTTATGTAGCTTTTTGTGTTATCTTCTGGCGCGTTTCTACGCATGCTCAGCGGAGTTTACATCAAACGAACCTTGAAATTATTGTCGTTTTCATCATTGTTCGGCTCCAAGTATCTGCATCTATAGCTGAAGCTCTGTATGTATCTGTAACTGACAGTACCTGGAGCTGTAGCTGTGGCTGTATGTAATTTCTTGCATTTTGCACGCCTTGAAGTCACACTAAGTGAAGACCCCATCCCCAAAGACCCTCCTGTGCTGGGGTCCCCTTTCTATTCCCCTACATACATGTGTATCTATCTATCTCTATCTCCAGCGACAATTTCACCTGCTCTGATTTCTTTTCTCCTTATAATTAAGTAACTGTTTAGTTCTACATCGAACGGTTCTTTAAGAAAGGTAGATTTTGAGTTTAGATGTAGGTGAGTTAAGGAAAATTAGAAAAACTAATTGAAACATTTAAAAATTGGGGTAATCTGATAAGAGAAAGGATGTTTTGAAAGTCTTGCAATGACTAATAGGATTGCAAATATATCTTGCCCTAATTAATAGGAAAATTCAAGGGGTAAAAACACAGGAACCTCATGTTGTGTATATATATCTCCAAGTTATTTTTCGTTTTTATCTCATAAACTTACTCAATTACAAATTAATCCAATAAATACAATCTCTGACTGCTGTGACAAATCCAGGATTATTTTTCTTCAAAAATAATTTTATTATAAATCCACAAACACTCTTGCTTAAGTATTTATTGAAGCCTTTAAACCTTTAATATATTTATGTTTAATTCACTTCACTTTCAGATTCACTCTTGCTTTTGCAATTTAATTATTTATTTACTCAATTCAAGTAAACGACGCGAATTGGATGGGCTTTCCGAGCCTTCTTTTTGGATGAACCGCCTCGTTTGGAATGCACGCAGAAACTGTTGCTCGAAAAAATGTAATAGCCCAGTGGATTACTCAAGATCTCTACCAGAAATGTCGGCTTCCTGCCAGCTGCAGTCGGAGTCGAAGTCGAAGTTGGAGTTGGGTTCCAACGGCAGGCGCCACACTTGGCTGATTCTCTCGCTGGGGAGTGGACTCCGTTGTGGAACGCGGGTGAGGCCATCTGTGACCACGGATCAGAGGTCGGTCCCTCTGCTCTCCCTCCCAAAAGTTGGGCCCTGGGCCAGGTCGAGTCGTTTATTTTTGGCACTCCAAGGCATAATGAAATTGCAAGTGAAATTATGAGAATTATGACAGGAAATAGCTGTGCAAACGAAGGCCAAGAGCAATTTTCGGGTTTTCATTTAATTGTGTACATTAACAGGTGAGAAGGCATCGGTGTTGGTTTTTATTTACTATAATTTTACTCAACTAATTTGAAATTTTATAACGCTGAAATGTAAATAAAGCAATGCTATATATAATCAATATTGTATCAAGCAAATAATCAGCAAAATCATAAAAGAAATCAAGATTTAAAAAAAAAACTTAAATAAATAAAATACAGTACATTTCCTGGAGGAAATCATTTCATCTTCATGGTCTTCAGTTACTTTCAAACAAATTAAATAAAAGTCCTCATTAAGCGCACAAATTGCCGTTTGCCATGTGACATAAGGCCTCGTCGTCGGTTGTCTTTTCACTTTCGCTTCCCGAAAATTTCATATTTATTTTGAAATATTCGTCTCGAAAAATATAGCAAAAGTTAAATTCTCAGCTGTTTTGTTGCCTCCTGTTGCCATTGGCAGGCAAATAATAATATTTTTAGTTCTATGTGCACAATATTTACTTGCAATCCATCGACGTCATGCACTTGAGAGAACGAGGTTGTCAAGGCCGTCGCCGCCGCCGCCGCCCCCAGATGATAAGATCAGTGGCAAATCAGACCCCACAGCAGCCTCCTCCTCATTATATATGTATAGTGCTAATTCATGGCACTAGACTATCTGGACACTACACGTGTCCGATCTGGATTCGGATTAAGTTAGCTTAACCCGCTAATTGGAATCCATATCATACTGACCCCCGAGGGTCTTGGCGTTCATTGTCAATGAAATTGAATTTCGCACTCAAGGTTAATCCGATTTGCGGTACATAGAGGAATAAATTAGAATTAATCACGGGATGGAATGATTCTACAAGAATTTCACTTTTTTTATTAGTAATTTTTGAAATTAAATTAAATCCAAAACTCGTGATGTCTAAACTATAAAATGCTCTAAAATATATTCAGGGAATTATAAATTTAGGTTTAGTTAATTTCCAACAGAATTAGTATCATATAATAAGACTTATAATATGTTAAAATAGAATTTTTGGAGGTAATAAAATTATTTAGAATTCTTTTGGATTACATTTTCATTGACACAAGAAAAAATTTAACAATAATATATATTTAAAAAAACATAAACATACCAAATTTTAAAGGATAATTGTTGGATTCAGAAAGAAATATTAATAAAACAAGGGAAAAACAAGTAGATTCTAAGGAAGTAAAGCTACCCAGACACACCCCCTACAAAAATGGGGGCCTGCCCCGAGAGCCCAACTAAATATCACCCTGTTTTGCGCACAATCGCCATTACATAATCATAGCCCACTGTCGACGCAATATATATATTATATGCACTGGTATGTATGAGGTATTCGAACCGATTTAGACTTGTCCCGCCGTCGAAAAGGAAACCCATCCATCCATCCAATTCCATCTCTGGGAGGTTGCTGCTGTTGTTGTTGTCAATTGCCAGGCCTCCTCCTCATCGCGCCAGCTTTCGTTTTTTATTGAATCACTCAACTTGGGGCCCCCAAACAAAACCAGTGCGCGCCATGGCGACAGTTGCCCCAGCGGCAGCAGCAGCTCCTCATAGAGCTCATAATGAATTTGAATGGCTGCCAACAAAAACTAATACTCACCAAATCAAAGGCGAGCCACCCGACGGGATCCGAGAGTGCGCTCACGCGATGCGATATATGCGAAAACATGTAGCGAGGAAATTAGTTGTAGTCGCAGTTATTCTGAGGGCCTCGTGAGAAATATTTCGCAAATTTCGAAATCAGTTGAAAATCGTCGCTCGCTGTGATCACAGAGATCCGGAAAATGTTCCGCAAGTGCCTTGCCAGCTTGGCCCTGGGCCCCGCCGTGACTCCGCTCTCGCTTAACGTTGCGATCCCAAGGATCACAGGGATTATTGCTCCTGCAGCCAGCCAGCTGGTTCAGCGACGCACCGTCCACCAGCTGCCGGCCCAGGGTAGACCCCCCAAAATTCTCATCACAGGTCAGTTAGTCGTCCGTTGGCTGCGCCACGTGTCTCCGGCTATATTTATATGGTAGCACATATATCCATGCCGCCTGGCAATACGATGTGAAGCGTTTCAAGGTTGTTTGGACAGCCGACCAACAGCTGGTCAATAGATATCAATTTGAACTCAATGAACTTCTGGATTTTCTTTTATTTTCTAATCTGCATTTAATTTTTTAAAAGTGTGTGAATATTCAAAAAATTTTAACGAATTCTATTTCGGTACACGGTGATAAAATGTTTACCAATTTATATTGATTGTAAAAATGTATAGAAATATATATATTTTAAAATATAAAGGTAGCAATTGAATTCAGATTCAGTAAGAAGAAACTGTCCAACATCCTTTTGTTGCAAGTAGCACTTGCAGAGTGTGGCTCAACGTGTTGCTAAACCAGCAACATTATCTTGTGCTCTTCGCTATGTTCATTTTATGTTTTTATACCTATAAACCCATAAAACACATTCTTGTTGCTTTAATAAAGTGCAGTTTCGAATGTCTGTGGGCTTAACTCGAGGTCTAGTCGTCGTATTTCATCCACTTAAATCAAGACTACGCTATTATGTCAGAGCGTATCAAAGCTTTTGTCAGGAGACTAGCGCAGCAGGATATAGATAAATTTATGCATTATTTTAAATAATATATTAAAGTTGTTATGGTACACATAGTATATATGTAATAAATGTTCTCAACATAAAAATGTTTTGCTAATGATTTTCTAGGTGGTCTTGGCCAACTGGGCATTGAGTGCGCCAAACTGCTGCGCTCGCAATACGGCAGTCAGAATGTAATCCTTTCGGACATCATAAAGCCCAGCCCAGCGGTGCTGGAGAATGGGCCATACATTTTCGCCGATATCCTGGACTTCAAGGGACTGCAGAAGATAGTTGTGGACCATCGCATTGACTGGCTGATCCATTTCTCGGCCCTGCTCAGTGCCGTGGGCGAGCAAAATGTGCCGTTAGCAGTGAGGTGAGATTTTTAAATCAATAAAACAAAGTTTTTTCTTAAAAAATCCCCAATTAATAATACCCTTGCAGGGTATTATAATTTCAGTCAGATGTTTGCAGGAGTCGTTTCCGACCCCATAAACCATATATATTCTTGATCAGCATCAACAGGGGAATCTTTCTAGATATGTCAGGAAGAAATCGATTTTTTGGCCATTTTTGCAAAATTTTATAAGGGGTTACATCATTAAAATTTTTGATTTTGATAAAAAAGTGAATTTTCAAAATTTTTAAATGAAGTATGCAGATTTATTAACTGTAGAAAATCTTGCACAGAACAGTTTTCCGATTTAAAATTAATGCTCTTTTGGCCGAATTATGATAATTTTAAATTTAAAAATGTATAATAAAAATCAAGAAGTTTTTTAATATAAAAAATCAGATTTTATAATACAAAATAATATTTTTCGAAGTCAAGGAATCATTTCCGACCCCATTAACCATATATATTCTTGATCAGCATTAGCTTGCAAATCTTTCTAGACATCTCCGGAAGAAATCGATTTTTTGGCCATTTTTGCGATATTTGATAAGGGGTTACATCATTAAAATGAGCAAAAATGGCCAAAAATTTTGATTTCTTAAAATTTTAAATTTGGTATGCAGTTTTTTTAAATTAATAAAAACTAACAAAAAACTGCTTTCCGAATCGAAATTAATGCATTTTTGGCTTAGTTATGATATATTTTAATTGTTACCTGCAAGGGTATACAAACTTTGGCTGGCCAAAGTTAGCTTTCTTTCTTGTTTAATATGAATTAAAAAAAAAACTGAAACAAATATTATATCCCCCGCAGGGTCAACATTGAGGGTGTGCACAATGTCATTGAACTGGCGAAACAGTACAAGCTTCGCATTTTCGTGCCCAGCACCATTGGAGCCTTTGGCCCCGACAGTCCCCGAAACCCCACACCAAATGTTACGGTAGGTCACCTATTTCTCCTCCCAAAAGCTATGTTTGTTCGATACTGAAATGTTATGGCTCTTGTATTCAACAGATCCAGCGACCCCGCACTATTTATGGCGTTTCCAAGGTGCACGCCGAGCTGATTGGTGAATACTATTACCACAAATTTGGCCTGGACTTTAGATGCCTGCGCTTCCCCGGTGTTATATCCAGCGATCCACCAGGCGGTGGCACTACAGGTATGAATTTACTTTCTACAACAGCTCACATGCATGCCAATCTGCTGTCTTACTTTTCCTTAAATAGCGCATGTCAAGCCTAATTTAATATAATTTTTTTATCACAAATATGCCTCAATTCCATCGCCAATTTATGGTAATCAAAGAGCAAGACAATGGGCATCATTTATGTATGTACATATATATCTGACTTGATCTGGTGACCCATTTTAACTTTCAGGGAAATTGTATAGTTAGTAATTTTGAATTAACTCTTCTTCAAGAAAGATATATAGAGAGAAATATAGTCAGACGAATATATAGAAAGGGGAAGAAGAGGCAAATAGATACTTAATTTGTTTAATAATTTTAGCTGTGCTTTAAATTTGAATAAAACTCTTTATAGAAACGTTATGCCGTGAGAAAAAGTATCTTATAACCGCACAGCTATCACTAATTTAAACCATATCCTTTCTAGATTACGCCGTTGCTGTTTTCCACGATGCCCTGCGACATGGTAAATACACCTGCTACTTGCGTCCCGATACACGACTGCCCATGATGTACATTGAGGATTGCTTGCGGTGAGTGAGTCAAAAGTACCCCAAATAAAGCAACAAGTCATAAAATATATAGCTTTTGATAGGGTATCCTCCCTAGTTTACGAATTCCCAAAAGTCTTAACTAAACTGAACTCTTTCTATTCCAGAGCCCTCCTGGAGTTCATGAAGGCACCGAACGAGCAACTGAAGCGCCGCGTCTACAACGTCACGGCCATGTCCTTTACCCCCGAGGAACTGGTGAATCAACTGAGCAAGCATGTGCCTAATCTGCACGTGACCTACAAGCCGGACAGCCGGCAGTTGATCGCGGATGCGTGGCCAGAGGTGTTCGACGACTCGGATGCCCGACGAGACTGGCACTGGCAGCACAAGTACGACCTGGCCCATCTGGTGGACTTTATGGTGAAGGATGTCCAGGAGAACTACATCAACGGGGACAACCAGCAGCAGCAGACGCTGCAGATCTGACGGGTATCGAAAAAGCATAGTAACAGCCGTATCTAGTATTCCTAAGTACTAATTTTCAATTGCATTTAACGTTGCATTTATCTAGTGTATAGTAACACAAGAACACTGTATCCTTTACCTTGGAAAATACATTAAGGCTTACATACCTTGAAAATATTGCAGCACCTTTCGTTTAAGGGAAGAACTATATAATATTCATGAAGGAACGATGACTATAATCCACAATTCATTGTCTACTTTTGGGAGGTAGCTTATCTAAGAACAAACCCTAAATATATGTGTGGTAGATAATACTTACTTTTAGGCTTAATCTACGATCATTTCATAGGAAGTTTACAAGGAAAATGTATTAGCAGAGTTAGGAATATATAAAACCACGTACTTTCTGCAATAGCTCATGCATGTCAATCTGCTGGAAAGTATCTGTTTTGAAAGAGAGCCGGCAAGAGTGCATTTCAAGGCCTATTTCATCCAATTTTCTATCACAAATGCCTCAATTCCATCGTCAATTGAGAGCAATCAAGAAACAACATAATGGGCAACATTTAAATATCAGATCTGGGGTATCATATGTTCATATTATTTGGCAGTAGGGCTCACCTATAGCTGCAAGTAATTTTAAAATGTTTTTTAAAAGTAATAATGGAAATCCCCACTTAACTTATATATCAAACTTTTGGTAGCTTAAGATTTTTATTAGAAATCCAAATACTAAAACAAAGCACCTTCTGGTTGAGACATTTGCGAGAGCTTACTTGGCTACTTAGGTTATAGGCTATTACAATGATCGATTGTACTTGGTTTAGAGGCTACAGGTAACCCTTTGGGCTATTTGCTTAGATATCAGACTCTTCTGACCCACCGCCACTCAGCGTACTGAAGTGATGCAGGCAACCGCCATGCGTGGCTATATACAAATCCGCCGCAGCCTCACTGCTGCTGCTGCCTTCTGTATTTAATTGAATTTTCTCTAAAGGATCATTTCTTCGCTTTATCTTCGTTGGCGGCGATGCTGCTCGCTCTGCGGATTCTGTAAACGAGCGAAAGGCAGAGGTTTTTCTATCAGTTGAATGGAGTTTGCATTGCATTTTATATTGTTTAGCCTGTTGCTATTTATAGTTTCATTTAGTTTTTAGATCTTTCACAAAGCGTTTTCTTATATTTCAGATTGTTAAACTTTAGATATTCATATACATAAAACCTTTGTTTCAGGCAGAGTAATTTAATCTCAAATTGTTTAGCTTCCAATTAAAAGGAAATCAAAATATATAAGAAAAGGAATACAAGTTATGGTAAATATTACACAAAATTAATTATTTCTGTTAAAAGATTTGAACTTATGGTGATACGGGCTTATACTTATACTAATCTTGTCTCGAAACTGCAATATTTCTCATATAACTTGATATCCAACACTTTGTGAAGGCTCTATGCAATTTAAGCATTTTCCTTAAGTTTATATTGCTTTCGTGATAATTGATTGTATTGATTGCTTTGTAACGATTCATATTTAAGTTTTAGTTAAGTATTCTTCACTGCTTGAGGTTTTGTAAGTACGTGTGTGCAATCCAACGAGTTCAATTTTCAAATTTTCTTTGAGTTAGCTGTTGTTTTGTACAATATAGGATGATTATACAGAATACATATTCATTGATTCGTTTTCTGACTTGTTATTTTTACAATTTCCTTTTAATTTCTCTTGTTATTTTTTGATATATTTGTTTTTGGTTTGTGTTAGGTATTGCGTACTGCGATTCATATAAATCGAATTGTTTGCTTATGAGTAATGGGCGAAATTTATGGATACACAAATAAAGAGAGACGCGTCCTCGCTCGGTGAACGGTTGCATGTGTGTTTCTTGTGCGTTCTTCAATGAAAATTATACATGTTCACTCTCTGCTATATACATATATGTATATCTTATTTTCCCTAAATCATGTGCGACATCATGCAACGACTCACATCACGGTTAGCGCGATGCAAATGACCTTGATAATGCTGGTAGATGCGTTGAGGTTGCTGCTGCTGCTGCTGAATATGTTGCTGTTGCTGTTGTTGTGGAAAACTGGGCTCTGATTCCATCATCATGCCGCCGCCGTTGGCCTGCATCTCGTAATCCATCAAACAGGCCTGTGTTCCAATTATTTGTGTGGCAGGCAGTGAAAAGAAATCTGCAAGACAAAGAGAGGTAACATTATTAGAAAAGTGCAAAGAAAACAGGAAAAATAAATACATTTATTACCTTTTTTTATTAAATGAGTATTATATATAAATAAATTAATTTAGGCTTATATTAAACCCTTTTTGTCACAGTGCTTTATCACTGCAAGCGCAACACACGTTGTCGCTGCCGCTGCTATCGATATTTGCCCCAATTACCGATCGTTTATTTATAACCAATTCGGAGCAGAGCAGCGAGTTGCCGCCGTTGTCATTTCTTATCTCCGAATAGTTTTTTTATTTTTTCGTTTATTGTATGTTTGCATTTGTGCTGATAAGGCTAGCATTAGCTTGGGGGCAATTGCTAAGGTAACGAATTTCTTGACAAGCGAACATGTAAATTTCATTTAAACAATAATATTAATTTATGTAGAAGTCCATACCTGGAGCAATGCAATTAAATATTTATTATTTTATAATTCATTTAAGGTTTTCTGGACTCTAAAGGTAATTACAAAATGGGATTTACTAAAGACTTAAGCCGGGTTTTATTCCATTATAACTTATATATGTACATAAATATGGCCTCATATGTATAAAAATCTACAAATTTATTTATATTTGTTAACAAAAAAAACAACACCTTCTACCTTCTTTCCCTTTTAAACAAACACTTTTAAAAGGAAAAGGAAAATACAGACAAGAGGCAGCCTCCATCTCAAAAGCTACCCATATCCATAGATATATATGTACATTTGTCCATATCCACATACATACCAATAATTCACCAACTCAGCAAAGCCGTGTGTTAAGCCAAGATGACTGTCAGAGGCCGGTTTGCCTTTGACTCAAGCTAAGCGGGGCTGTCAAGAGCTTATCGTCCCGAGAGAAAGGGAGAGGGGGTGATAGCAGAAATCGCACCGTATTAAATGGCAACTGATAACACGGGTCACAACAGACACAGACCCCCCCCCCACACCATTTGAGTGAAAACGAATTTCGGGAGGAGGGAGAGCAAGGTCAACAGACAGTTTTGTAAATTCACAACTTTTACGACACTTTTCACGCAACGCCAATTAAATGTGCGCAAAGCTTACGACCCCAAGGTCAACTGATTACAAACCCAAATTACAGCCAAGAGTTACACTTAATAAATAAATAAATATTAAGTGAGTGAGAAAAGGTAAATGTAGATAATTCACTTGAATATTTGCCAAGACAACCTAACGAAATAAATATTACAGATAATGAGTAAACTCAATTGCAAATAAAAAAAACTAGATATAATCTCGTTAAGTCTCCTATACATGTAGTACTTACCATTGCAATACTGTGCAGCCAGATCCGCGTCATCGTAACGACACCGCTTGGTGTACACCGGCTGGTCCATATCGCCGCCGCCTCCACAGTTGCCATGCGGATTCAGGCGCTTCTTGCAGCGCAGCACCTCCTGTGGCAGGACTTCCGGCGTCGGCTGCCCATCTGTGGCGCTGCTGTTGTGGTCACTGCTGTTATTGTTGTTGGCATCGCTGATGAAGCCAACGGCACGCGGATTGAAGGGATCCAGGTGGGGGCGAAGGCTGCCGGATTCGGCAGGTTCGCCGCCATGTGCCCAGCACTCGAAATTAGTCAAAACCATAGCAGTGGAAATTTCCCAATCCACACAATATGTATTGAGAGAAAAAACGCGCGTCTCAACTGTACGAAAGCGTGCGGCTAACTGCAGGCTCAGTTAATTACCGCCGAATATACGCAGCAATTGGCAATGGCTGAAATAAATTTAATTAACACACGCAAACGGTGCGGCGAGCAATCGGCCAAATGACTGTGATGACGGCAACTGTTAAAAATAAACCAATAAGCAAGTTTTTACATTTTGCCGCGTGCGCCTTTTGATTCGCGTCTTCGTCGCTTGCTTTGTTTTCCCTTTCGCTTCAGTGTGACCGCAGGTGAAGTGTCGCAATATGCCGTTGTGGCTGAGGGAAATATACCGAAATATACTAATTTCGTTGATGATTGAACAGTAGCGGTCAAGTTAATAGCATGTGTGATATACTTATTTTTTTTATAAAGTTTTTATTAATTTATTGATAAATTAATGAAAGACGAAAAATGAAGTCAAAACTTATTGTAAATTTAAGACATAAAAACTTTTATAAATATAATATTTTGAAGTTATTTTCTAATAACGAAACAAATCACCAATATTAAAACATCTAAAAAAAATAAAAATATATAAATAATAAATAAAATACCAAATAATATTGACCAAATTGTAATCGAATATTCGTAGTATATTTTGGTATATTCATAAATACAAAACGGTACTACTATTTATCATGTGATTTTGTGATTTGTCAAATATTTCTGATAACCGAATGGCAGGTCAAAGCAAAAACCGAAATTAAAAGAAATTATTACTTATTTCAATTAAACCAAGGTTTTAATAAGCTGCAAAATGTCGAATAAGACGAAGAAAACCGGAGGCGGCAACGGAGGCAATGGAGGCGCCACAAAACAAACCCGCCAGCAGTCACAGGTAACATCCCGAATCGCCCCCATTTGCCGGCTGGCCTAATCCCTTGTTTATTTTCTTCACCAGGACTCGCAGGACTACAGCTCCTTCAAGACAGTGCTCTTCTACTGTATGCTCATCGTGTTCCTGCCCGTGCTGACTTTCTTTGTCCTCAAGGGCTTTGTTCTCGACCAATTCTTCAATATCTCCGAAGTCAAAGTGAACATAGCAGCTGCCGTGGGTGCTGTCGTATCGCTGCACATCGCCCTGGGACTGTATATCTACCGGGCATACTTTGGAACATCCGGCTCCAAGGCTGTCAAGGCGGACTAATCCTCATCTACCGGACTGTTTGTTTTCCCATTTCCATTAATTATAAGTCGGAAAAGCACTCTTGTACATACATATTACATATAATTGCGGTTGTTTACATGTCAGCGAGGGAGGAGAAAGTCGTCGCGCCTGTGTAACCATTTGTAATCGTTTTCCATTGCATAAGTTTCGATAACATCGTGTGGAAAACGTGTGTTGTCTAGTGTTTTGTGTGCTTAGTTTATATTAAAAAAAAAAAAGAAAAGAAATTGTCCAAATGCGTGTGCTAATGAGGAATTACTCTCTAATGGAGGCGGTCAAGCGCTTACTACCGCGGCCCCGAAAGAAGATCTACAACCTGGGTGCTTGCTTCGAGCTGGTGGATATCCCAAAGGTTAGAAATGCGAGAAAGACGTATCAAATATTTATATTTTCTTGGAAGATTTATTACCTTTGCAGGGTTGTGCATGAGGAACGTTTTCTCTTGAAATTTGTAATCAAGTGTATTATTTATGAACAATGAAAATACATATGTATAGGGAGATTATAGATATGTATGTATACATTAATTTGCTATTTAAATCTATAAATTTCTTCGTACATTTTTGTTTCAGAGTATGATTTTTTTCAAAGGTTAAATTATTCTTTTCCACAAAATTTAATTTAAACCCCCTTAACTTAACCCCCTTAAATAAATTTAATTGCACGCCACTGAAATTGTCTATCGTGGTGCCACCTGTTTGTGCCGGGCGTTGCCACCTGTTCATTACTGTCCACAGCTGTTGCTGCTCTCAGTTTGTTTTTCTGTTCTTATTGCTTGTGCCTCAAATACTTTACCCGCAAGAATTCGTGTGAAATGATACATTACTAGCCGCGGCCAAAGATTTCCCAACATCGCATGCTGCCGCTGTCCAGGGCGCTACCGTGCCGCAGGCGTTCCTCCTTGGAATTCGGCGCACCTGACTCTTAATTGATTTGAACCACCTGTTGTTGTTGGTCGGGGCGCAGCAGCACTCCCACTCATAAAGCCACAAAATACTCACGCCACGTAGTCTTAGTCAGAATGCTGCAACGCTTGCCAGCCAAAATGTGGACGCTCTGCCTTCAGGCGGCTTTGATGGCCACCTTGGCCCGGGGATCGGTCTCCCTGCGCGATAATCTGGTCGGGCGATCTCAGGTGCTGCTGCTGCTTGATTAAGCCACCACTTACCAGCTGTCCACTAAGTGTCACCTTTTCTTTTTTTTATACAGACTTCCTACAATCCCAGCGAGCTGTCTGAATCCAAGTTCCTGGAATATAGCAACCTCTCGGATAAACTGCACTTGCGGGAGGCGCTGGGCAACATCATGATACCGCGGGTTGTGGGATCCGCAAACCACAGCATAGTGCGGCAGTATTTAGTCCAGAGTCTACGGGATCTGAAGTGGGACGTGGAGGTGGATAGCTTCCATGACCATGCGCCTATAATGGGAAAATTACACTTCCACAACATTATCGCACGGTTAAACCCGAAAGCGGAACGATTTCTGGTGCTCGCCTGTCACTACGACAGCAAGTATATGCCCGGAGTTGAGTTCCTAGGGGCTACCGACTCTGCGGTGCCCTGTGCCATGCTCCTGAACCTGGCGTACGTGCTCCAGGACCAGCTGGACTCCCTTAAAGAGAGCAAGCTCAGCCTGATGCTGTTGTTCTTCGATGGCGAGGAGGCCTTCGAGGAATGGGGACCCAAGGATTCCATTTATGGCGCCCGACACCTGGCCAAGCGGTGGCATCACGAAGGAAAACTGGACAGCATAGATATGCTGGTCCTTTTGGATCTCCTAGGAGCGCCCGATCCCGCTTTCTATAGCTTCTTCGAGAACACAGAGTCATGGTATATGCGCCTGCAGTCCGTGGAGACGCGCCTGGCCAAGTTCGAGCTACTAGAGCGGTATGCCAGCAGTGGGATAGCGCAACGTGATCCCACACGCTACTTCCAGTCCCAGGCCATGCGCTCCTCCTTCATCGAGGATGACCACATACCGTTCCTGCGCCGGAACGTGCCCGTTCTCCATCTTATTCCAGTGCCCTTTCCCAGTGTCTGGCATACACCCGACGATAACGAGAGCGTGATTGATTATGCCGCAACGGACAACCTGGCGCTGATTATAAGGCTCTTCACTCTGGAGTATCTCTTGGGCGCAAAGTAGAGTCCCCTCCGTGACACACAAAAATGTTGTATCTAATTTACGGCCTTATCGAAGATGACCTGTCCGTTGAGACATCGTTGATATCCGTTGTTGAATGTATACTTATGTACCCACCGGTTGGAGGAGCCCCTTGTGGACCCAATTAATGTTACAATTACTTAAGCAGAGCTGCAATACTTACGCATAATCCAAATATTTTTATACTTGTGTATTTATACTTAATAGAAAAACCAAAATTAAAAACAAAAGGCTTAGCTAATGACACGTCAACTGTATACATACATATATATATTTTTTTGTAATCTTTCGGTTGTAAATTACTTAGACTTATGCGCAGTACAACATATACAAATAGTAAATATACCTTAAAAAGAATTTATTTGTTAAATTAAATGCACTGGTGGCAAAATTAAGTTTGTTTTTTGATTTGTCATTAAGATTTTAAAATGTAAAGAATACAAAGAAATATTATACATATTGAGGGGGTTAAAAAAGTCCTTAGTTATACAAAAGTAACAAAGATAAAATGATAATACCATGGTTGGGCATAGATTTTTAGGCTTAAAACCCAACCACAAAACAGAAGTCAGTGCATAAGACGCTGTATTTTTAGTTCCAAGCACCGACAATTCTTAGGTTTTGTTTTTGTACTCCTGAGTGCGCGGTTTTTCTTTGGAAAACTCTCAAAAATTCGTTCACTCGCGGCAATCGTTATCAATAGTATTCGAATGATGATACGAATACTTCATACATCTTTTCACATCAGAAACTTGTTATCTTAGGTTATGGCTATACTGAAATTTAAATATTCTTTGTTTCTTTCATCTCTTCTTAAAACTTATGACAATAATTAGCTTAACCAGTGCTTTCTAAGCGTCTCGTTCTTAAAAAAAAAGGGAGCTCAAAATAGATATGGCAAATATTCGTACACTAAACTTAAGAACTAGCTAAAATCGTTAAGCCTTGATTCAAGTTGTTTTAGATTATCGAAGATGAATCATTCGCTTCTCGTCGGTGGACTGTCAGTAGATCCCTTCGCCGAAGCTGAACTCAAGCCGCAGTCCGCTTCAGCTTCTGCCTCTGTTTCAGTGGATGTCTGTTGCAGTTTGGGCATAGACTTTGCCAGTTCCTTGGGACTCGATCCCTCGATCAGCTGCCCTGCATTCAGTTCTTTAGGCTTCTCCACAACCACGGAATTCAGTTCGGCACAGGATTTTGATTTGCTCTTCGTCTGCGATGATGATGTGGATGATGTTTTGCGGCCATCGGGAGAATCGCAGATCTCGCGTAGATCGGCGCGAGAGTCGCGACAGCAAACCTTTTCAATACATTCCGCCGCCTGGCATTGCATCAGGCATTCTAGCGATGCGGAGGCATTTTTATTGGTGGACGGATAAAACTCCGGCTGAATAGTGACTGCTCTAATGCCCTGATCATGGAAATACGATCGCACCTGATCGATGATCTTGAGGTAGAGCTTGGGATTTTGGAACTGGATGTGAATTGTGGCCACATAACTATGAGCGGCCAACTGCCAGATGTGAAGATCATGATAGCTAATAATTTCCGGGAATTTGCTCACAAGAGTCCGCTCGAAGTTCTCCATATCGATGGAGCCGGGTATGGTCTGCAATAGGATCAGACAGGATTCCTTCACTGTGGGAGATATGAGAAAAACAGAGAGTTAATACCAATACTGATTCCGTTTTGTTTGTACTTACTGTAGGGATAACTGAGCGAGACCAGCAGAACACAGGAGAAAATGGAGAGAACAGGATCTATAAACTTGGCCGTGTGCTCCTCATCCTCCGCCACATAGACAATTGCCGCACACACAATCACAAAGATGGTACTAGAGACATCGCGAAGCATTTCCACGGCTCCCTGACGTTTGGTCGCAAAGTAAACACTGCCCACCTCCGTCTCCAATTCCTCTCGCAACTGCCGATCGTTCCGAGACTTACTCAACTGCCTTTGCATGGGAGTGAGGGATACGTCCATATTGCTGGACATAGGACGCTCGAGCACCACATTGCCACCGGGAGTCAAGTGCAGGAAACTACCCTGATGCAACGTGTATCCGCCAATCAGCAGATATGTTAGTCCATTCAGAATCAAGCCCACGAAACCCAGCATCATCACGGGAATGGGTAGATGCATTGTATCCTGATGATCGATGTGGACCAGTGTTTGCAGGGCCTCCACCACCAGTGAGAAGGATAAGGAAGCCAGGATAATGAATACTATCAGCATGGTCAGAATATCTATCCTGGCCCAGCCAAAAGTATTGCGTAGCTTCTGTTCCCGGCACTCTCGCTTGGCCTTGGTCTGGGCCTCCGCTTCAGTTAGGTTGACAACCACACCGGCGGTTCCATTGCCAATGGCCTTGGTCTGAATGGGAGGCGGATCCTTTGCCTCTGGTTTCTGTTTACTATGCTGCAAGATTGTAAAGAGAAGGAAATAAGTTTAGAAAATAGCTGATTTAGTTAATGATAATACTAGTATTTATTATAATCTCGGATTAAATAACAAAGTTTTCTTATCCAATAAACTAGTAAAAAAGAAAGAAAAAGCCCTTCTTATTGATTAAAATTAATTAAATTAAACTTGACTCTCTTAAATTGTACAACTAATTAATTTGATTTCAACATAATGATTTTTTTTAGAAAAGAAAATCTCTTTTGTTACTATTTTCAGTTTGTTCTTTGACAGAAAAATATCATGGAACATGGAAATAGAATGGAAAATTTCATTCTCCATCGTCATGCTTTCTAAGCCAAATCATAACAATTGGCATTGGCCCATCACCACAATGGTTGGCAGCTATTTTAACGCTTCGCTGGTCCTCGTCCGTCTGTCGTACAATTATATAAGTTTGGAATCGGCCCACACTACTGTCCACACCTACAACGCCATCGTCGAGTCTTTGGGAGCTTTCGATTTCTAGTGTTGAACACAGACGCTGAACACAGTGCGACTTTTGGCCAAGTCTTGTTTGATTTTTGTCTTTTGCGAAACGTGCTTGGCACGCTTTCCCATGGCGGCAACGAATGATATTTGCATCCATTCAGTAATAAAATATTTAACTTTGACTGCTCCATAAATTCGTTGTCGTACGACACTTTTTGCTTTGGGTAGTATTCACCTTGAATTTAAATCAATGCGTAGATAAATTAATATTTAGTAATAGATATATCGTTTGAAATTTTCTGCTTTTTATTGATAAATATTATGTTTTTTAAATAGATAGTCAAAAAATAAAAAAAATATATAAATTTCACAGTATATTTTAGATGGATAATTTTGAATTTTCTTTAATAAATAATAAAAATATACATTTTATTCACTTTGTTGTATTTAAGTTATGCATTAAATTAAATTAGGATAAGAAAGCCTAACAAATATTATGATTATGCTATAAAAACCTTTTATTTTATTAGTTAAAATTTATTTTTTAGTTAAAAGAAAATGATTTCACATGTATAATTAATATGTATTATTCATCTGATACTCAAGCTTAATCATAGTAAATATCTTGCTACCTCCAAATCTTCTTAATCTCTGAAATATATTACCATTTTCGCTTTCTATCAGCCAAGTGCCATATATGTGATACTGCCCCATTTCGGCCAGAGAAACTAAGCCAAACAAAAAATTTGAGCAGTATGACTAAAGCCTGTCGTCGTCCGGTATCTCCGTGTAATCAACCTGATTTCATGTCACCTGCTGTGTGTAGACAGGGGCATTACACTCGGAATGGGCAATTACACAGTAATCTCTGCTGATAAGCAAAGAGGCACTCTGTCAGAGTCAGGCCTGATAAGTCTAAATAATAACTACAAGGAACCACTCCCGGTGAAAGATATACAAATTTCAAAAAAATTCACTAAAGTCGAACATAAATTATATCCCGAAATCCGAACGAAACCAGTTTTCCGCAAAATAAAGAAAAAAGTGTTTGGAATGCGTTTCGATACTGTTTGTTGTGCTTTGCTTTTCGGGCCACAATAAAAGTTCAATGCACCAGCATCTGTTTCGACTTTGCACGCGACATTTCCTGGCCAAAAAAATAACAATAATTAAAACCGGCGGGCAAACTGCACAAACAATTTTTTTTTTTTTTTTCAAAACAACGTTCAGGTTATCACTTTTTATTATCTTTTTGGTAATACCTTTGGCAGAATAGGTATTTATTGCTATTTTTAATTCTCTAAAGATCTTAATTACCCTCAGAACTATAATAAATAGACAGATAGAACTAACAATATTTTATGATAAGCCTTAGTACTCTACAGAGCTTTATGAAAACTATTAACTTCGAGTAAAAACCATGATCCTCTTACCTTAATTGTGATAATGCAGCCGCCGAGAGCTATAATATTACACAACATATGATGGGAGGCCATCAGGAGAGTGAGTCCGTGGGTCCAATGGCTGAGTAACAATTGGAGGATAAAATAGCAAATTGATAGCACCAGGACCACGTATAGGGGAACGGGCCTACACCGCTGCAGTATCTTCTTCACTGGCATTATGTATCTGCAAAGAAGAAGGGTAAGGAGAGTTAGGCATCGAAAATCAGTGACAATTGGTTTCCTAAATATTGGAAGCAGTATCATGCGGAAATGACGGACAGAGAGGTCACTTGTCAACGAACTGCCTAGAGGTGTGATCTATTTAAATGGGCTTAATTTGTTGTTTATACAAATTTACAATGCGTCAGCAGGTTGTCACTTTGATTAAAAGGTTTGAGATGCGGTTTTAATTAAGAGCTATGGGGTGTAATCGGTAATTTAATCGATTTACAGGAAGTTATGCAAATTTAAATAAATAATAATGTATGGTAATCGCTTTAACTGCTGACAGATCTGAAAATAGGAATCATATGAATAAGATCGGTTTCATAACGAAATAAGCCCAAGCTTGCCTTAATAAAAATATTACTAAATTCGAAATTACTACCTCTTTGATTAAACGCTATTATTAAAACCCTATCAATTTCTAAAATCCCTCCAAACTATGTCAAGTTCAAGTGTCCGAGTTAATTGAACCGCTCACCGATTGGGAACTACGCCGCAATGAACTGTGTTTAACCTCCCATATTTAGGGTTCAACCCATGCCAACCCCGTATGCAAATCCCCCATCATCATGATCATCATGTGGGCATGGGCCTGGGTCTGGCTCTGGGCTCCTCCTGCTTGCCTGCCTGACGATGGTGGGCTGCATGCAAATGAAGATGCTAAATGGGCTCGTTTTACCTGTGGCTACCGACGAATCTTGTTGAATCGATCGCATCGCGATCGCCTGCGACATTGACGTAACTTTACGTGATCGTGAATATATGGCTACCGACTGTTTGTTGGCTTCTCCGATGGGTTGGTTTGTTTGCCGCAATGTAAGTAACACTGCAAGGTTGAACCCTATTCGGTCGGTCATTTGTAATTTTAAAGTGCCCTCAAGTAGCTTAATTAGCGAGGGGACGTGTCGTGACATTTTATAATGTTTTTTCGGATAATCCAAATGTCCAATCTCAGGTAAATTCAAGGATCAATTAGCAATTGAAGCTCTAGGAATGGTAGTTAAATAAACCACGTACATTTATAGTGCCCATTCTAAATAAAGAAACCTTTTCGTTTTTAATATTCCGAATATTATTATATTACTTTTGAACTACAGCTTACAACTTGTTTAAAGCTGTACAGACTCTGTATTACAGACTATTAAGACCCACCTTATCCCGCTCTTGCATCACCGAATTCCTGATTTATAACTATCGTTGCTGCCAACATCTGGAATACTTAATAGGTACATTATACTACGCAAATTATTGCTACTGTTCGGAGGCAGAATTCTATTTATTTTTAAATGATGCAACCCTCCTACCCTGCACGCTGTCGACTTTTAAATGAGCCCATTGCATTCTGAAATTGTCACACGTGCACTGGCAAATAATTGGAATCGATCAACTGATATAATCTATTGTTTTAAACTGTTGTTGGTGTAATTAGGGGCTAAATACAAAAGCGTTAAATGGCGCCCCGGGGGCACTAGATTGTGCAGTGCCCCGGCAAACAAACAAATAGATTCCCATCGTTTTATTCCAGCAGAGACATCGTGGAAGTAAAAGCTATTAGCCAGATAATGCCAGACAGGTAGCAACAACAACCAATTTAGATACTGCCTCTCTGTGTAGGCCCAAGAGTTCAACAGATGTAGTATGTATATACATTGTAGTTGTATCTCCCAGTTGTTCCACTTGCCACAGCCACTAAATGTTAATTTCCTCAATTTAATTTCATTTTCATTCGGAATGGGAGGGGCTGAGTGGAACAGAGGCTCGAACACGAGATAACAAAAGATAAGTCGAGAACGAGCACAGATACAGATACACGGGGGCTGTAGTTGCCAGGGGATAAGGCCGATAACAAAGTGATCCTCTAGATAAAGATAAAATATGGTGTGATATGGTAGGCATGTGGATGTCGAGCCTTGAACACTTTTAAAAATGAAGTAAAATTCGGGAATTTACAAACAAAAATCTAAAGCGAACAGCTCAGAATTTTTTTAGACCATAAATATTTAATAAAAATGAAAAAATCGTATGGAAATTCATTATATCCACACTCTCCGGCTCTTTTATCACTTTCCAAATCCGGGACTTTGTATATTTTACGACAATACCGAGTATGGCGTAAAATCCAGATCATAAATCTGAGCAAACAGTTGACAACTCGATTGTCAATTAGATCTTCACTTCATCAATTGAAAACCTCAACAAAAACTCTTCTTTTTTACTCACAATAAAATTCGGGACCAATAACATTTCGTATTTACTTTGATTTGTCACCAGGTGCCATCATTTTGTTTCTTTCCTTTCGAGTTATGGTGTGCATACCAATTATATTTGGCAGAAAACAAAAATTGTACTTTGATTTTTGCGTAGATTTTGAAATTGAATTAAAAAATACTTCCTATGCGAGCGGGTCCCTGGCCCGTATTAAGCCTTTTTTGACCATTTCAAATGTGATGACAAGGTCGCCTATGCCTGTGGAATGACTAATTCCCCAAGGGAACCGAAAACGCAAGGCGTTCGCTTTATTTTTAAATTCTATCAATATTGTTATTGTCTATCACTAGGTAGAGCCATAGACAAAGTGTGTGATGCCAATATTTTATTACTTTGTTGTCACTGGCAATTAGCAATTTCCAGTGGGCCATATTTGAACACTTTTGAACGCGCCAAAACCAGACACCTGATAAGCAGACAGAGATAACTCTCTGTTCGAACCCTATCGCTATCTCATTTTCCTGCGATTAAATGGAAATTGGACAGGTCTACCCTGATAACAGGCGTTTCAAAAAACAATATCGAAAACAACCCGGCGTTAGGTGGGTTAAAATGCCATCGCTAGGCGGGGGATTCGATGGGGAATGTTGATAAGAACCCAAAATGTTGCTAGCGATAAATGTTTCTAGGTGCAGAAACAGGGTCTTTTTCATTTTAAATCCCTTAAGATTTAAGGCTTTTCATAGAATTTTTTATGTTATATCCAAATTTAATTATCATAGAATTAACTGAGCATAGAAAAACTGCTGAGCTTTGTTATCTAAGTAAATAATTGTGTGAGAAAAACTGAATACAAACTATGTAATTTAGTTGTAGAATTGCAATTATAAAAATCAAAATATGTAAATTAAAAGGAATTAAATTTGTAAACTTAATTAAATTATAATAACTATATAATAATCTGTGAATTTGTAAGAATTTTGAGTTTTTCAGTTATAATAATCTTATATTAAATAAACTTTGGTAGAACATAAATCTGATGTTATTTATTCTTGAAATATAGAGGAAAAGACAATGTACTACTTGTTATTTTAGGTAAAAACTTAACTATTTCTAGCAACTTTCAGCCATATGATAATTTTCTCGAAGGCCTGTCTCTTTTTCCCCAAACAGTATTTTCGGTTTTTAATAAACAAAACCCATAGGAAATGTTCCCCTTTGTTGTCTGTTTTCAAGAAACTCAATAGCTATAGTTAATTTCTCTGCGGTTTGCTACTCTCATTAAACATTTTTGCGTATTTGTAGACCAAAGTCCAGAGCAGATTCCTGGCCACCTGTTCATACCTTGTTCCCCAAACAATACAAAGAAATTCTGCCTTTAAGGTTAACAAAGTAGTGTAAATAATTTAATTGCACTTTTATGCACCTCCGTCTACGTGAGATCTGCGCCCTTTATCCGCACTTTCACTACGTCCTCATCAGAAACGTGATCAAGTCGTATTATATATCAGATTTTACTGATGCTATATAATCCCATTAAAATAATACACAAATTGATATTAATGCTGATTACTAAAGACCCACTTCAATTACATTTAATGGGGAAAACAAAAATTGAATAAAAAATAAACATGCAGTTGCGGTCAAAGAAATAGACGTCAATAAATATTACTGCCAAAAAGGAAATTATTTATATTTTTGTAAATTAAGAAGATTGAATGAGGTAGTAATATTAATAGTTTAAACAAATAATAATGGAAAATATATACGCTTTCAGTTAGGTTGCAATTTATATTTTTTAGCACTATTTTTTGCTCAACAACTGTTATAACAAGATTTTCCAACAAACTAACGGCTGAGGGTAATTGTTTATAATATTGCGTTGGGAAAGCGGCAACCTGAGACAGGGTTCTTGAGCACATGAACCAAGGCTTTTGGATCAATTTGCATTGAATTAGCTTCGCGAGTGAGAATTTGTTTTTGGGCTCAATCAATCCCAGCCCCCCACCAGACGACGACGACGATGGATCGTAGACAGATATAACCTTTAATTAGCATTAATTTTGATCAAACTTATTTTTATACCGCGCAGATGGGTGTTATTTTAGGTGGTGGGGCAATATTCACTTGCTAAATGGATTCACAGCCCCGCCTGCTAACGAATCAGTCATCTATATACATATCTATATGTATATATATATCTATATGTCCACGTCCATATCCAAACACCTATCTAAGGCAGCCGCATTAAGGTGTGTTTTCGATTCCTGGACCCCAGCCATGAAGCCAAACAACCCACAAGGCCGAAACCCTTATCAGTCTACGAGAACTTGAGCTAAAATGGGATTTTGGCTTAGAACTGGAAATTTACCGTCTTTTTGGACTCTTTGTGATAAGCTGAAAACCGCGCGTGTCCCTTGTTGGTTCGTTTGCTATTTTTAGCGGCACCACACACCACTGTAGTAAATTGCTTTGGAAAATTTGCTTTTCCTTTATATTTTATTGTTATTATTCCACACAAACAACACGCACGCACAAGATTTCAAATTTTGCAGTTCCACACGCGCACTACCTGTTAAGCTATGCCGAATTTTTTTGAGCGAATTATTGAGCGATGCTCACTGCAGCGCGGCTCAAAAACGAATGATCGTCAAAGCCGAAGCGATGGAGGCAAAATATATAGCACACTAATTTGAGAAAGCACAGTAATATAAGCAGTAGTCGACTTGCGAATACCCTAGACGGACAGGTATGCAAATGGAACGAAGGTAAAGATGGAGGAGTAAATTGCTATAGGTTATGAATAATTTATTGTTATACATAATTATAAATAAAATGTCTTTAACATGCTCGTTGATTATTGCTAATTTATGCAGAAATATTGTATGTGCTTTAATTGATTTATATTTAATGTTGATACAATTTTATTATAAAATATTAGTGCATAGTTTATGTACCCCAACATAATGCTCTTTTTAAAGGGTATAAAACGCACAGAGATAGAAAAACTACAAAAACAATGACCACAGCCGGCAAAATGGAATGCCCGCAAATTGAAAGCAAGCGTAAAGCTCAAAGAGATAACGGGAGAGAATGTGAGAGAGGGAGAGAGCGATACCGACGGCGAGAGTGGGTGTAAAAGTGCGTGTTGTCCAGGTTGAAAATTATCAGCTGACGACCAAAGATAAAAGAGGGAGAGAGAAGCTAAAGAGAAAGAGCAGAAGTGAGAGAGAGAAATGGAAAAGGAGAGCATGTCCGAACGTGCCAAGTATCAGGTGCGTATGTATTCATAATACAAGTATGTTATCATGAGTTTTATGAGCTCAAGAGGCAACAACGCTAACAACAGTAAAAACAAAGTGTTTATTATGCTTACATATGGTAATCACAGCGAAATTACAGCAGCAGCAATAGTTAAACGCACTGATCTAGCTCAAACAAACGAACAACTGCTTTCAAGACATTAGCGCTGAATAATTTTAAATTTAATTACAGTGGGCCCCAGATTATTTCGCTTTGGCCAGAGTATTTTTAGACAGAGTGATTTTATAAGAATATATGTAAACATAAAAAGCAAACATACACACATTTAAACAAAGGCACAGAGAGAAACAAATTTTAACTTTATATTAGTCATCAAAATAAGTAAGTAATTAAGTAAATTAGAAATAAAATAATAAGAAACATTTAATTACTATATGGACGTCACTGTAGTAATTTAACTTTGACCGCTACAATGTGTATCCATTATCAATAATTAACCACAATAGCTAACTTTTGTTAAAAATGCTTATCGGCGTTGGTAGTTAACTCGACAAGATACTATATAGATTAAACCCCGATTCCGAAAGATACCGACCGTTGCTCTCCTCGGTTTTACAGCTTGAAGGAGACTGCTAACTTTACTTTAAAGTTTACAGAAGTCGGGTCGTGGCGAATTGAATGTTCCATGGGCCTGAAATTGCAATTAAACCACGCACATTAGATAAGAAGTCAGCGGTTTGACGGGCCGCCAAGGCAGTTTCATTTCAACTGGGACACGGTTGGCTTAGTCTTATTTGTCAAAATAAAAAATATTCATAAATTAAGCGGCCGTTGAGTAGAATACGGCATTATTTGCTAACCGGAATTACAGATTAGAGAGTAATTAAGCAAGATAACCACAGCAAGGTCTTTGAATCAAAATTAAATAAGATAGGACTTTATAACTATATTCCAGGGTACAAGGACTATTGTTTTCAAAAGATTAAATATTAAATTTAATATTTCCATTTAGCTTAGAATATATTAGGAACCAATAAAGCCTAAATATAAGGTACTAAATAAAACAAATTAAAAAAAATTATGATGTTTAATAAATGCTCTATTCAATTGATTTTTAATAGAATATGATTTTTAAGAAACATCAAGTTCAAATAATACGTTACTTTGGTGCTGCCACCCTTGCTGTTCCGGAAGTCTGGCAGCGCTGATTGTCGTGACATTTGCCAGTCACAGCGGTGACATTTACCATTCACAGCGGTCGTGACCATTCGCAGGCACCGTTTTCATCTGCAGAAGACGAAAACGGACCGAAATAAAAACGATTTTAAGCGAATAAATCAGCCGTCTTAGTCCAGTGCGCCGGTACGAGATGGCCGCCATAGTACTAACCCGCAATATGCAATTGGCCAGTAAGTTCCACCGCCTGCCCACCGCCCAGTGGCTGGCAAGCAAATTATGTAATACGCCCGAATGTTGTTGCTAATAGTTGGTGTATTTTCCGGATCTAGAGCACCATGGCAGTGGTGTGGTTGGCGTCCTGTGCTTGCGCAGCTACTCTGCCGCCGCCGCTCCGCCGGAGGATGGTCCACGTCCGCTGAAAACCACAAATCCGGCTGCCATGAAGCGCGGCACGGGAGGACGCAGCAGCTTCAACGGGATTGTGGCCACCGTTTTCGGAGCCACCGGCTTTGTGGGTCGCTACGTGTGCAACAAGCTGGGCAAGTCCGGCAGCCAAATGATCCTGCCTTATCGCGGCGACGACTCTGATGTGATCCGCCTAAAGGTTACCGGCGATCTCGGTCAGGTGCTGTTCCACTTTTACAACCTGGAGGATCCCAAGTCCATTCGCGAGGCTGTGAAGCACTCGAATGTTGTCATCAATCTGGTGGGCAGGGACTTCGAGACCAAGAACTTCAAGTTCAAGGATGTGCATGTCAACGGAGCGGAGAGGATCGCCAGGTGAATATGATTGGTATTTATTGTGCTTAAACTTGTAATATCCTTGTCATCTTTTTTCCGAAGAATCGCCCGCGAGGCTGGCGTGGAGCGCTTCATCCACTTGTCCTCCCTCAATGTAGAGGCCCATCCCAAGGATCTGTATGTAAAGGGGGGCAGCGAGTGGCTAAAGAGCAAATACGAAGGTGAATTGCGCGTTCGCGATGCCTTCCCGAATGCCACCATTATCCGTCCCGCGGATATCTACGGCTCCGAGGATCGCTTCTTGCGCTACTACGCCCACATCTGGCGCCGCCAGTTCCGCTCGATGCCGCTGTGGCATAAGGGCGAGAAGACCGTGAAGCAGCCCGTATACGTTTCGGATGTGGCCCAGGCCATCATCAATGCGGCCAAGGATCCGGACTCTGCTGGACGCATCTACCAGGCTGTGGGACCCAAGCGTTACCAGTTGAGCGAATTGGTCGACTGGTTCCATCGCCTGATGCGCAAGGACCAGAAGCGTTGGGGCTACATGCGCTACGACATGCGCTGGGACCCTAGCTTCCTGCTGAAGGCCAAGCTGAACAGCTGGATCTGCCCGGGCACCCCCATCGGTGGCCTGCATCCCGCTCGCATCGAGCGCGAGGCCGTCACCGACAAGGTGCTAACTGGTGTCCCCACGCTGGAGGATCTGGGCGTCACACTGACCACCATGGAGCAGCAGGTGCCATGGGAGCTGCGTCCCTACCGCGCCGCCCTCTACTACGACGCCGAGCTGGGCGAGTTCGAGACCCCGTCGCCGCCCAAGACTATCGAGGCTCGTGACGAGATGCGCTTGTTTGCCTAAAACTGAGTCGTCGTGGGTGGAAACGGTCTGTGTTGATTGGAAAATTTTAGTTAAATTGTTTAAGGCGATGCGTCAATAAAGAGATGTCGACAGATTACAATATTTTGCCATAAAATTAGAATTTGAAAGTGTAAGATCGAAAATCGCGCCGATTGGCTTCACCTTTTTCCTATCGTCATCGATAAGACATTTATCGCCCAGATTACACGAGGTAATTTTACACACAGTTTGTAAAGTAAAACATACATTTGACACTTTACGTTAAGCGCTGAGCCAAATCTGGCCACACTGATACTTTTTGTTGTTATTCGTTTTTCTTCCTTTGCGACCAGGAGCTTTTCTGCAGCCCGCAGTTTTCCCGAAAACTTACGACCGTGCAGATTTATGGCCGGAAAATCATAGTACGGAAAATTCGATTTCTCAACCCTTGGTGTTTGTGTGTGCAAAACGTTTTTAACTTTTCAGCTTGGTTAACAAATAAAAAAAAAATAGTGACCGCGACAACAACAACACACGCGCGCGCCGCTCTTTCGCGTTTTTGTGCGTGTGTGTGAGTGCGTCAGTGTGATAGAGAGGGGTGATTGAATTATGGCATAATTTGAATAATTATGATAGCAGAATACACGCTGCCACCGCCGAATGTGAATTTAGAAAAGCAGGAAAAGGACAGGAAGGGCGACAGTTTGCCGCTGGCCCATTTGGAAAACGAAGTTAGCCGCATACGCCTTGTGAAATCGATCAGAGCGAATTCGCCGGAATCGACGTCGACGTCCTCGGGCGAAATAACGGAGAAAATCCTTTGGTGGGGCGAACAGAGGGATAAAGCGGGCACCGTTAGCATCATCAGCTGTGACAGAGCCGCCCGAAAGCTTGCCCAAAGGAAAAGGTCAAACAGGCAGCAGCGACATCAGCAACAACAACAACTGCAGCAGCACTCGAAGGAGGAGATAAAAGGCAAAGAGGAACAAGAGAAGCTCGGGCCAAGAGAGAATAAGAAGAAGCGCCCAAAGAGGGGCAAGAAAAAGCAGCAGCAGCAGCATCCCCTCGTCAATACCAATACCGATACAAATAAGTTACGTTACAGTGTGCGCAGCAAGAGCCTTGCCGTATTTTTAGATTATTTGCGACAGTGTCCCGCCATCGAAATCGTCGCTGGCCGCTGTGACGTCCGTAGTAGCAGCCACGCCTACAGCCTACAAGACAGTCAACCGCCGCCAAAGCCCGACCCCGACCCCGCCCTTGCCCACGGGCATACGCTTCTGCCGCTGCCGACGTCGCTGCTGCGCAAATACGCCGCCAACAACGGCAGCGGTTGCAATTTCGAGCATAAAACCAAAATTTATGCTCTATATCGTCACCTGGAGATCGGTGGCCCGCTCGAACAAGTGCAACAGCAACAGCAGCTGAAAGTCGGCCACATCCAGCTGCGCTTCAAGATGCTCTTTGCCGAACCACCGCCGCTGCCGCCCCCTCAGGGTCATGCCAGCGGTGCCCATGGCCACGCCCATGCACATGCACATGCCGAAGCTGTGCCAACGCCACCTGGGGGCGAGCAGGTGATGCCGCTGCCGACAGTGCTGCTGCAGGATCAGCAGCCGGGCGAACTTTTGGCAGGTGAGTCCAAGAAATAAAGTATTTATTTGTATATTAGTACAAATGTACATACATAGATGCACATGCAGCCCAATGGCATAGCACTTTCAGTGCAGTTCGGGGAAATCCCCCATTTATCAGCTGCTGTCTCTCAAAAGTTTTCAAAGAATAATTATTGTTTCTTTGTATTCTGGGTTTTTCTGTGCATGATTCTTCCGTTTTTCAATATTATATACTTCGATTTTAGAATTGTTTATTGAATTTCACGTCGAATAAAAAGTTTTCAATTTTCTTCAATGTGACAAAGTTTAAAATATATTATATTTATGTGCCTTTGGCCTCTTCAAGGTTGAGGGTATTGCATATGTATATTGAAAAATATGGCAAATATGCAGACGACCTTTTCGATTTCTAACAGACAAAAATAAATATAGAAATTTATGGGCTCATGAATCAGCAGCATCTCGAAGAGTGAGGAGTATTTTTCAAAGTATTCAACTTTTACCATATATGAAGGTTAATCATCAAACATTGAAGATAATTTTTAGGTAGAAAACAGCTTTCGAAAGGGTCTGTATTCGTAGTGTTTTGTATTTGCAATCGTCTTATAAATATTTTCTTGGTAAGACCTTTATATATGCGATTTTTAATACAAATTTCACAAGAGGGGGAAATGTTTTTGCTCTAAAATTAGCCCCAGCTGTTTAACAACAAGATTTGCATGCAGATATTTAAAAATGTCTTATTTATTATAGGTATAGCTTTTTAAAAGTTGTTAGATTCTTGCATTTCTTGTTTGAATTATAGGCAGTAATTATTTGCAATGTTCGCAAATAAACACAATAATAAATTATAGTCTACATAATATATTCGTGTGTTGATGAATAAGAATAAAGGGGAAATTGTTTGGTTTTTGTGTTATCGGTTTTTAATCCACTGAAGTATAACGATAAATATTAACTTTTAAATATTACTTTACTACTTCCACCTCCATATGAGAGTCGAGTTCAGGGAGATGCCTTGATGCAGCATAATGTTATGCCAGTCAGGAAAATCATAGAGCTGTCCTTGGGATTATCCCCAAAATCCTTTGTTTGTGCGATGGTGTTTCAGTTTTGTTCTACAATTTGAAAACGACTCAAAAAAACCTCTATAGATTATAATTCCAACGCCTTTTTGGTTGGTGCAATTGGAGTTTTAGTGGATTTCCTGGGGAGATCTTCCAGGAGACTGCCGGCATTAAGTCGTTTATTAAATCAGCAAATAATAGCAGATTATGGGAATTACCAATATAAAATACTTTTAATTAAAAACCTTCTTCAGTCGGTTAATATATGGACACTATTGTCTCCTATTGTCGTCATTTTATTAGCCGCAGACACTTTTCCGCAGCCTCTCAGTCGACGACCGCGCATCTGTTTATTTTGGTTTTTGTTTTTCCTTTTTCTTGGCATTTTCATGTTATTTATTTATAAACTTTGAATTTGCTCTTATTTTTATTTTATTTTCAAAGCGGAAAATTCACAACAGTTTGTTGACTCTTACGTAAGAGTCGTCCGTTTTTTGTTTGTTTTGCTTGCCGCCCATCATGACCGTCCCAATCAACGGTCTCAAACAAATTGGCCAAAAAGATAATTTATTAAAGACAATTGCAGTGGCCTGAAATAGACCAAGCTCCCCGAAAGTCCCATAATATATTCATATATTTTTATTCAATACACCGCATTTCTGTACTCCTGTTTCTCTTATTTTTACTTTCGTGTCGTTCAAACACAACCGATGCTGAAAACTTTCCATTTGAAAAAGGCGAATCCCCAATAAATACGTAAAGCCAAGCGAAAGAGAGCCATAAAAATCAGAAAATAGTGCGATATACGAAACACGTGCAGGCAAAACAAATTCTCTCATTCTCCGAGAGAAAATCAACAAAAATCTGGGGAGAATGGGGAGCGCGAGTCTCAGTGGCGTCGGTTGGGTAAATATTATTTAACTTATATGCAGGGGCGGAATAATTAAACGCAGGGAGAGATCAAGAGCTAAAAGCTGGTAAATTTGGGATTACTTTAAAGAACCTTTAAAAAAGTGTCTTGAATATGGAATTTGGGTTTATTCATTAATGGATTTTTGATAATTTTTTGTAGCTTTCTGGATTATTATTATTATTATTTATAAGAAGAGAATAACCCTTTCCGCTTTTTCGCTTATATTTCAATTATATTCCCCATTATTTTACCTAATGGTTTCAATAATTAACTTTTCCTTTCCATAAAAGTGTGACGATTTTCAATTATGAGTAAACAAGATTGACGCAAATAATGTGTTTGTTTTTTGCCAATTATATCTTTTTCTGGCCAAGAATAAATGTGTTCCTAAAAATATACGTATTTCTCTTTAGATATGTTTTTAAATCCTCCTCCCTTTGGATTTAACCCGCTCCTGGCCGCAAACATTGTCAGAGACACATAACTTTTATCTCGCTATTTTTTTCCATGCTCAGCCTTTTGGTTTTGTATCTCGTTTTGCTGGCTGTCAAAAGTTTTCGGTTTTTTTTTTTTGTTTGTTTGCAGTTTTTTTTAGCCGTTGCCGGTTGCGTCTGGGTTTTCTGCCATTGGCCTTCAAATTCGATTCTCGCCGAGGCCAGAGGTCCGCGCCAGGCTTATCAACCAGCCATATAAATATGTACATATATATTATATAGGAAAACATATGTTCCAACGAATCCCGCAAAAAGTCAAACCAACGCAAAACTATTCCTCGATTCAGAAGAGAGGGAAAATGCGAATGGCTACTTTGTTGCTACACAGGGAGAAACTGGGGTGATACCAAGGGGTCGAAATCGATAAGCCTTGCCTTGATAAGATGGCTGTCTGACTCTCTCCCACCCTCCCTATCGTTTACTATGTAAATTTCTATGGGTTTTAATTAGCAGCAGTGCGAATGTGCGATGAAAACAAGGGGGAATGAATACATAGGTGCACACACAAGTTGGAAGCCATTCACTGACTAATCCTACGATGGCTGTACTGCATCATCGCACTTTGTAGCATCCAGTTATGTCATTGAACCTAATGCCAGGCTCTTTCGTTTCTTATCAATTATTTGGTAGACAAATCGAAATATTGGCCCGTTACCATGCGGAGAAATCAGCAAGATTTTCATTTCTCCCTGACTTGATAACATTTTGACCTTTTGCTTAAGCTGGAATTCATATAGTGGGGTCTTTTGGAAATTTAAGTTGCTCTTGAACTCTCCTCTCTGAATCTGTTTATGCAAAAATTATATTTGGGTCTGGTTTGGCTTCTTTTTTTCAGCTATGCTAAAAGAGAGCTTGATATATTGCGATAGGGAAGTATGAATACACTTTGAAATAGCATATAGGCTTAAGAAAATAATTATAAAAACTTTAAATATTTATAAGATAAGCTTGGAGGATTATTTAAAGCCCCCATATGATATTCTTCGGTTTATATGAAAACAAACCCCTTATCAGTTCTTTTAGCCCTTCCCATAACTTGAGTTAGAGTATTCAAAGTACACCTTTATTTCATTTAAAAAATAATCACATGGGATCATAGAGTGATAGGCCGAACACGTGAGAGAGCCAGAGAGGCAGAGAAGGCAAAAGGCAAAGCATAAAACGCGATTACAGGGGGCCCCACTCTCTGCACCGGGTTCTCCGGCTTCTCTTCTCGGCCCCTGCTTTTCGTACTCCTCTTTATGCCGGCTTTTTTTTCGGAATCTCCCAAGCAGTCATTTCAAAAGTCCACGTCGTGGAGATCGGATCGCTTTTCCTCTACCCACAAGTTCCTGTAAATAGACTAGACATGTGCTGAATTATTTTCAATTATAAATTAATAATGTAAATCCTTAATCCTTTGCAGGCACTAACAGCAACGTTGAGCTAATGGAGGCCATGAAGAAATTGGACGCTGATCTGGTGGCTCTCTTCGCCACCGCTGCCTCTACTGATCCGCTGACGAAGAAACAGCAGCAACAGCAACAGCAGCAGGTCGTTCTATGGCCGGAATCGGAGACAGAGCAGATCGCTGAGGACTCTGAGGAGGAGCTGGTGATCACACCGGAAATATTCAGGAGCTGCAAGGCTTTGCAGCTCGATTTGGAGGCGCTGACTCTTCAACCGGAGGGGACGGAGCGCATGGAATTGGTTCAGAACGAAGTGCGACCCATTTTTACCGTGGAGTGCCAGCTGTCCGGCGACTTGATCCGTAAAGTGCCCCGCTACCCGATGTTCCACATCATGCAATTTGAGTCGGAGAAGTTCCAGAGCCTGACGCAGTGCACCCGTTTCGGGCAGAGCGCTCAGCGGCAGGTGGAGCTTAAGGATTGGGATCTGGCCACTGGTCATGTAGACATTACGGTTTGGTGGCGCGAACCGGGCACCTGTCTCAACGAAATGCTGGGCATGGGTCGTTTGGAGCTCCGGGAGCTCTACAAGGCCTCGCTGCTCGAGCAGTGCAAGTGCATTGCCATTAAGCGTCGCGATGTTCATCTCGGTAGTGTTTATGCAAAGATTAGTCTGCTGCAGAACGCTAATGGAGGCGGAAATGGAAACGGTAATGAAGGCCAGGAGCAGCAGCAGCAGCAAAAGAACGAAAGTGGAAACAAGGCAGCAGGTGAATATATATGACTAATGTCGTGTGGTTGCCAATCGCAAGAACCATTGATTCTTGGGCCCCCCAATCAAATACAACTGATGCCACAAGCTGGACCACACGACAACTACAAACACCACGAATATCACCACAACTTCCAACAACAAAACCAACAGCAACAACAAAACCTATACCAAGTCCGCACCTGCCGACCACAATCACGTTCACGCCTCCTGCACTTACTCCCTATGTTATTATTGATTGCCGCTTTCCAATTGCTGCAAACCACCATCATTCTTCTGTTAAAAAATATTTTTCATTTTCAAAAAAATAGAAATCAAAACAAGACAACAAAAAACAAACAAAAAAACAACAAAAACAAAAATCTGCCTTGTGTTTTTTTATGTTTTTCTTAATTTATAATTTGTTTTCCAACAGCCTTTTTGTTGATTTTAAAACTAGAAATAACAGCAATGTTTATCGATTTCAAATCGCTACCGTAGAATACTTCGATTATAAATCGATTTGAAGATTATGAGATTTTTCCAGCGGAACTGTATTCATTGAAAAGGAAGAAAGTAATGAGTTTTAGGTTTTCGAGAATAGCGTTCCAATCGTATATTGATATCAAGAAAGTCTTAAACTTTTAATTGAATGTTTTTCCTATTAAATTGATTTATTTATTTTATTAGCTAAATTTTGTCTTTCTTCCTATAGGAATATAACTTATAGGCTAGGACTTGTAGCCTTACAGATGCATTTTCCTATTAAAAAATTACTTCACTTCGCATAGGTTATTATTTATTATTTTATTTTTTTAATTATATTGTAAACTTTTAAGACTTCTCAATTTTACTTGTAGAAATCTTTTAAAAAGAAGCGCAAAAAGAGGAAAACTTTTCTACTTTTTATAATTAATTTTTTTTTTAAGCAAGAAACTTTTAATTTGTAAAATTTTGTTAGTTTGATCGGGAATTAGGAGTTGTTATATAAGTTTTTTTTAGTATTAAATTACTTCCTACACAAAGTTTATTTTGACAGTTGTCGCCTCCACGCGCTCTAACCAATTCGACCTGGTTTCACCCGCTTCTAGGCGCAATCTTTCGTTTCGCTTGACTCGCTTTGTGGTTCCAGTCGCCAAGGCGCGATGATAAGACCCCGCCGGATCCCAGCTGATTCAGTTCTTAGAGCTCTACTTGTCTTAATTACCAAGGGATCAAGGTCCAATGAAAAACTTTGGATTGCGAATAATAATTAATCGGGAATGATTAGTCGCTTGCCTATTACATCATTCCTAATCTCTGCCTGCTTTCTGGTTTTCCATTTCTAGCTAACTGCAACTCGAAGGCCGTCTCAACTCCCCCGCAACCGCCGCCTCCGCTGCCACCACCGCCAGCTCCTCCCCAAGCCACCAGCAACAACAACAAGGCTAAGTTGGACTGCATGAGTTTCATGGCGGAGACCAATAAAGTGCGTCTCCTCCGTGGCTATATCTATGCCGGGGAGCTGCGTCAATTATCGCCGGCGGATCAGGCGCGCTGCCAGCAGCTAAGCTTGCAGCCCTTTTGGCAAGAGCAGCCGTTACTTGTCCAGATCAGCGATGGCTGTAACGGATCGTTTCCGCTTCAAGAGCAGTTTGCTGTGATCAACGACGAGCGATTCCTGCAGAGTGTTGAGCGCCAGCAGCTGCTCCTGGAGCTGCGGCCACTGGGCGGTGTTGTGCGATTGCCGCTGCATCAGTTCTACATCGCCTACCGAGATGCCAGCATCACCAATCACCTGTGCAAGGGAAAGGTGAGATTTCATAGAATATATCCATAGTTCAGCTAATCATCATTTGCATCCTTCAGCTGCCCGTGATTTCCATCGATGGCTGGGCACCGATTGTCAGAGCCGAGTCACAGCTGCCCATTGGTGAGCTCAAGGTGCTCCTGGCCATTGGCAGTGAGTCGCAGATTGCCCAACTGAAGCAGCAGCGAGGCTTTGACCAAGACAACAATCGTGTGGCGGCTCCTCCAAGTCGCACCACCACTGATCTGCTGGACATGCTTCAGATTGCCATCTCAGCACCGACGCCCAGTGGCTCAACACCGGTGATGCCACCGCCGCCGGCACCTCCACTAACCTCCGCTAACTTCAGTTTCCAGCTGCGCATTGTAGGAGCTGCTGGATTGCCCTTGAATCCCGGCTATGGAAAGTCCAAGAAGCAGGGCAAACGTCAGGCGGCCGCCAAGCGATTCCCGCCCAACGAACCACCCAACACTTATGTGACCTTTCAGGCAGCCGATTGCAACAGTCCGACGTACAAGTCTCATGAGGGATTGGTCTACGCCACGCCCGTTGTGGAGAAGTCCACGAAGCCACAATGGCTTAGTAAGTTCCGGGTGGATGTGAGTCGTGATTACAGAAGCAATGTGAGTGTGTAAAGTCTCTTGATTCCCTGTCCAGATTTTAATTTCCGCTCTCTCTCCCTCGCAGCCCCAGAAGCTCTTCATTTTGAAGCTATGGAAGAAGGCAATCGTTAGTCCAAATGGCATCACTGAGCCCACGCCACACGAGGATGCCATAATAGGATTCGCTGCACTGAATCTCAATCAGAAGCAACCGGGCGGCGGCTTTCCCAGTGGCTGGCACAACATAGTTGACTTTAATGGACGCGTCACAGGCGGAATTGAGGCGCATGTGGAACCGTTACCGCCCAGTGTGGACACCGTGATTGATCAGTTTGAGAAATCCATGGAGCTAAGTCACCTACAGTTGGGTCAGGCCATCAAGCGAAAGTACACAGAGCTGGAGGAGATCTCGCAGCGTTTACGATCTCGTTTGGTGGACGTTACAGGGGAAACTCTGAAGTTTCCCGAATTCGATGTGGATGCAGCGTTGGACAACTGGCAGCAGGATGGCGATGATGACGAGTTGGCGGCCGACTTTGAGCGTGCCCTGCGAACTCCCACGCCTCCACCGCCAGCAAATTCACCAAAGCCCTCGACTAGCACCAGCGCACAACAGCAACAGCAACATTTTGAAAATGCAAATGCCCAGGAATAGCCCAGGGCCAAGAGTCATGTATGCGTGTTTTTACCCCTCTCATCAGCATCTCGGTGTCGTCTCTGATATTGGCTCAAACTGTAGCTGTAGTTAATAGCCATCTCTAGTTATAGACTATGATATATATATAATACACAGATCTTAATCTGATGCTGTACTTAAATTTTGGCATCCCAATTTTGCCTCGATTCACCACCCCGTCGTCTTATGGCTGTCTATATGAATATAGCATAAAATCAAAGCTAACAACGATCACCCAGCGATCGTTCCATTGCGTTACAATTTGTCGATTGAATATTTTATTGTTTTAAGTCACGGAAGCAAACCCCAAACAACAACCACACGGAATATGTATTAGTTTCGGAACTGTGTTAATCACCTAAGTATTTAGACACTATTACTTAATACAAATTTAAATAAAATTATAAAATGCTAATGCAAAATTACCAAGGGTTTTGTTTTTTAAAAGATCGTTAAATTAAGCTTTAATTCTGGCAATAACATCTTAAGTAGAAAAGCTTGTTTACTCCGGCATTCCCTTGTTCATTGATAACTAATTTGTTGAGCCCACTAAATCTATTAGTAAAATCTGATGAAATTTCAGCTTGCTCTGACTCACAGCTGGCAAACAAAAAATAATAAATATTTATGGCGAAATTCACATACAAACAAAATCTGCTACTAACATTCACCGGTACAAAAAATCGTAAATATAATAAAAAATTTTTCTTTGCGGTTTTTCTGAAATGGAGAATACTTTCGTATACTTTTTGTTTCAGTCTTTGATTGTAAGTTCTCAGCTTAAATTTTATGCGAGTCTTCTTCTAAAGAGTATTTCTATGTAGTGGAATTAGTGCACAACTCTCTCATATATTTTACTTTATTTAAAGAGTTGTAAACCTTGAAATGATTTCTCCCGTTACGGTAAATTATGGTTATTTGTTAACCGTTTGAACTTTATTTTACTTATTTTTAGAGGTTAAATGGAACTGTTTCTTGGTTTTAAGCTGCTCTAATAGGTAAGCTGATTAATAGACAATCTTACCTTTTTATCTTATCTATTTTAGAGATATATGTACTCATATTGAGAGTAAGCATTTTACTTACTTGGTTCATAAACTTTCCTCCCACATACAAGAAAACATTTCAATTTTTCTCTTTTAAATAGATATTTGAAAAATATTTTAATATAAAAAATCGTTACAACTATTGTGTGTTGGTTTTTTTTTGTTTGTTTTTGTGGGGGCTAACCCCTCCCTCACATATTATTATATATATACTCTATATATATGTACAGTTGCGGCAAAAAAAATAGCACCATGACATATATTTTTCATTATTGATTAATTGTTTTATAACTATTCATATATTTAACTTGTTTAAGGCTTTTATTTTTACTTTAGGCTCTAATTTATCGAAATACACTGCAAGTGTCGTCGATAATAACATGAAATTGAAATATTTACATTAAGAATGTGAACGTTGAACATTTTAGGCGGCAACAAAAATAGCACTATTTCAAAAATAACTTAAGAAAACGAAAAAAACGAAAAAAATACGGGAAGTTCTGGAATATTTGTATTCATTTGTATTCCTTATCGATATAGTGTATTAATATTTCGTTGTAAAAGCTTTGGCAGCAATGACAGCAGCACAACGTCTCGGCATAGAATTGACCAAGTTTTGACACCTTTCCCGTGGAATACTGCGCCATGATTCTTGAATGGTGGCCCAGAGCTCCTGATTAATCCTTGGTTTTGCATTGGAAACATATTTTTTTTACATCAGACCAAAGATTCTCTATCGGGTTTAAGTCTGGAGACTGAGCAGGCCAATCCATTAGGTGAAGGGATCTGTCTTGAAACCACTTAGGAGCTTTCTTGCTGGTATGTTTAGGGTCGTTATCCTGTTGGAAGACCCACAACAACGGTATTTCGTATTCTGCATAAGACAGCATCACTGTTAGCAAAATATCGCAATAGACATGTTGATCCATAATACCTTTTATCCAATGTATTGGACCCACTCCGTAATAAGAAAAGCATGCCCAAACATCCTATGGTCGGATGAAAGCAAAATCGTGCTATTTGGAGGAAGAGGATCTCGATCCTATGTACGGCGACCCCCCCAATTCGGAATACCGCCCAAGTTTCACCTGCAAGACCATAAAACACGGTGGAACGAGTATCATGGTTTGGGCATGCTTTTCTTATTACGGAGTGGGTCCAATACATTGGATAAAAGGTATTATGGATCAACATGTCTATTGCGATATTTTGCTAACAGTGATGCTGTCTTATGCAGAATACGAAATACCGTTGTTGTGGGTCTTCCAACAGGATAACGACCCTAAACATACCAGCAAGAAAGCTCCTAAGTGGTTTCAAGACAGATCCCTTCACCTAATGGATTGGCCTGCTCAGTCTCCAGACTTAAACCCGATAGAGAATCTTTGGTCTGATGTAAAAAAATATGTTTCCAATGCAAAACCAAGGATTAATCAGGAGCTCTGGGCCACCATTCAAGAATCATGGCGCAGTATTCCACGGGAAAGGTGTCAAAACTTGGTCAATTCTATGCCGAGACGTTGTGCTGCTGTCATTGCTGCCAAAGCTTTTACAACGAAATATTAATACACTATATCGATAAGGAATACAAATGAATACAAATATTCCAGAACTTCCCGTATTTTTTTCGTTTTTTTTCGTTTTCTTAAGTTATTTTTGAAATAGTGCTATTTTTGTTGCCGCCTAAAATGTTCAACGTTCACATTCATAATGTAAATATTTCAATTTCATGTTATTATCGACGACACTTGCAGTGTATTTCGATAAATTAGAGCCTAAAGTAAAAATAAAAGCCTTAAACAAGTTAAATATATGAATAGTTATAAAACAAATAATCAATGAAGAAAAATATATGTCATGGTGCTATTTTTTTTGCCGCAGCTGTATATGTATGTTTGCCATATCTGCTTTTTTTTTTTGTTTATTTATCGCGCTTTTTCTATATGCTAGAAAAGTCATTAAAACAACATTTTACGAATGCACAACAAAAAGTATGACCTGGATTACAGAATATTATTCAACTACAATATGCCTACGAATGTAATGATGATGGTTCTATGTATATGATGGATGTATGATGGACAGTGAATTTGATATTCTTTGAATGGAGTTTGGCGTACACTTGTATTGGATTACGATTACGGTTACGATTACGATTGGGTGCTAGGGGCAGACGGTATAGGGCAAGTCGTGCCTCTATAAATGCCCTTCTCGCTTGAATCTCTCTGCTGCCTTGATATATATTCTCGTGTTAAATATATATAAAATTATGTATATAAAATATGTATTTAAAAAAAACTGTTCAACCCGCGGAGCCCAGACGGCCTGTGTTAGCTTACAAATTAACATTGTTATAAGGTATGTACTGAATGAGAGAGATGTGGCCGAAAATGTAGTCTTCCGATCAGAAATACAAAGTGAGCTGGAATACGGTTGGCTGTATATATATATATATATATATGTATACTCCGACTTCTTATATGGAACGCTTCGATTCGTCTTCTTTTTTTTTCGATTGATGTGTGCATATTGATAGATTGAAAACGTTTTTATAAACTTTTTGCTGCTGTTTCTTCTTAATTTTTGTTTTGTTTCTTTTTGTTTATGGCATCTTTCAGTCAATGACCACGCGAGTGAGGAGTATGCCACGCTTGCTCAACCACAATCTATAAAAATAGGAAGGGCAGATAATTAATTGCAAGCCACTGACATAGAGACACTGTCGAGGACACTCACCCAAAACCGGCTCCCAGAAGCAAAGACAGGACATTGGTCACAAGCAGCGAGTATAGGATTTCGCGGGAGAACAGCGAATTGGCGCCCAGTCGCTTCAAGCGAATGGAATAGCCAGTGGTAGTCTTCTTTTTCTCATCCTCGTCGCCGTCTGTGTCGCGATTGCTGACCGACTCGAATTTCCAGTTTCTGTAAAAGCAATTGAAATAAGTTTTAGTCAACAATTACTGACTGTTATCTTTTAAGATATTATCTTAAATAATTATTATTTGGATATTTGATATTATACGCACTTGGGTGGCTGCTCTTCGGCATTGCGATTCCAGTTCTTCAGCCAATCGCCATTGTCTGCATTCTGTTTATCTCCAGCCTGCCGGCAACAAAGAAAGGCATTGTTACCACAATGAATGATGATCACCTCGGTTACGCTCCGGTTCTCAACACTTACCTTGGTCCAGTAGTTTATGTAGACATTTCTGAGCTCATCGTCCGGACAGAGCTCCGACTGTGGGCTGTTTGGTGGACTTTTGGGGCTATCACGGGGCGTATCACGACGAGAGCTGGCCAAGGAGACGACACGGCTCGACTGGTTCGATTCGCGCTGAGCCTCGCGCAGCAGTCGCAAGTATTCCTCGCCATTGTTAAATGGCAGCGGTGTGATTCTGTCGGGGCTCTTGATGCCAGCCATCGCAGCCGTTGTGCTCAGTTCGATCCAAGATTCTGTGGCAAAAACGAATTGGGTTAGCATAAGATACATAGCAGCAGATACATATTAGCAGATACACGTAGTAGGCACAAATAAATCACTTTATTCGCAAAAGGAAAGCAGGCCACCAGACAAAAGTAAGCGAAAGCTAAAGCCAAATGGTGTGAAATTGAATATTTAATTGTTTGCATTTCGGTGCTAGTTAAAAGCGGAGTCCATGTTTGAGTTCAAAACCTTTTGAGTTCAGGTAAAAATAAATAAATGTGTTTAAGTACAGTAGAACGTACCTATATTGCAAACCTAAAAAGTTTTTAGCTTCAAGAATAAATAAATAGTAAAGATAAGATCAATAGTAAAGATCGGAAACTTAACATAATCAATTAATTAATATATAAACTCTCTAGATTCTAAACAGAATTTAAATGAGTGAATATAAAACATAAGTTAAATCTGCTATTTAAAACAAAATAAACATGCTATTCCCAAGATATACATATAAAGTAGATCACTGATTTATATTGATTTCAGTTAAGTTTAACTGAAACCAGTGTTTAAAAACCTAAGGAAACAAGCGAAAGTCTCGCCTACAAAACGTTTGTTCTAATTAATTTATTAGCAGGAAAAGTCTGCCTTAAATATAATCCTGTCTGCGATTACTTGTCTTAAATAAAATACGGCATTTTTGGCCTTTATATCTTAATTCTCTTGCGGTTGTGGCTGACAATCACAGTTTTGGCGTCACAATGCGGGGCAGTGAATCCCAAAGTACAGTATATATTTGTGTCAGCGTCGTCACCCCTTTTTGCGTTTTGTTTTTGTTTGCTTAAACGTAACAACAACAATTAATAATACACGTTCAGTTCGTTAGCCGATGTCTGTATGTTTTTGTATGTATGCATGTTCAAGTGCTCGTGCCCCATTGATAAGGCTAAAAACCTCTCTCAACTCGTACAATTTCCGTTTCTTTCGGCGTATGGTATAAACAATATATATTTTTATATATATGTATAGAGGCACACATGTGTTTTGTTTATAGACTGCAGCGGTTCCACGATGCTTATCGATTGCCACGGAGAAAATTTCATTTTCAAAACAAAACGAAACCACAAACTGCCGATGCAATATGGCACGAGAAGCGTGCAAGTTACATGACTGCGGCGATGCTCGACTCGATTCCCTGATAAGGCCTACAGTCGTATGTCCCAAAACTGGTGTTTTATTTTATAAACAATCATTTCTTTGGAATTTTGTAGTTACAATAAATAAAGTTATAATCTTATAGAACTTTTTTAAAAATCCTTCAAATGAATGACATAAAATATTGTTAAGGCTTAGCTAGTTCTCAAAATTTTCCACAAATGTTTTAGATTTATCAACGGTTATCACTGTAACAGCAACTAATTTAGAAAATTTCACAGTGCAACCAAAGTGCCGAATCAATTACGGAATAGTTCACATCACTCACGTGGCAGACCAATCATGCTGACAAACGAATACTAAATGCGACGTCTAGACGAAAAAGATGAGACCTTTATGGAAGGATTTCGCGAAAATCTAAGCTAAGCCAAGAATATGGTTAATGGGAAAACCCGCACCGCCGTCAGGTAAATGGGGATGAATTTTGCACAGGTAAACACACAACAGCAGTTGTTATCGGGAATCCGGGTTACAGGTACGAAATGTGCAGCGAAGAGTGGGAACAATAACAAAGGCAAAAGCAGAAAAGTAAAAGCAAAGCGAAGGGTGGCAAAATCAGCTTGCTGACTCACAGCACGTAGGCAGCTCACTCCCTCTCTCACTCCCTCTCTCTCATTACCACTCCCCCCGTCTCTTTCATCGCCTGCTTTCTCGGCGCTTTGTTGTGTGCATCTCTTGATGCGCAGCTGTCCAAAAGACCCTGAGAGTTGAGCCCATTGAACCGCCTTTATTACTGGATGGATGACTCCCCGGTATCATAATACAATTCCTTACGCAGTATATTTTAAAAATAAAATATATAGGTATGCACAAAGGAAAAATATCACCAAAATTGGTCATCAGGTCAAAAGACCGCTTATTATACATTTAAATGAAATATTCACGAAATTATATTAAGAGGTTTTCTTAAGAGGTCAAGTAACCCACTTAAGTGCTAAACTTCAGACAATATTTTTGTATAATGGTGATTTCACAATTTTTGCATATCACTTCACACTAACAGCACAAACAACTTTCAGCACCTGACCAATATTTTTCCTGGAGATTTGCGATTCCCGATTAGATTTAATTTATTTTTTTCGCAGTGTAAACGTGTGAGTGGCTGCCGCGCGTTGGATGTTGATAAAGTAGTCGGACACCGCCGAAATACATACAATTGAAGCTAATGCCAAAGTCGCAATTTCTGGAAGCGGCGACCGATAGGGAAATGCCCTCCCACAAAAACGTTTATTTACGAATTATTTTCGCAAACAATTCGGACTGCTGGACAGAGGAGCAGGGGGAGAATGCAAAAAAGCCGCTTGACGTCAAGCGGGCCAAGTGCAAAGTAAAGAGACATGACATGAATGAAGACGAAGAGAGAGAGAAAGGAGAGAGACCGAGTGGGGCCGACCGACAGCTTCTTTGTTTCCTTTTATTCGGAGTTTTTAGCGGATTCTTTGTTGTCTCTCCGATGCACAGTAAACAAAACAACAGAAAAAACGCAGTGCCAAAGCAGGGACAAAGCAAAGCCTTGAAATACAATATATGGGGATGCAGCAAGTGTGGCAACATCAAAATGCGGATACAAACAAATACTATGCGTGCATGTGTATTTATAGTTACAGCAAACCAAAAACAACAATAAAGCGGCATAACGGGTTACTGCCGTGTTATTGTTGAGCGTGCAAAAAGAAACGCAAAAAAACACGAAACGAAAGAAGGAGCAAAGCAAAACAAACAACTTACCACCCAGCAAATCTTCAGATTTTGGTGTCGTAGACATTTTGTTTATATCGGTATTTTGTATGGATGCGAGTGTGTGAGTGCGGGGAGTGTTCAACACGTCACACCACAGATAACTTGATTTTGTTATTGCCTATTTACTCGGCTCTAGTTATTTTTTATTTTTGCCCGAGTTATTTTGGCCCTTAGCGTTTCCGTGTGTGTGTGTGTATTCGCTTTTTGTGTCAATGTATGCGTAGGAAAAATGCGTTTTACTTTTCGTTTGGCGCTGTTTCTCCGCCGCTGCACTTGTTTTCGCAACCGTTTATTGTTCTAGACTAATGCTAACAGCCTGCTGTTCGAGATATTGCAACTTTGTTTAATGCTTCGCTGAAGCGTCTTGCTCTACAACTAAAAATTAAACACGAATCGTTTCCCACGCACAAGCTTAATGCGTAGTTTAAATGTTTTGTTGCTGTAGCGCTGAGTGTGACCAGCGTTTTCAACTCGGCTATTTCCCCGCCAGATCTGGCGGTTTTCAAGAGCCCAAGACGGAAACTGGCGGCTAGCGGGAATTATAGCGATTTTCTTTTAAAATTAGCGATTTTTTAGATTTTTAAAAACAACGTATTTATAAATAATAATTAAAATAATTCCTGTTGCTGTTAATTTAATTTGTAAATCAACCCCTAATTCTCATTAAAATTTTAATTTTTTAAACATTTATTAAGTCAGTTCATAACTTATAACTATAAGACAAGTATTCCAGTTGATTTAAAAATTGTATTTATTTGTTATCTCGTCTTTAAAAATAAATCAAACGTTTTCAAGTCGCTCTTGGCCACATTCCGCACAAAATAAAAGTTGTTGCCCTCCACTATTGTCTTCGGAGATATATACAGATCTTTTTGTGGGTCGTACTGAGCTCGGCCCAGCAACTTGAGGAACTCGTGACGTTCTCTAAGGCGAAACTCCCGCGATGCTAGGAGTTCGGGGCACTGAACAATCTGGGCATGTGACAAGCCCATGTCCTGGTGGATGTAGCTAAACCGCTCGATGAGATCGTCGGGAGCTGTAATTGTTTAATAGAGATTATTTAGACATTACAATAAAAATAGCTTAGAAATAGAAGCTTACGAATCATCATTAATCGCGGCTTGCGAACTATAAGAGCACTCAGCTCTTTGGCATTGAATCCCATTTCCTCCTTGAGAGTAAACACGGACTTGCGCAGGTGCTCCATGTTGTAGGTGATGACATTGGGCTCCCTGGTGGCCAGCAATCGCAGGTCGTGGCCACTCAGACGAAACTCCTTTTGGAAGTAGCCCAGTCGACGGTCCACACGCCTCGTGGAGAACATCAACCAATAGGGATTCTGCGTAAAGATTCTTTGCCGGGCTTCCTCTGAGAAACGTTTGCTTTTCAGGTACTCCACTCGAGTCTGCAGGTCATCTAGATCCTCCTTGAAGAGCAGCGGATTCTTTGTGAACATCCTGCCAAAGTCATCGGCTGAGACGCCCTGGTCTGCCAGGAAGGAGATGTAGGGCTTGACATTCTTTTCGAAGTCCAGCCGCAGGACAAACTCGCCCAAGCCCTTCCTCCGCTCTATGCTGTGCAGATTTACGCCCAGCTTGACGAACTGCTGCAGGGTATTGGAACTATTCGCGTACGCCGCCAAATTAAAGGAAGGCACATGGGCCTCCCGACTCCCAAAATCCAGGGCCACTTCCTCGTAACTTTTCCGCGCCGCGGTCTCTGCCGCCAGTTCCTTGTCATCTTGTTTGGTGGATATATCCGTTGGGTGGAGCACATCTATCTCGCTTAGGGCGCTTCGTTGACCACGAAGATATCGTAGTTGCGTGGAAATCACCGAGAATTTAGCCGCATTTTGTGAATTTACAAGAATCTTACGTATTGCAGAGCAAAACATGCTGGCGGTGTGGCCAGACCACGCAAATGTGGCCGGTTGGGAAACGTAAATTTTATATTTAAAAATGTTTATTTCAGTATAAAAATTGTATTAATCTAGAACATAATAAAGGGATGATTTAAATTTCATACCTTTTTTTTATTATTAATTAATTAATAATTAAATAATGCGAAAACTTCTCCCCATTCTAATATTTATCTGAGCCTGTCTGGTATATTTTAACTGTCCCACGACGGTCACACTGGGCCCGATCTTGGTTTTTAACTATTGTCTTTTGTCGACAGATTAAAAAATCTGGTGCAAAAGCTACAGAGATCCGTTTGTTTTGTTTGTTGATCTCGCCTTGAGGAGTCTACTGACCATATCAAACCGTTGGCTGCTGCTGTGGCAAACACAACATCATGGACAAATTACGCCGCGTTCTGAGTGGTGACGAGCCCACGCCGGAGGAGGAAAGCAGCATCATCACACAGGTGTGTGTGCCTGTCCATTGTCAACTTCCTAAATATTTATAAAAATTAGCGCCTCGATAATCTGTGGGCTGTGAAAGCCCACCCAGCAACGCCCCTTCCCCCTGGCCGATCACATGAAGACATTTAAGAGCTGTGACTCAACGCTTATCAGCGCTTAACAATACGCACTAAAACTCCCATTAATTATTGCAGATTAATGAAATGTCCACATTAAGTTGGTCCACACGCATCAAGGCATTCTGCATCTGCTTCGTCTTGGGCATTTTCCTTTCCCTTTTGGGATCCATTGCCCTATTTCTGCACCGCGGAATTGTGGTTTTTGCGGTCTTCTACACGCTGGGTAACATAATCTCCATGGCCAGGTAAGTGAGAGATTTATTATTTACTTAAGGCTCTATATTAATTATGTGCCTTATTTCAGTACATGCTTCCTGATGGGTCCGTTTAAGCAGATAAAAAAGATGTTTGCCGATACTCGTCTGATAGCCACCTGCATTGTGATTGCCGCAATTATTATGACGTTTATTTCAGCCATTGTGGTAGATTATGATTTTTATTTATTTCGATTAGGGCATCCAAATTTATTTTATTTAAATTTTGAAGTTTTAGAAGAATCGTTAAATTATTATTTTTGCCTAAAACACAAAGCTCTAAATATTTACTCCCATTTCAATCATATTACGTAAACAAAGACTAATTTAAATCATATTGAAAAATTTTTAATTCCATTTTTAAGCTTTAATTAGATTAATTTGATTTATTATTTATGACTTTCATTTAATTTATTTTCATTTCCTCATTTGTTTTAGTTGAAAAAAGCTGGACTTACGCTTATATTCATTATCATCCAATCCCTGGCCATGACCTGGTACTCGCTATCGTACATCCCCTATGCCCGAGATGCGGTCAAGAAGACCGTGTCTGCCTGCTTTGAGGTCTAGAATCGATGGCACTGTACATAGATCGGTTTGTAACTTAAGCTAAGACAATGAAATTATCTGTATTAATCTAGAGAAGTAGAGCATTATTAACAAGCATTTTCTTGGTTTGTCTTTTAAATAAATATATATATATATAATATATATCTTTTATACATACATATATATATTTACACGTTATGTATTTAATTTAATCAGTACAGTTTTCTTTAAGTGTATGTACATAATTCTCTTTTGGTTTCTGTTTTTTTAGAATAGAATAGAATATGAATGGCCTCATCCACTTTGTTTCTGTAGCTTTAAAGTTTGTTTGTTTTTAAATATCAATCGAGTTCTTATTTTAATTTCTTCTCTTTTTGCGGCGACAATTTACCTAGAAAAGTGAAATAAAAAAGATTTAGATCGAAAATGTTGCGTATATAAAAGAGTTAACAATAATAATGGCTTAGACTATTTTAATTTTAATATCGTAGTGCGCTGTGCTGGGGGCCTCAATGGATTTACTCCTTGGCATTTGTGCTTTTTTTGTTTATTGAGAAAAAGAGAGATACGAAAGAGAAAGGGGGGAGAGAGCGCAAGGAGAATTCAAATTGAGAGCAGAAAAGTTTAGAGAGATCGTTTACCATTTAATTGAGCCAATAAAATAACGAAAGTCAGTGGTGAGTGCAGAAAGAAAAGTTAATTAACATAATAAAGCAGGCAACATTAAAGGGGAACAAATATTACAAATATTTGTATGTATTTTGAGTAATTAACTTTACTTTTTGAAAATAAATAAAATACATAAATATAAATTAATCCCTAGTAATTTTCCTTTTTTTATGTTGCCTGCTATATTAAATTTTAAAAGACCTACCTTTCGATGGTGAAGATGAGTGGGCTGCACTATTACCTCCTTTACTTTTCGTGGGTGTCGAGGAAACCTTTTTTAGCTGCCGTTGCTGGTTAAACAAAAGTATTTTCAATAAATATGCAATAGAATATACTAACAATAGACTTACCTGCCACCAAACTGCCAGATAGACGAATGCCACCGAGATTAGCACTTGGATCGTCAGCCACAGGACAATGTTGATGGCTTGCGTGCGCTCAAACAACTCCTTGCCATTCTTAATGCACAGAATGGCCTCGGAGACCATAATGGCGCCGTAAACCCAACACTGGGTGCCGACTCTCTTGCAGCGCGTATCGGTGACATAAACATAATATTGCCTGCAAGTAGGAGAAAAACATTAACTACTATTTTCCGGTACTTTGCCTCACTTATTTGTACCCACCTAACCGAGGGCGCCACAAAGAGTCCAATGAATATGAGGCGTCCAATCACTATAAAGTGATCCGGCGGCATCTCGAAAATGTGCTTCAAGAAGAATGTATTCAGTTCGGTGACCTGCCAGAAGATCACTAACTGGATAACCGCAGCAAATCGCATGGCCGTGGACTTTGGATCTAGCCAGCGGATAGCTGACCAGCTCTCCGGTGTAAACTGTAGCATGGCACGCTTGATTTTGCCAGTCGTTGTGGATATATCCTTGATGCTGGCCCATTTGTACTCTCGCATTTCCAGGATCTGGCAGATTTTAAGGCCCATCCAGATGCCCAGACCGTTGCAAATGATCACATCGAGAATAAGAGCATCCCACCAGCATTCAATGAAGTTGGGCAGGAGATGGGCAAAGGTGATCTCGGTGATTTCCCACATCACCGAAATGGCCCACAAAATGCCCATGTGACGGATTAGGATGGCCTTGAATGCCCAGCCCAAGAAATGGCCCCAGGCAAAGACATCCAAGTGGCCCTTGACGCGATCCCAACTGATATCCGAACAATTGACGCCATATTCCTAGGAAAACCCAAACATTTAATCAATATATTCATTTACTTTAATAGGGAATACTTACCTTTTCCATATCGATATGAAAGTTCTTCAACTTTGGATCGATCCAATAGAATATACTCCTGATGGTCGGATAATTTTGGAACATAAGAAACTGTAGCGTAAGCAGGTACAGAACGGAACAACCGAATAGTATTCGCCAAACGGCGGGATGTGGCCGTGTAAAGGGTCCATTGGGGAAGGCAATCACCGAGACGATAAGGAAAAAGAACACAATGCACAGCAGGCCCGCCCAGAGATTCTCATCCACGTTCGCCTCATTCCTGTAACGAGATAATAACACTGCTAAGTGGCTGATCTTGGTCTCCATATTGGTCATAGTAGTAGAATTCCTTATCAGCATAGCACGTTTTTTTCGTTTGGGGTTTTGGGGGTCAATGGCATGATGATGTGAACACAGTCGGCGAGTACATTACGTCTGTGTTTTAGTTCTAGTTCCATATATATTATATTTATACTCTAGCGCATGTATATATAATACTTTTTTTTTGGCTCTTTGAACCTTCGGCTGTCTCAGTTGACACATTTGGCAGTGTGTTCGTGATACTTTCAAGTGCTTAACCCGGTGTACAACAACTAAATTGTGTTCTCAGATCGCACGTGGTACAGATTTTTGATTGGAATTATTTGTTCTTTAGGCTTTTAACATGATAAGCGAAAAGATTGAGGGTCTTATTGATTCAAAAAAATATGAATGCGACTTTTAAACATATTTATGATTGTGCTTGTTTATATAATAAAAACTGTATATGATTAGGGAATTATGTAAAAGGGTTTCATTTATGTAATTCGAGTTTCTCTCTTAGGTAACAAGTAAATATCAAAAAATTCATTTTGATAAACCAAAGATAGAGATACAATTTCAGTTTTTTAAATATCTTGAAAAGATAACAGAAAAATGTATAAGGTACAAGATTGCATCACAAAAGTAATTGAAAAAACTTATCTAAGGCAAAATTTGGGTATGTTATAGTCATGTCACGTGGACCCATAGAGGGTTAAATTGTGTGCCACATACAGATCTTCAATTTCGGTTGTCTGTCTGTTGCGTTTCAAAGGCAAAGTATAAATTATATTCATTACTTTTATAGATACTCGAGTAGATTGAATATTCTCATATTTTTAAGGCTATTTTATGTAGGTAACTCCCGGATTCTTTGTTATCATCATCTCAATTCATGAGGGCAAGGGTTAAAGCAGTTAAATTGTTCCCTAGAGATAATGAGAGACCTTTGACTCTCTCAAGATCTCGAATGAATTAACACTCCAAACTCTAAATTAAGACAACCCCTTTTGACCAAAGGATCAAGGATCAAGACCATAATACCTAGACATCTATTTCAATCTCACCTGACGAAAGCAAAGTACATCACGGCCAGCACGGACACTGCCAGCAGGGTGATCGTGTGCGGTTTGTAGAAAAAGTCCAAGGATATATCGTCCACGGGCCGCTCATTGACTATGACAAAGGTCTGGGCGATCTCCTCCTTTCGCTTTCGTCTGGCTCCCGCACTGCTACCGCTGCCATCGCTACCATCCCTCCGTCCCTTTGTGGGCGTGGCCGGGGCACTGGCCGCCCCCGGTTTGTAGGGAGCTGATGTTGATGATGATGATGATGTCGGAGGGTGGTCGCCCTCGCCGACGGGCGGGGTGCCACGTGAACTGGAGCGTTTCTTCATCGCCAAACGCTAAATTCGATTATCAGATGTAAGCGATGGCGTGATGTGGTTGTTGTTAGGCGGCAATGGCCCCGGTGGTTGGTTGCTTCTGACTGTTGTTTTCCCGTCGTCGCCGTCGTTGTTGGGGCTGCTCAGGTGCATGCGGGGACTGAAGGTTGCGCAACATTCGATTCTCTGCGGCTCTCTGGCTTCCCCTAACTGCCGCGGCCTCGCTGGCGACCGGATCGGATTGCAACGGGTACTATGGTCCTGGCCCTGGTCCTGGAGCCTCGTTTTGTGTTTGTTTGGCGCACGTTTATTTTATCATTTGCCAGTAGCGGGCCGTTGTTGTCAATTAAACATGCTGCGCCGACTTGGACCAATAAAAATCGACACTTGCCGGCGGGGTGGCGTTGCCGGATCAGCCACATTCTCAGCTTGATAAGGGACCGTTGCCAGATGGGGTGCGGAAATGGGGTGTTCCGGATTTTTGATTCGTAAAAACACTATAATTAATATGGGAATTTTTTTTAATTAAATGGTTTATTAAATTTTAGAAATAAATTATGCTTTGATAAATGTAAACGGAATAGAAACATATTATACTAATACAAATAATAATCCAAATGTTCTAGTATAAATAAATTTTTTCACTTTAAAATATAAAATATTTATTTTTGTAATAATTAATTAATTATTTACCGCAAGTATCATGTATTTTATAAAGTATTATTTTGTTATGTGTGATTAAAAGAACCGATTGAATAATCACTTAAAACTAACGAAAACCGGAACCACCCTACCCCTTCAGCCCTGGCGAAACAGCTGATGGCACTTGTTGACCAAAAAGAAATCCATGAAATTCTATTGATTTCGTGCGGCTCCTTAAACAAAACATTAAAAATGCTGCTGGAACAAGTAAATAATATTATTGCCGTGCTCTCCGGAAAGGGAGGAGTAGGAAAATCCACTGTAAGCACACAGTTGGCGCTGGCCCTGCGAAATATGGGATATAAGGTGAGAGTGACAATTAATTTCATCACAAAAACATGACAAACTGATTTTCCGATAAACCCTGTAGGTGGGATTACTGGATGTAGATTTGTGCGGACCGAGTGTTCCGTATTTGTTGGGACTGGAAGGACGCGAGATATTCATGTGCGATGAGGGCTGGGTTCCCATCTACACGGATGAATCGAAAACCCTGGCCGTGATGTCCATTGGATTTCTGTTGAAGAACCGCGAAGATCCCGTCATTTGGCGTGGTCCCAAAAAGACCATGATGATCAAGCAGTTCCTCACCGATGTGAAATGGGAAGCGATGGACTATTTGATCATTGACACGCCACCGGGCACTTCGGATGAGCACATCACCGTGATGGAGTGCCTCAAGGAGATGCAATGCAATGGAGCCGTCATCGTGACCACGCCGCAAGAGGTGGCCCTGGATGATGTGCGCAAGGAAATCACCTTTTGCAAGAAGACTGGCATCAGGATCATGGGTATCATAGAAAATATGAGTGGGTAAGTCGAATTTATTACTTGGAAGGATTTCAGAGGGAATCGTAGGCTTGCAAACTTTATTATTTTTTTGAATTCTCTCAGATTTGTATGCCCCAGCTGCTCTTGCTGTACAAACATCTTCTCCTCGAACGGGGGCTCTGAGCTGGCCAAGTACGCTGATATCCCCCATCTGGGAACATTGCCCATAGATCCACGAGTTGGTGTCTTGGCAGGCACAACTGCCTCCGTATTGGATGAACTGCCAGACTCACCAATGGCGAATGTGATGCGCGAGGTAGTTGAGAAATTGAAATCTGTTAAGCTGTAACTATAAGATGTAAATAAAACAAAAGTCTGTAAATTTTTTAATAAATATTTTTTTAATTTGGAAGGAAAATAATATTGCACATAATTTAGTGTAAAGTTCAAAATATTCTCTTGAATTTTCCAAATTCATTCACCATTTTTTCAAAAAAAAAAAAATGTATTTATTTGATTTACGAATTCAATATTTCCTTTATGAAAACATTTCCATATATCTAAAACCCCATAAATACCAAAACCCAAGTCTTAAACAATAACAACACGAAATTGGTTTTTGTTTTTCTTTAACTTTGGTTTTTTTTTATCGCTTTATTTGTCGTAGAATAAATGTCTAGGTTATAATAATAGAATGGTTACAAAGGAATGAATGTAGTGGATGCGTTGCGGGAAAACTAACTAAGTATGTCCGATGTTTCTACAAATTAAATTAAATTAAATTAATGAATGAGTCAGTGAGTGAGTGAGTGCGTTTCGATCAGTAATCATAATATAAAATCAAACTAATGTGTTTCCTACTAATACTTTCCAATTACGTTTACTTTTGTGTGTTCTCTGACGATGATCTTCTCACTTTTGATAATTAGAGCTATCACATTACTGTCTCGATTACCGCTTAACTTAATCACTCTAATTAATTGATAATTGAGCAATAGTCTTAAGATCAATATGTGGGTGTGTGTGGGTTAACGCATGAAGTTTCGCTTATTTGCTCGATCGGCTCGCTTCTTTCAATGTCTGTGTGGACTATCCTTCGATAAGGAAGGGGAACAGAGTCCTTAAATTCTGTGAAATCCATTCAAAATGCTCTCAATGAAGTTAGTTCCTTTTTCTAAGTATTATTAACATGCAGACTTCTTCCACTGTTTTGGTATTATTTTCTCTAGCGGAAGCTAGATGAAAGCTTGTCAAGATCAAAAATCAGTCTGCGGGATGGAAATCACACAGAGAAAAAAAAGATTTAAATTAGCACTTAACTGTAACAAAATCTAACTTAATAAATTAACGTTTTTACCATCTCGAAATGAATATTTATATGTTGTGCTACCAATAATATAATATAATAATCTGAGATGGCAACCTAGTGTACTGATACTATATATTTTTCTCTGTGCTGGAATCACAACTTATGCTTCGTTTCATCTCTGAAAGCAGCCTTATTTTCGATGCGATGGTTCATCGAAGGACTTCAGATTGCACACCTCCTGGGGCTGCTGCGTAGAGACCTCGTGATAGTTGCCATTCACCTTCTTGCCACTCCTACACATCTTACAAATAAGCCACGCGAAGAAAACCAAAAATATTGCTCCGAACACGGATGAAATCCATATAAAAAGGGTATCAAATCTATCCTGGGATATATAGGGGCGATGTTCTGTATTATTCCTGGCGTCCCGGGAAACCTTCTCCTCACTGGGCACCTTGACCTGGCTGGTTGACTCCGGTGTCTGTGCCTTGGGCCCAAAAGTTGATTTCTGCTCTGATCCAGTGGTATCAGTCGGACTCTGACTTGTCCAAGCTGTGAAATCGGAGACTGTTGAAGGCGAAGCCTCGCTAGTAGAAGCTGGACCATTCGTCGTGCTCTGATCTGTTGGAGATACAATCGAAGAATCTGTGCTTGAATCTGTGCTCATTTCCAGGTCTCTTGTGGAGCTGTTCTCTTGCAGAGGCGCTTCCGATGAGGCGATGTCCTCCGCTGGGTCAGAGCTAACCTCGGCTTCGGTGGTGCTACTGGACAGCTCATAGAAATCGGAATAAGTCGTTCTGAACGGTGCTAGAATATCCGGAATCAATGGGAAACTTCCAGGTGATGCTGACGAGCTCACAGTTTCTATTTCAGGTCCTCTGGTTGGACCCGAATACGGCTGGAGGATCAAGATGTGAGGTGGTGTTGGTGTTACCAGTTTCTCATCCGGGCATGTTTGACAGCACTCCCCCTCCCTCCTAATGGGCCAATCACAGTACACGCGCGGGCATTCTGTGGCCTGGCAATCGGGCTCGCCATCCAAAGTACATCTGCACAAAGTGCATCCATAATCCTCCGTCCAAGTGCCGCCCAGGGGGACCGCAGTTTCGTTTGACTTGGTCAGGCAGTTGCTGACTACCACGGACGGGTCACAGAATTGTATACAGGGAATGGCATGGAAATTGCAGGATTCGCACTTGGTGCACTTATCGCGGAAGTACGTGACATTGGTACCATTGCAGACGGGCTCCGTGTCTCTGCATTCGTAGTGGGGACAACAGCTGCCAGGCTTCCCATCGCCGGGATGAACCTCGATGAGCACCTGGCTGCATGTCGGCATCTCGGGACAAGGTAGGCAGGTGCAACTCTCAAGGGCGTCATTTCTCTGGCTGTCCGAAGGGCAGGGGTTTGTCTGTGGGATTTCATCCAAGTCGATTATCGGCAGAGCTGGAAAAGAAATTTAAATAAAATAAACAATTAGCTAGATATATTGTAAAAATTGTATAAATTTATATAAAATGAATTGTACTTTGAATCGAAATCGAATACCTCAAACCTCAAGACCCTTAAAATTTTCGAACTGATTTGAATGCCCTTCAAGTTCAATATTAGTATCGATCGATCGATCGACTGAACGATCGATCTGAAAAATCACATTCCAGACAGCAAACTATATAGCCCTGAATTAATTATTCAATAAATCTTGAGGTAAATTTATAAAAATTGCAATTTGATTAGGCACACTCGGGGGAAATTACTCCAAGGAAAGCAGAAACCCAATCAAAACAAACGACAAGAAATGAAATTTATTTTTGGTGGAATACAAAGTACGGCGAGAGTGACAATCTCGTTTATCATTTATTTATGGTTATTGATTTTTGACATTTTATCATTGAATTATAAAAAGGGGGAAGAAGGCGCCGGAGCGATAAAAATGGGGGAATGGCAATGGGTATAACAATAACAAACAAAAGTCACAAAAAAAAAAACAATTGCAGTATGAAACAAACCCAAATGATTTTGTGCCTCTTCCCTTATTGGATGGATCGATATGGATCGATCGTTTCATTGAATCAATATTGCCCCCAATTGCCGGTATTATCAATTTTTTTTTGGTGTGGTAAACTTTTGTTACAAAAATGCGTCGCATCAAAAATGGTTACAATAACTCTTCCCGATCGCGATCGAAGGTTATCAAAGTATTTTCGATATTGACGTCACTTCTGTGTACTGTGCTGTGTTTGTCGCAGACTTTGTAGGTGAAGCGCATTTAATTGAACGTAATTTAAAATAGATATAAGTCGTTGCTTTGGCGTTGCGGCTATATTCTTCTGCTATCAGGTCGGAACGATCTATATGACAGCCACCAGACGGGGCAATTATTCATGAGTGTGGTCATGTGTGCGTGCCCGTATTCGTTTGATTGAGAAGCGCATAGAAGGGCGCTGAGAATGTCAGGGAGCTGTGCGTGCAGGGATCAATAAGAGGAGAGTGTTGGAAATACCTCTGGAATTTTGGCATTGTTATTAATCATTTTATTTAGAAATATAGAAATACAGGCTGAGGGAACTCAACCGATTGAAATCGTTTAACATGAATTTGAGAAGCGCAGTTAGGGGCCCTGAACATTACAAGTAACTGTGCGTGTTGGAATCAATAACAAAACATTTGAATACCTCAGGAATTTCGCTTTGTTATTGATCATTTTATTCATAAATTTTAAATATACATATTTATTAGGATTTTTGCATGGGTCCTATAAACAAAATATATGAATAAAAAATTGAGAAGCATAGAGAAGAATCCTGAAGAAGTTAGGAAATATTTGGGAATATTTGTCAAAAAATATTAAAAATAAAATATAATTCAAATTAAAATAAAAAATATAAAGAAATTGATACAGTTATGATGGATTTTAAAATAAAAAACAATAAAATATAATAACTGTAAGAAAATGGTTATGAGATTCCTTGCAATAACTCAGCAAAGTCAAAACAATTTCAATGTGAATTTAGTTTCTGGCAAAATATGTTTTTCAGAATTAATTTTTAAATTGAAAAACAATCAGATATATGTATTAAATGGGCTTTAAGTTTCCTTATAAGCTCAGCAAAAAATGTAAAAAATTTCATTCTGAATCTAGTTTCTGGCAAAGTACGTTTTTTTTTTCAGAATTATATATATTTAAATGCTTAGCTGGTCAATAAATTGTACATGTGCAAGGTATTTTGCTTTCTTCTCTCTGTCGATTCATTTATTTGTTATAATATATATATTTTTTTCGTGTGGTGGTTGCTTTGCACTGCGAGTTTATTGACCCAAACGAATAGTAATATTTTTTTATCGCCTGTGGGTCAGCAAAAAAAAAAAAAAAAAAAAAAAAAAATACAAATAAAAAACAGACATAACACGGTGTGGTATTGTGGAGAAGGTTTCCAGGTTCCAAAGGTTAAAAAAAAAAAAGAATTCGATGCAAATTACCTAAGCACATATCCGCCTCATAAATGGGTCGGGGCTCATTAGCGGAGATTTCTGGCGACGAAGGCGATGATTATAATTGTGATTATGACGATTATATAGGGGAGCACCAGCAGAGAAGTGCTACTGCCCACTTACGTCACCAGGGAGCCAGGCAGACGCGGATACAGATACACAGATACACGGATACACAACCGATACGGAGACTTTGAAGCTGCGAACGAGGCGATCCATATTTCTTTTTGATTGATCTACAGCCGAAGGCCGGCATGCAAAAATGCAATTCAGGCAGCGAGGAGCAGAGGAGCACAGCTCACAAGCTCACAAAAACCAGATACAGCTACTACAGATACAGATACGCGTCGCACCGCAGAGCGAAAATAAATTTCAGTACAATTAGCAGTCGCTTATTTTTGTTTCGCATTTTTTCCTGACACGCTCGTTGACATGCAAAGTTACTTAAACCAAACAAAAAACAAAAACAAAACAAACATTACACGAGAAAATACTAAAAACTAAAAAAAAAATCAAGAGGAGGAGGTCGTCGTCTACTTTTAACTACTATTTGAAAGGTCGTCTTCGGGGGGACAAGAGGTTTCCGCCGCAGAGGTGGTGGTGGCTTGCTGGCGACGAAGACCCGCAGTTGATGGAGTAATTAGAGACCGTTCAAAAAAAAAAAAAAAGCAAAACGTACACACTATTTCATTTTTCCCCATTTAGCTTTTCAGCTTTTGTTTTACCCATTCACGTCAATCACCATGAACATTGAGAAATTGTCTCTTTGATAATTTGCTGATGGCGAATCTAATGTTCACAGCGGGCATTATCATATTTTCGTACATTTTATGGCATTTTAAGCGAACTCTGGTCATTATGGCAGTCATAAAACTGTGACTTTAGTAAAGTTAAAAAAAACCAGATAGACAGCTTTTCGTTAAACTGTGATTTACTAGCCATGAATCACAGTAATTAATATGATGATGATTCATGGGGAAAACTGCCAGGTTTACTTTTAAGGAATTCTTTTTAGTACATTTAAAAAATTTCTTTTATATAAAGACCACTTTCAAATGACAAGAAAAATAAGTAAAGGAACCAGGGAACTTGAGTCTTTTCCCTTGAAATTGAAATTTTCAACCGTGTGTCCGCTTCCGATCCCCATAAAATTTCGCAGAATCGCTTTTTTATAAAAACAAAGCTTTGCATTTATCCAAAATGCTTTTGCAATCACAAATTCCCTATGTAAATAAAAATATTTCATTTATACAAAATCACATATAAAAAAATTATAAGAAAGGAAGTAGTTGTGCTGGGTCAGAAAAATATTTACAGGTTTAAAGTTATTTTTAAAAATGTAAGAAAGCTAATAAGCTTCAAGTTTAGGCTTATCAAGCAATTGTTTTATGTCTTTTATATATATAAATAATTTTATTTATAACTTCTATACATTATTTATATTTATTACCCCATAAGAAAATATACAATTGTAACTACAATCATTCAATAATATTTAGTTAATGAAATAAAATTCCAGCGAAGCATGTATAATTCATTAATTCATCTGTATTTAAGCACAATTTATTTTCGCATTAATTCTTTTATTTAACCGCACTGTATTTTCACTTTGGTGATCATAAACAATAGCCACTACGACAAAAAATTAAAATAAACTATGACAGATGTGATTTAATCACACTCGAGTTAAACGGCAATATAATCCGTGTATTGCCTGCCGAAAAATGTGACATCAGACCCCGCCGGTAATCAGAAGTATAATTTCGAATGTATTTCGAACCGAAACAAAACGCAATCAATCTTATTTTGAACGTCTCTCACGCGTCGCCTCGTAAGTAAGCGTAATTTATGCGATTTAATTTAATCGCCGGCATATACATAGAGCAAATAGGCGTTCGTCACTCCAGATTTTTTGGCCTCCTTCCGCATAGCCACAGTACCAATTAAGAAACCATTTCAGCTCTGTTCAACTCGGGTCACCCAACTTCATGGCTCTGGCATTACCATTAGCGTTCCTTCCTTTTGCTAATATTTCCACATTTTGATTTTTTTTCCTAACCAAAGTTTATAAGTGGCCAACTAATACGTTAGAATTGCGTAAACAAAACATTTTCGTATGAGCACCGCTTTCTTTTTTTTTATACGTACATTTTTTATTTATTTATTTTCGTTTTTTTTGCGGTTCGGCCCCGTTTAAGCCGGCAGCGACAGGCGTAGTAAACCTTATCTTAATTATAGATCAATTATAGTAGAGGGGCTACCCTACACTAGGCAAAAATATACAGCGCACACCATTAATTATAAGTGCAAACCCAAGTTGGCCGTATGGGGGAAAGGTACATAAACGCGCCAAATGGAACAGGGAATTAACTAATGCGTGTCACAACTCGAGTCAGTTACCTTTTTCTGTTCAAATATATTATGAGTTATTAATAAATTGGGTTGGCATTGAGCAGAAAAAAACGTGGGGTTATAACAAAAATATTTAAAATATTAAAACCTTATAGAAGGGGGATAGAAAATCATAAGGAAATACGTTTGAATACAAAATGTACAGCACTTCAACAACTTTTAACTCTTTGAAAGACTAAAAACATTATTAAAGTATTTAATTTAAAAAGATAAATGTAGAGATAAAAGCCAATAAATTTAATTAAACAATTTTTTAAGATTTTAAGAAAATGGAAGTCCAAACCTCAGGCTGTCTTTGCCAAAAATATATTTCAAATATCAATAAACAATGCCATAATTATCTAAAAAATCTAATTAAACCCACATTTTTCCTTTTACTGAAATAAACAAACAATATAAGCAACCGCCACACGACTTCACAAATTATTCAATATGCAAAAACTGAAAATAAAAAAGCAGAAATGCCTTGAATTTCTGTTGGGGGGAGGCAAGTATGCATGGTTGTCCCCCCGGTGATTATTTCGCATTATTTTCTACAAATT